TTTATTACTAATTACACACTTTGTTTCAATTTTTATAATTATTTGTCCGGCGGTGACCTAAACACGCACTTTACCTTCTGCGTGATTGATTTCTATTTAACTTGGTTAGTAGGATAAACTTTAAGGCAAGAGATACTCTCGGAATAAAGAAAAAGTAGTTCGAGAAGATCAAGGGAAAATTTAAAGCTTCTGAAAAAATTTTACCCGACAAAACTTTACAGCGGGCCAAGGACAGCACATTTTAGTAACAAAATCTTTATTGGCAAAAATTGACTCAAAGAAATTGAGATAAAGAGAGTTATTGTCGAATCCCTGAAGTATATTTTGATAAGGCAGAAGGGAAATTTTGTCCTTCCATTTGCAAAAAAAAAAAAATACAAAAGCAAAAGAAAACCTCTTAATTGTCACGTCGCAAATGTTTATGTGTTTTGTTCTGGTAAGCAATGCTAATATGGCACATGAATTATTTTTCATGAGAACCAACCACCTGTTCGCGTATCCGAAACCAATTTTTTTCTATAGAACTGTACATTTCTTCAAACGATTTGATATTCTGTCCCAACTATACGTAAACAAACTTCACAGTGCTTGCAGAAAACGAATCTTGATTCGAAAATCCCCGAACTTTGGAGTAGGGTTCGAGAATTTAATAAAGAGATTAAAATGTACATATCAGCCCAAGTTAAAGGGGTCAAGATAATAACAATACAAAGGCTGCTCTTATGGTATTCGCTACTATTTATCATAGTTCTATTGCAAAAAAATTGTAAGTTTAAAAACTTTCTATTTATTTCTCGATCAACAGACATAACTTTATCGAATAACCCCCTATTCAAGCAACTTTCAAAGAGATGCTTGCGACATGCAATTTAGCTGATTCTTTTGCTCAGAGCTGAGAACTGGTGGTACATTTTTATTGTTGAAGTCAAAGCTCATTTAACCCGGACTTTTACGATAAATTTCACTTCGAGAATAGAGTCTTGAGTTTAAAAAGAAAAAGAGCTTTACTTCCAAAGAGAGTTCGAAACGCTTGTAGTTAAATCGATAAGAGGAGTTTTTGAGTGTCACCTTTAAATAATTTAACATATTTCATCCGAAAATACTAATTAAGAAGAGACAAGCTCTAATAAGTTCTCGAAGGGTCAATAAAAGATTTCATTTTCTTGATTTTTTTATTTTCAGGTGGGAGAAATTCAAGAATTCATATATACATAAATTAACGCTTTTAGCCGTTTGGCATTGGTAACCTTCGTTTTTTAATTGCTCACCTAACTAAATAGATTCTACGGAATTATTTCAGCTGTGTATAAATCAATATCGTTGAACTGCATCATGATATTTCGTTTCTTTGCTAAGTTAATGTACATTCACCACTCCGTTGGATAGGAGTGCTAGGCTATGCTTTAGCCCCCAAACAGTTCACATAAATTTTCATTTTTTAACTCATTTACGATGAGAAGTTACTTAAAACTCCTAAATTTAGTCTTACTTTTAGCGACGTTATGGAATTCTGCAAGAGGCGCTGGTAAGTAAAATATTCGTTTTGAATTCAAGTGTTCGTGTGTTAACAACTTAAAGCTAAAATCTTAGGACCACATTCGAATTAGAAGCTGAATAAGTTGCCGTTAACTCATTAAAACTCAACTAATTTCCAGTGTTCTTTAATACCAGTTGAAAACCAAGATCCATCAATTTTTGTAGTTTCTTTTGGTGACTCTAAGTTAATTTTTCTCTGTTTACTTCTGTGAAAATTTTATTGTTGATTAACATAGCTATAAGACCCTCGGATAGTTTTTGAAAAATGATTATTACTCAATCATAATCATATCTCCGCAAAGTTTTATTTCCAAATTATGTCAATCAGTACACTTAGAGAGAAAGTAGCTTCTTCAATACGTACGCTCCTTTTGATGAGTACATGTATACTTTTCATGCCTAAGTAGATATTTTTGCATTTAAGACCCTTTGGAAGGCAAAATTCTTGTTCTTTGGTTTACAAAACAAAACTGAACAGGAATCTACTTCCAAATAGACAAATAGTTTTTATCGTTTGATTAGCTTTTTCTGTAGAAAAGTAACAAGACTATTTTTCTGTCCATTAAATTTCTCTAAATAAAATTATAGTGAATATGTTTTTTTTTTAATTTTACATTAACACGCAAGAAAGATTCCAACAAACTCTTTTGTCATGTTCACAAAATTCCGCCTCCTTTATTACTGAAATCATACTGATGACGAAGATTCTTTCAAAATATTTTTGTCGATGATACATCATCACGTTGGCTTCATTTGGCAGTGCGAAAAACACCTACGGTTTGAATACATCCTATACAAACATTTTTACGTAAAAAATTCTAACTTAAATATGATCTTCTTTTGTCACATGTAAATAATTACTTCTTTTTTTCTCTTTATTATTTTCCTCAATGCCTAAGCAATGAAAAGGCTTAATATAAATGATTTAATCTTTCACGATACTAAAACCCTATGCAAATGTGTTTAGATTCTTTCATTCCTTAAAAAGTGTTTTTAAATCGCGAACTTTCCCTATTTTTTTACTTTTTTAAAATTTCTTTTTTGCCGCTTGTGCTTCAGTGGATGGCGGTTGGTCCGGTTGGACTGCGTGGAGCGGCTGCGCAGCAGGTGTTTGCGCGGGAAATCAGCGCATTCGAACAAGAACTTGCACTAATCCCATCCCGACTGAGGATGGGAAGTACTGCGATGGAGATAGTGCCGAGCAGTTAGATTGTCTGAGTGAGTATTACGCTAAAATTGTCATCCCTGGTACCAGCAAATTCTCCCGATTTCCATCACGTTATGCGACAGAGCCACATGTAAAGAAAAGAAAACTTTTTGCTCATCACTGAGGGTGACTAACATCTAATTTCTCCACACAATATCACCCCTGAATCACACCTTAAAGTCACAAAAAATGAAGGGAATTGCCACAAACTAAAGATTGATTGTTAAACCAAATCTCCTTGTGAGCACATTATGGAGAATATGAGTACTGATGTTAGGTTGTAAGGGATAAAGAACAGAGTCGTAAACTGGTGACAGCAAGGCTCCTACGACGCAAGAAAATTCAAAGTTTACATTAAGTTAAAACTGAAGATTTTTTTAGTCCATTTTTCCCATATACCACGTTAAGTGAAAATGTTTCCTTTAGAAATTCAACCAGAAACCCCCGATTTTCGATTTTTTCCTTTGTTAAAATGTTCTCCAGAACACTGAAAAAATTATTACCTACTTCAAGCTGTAAGGGACAAAATGGAACTATAAGAAAGAACTTGAACGTTTGAATCTGCTATAAAATTAAAGCATTGCCTTTACATGTTCCTTTATTATAACACACAGTATCTATAGCCTATTAACACACCTTTAAAAATATCATTGCAGTCGACGGCGGTTTTACAGAATGGAGTCAGTGGTCTCTGTGTGATAACCCGTGCGGGGGATCTGCAGTGAACAGGTCAAGAACGTGCACTAATCCCACCCCTACTTCAGACGGACAGCCTTGTTCTGGAGACACATTTCAAACAAAGCTGGAATGTATTTCCCCATGCCCAAGTAAGGAATTTGATATCCTGTCAAAGGTGCTCTCTTTCAGCTCCAAGGTTTCAGAACGAAGAATTCTAGCCGAGTGTACCGTTTTTACCAGATTAAAACCCGTGATGTGTGATGAAGTTGAAGCGTTCTGATGTGGCGTTTATTTCAAAACATTTTTTTTAATAATAACCGGAAACATAAATCATTGGAAGATAATATGTTAAGCAGAACGTGCTTTAAGTTCCAATGTCTAGCATTTTTGCTGCGAAAGAATCGCTAATTTTGGAATTTTAATTCAAAGAGGATGAATTGAGGAATCTTATCCCCCACACATACGCACATTTTAATGATAATTTTTTCAAACGTAATTTTCACACGCGTTCCTATGGCGCAGCTATTTTAAGAACTACAGTTTATTGGTTACTGAGTCTGTGATAAAGTTTGATGTGTGATGTTTGGTAGATTGCAATTTGCACAGCTATTTTGAGAACTTTGCTTCATCTTTCATTTTAATGTGGTGACGACACTTTTTGCTTAAGCTGCCGTTGGCATGAGCTGTGAAAGCATTTCCCCTGGGCTCTTCTCTTAAAGGCCTGAGTTTGTACTCTCACTATACTCTATAATAATAATTTATTACTTATATAGCGCAAAATACATGTGGATATGATCTAACGCGCTATACAATAAGACTAAGCAAAATAAAATATGAAAACGAACTATAAAAGGCTAAGAATATACAATTTGACTAACTAAAAACGAACTATAAAAGCTGACATGAAAAATGCCTGTCTAAAGAGATGTGTTTTAAGAAGTGTTTTAAAACAATTAAGATCATTTACTGCTCTTCTATTTGATGGCAATCTGTTCCAAAGTTTAGGAGCAGATGCCATAAATGATCTATCACCTAAAGTTTTCTTAGTTATGGTCCTGGGTGGCAATAATTGTAGTTCAGACTGAGATCGTAACATCATACGTCCGAATTGTTGCTTAACGTTAACTAGCTAGATCCGTAATGTACTGAGGTGCCAGCCTGTGGATAGCCTTGAACACTAAAATAAGTAATTTAAATTCAATTCTAAAACTCTACAAGATAATCAACGTGGAAGAAGTTTCAGGCGAAGGTTTGGATGTACCATAATATTCTGCAATCGTGTATTCAGGCAAATTATCTTTCGGGTTATAGTTTAAATAGCAAGAGCGATTTCAAATGCAAAATAATTCATTTTGTAAGATTAGCTATTGAATCGGCTTACTCTGCGTCAGAAACTTTCTGTTTCAAAATAGTTCAAGGCTTATGAGCTGTCGTTTTTGATGACTTTGCGTTTTTTTTAGCTTCCCCTCTTGACGGTGGATGGAGTTCCTGGTCCCCTTGGGAAACGTGTTCCAAGACATGTGGTATATCAGGTGGATCTGTTTTACGAAGAAGTAGGGTTTGTAACCAACCACCTCCGATGAATGGCGGTGCAAGCTGTCCTGGTAACGACACGGAAGTGACTAAAGCTTGCTTCACACCATGTCCAGGTAAGTGAATGCTTTCCTCAACAATGACTTGAGGACAAAATGTTTTCAGTTGCTATATTATTCACTTACCTATATATCAATTTTTTCATTAATTATTTCTATTTTCAGTCAAAAAGTAAAAATCTCCGCATCAACTAATTCATTTCTTCAACTTTTTATTTATGTGCAGTGGATGGTGGTTTTGGCTTATGGTCAGCTTGGTCAGCTTGCAGTGAAACGTGTGGTACTGGTACCCAGTCTAGAAGCAGACTGTGCGACAGCCCTGTTCCTGCCAATCAAGGTCAAAATTGCAGTGGTGACTTCGATCAAGCCAAAAGCTGTAAACTAACATCATGCCCTGGTAGGAAATTTTAAACAAGTAATGAGTTCAGCAATGAGAATAACAAACTTTCAAAAATGTAGTGGAGCACTTTATGAGAAAGTCTTACGAAATGTCACGCCGGTACCAACAAAGTAATAACCAATCAGATTGAGGGAGATTACATATCGGGGTCAAATACTCAAATGTAACAAATCCGCCTCCAGCAAATCATGTTCATGCTGTCGTTCTATAGATTCTTAAATAATGAAAGCACACTCATTTGCAATACTTATGAAGGATTAATGAAGAAAAAAGATAAAATTCCTATCCAGAATCCATCTAAAATACAATATGTTCAAATCGGGAAAAAGTCAAATCGAATAACAAACTGCAGCTGCTGTACGAACATAAAATAATCATCTCATACCTCGACTCGCTTGTCAATTCTTTTTAATGCTGAGCGATAAAAATATTTTTCCAGGTGCTGTGGACGGCGTCTTTTCAACTTGGTCTGACTGGAGCACGTGCACAGAACCCAAGTATTGTCTTCAAGGTCACAAGACACGAACTAGAACTTGTACCAATCCTCCCCCAGCAAATGGCGGAGACGAGTGTGTTGGCCTCGCACAGGAAAATAAAGATTGTCCCACACAGGCAGATGGATGCTCTGGTAAGAAAAAGTTCCAGTATATGAACATCGATTTCTTTTTACAGGGATGATCACATAAATACAACAATCAAAATACCTCAATTGATGTCAAACATTGCAGACAATTGAAAAAATTAAATCGGTATTACTATAATACAAAGTTGAAGAGGTTTCTAGTTAAATTTGGAACGAGTAAGGACAACAAATACATAACAATTTTCACTAACTCTACCGGCTCGTGCCATGTTTTTGAGTCTTGAGCTTACTCAATCGTTGAATCGTTACCTGTAAAAATCGCATCGCCACGAAAACTAAAGGAAATAAGAACAGGACCTCTTAGAAGGGTAAAAATGGCCTCGTTGATAGTGCGCTGTGCCTCTTATCGCAAGGACCATGTTCGAGGTCTAGTCACTTAATTTAGAAAGCGTTCCAACTTGCAAAGGCTTTCTCTGCACAAGCATGAATTGGTATCAGATGAGTGAGGAGACCTGCTAAGATGCCGAGTATAACAAGCATTAGTTAGCATTCTAACCAGGAAGGAGTAGGTAAGGGTACAGTCTTTCTGCCTTAGCTTATCCCAGTCTGTGGCATGATGCGAATAGTTGCTGTAGTGCTTCTCGTTATGAAAAGGATGCCAGTCCTTCTTTTGTTGCAGAGGTATAGTCATAAAGGATGAGTTTTCACGAAGCTCATTGATAGGATGCTCAAAATTCATTGGGCATCTTTCGTGTGATTGCACCTGACCCGTGGAATAACACCTAGAGGCCAACATATCATATGAATCCATAACTCTCTTCTTCTTCCGGTAATATGTTTGTTACTTTTATTCTTTTCCATAGTGCCTCAGCCGGACAAACCAGACAAAACAGCAGCAGATCCAAATTCCTGGATTGGTCTCGAATGTACGGCAACGGAAAAATTCTCAGCTACTGGAGCTTACAAACAAAACGTGCCTTATGCTGTATATTCGAGCTTTTCTTTCATCAAATCTGAGCTGGAGAGTGGATGGTTTGCAATTCTAATCGAGCCGGACGACAAGGATGATTATGGAAAGAAAAACCTCACCAAGGTTTGTGAACTGATACACAGAAACAAGGGTTACTGGTTAAGAAACCGATAGGCATTAAACTACGGGTCGATTTAAGTATTTTATTTAAAAATGAGTGGCACGTGGATTTTGTATCCCTAGGGCTCAGTTAAGCTTTTGGGTAACCACTTTAATAGCCACTGAAAGCACGTCGCATACGATCCATTTTAGCGAGTTATCCATTTCTAGGCTTCTCTAATGGAGTCAGTTCAAAAGGATGAAATTGTTTTGATTGTCACGCACGCTCAGTCTTGAAAACATTGTTAACTATGAATTCATTTTTTCATAAACCATTCCTCTTCCCTTGACAGGTGTGTTTTGAGACAGTCGACCCGGTAACCATTAAGAAGGTCGTCGACAACATAGCAACCTACTACGCTCAAACCTCCGCTATTCCAGGTTGGACCAAGACCGATCAGGCAGAAAACGTCTTAGGTTTTTCTATCTGGATAGATGAGGCGCAAGCGCTAAGAAAATACGAGTTTCAGGTCGATAGATCAGCAGAATACGTGCCCATTTCCGGTTATAAGATGACGGATGTCAGGTTAGTGCCAACGGAGTAACATTTCAAACAAATAAAAATGAGGCTTCTTCGACATTTTCGAGTAAAAACTAGAAAAAAAGGGATGAAAGTCGAGCAGATCGTGCCATAATATTTGGCACGTTTTGAAGATAATGAATCAGTGCTGAGGAAGTGCTCAAGTATGTTTGCTGTGTTCCTGGAATTTGAAGATTATAACCCATTTCCACCCAAACATCAGTATGCATACTCTCCATACTATTCTCCTTAGATTTCCTATGGTAATGAAAAGAAGAATTTGTTTAACATTCAAGAGCTTCTTGAGTGGGTGGTCATTTTCTGTATTCTCATAAATTTAAAGTTTGATTCATTGGTGATAATGTATTGAGAAATTAAATGCTAGTCACTGTTGGGCTTAAAGGGTTGACTCATGAAGTGTAAACCTTGGTGCATAGTTTGTACCTTGGTTCTGCTCTACGGATGGATGCATCTCATTCATTCTTGCTTGACTCTCAGGTTCTCGTACTACACAGAAGGAAACTCTCAGACATTTAAAGCTAAGGGTAGCTACACGCTGGATACAGGAAATGTTTTTGACACAGAAGTGAAGAAAGATGTCAATAGTGGTTCAGTATACGCCAAAGGAAAGGCTGATTCTGGTACATTTATGGACATGCTGTCATCATTTGGTATCAATCCCAATTCTCTTCCAGATTTCTTCGTCAATGCCCTAAAGTACGTTTCATTCATACTTCGACCGTTTTCTTTTCTTTTTTTTTTGATAAAGGGGATAATTTGCTGAAGAACTGTTGTGCTACGTCTGTGGGGGTATAACAAGAGAAATTGGTTTTACAAACTGAGTTGATAACGTACAATCCACCATTAACAATTTCTAAGCTGATGTTTCAGGCGTTAGCTCTTTGTCAGAGCCCTTTTTTAGTTACGTATATTTGGCTGATTTTCATCATTTTCTTTTGGCAACTGCACGCCTTAAAATCCGAGAATAAAATGAAAATATTCATCTCTAATACGCCGGTATCACAATACATGTGAGTTAGGCACTAAATATCGCAAGAAATGTTACATGAAACCAAGAAAGAACCTGTTTATCGGTGCATCTCAACGTTTGGAGTGCTTTCACTGCTGATTTCCTTTCCTTTTTGCAAATCTTTTTTTTTTCGCGTAAAGGGGAGCAGGATTATGGGATTTTACCATGAAGCCTGTGGAGTTGCTCAGAAAAATTGACAAAGTCGGCGTATATCGGTTCACTGGATCAATCGACGCCGGCGGCGTGCCCATTCACGTCGAGGTCATCACAGGATACAGATTTGGAAGACCAACGTTCGCTGTTGGATTTTCATTTGATAGCGAATCATTTGGTGCATTGTCCGAAAAACTGTCAGGAATTGGAGTAGATTTTCTCGATGCCATTGGATTGGAGCTACAGGTAAGCTTAGTCAGAATAACTATGTTCAGGATATCATACAACTCCCGCCAACGCTTTTAGGATCTATTTAGACAATTTGGATACTTCACTCGTTTTGATGCTCCAAGAGTAACCGAGTCATTAAGGGTTTGTTCTTGATTGTCTTAAAAATTCGAGTACGGACGATGACATCAATAACAACTGCAACGACAACTACAGCAATAATAACAACAACAACAACAACAACAACTCAGTAACCAGACCACACACTTAAGAAGTCCTAGAATATTAATCTAATTCAATCAAAAAGGCAGCGCGCTTCGAATTGATACAGTTAAATCTATGGTGTCCTAAGTCGCTGAAGTAGCAAATTAAGGACGATTTTCATACTTTTAGGTTAGTATTTGAAAAATCACAACGCTGCTGGCTTAACAATTTCACACAGTATTTACTCTCTAGTGATCAAGAATATTCCTTCAAACCCTGCGTCTTTTAGTCATAAAAGCAGTTTTCGTTATGTCCGCGTTCTTTTTTTTTTTGAGTAAAAGAAAAGCATAGCACACATTTCAGTTCCTACGAAGACAAAGATGATTACTGATGCAAACTCCAAAGAGGAAAGGAATTCAAAACACGCTGTTGAACTCGTTGATGGAAATTAAGGGGGTAAAATAAAATCGATTAAAAAAAAATGACCACATCCATTTTGAATGGTCTTTTCTGTTGTAACCTTGTCTTTGATTCAGAAGCACTGCATTATTATTATTACCTTTTTTATCGCCAAGTTCATACTTGAGGTAACCATATGAAGCATTGATTTCCTATCCAGTTGATAGAAATGTTTCCTTCCTTCAGATTGGAGTATCTTTTCACCCAACTGAGGAGATAGGATTTCAGCAAATCGTGACAGACGACGAGACTAAGTATTCCAAAGAGCCCCTCCACACTCAAGTGACAACCACTGTTCCAAAAGGTTAGTACTACCTACAAGAGCCATTTTCAATCATATTTTCAAAGTAATCCGTTGTATTTTTGTGATTATGGTCCACAAATCTCACGCCATTCTCTTACCAAATCAGACGCAAAACCAAAATCAATCATGACTTTTCCTGCGTTTTTGGTGGTTTGCCTATTTTTAGTTTGAGAGCTCATTAGTAAATAAAGATGTAAACCTTTGTTATGGTTGTCCGTCGTGATTACTTTGGTTTTGGTTTTTCGATTGTCAGTTGAAAACTGCTCTTCAAGACTTCTAGTCTAAGATGTGGTAATTAAACCTTTACATCTATCCACCACTTCCTTCTTCCTCAAATCTCAGAGGTGATTGACGTGAAACGATATTAGTTGCATGGAGCCCAAACTGAGGCATTATCGTTTTTCTTATGCTGGAGTCACTCCCAATGTGAATTCGAACCATAGTGCCGAGTTATTAACATTGTGAAAAGGACGATGACTCTTCTTAACTGATGTATTTACCACGATGAATACCATACTCTTAGTTATGTGATTTAAGTTTGTCCCGCTTGGTTTTTTTCTCTATTTTTGTTCCATTCCTTACATGTGTTTTCGTTCCATTCTTTTTTATTCAATGCTAATTAATCGGGGCATTTGGTATCACTCACACATTGCTAATATTTTAAAATCTATCTTTACAGGGATCTTTGCAGCAGCACAGCTGGTTCTACCGAAAGATTGCAAAAGTAACAAAATGTGCGAAATCTCTAAGATGATCCTAGGCCCCACAGTACAGTTTTACATCACTGGTCAGTTTGAGTGGAAGAAAATACGAATAGCCACAGGCTTTGCTAATATCCGACTTTGGGATGGGCTTTACTTCCATAAGCTAGAACTCTACGTAGAGGTAAGAACTGACCTTAAATAATTTTGTAAAGTTCAAACAAAATTGTTCTATGACCGACATATCTATAGAGAATGCTGCTGTATTGTTTTATACAAACGTATCAGCTAAAAAATCCATCCCATGGCGGACACCCAGGGTCATCCATTTGAATCGAATGATCAAATGCAAAAAAAACAACCATTGGTCTTGAAATGAATCTGCACCAAGGATTAAAAGGAGTTGTGATTCGCCGGTTTCTCTTCGTTTTAATTTTTCGTTGTACATGTATTTTCATTTTTTAGGCAGATTGGAACGAGACAACAAAGCATATCAAGTTGGGATTCCGCGCGGATATTAAAGTACCTGTAAATGGGGAAATTGAACGTGACGGTATCATAGCGCCTAACAACGAACTGTTTTTGTTTGGTGTATTGGAATACGACTTCTTACAAACACAAGTTGCTGGAAAGCTGGGAATGCGTGGCATGTGGAGAAAAGCTTACACCATTCCTTGGCTCTCATTTGGAAACATCTTCGTTGGGTAAGTTGTATTGAAAAATTAATTACTTTTGATGGAGCCAGCTATGCTTGGCAGTGAGAAAAAAAATCACTTGTATGCTCCCAGAATGGTTACATCTTTTTTTTTAACAACGACCACAATCTGCATATGAGAATCTATCCGACTATCGAAGTTATTGCGTTCATACAGGATATCCTTAAAATCTTTCGGTAAAAAAACCTACAAAGCCACAAAAACGCTCATGGCGTGGAAACCTACACCCTAAATGTTTCTTTAGTGGTGTTCTAAACTGTATGCAAATACAGCAAATTATTTAACGACCGAGGAATGATAATGAGATAAGTGATAAGTTTATTATTACTTTTCACCCAAACGTGGGACAAAGAAGAAAGGTCTTGGCTTCCCTCAAGACATCGCGTCTTGATTTCGCGATCTCATATTCGACCCTTGAGCGCCAGACAACTCGATTGTGAGTTAAGCCACTGTAACGTAGTTCCTAGCAAGCGTTCGGCATACTCTTAGGAGCAGAAACATTGAAATCATCAAGTGCGCAAATAGAATAGTTTCCTTATTTGTAAACTGGCTCACCTAATCTCTGGTAATCCCGTTCACTGACCGTGATCTGCAGCGACAAAAGTGTTACTCCACTGCCTGCCTTTGGCCAGTTGTTTTAATGCCTTTCTCTGCAAGTCTCAGTAGAGTGCCAACATGTATTTTTTAACCAACCATGCTAAAGCCAGCCTAAGGCTGTCAAGTAAAATGATCTCGTGGTGTTAAAATAATTTCCCCCAATGTTACTTCCTCGCTTAACTAGATCGCCTCGGTTGTTCTTTGTTTTCTTATGAAGCCCAGCCTGCTATGAACAGCACTCTTTGATTTCGATCGGTAGGTTGACGTATAAGGTCGGCGCGCCAATACCCGTCACTGGTGTACAGTTTGGAGCTCGAGTCGAATTTGGAGTCGACTGTCTGATACCAGCGGATTTTAACAACGACGTAAGTAAAATACATAAGAGTGTACACAATTTCCTCAGAGTCTTTACACAATTTGAAGCTATACTCTTTTTCTGAGTAGACATTACAATCTTTCTTTAAAAAAACTAAAAAATTTCGGGCTTCGATGGCATTCGACCAGGTGCCTCCAAGAGACAAAATACACACTGTCACCAATTGTGCCAGGAAGCAGCGAGATGGCAGTAGACCCAAACTGGTATTGAGATGTACAGGTTCGAATCCCGTCAAAGCCTGAAAAATTCAGGCTTGTTCGCAAAACGCCAAAAATCAATCCCAAAAGCTGGGTCAATTGTCCGAGAAACAGGTTTCGTTTCATTTTGTGAAATATCGTTAAAAAAACATCTGTTATTTGACGATATGGTTTGAATATTTCCAACACAACCATTGGCTACTCCAGATTCAAATAATTCATATTTTGTGTATCACTTAGGGTCACTGCTTTGGTGGTAGCGCATACATCGGTGTCGGTGAACCACAGTTCTTCTATGCATCTATTACCGCCCTAACCTTGGGAAAGATAATAAGGCTTCTAGGGTTCACCTTTCAACTTCCACCCCCAGTCGCAGAATCGGGTTTTCCGGAAGGAGCTGAGGTGAGTCGACTCATCTAAAAGAAGTTTTATAAGGATATTTCGAGTAGATTCTATAGTTATAGATTTTGCAAATCGCCTTCATTCATATTTTGTCCGTAGGAATTATTGTTTCGTCTAATTTCTCCAAAAATGCTTTGTTTTATTATTAACTAACTTAATTTTTTGGTATAACTAGTTGAGTAGTTTAGACTTGTTTTATCATTTGAAACGCAACGTTTTCCTATCATTCGAAAAAAGAGTTAATTTTGAGTCTGAGCATAATGGCACGACTTTAACAACTTTTTCATGAATCATATTCGTTCACAAAGGAAATATTTTCGTTTAACCCCGCAAACAGCTGACAGCAAACAGCAAGAAATTAAATTCCTTGCCTGAAAACATTTGCTCAATTGACACTTTCGACCAAATCAAAGTAAAGTCTCAGCCAATGACCTTACATTGTATTATAGGTTGATGATGAGAATTCAGTTTTAGATTAACCCTATATAAATAGCTCCCATGAGTGATCAAGACAGAATTTCTCCTTAAAATATCAATACAGTGTCGTGTAAACCAGTAATAAGAACAAAGGAAACTATAAGTTGGGGGATTATTGGTTGATCTGAGAAAAACTTCGCCAAACGATCATCATAACAATTGTATGGCAGACAGTAAGGAGAATTGCTGAAAACATCTTGGGAGTGAAAGGGATGATACCCCAGTAAACGGTCATTGTTAATACATTAAAGCAGAAGTATAATCAATCTGTGAAATTTCAGTGCGACGTTTCAATATTTTCAGGGTTCGTATTCTACCGCTGACGTTGATTTGCGTATCGCTGGTGGACCATACATTTACGAAGGATTCATGATCAAAGGACGGGTCAACATCCTCGGATGGGAAATATACGCTCACGTCAAATTGTCATCAAACGTTAGTTAATTATTTCTTGATATTATTTATTCATTCGCGACATTTAGACAGGCTGGCCCAGTTCAGCTTAAAGCTGTGTTAAATAGGGGCCTAAAAATAACAAAGCCAAACCACAACACCAGGAGTACGTTTCAGAACCCTTTGCGGGAGGTGGTAGGTTCATTTACGTCCCATGCTAACAAGTACAGAGAACATGAAGGCAAAGGGGCTTAAAGTTTATCGCATGGCAGTCAGGCGCTCTACAAGAAAACCAACTATTTAAGATAACGAAGAAAGAAGACTAAAAAAGTTTATACACTTATACCAGTACTGCGCTTTCAAGATAACGTAGAAATTTGTAGACTAACTTGTACTTTCGAAATCCGGCACATGGAGGATAGAACTTGTTTCAATTTTTCCTAAGGTGCTCCTTGAAGATTTCTCGGCTCTACTTCCACCGAGCCTCGTTCCATAACCCTAAAGGAAAGATTAAATTGGATGTTAGCATGTTTTTTGCTAAAAATCTCGTTCACACGATTTTTGTACAAAGAGATCTTCAAATTCTTTCTTAGGAAACTTTCAACTTCCGTTTTCTATATATCAAATACCCTTTGCCATATTAACTAAGGTTAGAGTATTGTTCCAGGTCGTTTTTGTGGACTTGAAGCCTGACCCAATAGATTTCTTCGGTATAGCTACAATAACTCGCAGCCCATCAGACAGCGAAAATGGACCTTGGTTCTATGTGGATGCCAGGAAGAATCCACCTTTTATTGAGGTAAGTACTTTCTCCATCACGAACTAAGGGCCAGATTATTCAACAAACTTCGGCCTTTAGCCAAACAGTTACACAAACGAATGAAGGGGGGGAGGGGGTAAGTATCTAAAGGAACTGTGGTGCTCAGTCGGTGGGTGATATTACAAGATAAATATTTTCTATCAGCTGAATTGATAATGTAAACTGGCTGCTGTAAAGACTTTCTATAGCTGACGTTTCTGCTTGATCTTTTCACGCAGGCGTATGTCGAGGGTTACACATCGATGTTGGGAATTTCAACTTATTGTCGCCTGAACCTAACAATGACTCGCATGGAGCTGCTGATCCAAGGAAATTTCCTGAACCTTATAAAAGCGGAAGTATTTTTGTCAGCAAGTTACTCTTTAAGCTTCGCTTCGGCCTCGTTTTATGTTAGAGTCACAGTGGACTTGAGCGGAATTAACGATGTAAGTGGCATTACTCCTCACCTAATCTGTAACTTGTGCATCGCACTATAAAAATGTAATTTTATTTGTTTGCTATTCAGGATTTTTTGTAGATTAAATATTTTAATCAGGTCATAGGTTCAAACCATTAACATGAACTGTTACACTACTTTGACTTAAGTGGGAGACGCGACCTTATAGTTCCTGCGCTGGAGTGCGAGTTGAGAGGTCTGGGTTTGAGACCTGGCTGGTTCATTGTATTGTGTTCCAGGGTGAGACCCCTAATTCTCAGAGTGCTTCTCCTTACCTAAGAGTAATACTGGGTTCTGACGAATTGTCAGGAAAGCCTGATGAAATTCTGTGGCCCTAACCTTGTCATTCCATCAGCAGTGGAATAGTATTACACAAGGCGCTAAATGCTATTGAAACTCAGATAAGCTCCGGTTGGATGAGTCACTCGGCTGCAGTAAGACTTAACCTAAATTTAGTTTAACTTACGCTTCATCAGCCCATGCTCATTAGTTGCAATCATCTGTCAGGCTTTAGACGCAGCTGCCAAATCAGTAAAAGAAGCCTTCGATGCAGCAGAGAAAGCTTTAGCTGATGCCAGAAAATCTGTTGTCGAGAAGAAAGAGGAATGTAAAAGAAAAATGTCTCTCAAATGTGACAACTGTAAAAGTCTTAAATGCAAACAAGCTGAAAAAAATTGCAAAGGATTTTTGGATGAGGCAGGCAAATGGATCGGCGGGGTTGTTGATGCTGCCGGTAAGTTCAGTTCAGATAAAATTTAGATTAGGAATGTAAAATAGCACTTATCAGCTGCTCTCCTTCATGTAAAAGCTTTACTAAAGCAACTTTTTCATTGTTATTATTATTATTATGATTATTATTATTATTATTATTATTATCATTTTTATAATGCAAACACCATTTACGATAAAATATAACTTAAAATACCAGCAATAGTACCAATACTTACATTCCTTTCTTCATTCTTATCATTCTTAGTTCAAAATTACATTACAACAGTTATATTCTAACCCTAAATTAGAGCAAATACGAGAACGCGCACAACAAGTTTCACCGGTCAGCTCTTTAACGTGGACACAGGCTTAGGTTTCGATATCTACATCCAAGCCCATTTTTTTATCTTCTAGGAAAATGGGTTAAGAAGACTTTCAAAAAGATTGGCAAGGCTTTGGCCCCGGTGAGTAATTGTAACTGTTGCCTGGGTTTCTAATTAATTGGTTGCTGGCTATGAAAGTGCTTCTTCTCACAACACATTTTAACCAAGTTATCTTATGAATTTTTGAAACTTTGAAACTCAATTGCCATAGCAATTCTTTTATCCATTATAGTAAGTTTCTCTTCATCGAAAAGGTAAGTTAACTTACAATGGAACGAGTGTTTAAATATGAAGAACACAGTCTCGCGGAAACGTCATGTGACAGGCATCTAATACCTCCCACAAAGGAAGTCATAGGATCTCATAATTACATGGTTGTAGTTCTTGGTCTGACAAGTTATGAATGCTTTTTGAACGCGTCGTTATAAATTTATTGGTATTGAATTAGGCTATAATTATGTCATATCTGTTCAAATTAGGTTGGAAAGGCGATCAAAAAAGTGTTCAAAGGTTGGAGAAAGAAGCGAGAGTTGGATAACATTCGTAATGAACAGTTCGCCATCCATCTTCGCCGTCGCCGGTTTATCAGCAAAGTTATTTGCGAAGGACTCGTTGGTGGTGGATGCTCAGGTTGGTGGTCTTCTCGTTAAAGCAGTAGACACACATGTGCATTAAAGATTTGGTGTCTCGGGTTATTGTGTAAGAAGACGTAGCATCGACGAATCACTATGAACAGGTTATTTACAAGAGGTCTGGCCCAAATTGTGGTTTTACGCAAGCGGTGGGCTTTACGTATTCTCTATGAGAGGGTTGTTCTCATTAAATGATTGCCCTTCCACTGCCAGCTCTCGGCCCTCTTGACACTTCAAAAAAAATTAATGTTCCGATAAAAGATTCAGCTAACTTCAAGATAGTTTAAAACGCGGTTTTGTCAACGACATTTGCTGAATCAAACTATTTTTCACGATCACAACTGCTTTCTGTTGCCAGCGGTTTCAAGCCTGTGCGAGGGAACATGCAAACTAGTGGAACATTTAGCAAAGGGTCTGTGTAACGTGCTCGACGTTGCTATTGGTTTTCTGAAGTTGACTGAGGCTGCCACTAGATGGGTCGGAAAGGCTATCAATTTCATTTTAACGGCATTTAGAGTAAAGAGGTAAGAATGGTTTCCAATGCTATAGTATCCATCTGTCTATCTATATATCTACCTATCTACCTACTTATCTATATAACTTTTTATCTATCTGTCTATCTATCGATCTTTCTACCTGCCTATCTGTTTATCTGTCTATCTATCGATCTATCTGTCTATCTAGCTGTATGTTTGACTATATAACTTTATATCTATCCGTCTATCTATCCATCTTTCTATCTGTCTATCTTCTATCTCTATCCATTTATCTATCTATCTATCTGTCTATCTAACTTTGTATCTGTCTGTATCTTTATCTGTATGTGTCTGTTTACCTTGTCATCTCTTTATTGATTTATTGAACCATTAGATCATAATTTTCGACGTTCTCAATCATTTATCTCCTCACTTTTATACCCATCAGTATCTTGATTGAATTTACACTGTCTGCTTACGCCTCGGGTGGATATCCTGACATGATATTCACGGCCGGTGTTGACTTGGTCATATTTGGAAAGGATCTCTTCCTTGCTGTTAGCTTCAACCTTCGAGATCCAGTGGGAAGCCTAAGGGCGACATCTGATAAATCAACAGAATGGTACAAAGACAAAACGAATCAGAAGGACGCCACAGACACTGAGACAGACTATTACAACTCCCCGAACCCGTTTGTTGACCTCGAAATGTCAGGTGTGTACTCGTGGATTTAATTTTACCCTTTTGGACCATAATAGTGACCAGTACTTTATTCCTCTATATAATCAAACATTAAAGCCACGAAATTAAGTAAATGATCACCAACCAAAGACGCTCTTGATTATTGATCAAATTCTCCTTGTTAGCATCTTAGAAAATGTATAGAGAGCATTATGGAGAATATGCATACTGATGTAAGGGTGTAAAGGGTTAACTCTACATTTTACACGACTTCTCTTCATGTACATCAAAACTTAAAAGAATCCCAAGTTTCGTTCGTGAAATGTTTGAAAACAAATGAGAACATGCCACTAGCCAATGAGATTTAAAGCTACCTTGCAAACATAGAAAAAACTCAAAAGAGCAAATTGCCTAGGTTCATCTTGAAAACTAAAACAGAAGAAATTAAACGTTCTAGAGGATACGTCTTCGTTAACCAAATTAATAGACAAAACTTGCCATGCACTATAATGTGGAAAATTTAGTTAGCCATCCCTGCTCGTTATCCATCAATTACTTACCAAGTCCTATGTTTCCTATCCTTCCCAGAGCAATTCTTGATCGAAAACCAGCAATCAGCAACTGATGATATTTTCGGTCCTTGTTTGTACGTGGACTCAAAGGACGATGGTGCCCTTATCAAAGTAACGGGCTGCAACGAAACTGATGAGAGACAGAATTGGGCTTATACCCTTAAAGGACAAATCCAGGTTTGTAGTCTCGCATTGCGACTATAAACTTAATACTCAAATACTCCTTCAATGTCTTCAATCAGAATTTTTGGTATGTTTTTTCATAGTTAGCAGGGATGACTGGCTAAGAAATCTGTTAAAATTCAGAGACAAAACAACATTGTCAAAATCTATATCGGGATATTTCTGACCAATCGCATTATTTGTAGTTTACTTTTGTGTTCTATCATTCATCTCGACTAAATATGAGTATTTGTCAGTAAAATTGACTTAATGTATGCTGTTAGCACCTTGATTATTCATCATGAATTGCATTTTCGCAATTTTTGTTTACTTAATAGAACACTTGGTCTGATTTGTGTATCGATACAAACGGAGCCTCTCAGGGATCGAAGCTGATACAAACTAAATGTGACCCGGCCCAAGACGATCAGAATTTCCAGTGTGACTTGGCAGTTAGAAGTATCAAAAGACGAAGAGCTAATCAGTGCTGGACTCTCGGTAAGTGACATACTAATTCAACTGAAACAGCCGCGTGTCTAAGGAAACCTCCGTTGAACGTTTATTATATAGCTTACATTTGGAGACAGATGCACAGAGGAAAATCTTCCCAACACAACGGGTTTCCATCCACTGTGAAAGAAAATAAAAAAAAATGTTTTTCTCAACCCACCGTCCATGCCGTAACCCGATTAGCTCTTGCGACAGAGCAAGATGTTTCGAATTTAAAATGACTGAGCAGACTTGATATGAGTTTCCTTTCCGAAAAAACTTTCTCCAGAATCAAGACACGCCAAGGGCTATAGGTCGTAAGGTTTCGTCTCCCACTTATCCATTGTTCAGGAGGGGACGTTAACCGAAAGAATTGGAAGTTAAACTAAAGTGTTGTTTCCAATACCGCTTCTTCAGGTTTGGTCTTCGCTAAATTGGGCTATGCTTACTAAATCAAAGCTACACATGTCTTACTTTCTTTATTTTATTTTCTTTAATATTTATTAATTATTGGTTTACTTATATGCTTAACCACCTTTTGTTTTTCGAAGGCACCACGAGTCTTGACGGACCAGGTTCGTTAGTTCACCTCGGTTCACTCAAATGCATCCACCCAAGCGGTGGTGGAACTAATGTTGTTGAAGGAAACAAGCTAGTGATCTACGCTGGATGCAGTGAGAGCAGGTGATAATTTTATCTTTTTTTTTATAGCTCATAAAGCTCACACGTCACAATCGGAAGCGAGCACAGCAAAACTGAATTATCCGCGAAACACTAAAAGGAAATTTTTAAACTGACGTAAGCCAGAAGAGCCTTATCTTAATCACAGAAATAAAAAATCACTCAAAGTTAGTTATCTCAGCTGGGCACCGCTGGCCCCCAGCCCCTCCCCCAAAATTCTGAAGATACTGGTACTACGCTCATCAGGAAAATATACAACCGGCGCAGGATCAATTGTTTTCAAGCGGGTTCAATCTGCGTTAAATATAAATGTTTATGTTCTTTTACCAGATTGGAGTTTGTTTTAGACAACGGCAATCTTAAACATACCCTGAGCGGGAAATGTGTGCAGCCAATGGGAGCAATTGCAGATGGTGTGGCCCTTGGTTTATATTCATCATGTGGGGGACATCAGTTTAGTTTCACTACAGGAGGATCCCTTCAACACGTCGGTAGCAAAAAATGTGTGAACACGAAATCAGGGGTATGTCAAACATTTTACTTTTAACGGATTTTTTCAAAGTTTATCAGCGCAAGGGGCAATGGTAGCTTTCTATTACATGCTCCTGTAAGGAGGAGTACAGGGGACTTCCATGCCCTTTCTTGCTGCATTCAGACCCTGGTATATGGTCCGAAACTGAAAACTAACAACAATAATAATAATAATAATTACGATGATTTCCTTTTTAAACGCGATGAGGATTTGAGCTTTGCAGCTTGTGGGGTCGCATTTATATACATAAATGAATAGATGGTTGCCTAGACAATAATTTTAAGGTAAGGCCTAGAAAACTACCTTACAATATACGATCGTAAAATAAGTATCTACAATGTAAGGTCCTATAAAATGTTCAAATTTATGATTAATAATTTACTTAGCTGATGATATTTTTTAGCTGGAACCTTCTTATATGTATCAACTGAACTTGCAGGCTGTATCAAAACAGTAATCTGTTGCAAAATAGTTGAACTGCAGCGCTGCTGAAACATTCAGTGTTAACAGTAGAATAATAAGGGACGATCCATTTTCGTCGCATCCTGTTTGCATAAGGGCGCCTATAAACCCTCTCTTCCAGCTGAATGAATATACTACATTACTTGGTGGATTTACATGAGCCAATGACAAGCGATTATGACTTATTTAACTATTATTGTGCAACTGTTATATTTAAGGTTATGCTTCCAGCAAATTCAGATGAAATTGTTTTGTCCAGCAACTGTGAAAACAGTGCCGTCACCGTCAATAAAGAACATCTCAAGTTTAGCTTCATACCAAGTAAGATGTTTTTCTTTTGCAGCAAGTCAGGACATTCGTGCATTTCTGTTGCGCATCTCTTCGTGTACGCACACGCTGGTCAATAATTAGCTGTGGACTTTTTTATTGGATAACTTCATGTCCTGTTCAATCAGTCTTAAAAGCCTTTGTCGCCTTTACAGTTGTTGCAATGAGATAGGATAAAGGAAAATCGGGCCAATCAATGTACGGCCAAAAGCATAAAATCGAGTAGAATGTTAGAAAAGTGACAAAAGGCAGAAAGTATTGAGATTCTTTATTGATCATGCGACATGCAACACAAAAAAGATAAATTACCTTTCGTCTTAATCATCTCTTCACAGCTGATCCTTATATTCACTTGGACAAATGTGGATATTTTGACGCTGCCCGTCTCGACCAGAGATTTGAGGTCATGGATGAATCAATTTTAAGCATTTGTAGCAAGTTCTCCAAAAGTAAGTGGCAGATGAATTTAACGAATTACTTAACGTTCTACCCCCTACTAAATCTCGCCAATATCACAACGTATTTCTCGCTCGAGATGAATGCCCTATCACATTTTAAATATCGAGGTGCATCGTTCAATTTTTTTTTAATTGACAAAATCAAAACTGCAGAAACCAGTATTAGTAAGATAGGTTCCGAGCGCTGTACATAAAAGTTCACAGCAAAGATCTCTTTTGTTTCATTTGATAAAACTTATGGAGGTTATTTGGAGCTTTTTATCTGGCTTTTGGGTCATTTTTTTGAAAACTGGTTTGGTGAGTACAACTTGTGTTAATTCCCTTCTGGTTTGCCGACTAGATCTTGCCTACAAGAAGACAACTGAGCAATCAAGTACTAATTACAACGGATTCAGCAGCAGAGCTGTAGATGAGGTGTACACACCTTACTATGACAGTAAATCGTGCATGCACACCAAGAAAGAACAAAATCCATGGTGGAGAGTTGATCTTGGACGAGAATACATTGTAACGGGTATGTCCTGATGTTTGTTGGAGTAATGGCATGTATAGCTGTCTCTAGTGACAAAGCTCATTGCCATTGATGGTTTTAATGGTTATTTCTCTACATTTTTTTGAAGCTTTTATATCCGAAGTTAGTCCGCTGCCATAAATAAAATTAAATTCTCAGCTCCTCGATATGGTTTTGTAGGGAGCGGAGATACTACTCCTTGAAGCCGCTTTCTCCATGCTTCACCATAGAACAGTCGTAAATTAAAATAAATTATCAAAATTCTAAAGCACGATTTCAATATCTGCCCCTTTTACCTTTCAGACGTGATGATCGTAAATCGTTATTACGACTTCGAGAAACTCACGAACTTTGATGTCAGAGTTGGAGTCAACAAAGACAATCTGCAGAACCCCACATGTAGTGACCGCGTGAGGACTGTGGGCCAGGGACAAGCTCTGCGGCTTCAGTGCGATCCACCAATCCCTGGACGTTATGTTTCTGTTCAGATGTTTGGAGAAGGAGAACTTTCAATGTGTGAAGTAACAGTTTACTCCAGAGTCGGTGAGTGTGTTGAAATTATTTAGTGAAGACAGGACGTATTTTAAAGTTGACTGTACTAGTAATTCACTATTAAAAGCAGATTTCTAGCTCACAGATCGATGTGTTTGTGTGCATAGTTTTGGAATCTTTCAGAAGGATAATGTGACAGCAGTGTTTTGAGGAAAAGAAGGACTCATCTAGAATAAAATTACAAGGATAGCACGACATCATGAAATCTGAGTATCTGGATCATCGCTAGGGTTGTATATGATTAGTTCTATTATTACATGCAAAGCCATTGTGATACCACGAAACTATCGCGTCTAGAGAACTTGCCAAGATTATTTCTCTCTAGCAGAGTAAATGAACCAAACAAAAATCAGGGAACAACGTTTTTCTATCTGCTTCAACCCTCAAGTGATCATCGTGTATCCTCTTCTTGAAATTCTAACACTCTCTGACAAACAATTTGTAAGAATATGAAAAGTTGTAGTCTTGAAATAAGTGCAAAAACTATCTTGACTCAACTAATCTACAAGTTAAAGTATGTATAACACTTAGCTGTGAGTGAGAAACAAACATGCGGCTTATGGAAAGCGAGTCATACGGTTAATGTAGGTTGGCTTTTTCTGATTTTTTGGCTTGTTTTCGAAGAACTTATAAATCTATCTATTTTATTTGTCTTTTCCACATTTCCAGGTGTCATGGCGGATCTTTGTCAACTGGACAATGGCGGCTGCTCACAGGTTTGTTATAACCTGTGTAACCTGAAAGTCCAATGTGGCTGTTGGCCTGGTTACACTCTGGCTTACGATAGCAAAACATGTATAGGTGAGTGAGCGCTGTAAAACTACAAATGATAAAAGATAAAAAGATAAAACTACAAATGATAAAAGATAAAAATAATCGTCAAATAATAGATAAGGCATAGGCTTAAAAAAGGATGTTATTGTTTAACAGCTTTGAGTTAGTTAGATCCTCTAGAGCAAGATTATTAGAATTAATGAGAATTTCGAACGTTTTAAAGCCTTTTCTAAAAACTCAACCAATATAGAAAATAACCTCGGGTATCCATTGGCCGTCCGTTGAGGAACTCCTTAACAAGTGTTAGATGCTTTAGGCTATCTGCTCTTTCATCTAATTCATTTCGGTGGAAACCTGCTCATAGGTGCTAAAACACAGAGGCACGTGCAGGTCACTTTTTTTACGTTTTACGGCAAACAGATACCCAATTTTAGCATTTTCGTAAAATCTGCGTCCTAAGAAATCATGAGCGTCAAATTAATTTCGTTGGGTTGCACCTGTCCAAGGATTTAAATATTCATTCTTTTTTTAACCCTTAGACAAGGATGAATGTCAAACGAACAACGGTGGCTGCGATATCGCTAACGGACTGTGTGTCAACACTCCAGGAAGTTATCATTGCAGATGTAAACTTGGATACCAACTACAAGAAAACAGCGAAGTCACGTGCGAAGGTAAAAAAAATCATATACAATGTGCGTTAATCGACTTTTATTGTAACATTATGGACGCCTGAAGCAGGTATCAAAGATACTCGTGTTTACACAAGGAATAATGAATTTGTAAACTGAGGCCGTTAGTAACGGCATTCAAAAATCGGAATGGAGGATTTCAAAGTTAAACGATGTTTGAGTATCAAAGGTGACAATTTTCTCCTTCAAGTACTTTTTGATTGAGAACCGTGAAACCAAAGCCAAATTATCCCAATGGTTGAGAAGGAAGCGCAAGTTTTACTTGACCAATCATACAACGTTGCAAAACTGAAGCAATCTTTACTTAGTTTGACCCTCGAAGGAAAACTGCATTATGTTGATGATTGAATTTATTTTTCTATTAGATTTCAACGAATGTCAACTGAACAACGCGGGCTGTGAACACATTTGTGCCAACAGTGAAGGCAGCTATAACTGTGATTGTAGAAAAGGGTTCAAACTGAAGGATGATAAATTTGGATGTGAAGGTAAATTTGGGATAAGATCCTTGTTTGCATTGGAAAAAAAACCAACAAGAATACGTTAATGCTTTTAGCATTATCACAAACGATTCGGTTAATGATAAGCATTATGTATTGATCAGTGATGGGTGGGTTGGGCGAAAGTTGGAATGAATCGAAGGTATGCTTCTTTCTTCTTTTCGTTTTTTTTTTTTTTTTAGTTTAAAGCGGCACTTGAACCCAAGCGTGAAGCGTGTTTAAAGCTAATGGCAGACATGAATTATTGTTAGTTGTGTTGTACAGATTTAAGAACTGGTTTAATTTCATGTTTACGATCTAAGCAATACAAGCGGCAGCTGCGTTTCGGGTTTCCTAACCCTAACCTCCCAAGTTTTCTAAACTGCAAATGGCAATTTCAACTTAGTGAGCATTTCTGGCTTGATCTTCTTTCCGTAGATATTGACGAGTGTGCGGAGGCAGATCAGGGAGGCTGTGAAACGAAATGTTCAAATTACGAGGGTGGATATTACTGTACCTGTGATGTTGGATACAGACTAAGAGACGACGGAAAGACTTGCGAAGGTAAACACGAGTTGTGTTTCACTGAGCTATAATTTTCACAAATCTTATAGCCCCATATTGTCGTTTGTTGCTATTTCTGTTGCTGTCGTTCAATTTCTTGTTGTCGCGTTTTTCTTTTTTGTGTGGATGTTAACGTACCCATTAGAATTATTATTGTCGTAATAAATCATTATCATCATCGTCATCATTATCAAAATCGTCCGTATTCTTTCGTTTTCCTTGCCTTCTTTCTAATTCGCGATCGCTTTCAGGAAAATTGCAGTTGTTAGTGCTAGAGTTACAAACCTATCAAATGTGTGGTACTGCCTCAAACTAGTAGCAGTTTGGTAGATATAGTGTTTAGCAATTTTCTCTATTCGTTACTAACATAATTCCTTTTTTTTCTTATTCATTTATCTTAGCTCGTTTTATGTTTAAATACCATGCAAAGAAATGCTATTATCTTTAGGTTCATACTGAAAAAAAAAAGTCGAAAATTTCGAAGCGTCTCTTTTTTAAGGCCACAGGCATTTATAATTTTAAGGCGTGAAAAAAGAAATGGCCTAATAATGTAGGTCTGCTGAAGTATACCATTGTTATCCGGGAAAACCCAGAACAAGCTACAAATGTGACCATTTCATCTCAAATTTCATATCATTTTTAGAGATCTACTGTCCGGCTTTGGAAGCGCCATTCCGGGGCCAGATCACACCAGAAACCTGCACTGATGACAGAGAAAATATTGAGCGCAACACACAATGCACATATGGCTGTGTGGCTGGGCACAATCTTGCCGGTGGTGATCAGTTGTTGACCTGTCAGATTGATGGTTTGTGGCAGGGGACTGTACCTTACTGTAAACGTGAGTAACGTAAAATAGAAATAAATTTAAATTTAGCGATGGGAATATCCACTAGGCGGCTCTTCTTGTCCACTGTTTGGAGATCAAATTGGAATTTGAAATGTTGTTTTTTTTGTGGAGGGAAAAAAACAAGATGGCCAGCGGAAAAACCATCGGAGCAAGGATGAGAACCCGCAACAAAATCAACTTACATGTGACGCCAGGTCCGGGAGTCGAATCCTGGTCACAATCTTTGAGCGCGTGGGAATTTTCATCTAGTGTGTTAACAAACAATTTATTATTTTGTGGAACGGTTTTAGAAGTGTCCAGAAGGTTATTTGCTCAGTGGACATGATGCTGTAGACATTTTCTTGTATTCTTCTGGTAGAAATATTAATTTTTAAGAACACGTGTAAGCTGCTTGGTATAGAAATTAGAAATTTAAGCTATGTTATAACGATTAAATTTACTATGAACATACTAGGATACTATAATACCGCTATACGTATAATTCTGACAGACTTTAAGTTAAGCAGTTTCCACAAGCAGAGATGAAGGGCTCAGAAAAGCCGTGTTTATTTCAAGGTATCGGAGTTATGTTTGTGCTGGCGTGAGCTAAGGAGAGTTCATTGCATTGAGCTTTCGAGAAGAAATGATCCATAAGTTGGAAATTCTACGCTACCCTCAGGTCAAACATCCTTGCTCTTGTTACAGACCACTACAGGTCCGAGAACGATGGCCACACTTTAACTTTGTTGCATTTGATTCATCGTATTCAACACGGTATACTTCACATCCTCGATAACGTCATTTCTTTTTAACTCTTCTCAGCGGTTACCTGTCCAAAGTTGACTGTTCCAGACAATGGTGGAGTTATACCAGCTTCATGTTCGAAAACAGACATCGAGTATGGAATACGATGTGTCTTTTACTGCGACGACGGCTATGCGCTCAGCGGTCCAAGGTACACCACATGTCAGGCTGACCAGTCATGGAGTGAGTTAGCGTCGTTGTCTTGTGTCAGAGGTAAGAAACACTTCTATCTTATTGCTAATGAAAAGGAAAAAATGCATCGAAAGGAGAATCTGCAAAGAGAGTTTCAATAGCTAAATAGGAAATATTGTTTGGCAGTGGCATAACCACGGTCCAAGGGGCTGCGCTCCATCCACTTATTCTCGGTGGAACTTAAGAATGGCTTATTGGTTTTGTGGAGGAAGAAAACCAGAGAAAGCGGGGTAAAATCTTTAAGCAAAGGAAGATGCCCACTCAGCCCATGAAACGACGTAAAATTCAGGAATCAAGCCAGCGCTACAGCGGGCGGAGTCGAGCGCTTTCACTACAAAAGATGCAATTGCACCGACATGTCGGCTGATCCAAGTGCAGAATTAGTGATCGGCTGGAATAGATAGCTGGGTAAAATATTTTTTAACATTGCAGCATGCTTGCGGGCTTGCGGGCTTGGAAATAGGGGCTTATTGCCATGCTATTGTTGGTCAATAGCATGGTGATGCAACCATTAGTAACTCGCAGATTGAGTCATGATGATCCTCAAATATTTAAATTCCTTCTTTGTGATTGCAGTTTACACAGATCCATGGATCGCCTGTCCAATCGACAGAGTAGAAGATCTTGATCCAGACAAGTCCACCGTGGTGCTTGGGTTCAAATGGCAGCTTCCACGAACCAACATGAGAAATGTGACAGTGTCGCCTAGCAATTACGATGAAAATTATCCATTCCCTGTTGGCAGACATACGGTCACGTGGATAGGAACCAGTGATAGTGGAGCACAAAAGAGTTGTACTTTCCATATCACAGTGAACGGTAGGTGGATTATAGATTTTTAGAAAGAGTTTTAAAGATTTCTGAGTCGTGTTTTTTTCATTAAGGCACGAGATTTAAACTTAAAGAGAGTATCCGAATAGTAAGTTTGTCAGTTTGAGTTAGAATGGAATTTTTACGACTAAAGAAAAAAGATTTAATCTGTCCTCAAAATTTTTTTTTTTAATCCTTCCTTGCCCACAATTTTTTAAGGGTTTATTCTAAGTTATGCGATCCGCTGTCTGATCAAGATAAATAAAAACAGAAGAAGTTTGGAAACAGTGCTGAACGACTCTGTAATTCACAAAATCTCACATACTCTTAAGATGACACAGTTTATAATCTCTTGTAGATGACAAACTCGAACAAAGGAAACTACAATCTTCTTAATAACACATCAGGATAAAAACCAATCTACCTGAAGAAAAAAGTTATTTTGCCTGTAGCGATATGAAATTGGTTACGGGAGGCCATCATTAAATTATTTGTTATTGGTATTTTCTTTCCTCCTCATTTTAGATGTGACCCCACCTCAAGTCCAGAACTGTCCTGCAAGCATCGTAGAGCGTTCCAACTCCCTGCAAAAAGATATCTTTTGGACAGAACCAACATTCACTGACAACGTAGAGGTGGCCACCATTCAGTCAAATCGACAACCTGGCTTTTCTATGCAGACTTACACATCACTTACTGTACAATATACTGCTTCAGATGCTGCAGGAAACACTGTGTATTGTACCTTTAACATCACATTAGAAGGTAAGTTGCACTGTGTTCCTTTAAAGAACCTCTGAAGGTCAGAATGAAGACGAATAATGGGCAATAACTTCAATTCAAAACATATTAAAATTAAAACTTCAATTCATATGAAATTTTGGCAGAATGGTCTTTCTCTTTTACAATAATTTATAACATTTTCAAAGGGGAAGTATGATCGTTTGTCTCCAGACATGGTCACTTCGGATGAGGATCGTAACGTTTCGACTACATAATGCTGGTCTTCTTCAGGCCATGAGGTCGATTGAATGCGCGTCACCTATATACTGTTGTGCTCGGCTGTGATAAGACGGAATCCCATGCCTGGAGTCAGATCTGAACTTTGTTTAGGGGTCGTTTAAGGAACACTTTAGACGAAAGAAAAAAAACCAAAAACACAACACCAAAATTGGTCTTTCATTTGAGAGGTTCCAAAAATGATGATTTTGCAAATAATGGTATTATTGAAAAGCGATGGCAAACTGCATGGAGGCTGCTCTGGAAGGTTCAAGAAGAATTATTCCATCTTGTCCAACGGGTGGATCACAGTGCGCAACATACACGGCAGACTGACTCGCACTGCTCACTACAAAGTGGCTGTCGGTTCCAGGTTCAGAGAAGACCTCAATGAACGTTCTGACTATCCGCTTGGTGCTCTTAATGTATTTTTTGCCTACACCAAAACGCAGGGGCAGGTTGTCCGAAGCCCGATTCGCATTTATCCCAAGTTAAATTGCCTTATTTCGAATTTGTACGTCAAGAAAAATTGTTTTTATCCACTTTCTAGCAACTAGTCTAGCAACTATATATTAACTGACAACACTCCTCGTTTGATTTTTTTAGGTACAACTTGTCCCACAATTCCTAATCCTAAAAATGGGTTAGCTTCTAAGCTTGGATTGTTCCTACAACTCAGATGCAACACTGACTACTTCTTCAATCCATACCCACCTGGACTGCCCGGGCTATTCCAGAATCCTTTCTATAGATGTATAGATAACAAGTGGGTGTCACAGAATGACTTTGTGTCTATCCTACATCAAGCTCCGGATTGCATGAGTAAGTTTGCATAGTATTTTATAGTTTAATGGCCGCCCCCTGTGAGGGAAATGTATTTCCTTATATAGAGCCATCACGAGTCTTAATTTCGCAGATTGTCGACCACATAAAAATGTTGTACAAAATCTTTTACCTTCGGTTGAATGAAGAACACACTCTGCATGCTAGCCATGCGCAATATGTTTCGTATATTTCGTGTTTGCACCAGTTCAAAATCTCATCGAAAAGTATCTGCCTTGCAGATCTCCATATTCATTTCAATAAAAAATTGAGAAAATTTGAGAACCTTACGCTTTTTTATTTGTCAATGTTAATGGCAACAATTTCCGGTAAAGCTTTCAGTGATCTCCCACAACGTTTTTTTATTTTGCGAAAAATTCGTAACACAAAGACTTGCTTCACGATATACGGCGGTTTTGCATGAAAGGGCAAGATTTATCAGTGGAATAATTGTATGCATAGAAACAATGAATGGCTTTACATTTAACTTCAGACATAAGGGATCCGTTATGATCAAAAATAGTATGTGATAAGGCAAGATTATATTCTCTTGCATGAGGTAAATCTTGGGATCTAACGCCAGGGCAGAATTTTATTCTGTAACTAAACACTAACTGCAATTAAATATTATTATACATGAACTGAGCTTACTGGCGAGTTTTTTTATGTTGTTAACAGAATACGTGAATTACGAACAAGGTAAAGCTTGTGGGGATGGCACAATATTATTGGACAATGTTATTTGCTGTAAGTATTACCGCACAATAAATTAAAGTAATCGCGTGATTATCCAAGTCAGTGTTCAGAGGACTCCAAATAAAACTTTTTCTCATTAGCTAATTTAAAATAAACGGTAAAATACACTTTATATAAGCACTTTTTCCAAATAACGAGTTCTTTTATATTTGGCAGTGAATTGTCCGCCTGGGAGCTTCGGAGACAGCTCCACAAACACATGCAAAGACTGTCACTTAGGATATTATCAAGACGAGGAAGGCAAGCCCGAGTGTCAGCCATGCCCCAAAAATTACAGCACTGCCATCACTGGAGCTAAGAATAGAACAGATTGTAGACGTATGTTCATAAGAATTTACTATTTTGCCTTTTATTTTCCTAGTTTGTGCTATGCGGTCAGGGACTTTAGGGACTCAGTTACTTTACGGACTTGACGCCATACTTTGAAATCTAAATTGACGGAATAGTAGGTAGCGCGATTCTTAGCTCAAAAACCAGGGCCCAGTTGTATAAAGGGTGGATAACACTATCTAACGGATTAATCGCTATCTAGAGGATAAGTGATAGCAAAACGTTTAGTGTTATCCACCGGATAGAGATTTATCCAGTGAAAAGCGTTATCCGATCTTCGAACAACCGGGGCCAGGCCTTTCTATATTGTTCCCCGATATTTCTTATGATCAGAATTTGAAACTGTTTAAATGATGAAAATGAACTCGGCAAACAGATACCAATTTTTCGGCAATGGCTCCAACTGGACTTTCAGGAAACGGACTCCAGGTCCGAGAAATGATTGAATTGGACTTAATTGAGGAGGAAAATGAAGATCAGGAGTAATGATGATCATATCTTCTATTCATCATCGAAAAAATTATAATGGGATATTGGCGCGTAGCTAACCATAATTTGTCCTCTTGCGCATGCCCAACGTTAAAACGTTGTGTTGATTTGGTAGTCACGTGCACTTGATATAACAACACTGGTTCATTTTACACACAGTTAAAAGTACCTTGGCGAGTAATGGTTTAAGGTGGGGTCTGCGACAAAGACATTAGTTACAGAGCTGTTCCTCTGAAGCGGTGAAGTTGAATTTTACACCGTTCGATTTTTTTACAGCTATCTGCAGACCAGGTAGATATTCAACTAACAATGGGGTTTGTCCGTGCAAGAGGTGTCCTTATGGAACATACCAGGAAATTGAACAGATGACATACTGCAAAGCTTGCCCGATGGGAACTAATACAACAACAACTGGAAGGACTTCCATCGATGATTGTGTGGGTGAGTATTAGACATGTAGAGAGAATCAGTTTGGTAAACTTTCATTCGACTTGCGCTATCCTATCCACTGTTATAATCCATCCAATATTTTCGGTCTTGCACGAGCGTTTTGTGACTCAATTTACCCCAGCTGAAACTGGGGAATATCTGGTGATATTCCTCTAATGATGATACCAATTTCAAAACTTTGCGTCCGATGGGGGTGCCACATTGGAGCGATACGAAACATTTACCTACTCGCTACATTTAAGTAATAAAATGATTTTTTTTTTATAAAAAAAGGTCTCTTACATTTGTTCACAGCCAAAGCTCAAATCATTGGTACAGTGCCCAGTTCAGACTTCTCCGTCAAGGAAAATGATACTATTTCTATTGTTTGTAATGTCGATGGCAGTCCAGCTCCCACTGCTACATGGACTAAGACCACTGGTGAGTTTTGCTCTATACTAACAACTACTTTTTATCGTATGGTTGGGGAAAAGAAATTTTTAAGGGGGGGGGGTTGCATTGTTTTAGGGGGAACGGTGCTAACAGAGTTTAAAGGGGGGGGGCCTTAGAATATTGACTGCCGATGAGGGGGGACAGTCAGATTTTATCTTATTTTATTGTGGCATAGCCAAAATCCTTTCACCCCCCTCCCCCACAGCCAGGTGATAAATAATGACCGCTCCTAAATTTCAAATCATTTACACACCATATGAGACCTTATGCTCTTCACAGTGATGTTTGAGAAATTTACGTTTATTATTGAACTTTATTTTCAAAACATAGTGCCTGTTTTTGGTATCCTTACAAAATTTATTAAATTTATTATTTCATTTTTCGGCCAAGAAAATGCAATTTCAAATTTGAAAAGAACACCATGAATTTTTATTGTTAGGTGTGTGATGGGATATTCTCGCAGTCAAACCAGATATGAAGGGTTGTAGACTGCAATTTTTACGATGAGTTGTCTCGACTTAAAACGCCGCAGTTAACAACTGAGCTTGTTCATTGTTGCCATGAACGTAGAAACTTTCCGAGAGATAAATAATAGACGGTGTCCGACGGTATTTTAAAAGCACAAGCTTAATTTTCGGTCACAGTATTTGTTGCAAATATCTCACTAAAACTCTCGTAAATTTTGCCTTCGATTGGTAGAATTACACGCGTGATGACTGAGAAGAATTACAGCTTGGAAATTTTTTATGCCGAACATAATGCACATTTTTTATCAGATGAAACTTAACAACGACAAGTAGGAGTAAAAGAAGCGGGTGCGCAAAAAAGAGCGTAAGCCTCGCAAAGAGAGAACGAAGGTGCCATTTTCCTGGAAACCCTGTTTTTCGCTTATTGTCTCTTTCAGTCGTGTTCGTTGTTCGCAACCCCGCAACAGGCTCGATTTCAAAGAGATTACAAAGAGGAAAAATAGTGATAAAATTTGCCAAAGTTCTGTTAACATGAATATCTTTCGTATAGGTTCTCCGCCTTCATCGGACCGCGTAACAGTGAATTACATCTATGACTTGGAAGCGAAGCTTACTGGTGTTGAGTACGTCATAACTGCAGCGATTGCCTCTGATGCGGGAACTTATGAGTGCAGGGCTTCCAACAAACTTAACGTGGTTACCAAAACGATCGCCGTGTCTGTTACATCTGCGGCTTGAGTCAGTGACTGACAAGGTATGAAATTAATCGTTAACATATTAACTCTCAAGATCTGACTTAAAGTTTTACCAACTTTTTGCAATCCATTTAATTTTAAATCAGCTGTGAGAATTTTTTGACAAGTTCTGGTTGATAAGTTTCCATATTCTCATGACTGGGCTGTTAAATAAAGCAGTGACATTGTGTGGAGAAGTTACCTTGCAAGCCATACAAAGAGTTGTAATAACAGTGAAAAAGTTTTTATGTTCTCAACAAGCAGCAAATGACACACTCAACTGACCATTCATGTTATTAGAGTATGATAAAGGAGTGGGAGCTGCTGTTGCAAATTTTTAAAAAAGCTGAAGATTCTAGAGTAAGGCCTTCCTCTGAACCAAGTAAAAGAGAAATCTCCACAGCTTTTGCTTCGACGAAATGCCAGCGCTGAAAAAATCACCACCAAACTGTACCTGCATTTATCAATCTCTAGTTGAAATAATTGAGGTGTTGAACATTGGACAACCTCGTACTGAGGTGTACCCGGTGGTGAACACGAAAAATCTGGGAACGAGCTTATCCAAAATGGTGGAAACGGTTGGAGAATAAGCGCAGGTGTTCCCTCACTTCGAGGGAACGAACGGGAAGCCACTGTTTTAATGAAGTTTTATCAATGTCTATTTACCAATTCGTTATTCATAAATTCGTGACAATCAGATCCCTTCCTGAATCATGCTTGTTGGCGTAATTTTCTCAATTTTTCGTTCTTGTTTCAGTTTAACCTCGACTCGAGGAGAAGATATTAAAGAGGATCAAGTTACAGTTTAAGATTAGAAAACATGTTATTTCACTAATAATTGACATTAAATAAAGCTTTTAGCCGAAAAGGAATAAACGTTGTAAAGCATAAAATGTTTGAGGTGCAAACAAATCTCATGTGTTTTATAGTACAAAACTCCTTTCCATGTCAAATCCCTAAGAAGACCTCTTCGTTTTTCACCTTCCCGCTTTGCCTCGCCCTGTGACGAAATGCCATAGCATCCCAACTCGTGTTATCTTTAAGCTGAGTAGCCTCGCCGTGTCGGATTGACCGAAGTCGTTGCCAACTCGTCTCAATGCAATTGACATTTCAACTAAAAATCTATTTATTCCTTTTGCGTTCAAATGGTTCTGTTTCTTTGCAGTTAAAATTGTGTCTATTAAGCGAAGGATGTTGCAGTGCTAAGCTAGTGTTGAAGCTCTTTCCTTCATTTTTCAATCAACGTGCAATGGGTTTTATTCATGTAAACCATTAATAATCAATGATCAATCCGCGTTCAAACTTGAAATAGTGAGTATGATGAGAGACTCATTATTTGCGCGTTCGCAGAAGTACGTTCGGTTACTGGAGCGGCCAGCTCGTGATACTACACCGCTGCACAACTTATACCTGCTTAAATGACTGGCTTAGAAGAAATATAAGCACCACGCATTTCTATTCCTGCTTTTTCACAAATGAAAAAAAATATTAGCTTACGAATAATAACGCGCGTGTGTTTATATAACAAGTCGTCCAACATGACGATAGAAGATTACGTTATTTGAAAAAAAGGTGCATATGTACTTTGAATGTAAGATTTCAAATGCCAAATGAAATTTTTAAAAAGTCCTAAGTAGAAGCGGGATTTACGGCCGTGCAAAGTTCGTTTTTTACAAATTAAAAAAAAAACCTTTTGAAGTCAGCTGTTGCTAATGATGCTAATTGTCGCGCCAACATTAAATGTCTGGCGCACAACTTAAATTTGCTGCATTTAGTACAGTTGAAAACACATCAGTTAACACAAAGACATTAAATTTACAGGTGATTTCTATGATTATGAATGATTTATTTCTTACCGCGCCCAAACACATGCTGATGCTTTGATTGGCTATTGGACGCAGAAACACAGCCAGTTAGAAGCCCAGCCACGACAAACCACTCGCCAAGGCGCACAATTCTCCTGCTCATTAAACTTAAATTGAACCTCGGTTTAAAACAACAGGATAAAATTGAAGGGTTGCTGACCCTATCAGTGCGCTAAATCAACTTGGGGACTCACAACGATTTCAAACGCAATTTAAGTTTCCAGCCGATCTTGGCGTTAGAGATGTATTTCCTAGCAGCCATTATTTTTGCCATAACCTCGCTGCCATCAACAGATGCGTTTTGCGAGCGTCTATATAAAAATCCCTTCTGGAGCCCTAAAAGTTTAGCACAGAGAGCTCTCGACGCAGACATTGTTGTTTATGGCAAAATTGCCGAAAGTCCATGCGTAAAACCAATCTTCAAGTTTGTGAACACAACAAATCTACCGACTCTCTCAACCAACGCCACAAATTCTTCCAGCAGTGTTCAATTGACACTTCCCAGCAACACCAGCAACATTGATATGCGCAACTCCACCGATGAAAACGCGACAGATATTTGTTTGAGGCGCGAGTTTTACAATGTGACGATGAATGTTTCCTGTGTCATCAAAGGAGGAGCTGTTCCTTCTGTCATTCATCTGCGTTCATTCGGGTTCGGTCCAAACAAGTGCACATACTTCACAAGAGGTTTTACCTATTACGAAACAGTCCAGTCATTCCATGTGTACAAAGGACAAAACTACCTCGTCTTTCTTGGGAGGTAAGTGGAAGAGTTGCTCTAAAAAAAGCTTTTGCTTCGTGAACGAAAAAAAAAGGCGCTAAGAACATCTGATTACACACAAAATCCCAGAGGAAAGTTGCATAACACTGTCTCAGAAGTCAGTCAATTTTTGTCCCAAGCTCGTAAGAAAGTCTCTCTTGATTTTCTTTCACTTTTCCCTTCTATATATTTCGCTTCTACAAGGGAAAAGGTAGTTTTTTGAGATATTGGCCGAAGAGACCTTCTCTAAAGAAATGTCTTGTTCTCAGAGTACTTTTGTCTAGTACAGTTTTAATCTCAGCCAATGAAATATTTTAGACAAGCTTCAGAATATTCACCTTTGATAAATTCCTTTAAAAAGGGTTGTGTCAACCTCTTTTCTCCTGCCTTAGGTAGTTTGCAAATAAATTCTTCAATCAAATATAATCGCAATAAACTGTTGCCAAAGTATTCATTAGATTACATCTTAAACATCGGCACTTAGCTGTAGTTTTCAATGAAGAAGATATTCCACCTGCCAGACTTATGAATCATTAACAAACTTGCCTTGATTGCAATTTTAGACAAGAATAATGCAGTGACGATGAATATGAACGGCGATGCTTGCTCGTTTTGAACCGGTGGGCGATGTGAGCGCGCGAGAGGTCCACAAGTGTTCCGGCACGAAAATGTCAGACTCTTGTACGCTCACAATGAAAAAGTTTTTACTTAAACCTCATTGATATTCCCCCTTCCCATCACCCCACATATTGATTTTTTCCCTGTTTTCGCACTTTAATTCGAAGTATGAATATAAGTGCGTAAATTTCAAGAGCACTACGTATCCTTTTATCTCTTTCAGGCGCAAAGGCAATGGTGATTCAAACAGTTTTTGGCCACGTGAAATCAATCTACAATCAGCATCCACGGAAATTATAAATGAGAAGTATCTAAAGCCTGTTTTCGCGGCAGTTGGCGGTCATGCGCACAGCCCTGAGGGAGTGGATGAGACTCACAGCATTTGTGTACCGTATATTGGCGGTGCACCGTCACACTACATAAAACATTCGTTTCTATTGATAGTGCTTGCCTGTGGAATTTTTTTGATTTAGGCCGAATAATGTATTGTTTCCGGCGAAATGTGTGTTTTTCCATGGGCCACTGAAAGTTTCTGCGAATGACCCTTTACTCTTTCTAGGCAATCAGGGCGAGAATAGGCAACTGTTTATAGCAAATTTACCATTAAATGCTAGTAAAGAACTTCGTTTGTTTAAGGTGCAAGAGTCCCAAATTGACTGTTTGTGATAATATGAAAATCTTTCTCTTTTTAGCGTGACTAACAAGACCATCCAGTGTTGCTTTTCTAGACAAGGCTGAAATTTAAAATTTGTCTTCCAATCAAAAGTTTAAGACTATTAAAAGTGACCCGTCGTAGGCATCTATGAAGTAGAGTCTACTTTGAAAACGCAGGGTCTAAAGTAGAAGCTATTTTTGCCAATTACTGCCATAGACATTTTGAATATGAAATTTATCAACTGTTTATCAGATCTCAGACATCAAAAGTTCATGTACGCACAAGAAACTGTTTGTTTAATTTTTATTCAATTTTATAATGAAAATAAACATCTCATTAGTTCTCATAGACAGACAACTTTAGCTGTACCTATGATCATATTATATGATGGGGATCAACTGTGAAGCTGAGCAAAAAGAGGGGGAGAGGGTGGGGAAGTAGATAAATCACTTTGACTCCTGGATAAAAAAAAAAGTGATCTGCTATTTCTCGGCCATGACAAAGAATTGAGCGAACCTTCATTAGCTGTGATGCTGATAAACAATGTTGTAAATGCTTAACGTTAAAAAAAAAAATTTAAAAAAAGGAAAAAACATCTTTCACAGCCCGAAGATGAAATGAAAAGATTGTTTAGAATAAGTGCCTCGGAGACCACTTGGATGGATGTTAATATATGTAAAGGGACACACCGAGAAATGGGAAGAGTTCGAGAGAAAAAGACAGCCACATCTGTAAATTAGTGCCCAACAACTGCTTTATGCTGTGGGTGAACTACGTGTAGTTCGTAATATCTAAGGAATAAGAAAAGACAAGAGAGCATAATCTTGAGTTCCCTTGGAAAAGATTACTAGCAACGAAGAGAGAAAAGACATCATCATTAAAAGAGTAACTGTGAATCTCTAACAAGAGCGTCCTTTCCGTAGATATGCAATCGTTACCCTATATGAACGACATAATAACCGTCAGGAGCCTCAAAAAAGTGTGAGCAGCTAGCAGAGTGCTGTACATAAAGGTTATGTCGACCCTAACGCTGCTCTATACAACGCATAACAGACGACGAACACACTCCCGGTTGCCAAGCAATATCGTTCGGGTCATGCGTAGTGGACCCGAGACCCTGTGATAGTGAATGCCAGCGCTAGCTACGCAAACTGTGAGACGTAGCACATGCAGACAGCGAATAAATAATTATTCAAATATTGTAAACAATTCTTGCGATTCTTTCCTCATAAGAATTGTGAAGAACTTCACTAGGTTACTTCATTTCTACACTACGTGAAACGAAAGATAATTAACTAAAATAATTGCACATTTACGATTCTCGTTTTAATTTTTTTCTAATCACCTAAGGATTTTCACAACAATTGTTTGATTAAAAAGGGAAGAAATTTGTATCTGTAGACGTGAATATGGTTTCATTACGAATTCAAAAATCTTCCAGCAGGACAACCCATCTCCAGCGATCTTCTTCTTCATCAGAGTTACGCCGGTACAATGGCCAAACTCTCTTTTTCGCCAAATGCAATGAAATTCAAGTGTGCGCGCACAGGGCAGGTTGTACATTAATGATTAAAAGTAAGCAGTATTAGGCGACGCCTCAGACAACAGGTGACTTGCAGATGCGAGAGAGCATCGCCGTGCGTTATGGAAATGTAAACAGCTGAGCAGATTGAGTCAGAGAGTGCCGCAAGCTAGTTACAAGAAAAAAAAAATCAAGATCTTTATTTGGCCAGTGACGATTTTACTGTAGAGTTTCTGCAACCTCACAGTCATAGAATTAATCACAACAAGATGTCGATAAGAGCTGTGGCAGTTGCGTTTACGTTATTCTTCGTCACGTCTTTGCTGCATACCAGCGACGCAGTTTGTAAAAGTCCACGAGGGAGCAAAACTTGGAGAAGGAAGAGCTTAGTGGACCGTGCTATCCAGTCTGATATTGTCATCTATGGCGAAGTTTTTAACAGCCCGTGTTGGAAACCTGGCTTTGTAAAACCAACGAATGCTCCACTCACGACGCCAACTCAAGCTCCAAGCGGCGTCAATTCCACGAATACAACAAGCAACACGACAGGGTTCATTACGACTCCTTCGCCACCGAAGCAAGCAAATGCAACAGCCAACACGACGACCCAATCTATTGTGCCAACCACGGAAGTCCCGTACAACTGTAGCACAGAGTACTATAACGCGATTATCAAGGTTCTATGTGTGTTAAAAGGAGGCTCAGTGCCTCTACTTATTAATCTGGAGGGTCTTGGTCATGGAGAGGGAGTCTGTTTGGATGAATCGTACCACGACCATCACGCGTATAGAATGTTGAAATATCTTATTTTCATCGGAAGGTAAAGTTTTGTAATTTTGTTAATTCCACATTTGTAGTTTTTACACTTTGAAGTTTCGTGAGAAATTTCCTCGATTTAATCATGCTCGCTTTTAATGCAGAGGAATTTTTGCGAAACGCTGAGAAGTATTTCTTCAATTAAGGTTTTGAGAATCGACAAAGAACTAGCGAATTTCATTTCGAATTTTTAGTCGCTCACAAAAGACTCCAACCATGATGATTCATCTACGTGTAGCTTTACGGAGACCAGCAGCTCTTTGACTCTACAAAGTACATCATGTTAATGTTTTTGAGGAATGATTTTAATCGCTCTTCATGTGCTGTCGGTTACGTTGATGTTAACACTTATCAAACAACAAGCTCTCACTCCTATATAATTTATAAAGGGATCGTTTTTTTTATTTATTTTTTTTTTGTTTTTAGCCAGATAGTGAACAAACATCTACTGCACCATAGGCTTTTTTTCAGTTTTAACCCGCTGAGAGCTTTTTGCTATAATGTTTTCAAGTAAATGAATTGTTTTTGAGAACGTGTGATAATTCCGTAGCTGCTCCTCGGCTTGCTCGTTTCGCATGATCGGTGAACTTACAATTTCTTCTAAGTTCATTTTATTCCTTTCGCAAAATAACTAGTTTCCAACGGACTTATTTAATTTCATTTTGCCAACAATTTGAAAATTTTCACGCACCAGTGATGTTTATAAACACCTACTGATAAGAAATAGCAATACTTTATACGTGCGAAATGGTCAAAGAAAAACTTGCAAGGGGCTCGAATTCAGCCATCTCGTTCTTGAGTTCAGTGCATTAATTATTAGCCGTCCCAGCTTCTTAGCTTACCCTGCCAACTAAGAGACCATCAGCAGTTGATTCCTTTTGAAGCTTACTCAATTCTAATTCATTCCTTAGGAAGGAAATCCCAAATGAAAAAGGTCAATTCAGGATCTATCCAGTGAACTACCAGCCTGCTCTTAAAGAGATCGATGATGAAACCGAGTTGGATCCTATCTTTGAAGCTGTTGGTCGAAATGCTCACTTGCCTAGCAACATCGTCAATCAGAAAGACCATGTCATGTGTAAGCCTTACGTGGATTCTGCGCATGCGTGCCGTTCGAGTCTTCTAATGATCCTGTTCTTGTTTATCTCATATATAATGTATTGACTTTAAGGCTGCACATCTAGCACCGATGATTATTTTAAAGGAAAGGTTCCCGATCACATCACGTTTGCGACTGTAAAAAAAAAAATTAAAATTTTCTCAATAAATAATGATCGGTTTTTTTTCCATCATTTTGTCATTATCAGGGTGCATCACGAAGTTTCAACTACGTAATGTTTATCTTTTTCAGACGATGACGTTGAATATTTACGAGTCCCCTTTCGAAGTGCTATTGCGCATGTCCGATTAAGTCATTTCGTGATTGACGGGTTGTAAAGTTTTAGTTTGCATGAAATGAAAGCAGCCAATAGGATAGGACTGCAAAAGCTTAATCGTTCATTCAGCCTGAGTGAGGGTGGGGAGGTTAGCTAAAGTTCCACTTTCAGATCAGTCGAATCTTGAATAAATCCGTTTAAACCGATTATACGCCACATTTTCTGGCGCATAAGCTCGACCAAAAGTTGGAACGCTTCAATCAAACGCAAAAGCTGCACGATCATTTTTTTGTTATGAAGAAATTGAATAAAATCTATAAGGAGATGACACGACTGCCTATGGGGTTATGAAGGCAGAGCGCAACCCGGAAACTATCCTGATTACGGCTCTTCAAAATGGACAGAGTCGGAGACTCTTGAGGTTGAAAGAGTTAATGTTAATTTTTTTACAAAAATTTTTTTTGTCCACTATGATCGAGAACGTTCCACTTATCGCCAGACTCCAGCTCAGCGTTAAGTAATTCCTGATGACTAAGTCAACAGAGAGAGTATTTGTCGACCAAATCACGTCCAAGGTCAGCAAGTAGTTTTACTCCAACCGCGCGACCAAAGGAGGTGGCAACTGAACAGTAGCGGTCTTTCAAAGGCCAACTAGGTAGTACTCGCAGCAGCAGTTTCTGTACGTTCAATTCTTCATCCATCATGTACAGCTCAGGAATGTTAAAACAAAAAAAATTAACGTTTGAATAACAAAGAAAGCCTTTGAACTCTAAACAAATCATTGTTGACATTGCCAAGCCTGATCTCATCTTAAGGAAATACGTAACACCTTCCCCTCCAAAATTACTTTTTTCAACAACAGGCATTTTTTAAATTTTTTTTTTCTTAACAGCAAGACTGGATTGAACTTTAACTTTCCAGCCGGGTCTCGCATCTTCCTTAGGGTGCTCGTCTCAAGTTCATAATTTTTAACGTTTAGTTTTGTTGATAAAACTTAACGCTAAAAACTTTCCACCGTTAACAGTTCGTTTAGCAGAGAACACAGCCATTGTTTCCCTCTTTTGTTGTCTATCACTTATTTGCTGTCATAAATATAATCATATATATAATTTATCTTTGCATCGTTCTTATAGTTTTCGTTTCACATCGTTTAGGTTCGATCTCGCTGTCAAATTATTGCGCATGAATCGTACTCTATCTAGTAAACAAGTCTTTATTATTTACAGATTTAAAGATGCCTCCACTTTGTTTCTTTATACACGTTGAGTTAGTTATGCGCAAAATTCCAAATATTTCTAGGGCTCTGTGGAACCTCAGCTTGTCGATGCCTAATTGTCGGGTTTTCAACACGCAAACTGTTAGTTTCTCTGCACCTTATCTGTTTCAAGCTGAGCGCTTTTCGTCCAAACACTTTGGAATAAAACTGCTCTGACGAGACACGAGACAGCCCCCTGTAACTTTGCGCAACATGGCTGCAATCATGAGGGTTTTGCTTTAAAAAGAGGCATTGTATAGCGCAGAGAATGGCTATACAAAGCAATTAACAGCCCAGAAAATGAAGCATTCATCGGCAAGGAACCTCGTCACTTAAAATGAGGGTTAAACATTACTTCCCGCATCACGACACGGTCATCAAAGCATCCGAAGGGTGATAACTGCGTGGCTTCGAAACATTTAGCAATCGTTTGGTTTGAAATGGGTATTTTCACCCGTTTTATTAAAACTATACTCGATCACAAAATCCATCTTAGTTCATGATCAGTCTAAACGTCTTCAATCCGAAAGTAAAAAAAAATAATAGTAAAATTGAAAAAAAAAGGTATGCAAGTTTCCGAGAGCTGTTTTTACCAATATCCGGTCTGAGCCGCCAAGGCTGTTAACAAAACTCTGCAGTTTATTTACATACAAAATCAAAAAGCAGGAATTTAGGCTGTGGCTTGTTAATTCTACTTTAATTACAATTACATCTCGCGTGTCCGTTGCCGCCATTATGCGGAGAGTCTTTGAAAATTCGCCTTTAATATCAAGCCACCGTGAGATAATGACTAATCAAAATCTGATAATTTGCCCTCAAACTGACATTAATCCCTCTTCATAAAAAAACGGAATTAACAGATTAGTAGTGATTTCTTTGACGCCATTCACAACAAAGAGAGATATCTCGTAAATCTTATTACACTCACTTAGGCTGCTTATGGTTTTTTTGGAGCCTTCTAGTTTAAGACCCCTTTAACTTGTCCAAATTGTTTTTGTTCCTCTGATTTCCGATGCTTTAGATTCCAATTATTAGTTAATCGTATCACATTAAGACCAAGACTATTCAAATTAGGTGGTTTCACGCATTTTCTCCTATGAACACAGAATCGTCGGACTAAGTTAATTGTCGTGGTTTCACGCAATCGTTCTTTGCCTTATGAAGATTAAGTGGAAGTCGAAGTTCAACTAAACAGTCTTTGTCAACGAATATCTCCTATTATTATTATTTACAGGCTCCTTAATGATTTTTAAACATGGTTATTTGTAAACAATAAACGATCAGCCTTACACAAATGTTTTTCAGCCGCCTCGGTTAAAATGTGACTTCGAAGTTCGATTTCTCTTCTGCGTCAAATTAAAATACGTTATTGACACCGAGTGATACTTCACCCTAGTTCTGTTCTAATATCTATTACGCGGATTTTCAACTGAAGCCTGTCTGTCTTTCATGACGCAATAAATATGTCTACGAAATGCATGAACAAAGTTCACATTCAAGGCTCTGCTCTCGTTCCGAAACGATGCCGGAGAAGCTCTAAAATTGCAGACCCGTGAAATTAACTCTGTAGTGATGTTTTTTTTCCTTTCCCACGTCAAGTTCACGGACAAACTGGCCGGAACCGCCGATTACACGTGCGCCTGACGTTGTAATTTAGTAAAACAGGAACACACGTGTTAATATACATTGTACATTTCCGTTTCATAGTGTTCGTGGTAATTGTGTCGTAAATGACACTCCAGTTGAAGTAGCATGTTTGCACTGAATAATGAGTCCTACTTAAAAATCGGTGATCTTTTCTGCTCGATTACTAATAGAACAGTTGATTCTGTGCGAGGAGCTAATGAATATCGCGTGGTAAAGGATCGTGATTCACGGCCTTTCGACGTAACATGTATCCAAACGCACTTTCATCGCTTTGCGTCGGAATTTGTTTACCTTGCCTCAGCAAAGCTATTATATCAAGTCTGGTGCCACTTCACCACCACCAACACCAAACCGTGAAAAATCAACACGAAACACCAACAAATATTTTGTGTTCGTACGCCTGCATTACTTAGGAAGTCACTGCGTTGCAGAATTCTTACTTCCACGTGTCTTTTGACCGTCGTTGAGAGCAAACTTGATTCCGTGCGCTCGTTTGCTGACATATCACTCATTCTGGAGGACAGTTTTTTTGTTGTGCGAGTCATTTGTGTAGACAGAATGGTGACATCATGACACTTCTTGCGCCTTCTTTTTTTGTGCTTGTGTGATCTTGGATGCCGAATAAAAAGTCTCTCTTTATTGTAGCCTTTTCTAAAATGGCACGGAGGTAAAAAATTGGGACATCCAGGCAAAGTGTCTTCAGATGCTCCTATCGGTAAAGTTGCATTCTTTCCGACCATTTCCATAATGTCCTTTAGCACACGTTTGTTTTTTTTGATAGGGATTGTTGCTTCTTGAAGGTTATCCAGTTCGTCAACAAGGAATCGTGTTGTGTTGGTCTTTGAGCTAACAGCTCTACGAATGAATGCAATGTATGTTTTGTTTAAGTACGCGGTAGAATGCGTACACAGTCCAGCAAAGCCACTGAAGCCCGAGACATTGATAAATTGAGGCAGTTTTCCTCCCTTGAGGGTACAGTGCACTTCAAAGAGAGCGCTGTATAATTCCTTAGGGTCGTTCTTCGATTTTCGTCTGGGACTCGCCCGTACGGTTCCATAAATCACTATGTCAGCTTTTCCAACTCGCGCTGTAGCGTTCAGTGGAAACCAACCCTTTGGCGGCGAACAAGTCAACGCACCCAAAATAAAGCTGAGCAAAATCCCCGAGAGAATTACGGCCTGCGCGAGTTTCATTTTCAAACGCTGCAACAAAAGAAGTGCAAAAGATCCGAATCAAAGGTTGACGATCAAGCTCGCTAGGAACTTGTCATGTAAAGAAATTTTACGTTGTAGGAGAGTTTGAAGTTAACGCATCAAATGACATGGGACAGATTGGAAGGGGCGGCGCGAAAGCTTTGTGGAAAAACTCCGCGGGGACCCGTTTGAGTAAACATCTCGCAATAATTTGTTGATCCAGGCAACTAAACACTGCTAACAGTATTAACTTGCAAATGGCGTACCTCTTGTGTCCAAGCTGTTGATTTCAAATTAATTGTACAAATATTGATCAAGATTGGTCGTTTTCTCGAAACGGGGTCATCTTTAAAGTTGTGAATATGCCTCAAATACCCTCTCAGTGGCTCTGAATTGCACGGAAATCGTGTCGGAAACTTTCAAGATGTTTAACTCAAGGTTATCAGTTCTCGTGCACGCACTTGGGTCGCATTAAGTAATCGGATTAATCTGTTCGCTGTAAAGGGATACATACATGTGAACACATTGGCCTTTGTGTAATCTTCTCTAACATGCTACATCACTTATGTGTAGTGGTAAACGCATTGTTCTTAATTTGATCGTTCTGTGACTCAACTAGTAAATAGTTTGAACAAAAAAAATATGCAAATCAAAGCGTTTTGACGCGGTTCACTGAACGCAATGGAACTAGCACCTTAGCAGGACACGCGAACCCCAAATGACAATCGCACCATTTTGTACTCTTCTTATCTGGGAATCAGAGATCATCCCTAAAAACCACAGACATTTCTACAGAGATAAGATTGAGCTGTTTTGATAAAAAACATCCCTTGTTCCTCTACCTGCCCTCAACCCAGTTGTTATCCGATAGGGATAGAAATGTTTCTTAAAGATAGCTTTTGTCTTCAACAAAACACACTTCATTTGTTGAAGAATAGCAGAACTAAATGACTTCGAGAGCGGAAAAACAAACAGATTGAAAATAACGTCTATCGAAACAACTATCATCTCTTTTCTATCCTCGTCTTGCAAAATTTCTCTAGCAAATCAGCCACGTGAAACGCTTTAAATGTTTAAATGCTGATCAAAAGGGGCAAGAAGCGAGACAGGTGGTAACATCGTCTTAAAGTTGTATCCTTTTATCGCATTTCAACGTAGACTATCTTTTAATCAAAATTCCAAACATTCTAATCCGGTATTTAAGGAAACCAATGCAGTCGTAAACATCTCGGTATTTTGTTTAATAGCATATTCAGTTTCTAAAGAATTGCGTATTAAAAGCGCATTAAATTTAGAACAATACAAGTGGACCCAGCCTAAGCGGTTTTGTCGGATAAATAACGTCCTGTTTAATAGGAGTTCCTGGCAGGAAGCCATAGAAAGACGTAGTTTCCTTCATGGCGTGCGCATAGCTATTTATTTTGTGCCAACTTAATGGACAGAAAAAAATCTCTAAATATTTGAGCGGCTTTGCAGTTTGCACAGGTCAATTGAGAAAACAACGAAGCGATAACATAATTACATTCAGCTGACAAAAGGCTCTATATAAAGCTCAGTCCTGAGGCGTCTAAAAGCTCGCGGAAACATTTAATTAAAACCACTTAAAAGAGATATCCGTTTATCCCTTGATAAGAGCTTTTCCTTTGTTCTCCATGTGAGATACCTACCGTTCTGCTGAGAGTCCTCGGCGTGTTGCGGCCGCATGATTAGCTCTCGAGCGGGGGGTAAACTGGCAAAATTTGCAGCTAATAATTGTACTTAAAAACTTAACACTGTTGAACATAAAACATGAGCAACTTGTCGATGACAGCGGAGTCTCACCGCGTTTTGATTGACAGCACATCTCTAAAGCGGTTACCCCCGAGAACTCCTTCAGTCTCGTCCCCACTTACTTAGATTTTTTTTTTCCTTTCTTACGAATCAGTTATAAACAGACCGGAGATATGTTGTTGTCAAGCTCAGCGACCACAAAGAGGTACAATTTCATCTCATGGATTTCTGTGAGAGGAACGACTGATCGTCCGACACTTGTCAGCAATACTTTGAAACCTTTCACAATTCTCAGCTTTCACTCTGTTTTTAAGTGATGCCGCGTGATTCAAACGAAAGCTGTTGATTAGTGCTTTCAAGTACAGGGCCATTTGCTTTACCGTACACCGTTCTTCTCTGATATTTGTGGATTGTTTTTGAATAAAATTCTGTAGATGATATCACGTTCATTTGACCGATTTTTTGACAGCAGCACACTCTGAACGCTCCAAGAAACACTTAAATCTACAAGATCTAGTTTTCAATTCTCCCTACCAGCCACTATACATTCTTCTCAAACTTTGCTAGGAGAGTTTGTTGTCACGTCAGTTAAACATGTTTAAGTTGTTAAGTATGTTTTCCTCATCACTAGTTTGTTGAAGTATGTATAGATATTGTTAGGAGAAATTGCAAATTTATCACTTTTGTGAGAAAATGACGCTAAGATGCCGTATCCTACTCAGAGGAGTACATAAAAAGTTTTTGGATGATCTTGCTTCGTTAACAGTTCAATAAGATTTGCTGAAAACTTATGTTGTGTGTTATTAGGTTTGTTATAGTTTCAGGCAACAATGACTGGGAAACATAGCATTAATACATTTTTCTTTCCATAAATGTTTCAGATTACATGGCATTCCTTACTTGCTCGGGCCACAACTGAATTGATTAAGTCGGTGAATATTATTGGTCGCCTTTTCAACTTTCAACTTGCGACAAGACTTCGTCATGGAAAGAATATGTGAAGTCTAACTCCAAGAGAAACGAAGGAAGATGAAACTTAAGAGAAACCATGACTGTCGCAGCTGCTTGGTTTCATTGACGTAGCCTAGCTTGCTACCTCGAGAAAAAAAATGTCGACAGATTAATTACTGATGCTTAATTCAAAAGTGGAATTCTTCACCATTCATTGACTTTGTTGTTGATTTTATTAGTTTTGTACTTGGCATAATCGATCATTTTAGAAAAAATTTTGCGATGCAACTGAAAGAGAGAATCTTCTAGGAAACAGCGGAAAGAACTTTCCCTTGATGACTTAACAAAAGCAACGTATCAATTACCCCTCTTCCTTTCCCGGTAGCCGACAATTCTGTGGAGCGGAAACGGTATATCAGTAGGAGAGAAGATACTAAACGAACAGAAACCATCGCTCTGGACTGAGCCGTCCAGTTTTTTCAATCCTCTATTTCGAAATTCAAGTACCAGGCTTCCATTTCTTTGCTGTATTTCCGTGTACACTTCAAATAGACTCTTCCAACATCTTCCAGCTCCCTCAGATCTTTCTCTGCACTGGGAGCGTCTGCAGTTTATGGTCCATGTACATATTATATTCTGTGTTCACCTCTAAATATCTTCATGTGAGGGTTCACTCGCCAAACGCTGAAGATGGAGAAGAGAAGGATTTGGCCGCGACACGATCGCCGATACACAGTGCGGGCTATGCTTTTCTAGGAATATGTTATTTGCGGAAATGCACTGGGAAATGAATTAATTAAATTACGAGCCGATGCATTGCACGGGCGGCTGTGTCTCACTCTTGAGATTGGACGTGGAGTAAAAGAAGGAAGAGAGGACTCCTAAATGAAGCAGGCAACATGATAACAAAAATAGCACACCCCATGCCCCGGATATGATTCTTGCAATCTAAGTAATAACCGATTTGGTAGATATTTAAACGGTCTTCTACGATCGAATTTTCCTTCATCCCACTGAATTATATCTTGCACTGAATAATCTATGTTTACAAGACATTTAAAAGCGTAATTGTTATGCTGCTCTCGAATCTTAAACCCCCCCTTCTTCCTCCGTTCCGCTTTCCTCCCCATGTTCCAAAGGTAACTGCTTTGATGAGGATGGTTAGGATAGTTGAAAAAAAAGAGACTGCTAAACTGAAACTTCCGATCCAATTATGGCTTTGCGGTTGGACTAATTTCAGCCCTTCCAATCTCATTGTTAAGGAATTTCTTTGAATTATAAGCTTATCTCTCTTAAAATCAAATTAAATAATTGAGTCTCTCAGTCTATTAGATTTTCGGCGGTTGGTCCTCCCAAACTGCCAGTTTCTTAGACCACATTCCTCTGCGCACAAGTAGTGATAAAAATGTTCAAGATTAATATTAGTATATCATAAATACCTAGAAAAGAAAACGCCGTAAATAGGTGTCAAAGTGAAATTTTTGTGGGTTATTTTCGGTACACGGATCTCCTCGACTGGAGGAACTTCATGGAATTATTGGCTAATCTCACTTAATTCAATTGCATAATTGAATCTTTTGCTCTTCCGGAGTTTCGTGTAATATGTAAATCTAGACTACCAGTTTCTTAAAATAGTGAGAGGAGATGGTAAGGTCTCTTTAGAAAAGCGCGATACGCTGGATGATTGCGACCCTATTCGCTGAGTGGAGGTCAAAGTTTACAGTTTTCGGACAAAAAAAAAGGAAGTTTTTCTCAGACTATGGTCGCAGCGGATTTTCAATAATTCAATTAATGCCATGCATCCTGTTAAATTACAATACGATCAATAAGGTTGAAGCTCTTACCTCCCCCTAGGGGTATGCACCAGCCCCCACCCCACTATCCTCAGTCCCTACAAACAACTTCGTTGACGGAAGAAATTCGAAAAACAGATGTGCAGTGAAAAGGCTGTTAAACTGAAACTTCCGATCCAATTTTGGTTTCAAGGGTTATGCCTGGCGCTGAGATTTCCGTCGTTGAAGGAACTTCTTGAGACAGGAGCCATTACTTACGGGCTCCTGCTTGAGATTATTAGCCGAATTTACTTAATCCAATTTCGGATGTAATTTCCTGAATTTCTCCGTTGTCTCTACTGAAACATGAAAAGATTGATAATTTAGACAGAAAGCTTGATTTCAATGATTCAGTTCTTAGTTATTTATACAGTATAATCCCATAATTGTGAGTAATCAAGAAACTTTAATTTTTTGGGCGGCTTGTTTCAAACCCTGAACTGGCAGAGGAGTACGTAATGACTGAAAATTGGCATGCGCTCTTAATAGAATAACAACACTCTTTTATTCATTTTTCTTTAGCTGTAAATTAGTTCTTGTCAGCGGCCAAATACTAGATGAGCGCGAGAAGAGAATGGATTTCTTGGGCGATGCCTCACTATATCAACAGTAAGTCCATTTCCCACAACAATTTGTCCTTTAAAATCTACAAGTTTTCATAAGAATGTCTTGCAAGCTCGTGGAAATCTAGGATCCTAGACTTTCTAGTTGTTAGAAAAGAATTTTTATCAGGGGGTAACAAAGCGACAAGCTGGGGACTAGAGAGGACCAGCGGAAAGCATCGATCGGTGAGGTACTGGGTATAACGAGAAACTGCTGACCGCTGATTTGAAGCTCCTTTCCGCTTTTTGTCGGACGTGTGACATTTGAAGGGAACATTGTGGGTTTTGGCCCCAATTTTTCGGGGCAAGGTAGAAAATCGGATGGCAGGCAGATAGAAGTGTATGCCAAGTTTTATTTTTCAATAGCCTATATCAATGGATGCAAAAACACAAAAAAGAGTCGACGTTGCCAAGCGAAAGGCTAGAGCAGGTGCGGAGACAATCTGTCATGTACTCTTCGATCATTTATTTCATTCAATTTTGTTATTTCTCTATGCCTTTTGGTTTTTTTCTTCTCTAGTTTACTATTTTCAAATTTAAAATTAATAACTTCTTTGTTTTTTGTGTTTTATTTATAAAGATACTGAGTTTGTACAAAGCGAGGTCAATAAGTTATCGATGTTAATTGGCTGAAATGAAAGTAGAACCGCCGAAGTTTACATAAATTTATTTAGGATCTTTATAATGAACTTAATGCAGTTCATATTTAGAATATAAATGTGATTAGAATTAGCGTTGCAGTTCAGAATTTATTTACATATTTGCAAAATGTGTAGATCGCATTTTCTTAAGCTTGTTAACTCATCACGGGCGTTTGATCTTGTGTACTAGAACTGAAAGGAGAAAATGGCTGGACAAAATTAAATTATATGGAGACATTTGATACAAGTCTTGCAAGTGTCAGAGACAATGTTCCTCGTCTGGACTGCAATAAGATTTCAAAATCAGAGTTTGTAGAGAGATATGAAAAACCTAGAATTCCAGTTGTGTTGACACATGCGATGGATCACTGGAAATCAATGAGAAAGTGGACAACAGAGGTGATTTTTATCAAATAAAATACTTCTGGAGTTTTCTTCTCTGCTGGAAAGGTGTCAAGCCCTTACTAGAACCCTTTAATAAGCAACTATTTACTCAAACTCAAGCAGAAAGACCTAACTTTACCTAGTGGTCAAAACTTAAAATAACATTTGAATCTTACAGGTAAAAGCATTGGGACAAATTTGCATGATAACAAAATACTTACAAAGTATTTTGCTGACATACCCCTGACTCAGATGATGACCAATACTCAAGTTTTTTAACTTCAGTTATTACCAATATCAGTCTATTTAAGGACCTCTATCATGTGCTCTGATCTGCAGTAAACCTCCCTTTTTTCCTCAGAATATATCCCAACTTTCAATTTTTAACTGTCAAAGCAATATAAGCTTTCCTTCCTTTCTTAAAAGAGAGAATAGGCATGACTTGATCAATAACATTATTATTATTTTCTTGCTGTCATGTTGGTTTGTTCCGATTATGGACCATTCCACTTCCCCTTTGTGTTTTGTGTTACATGTTGGTTTTTCATTGATATTTTATTCATATCCTTATCTATAACATACCTATATGTGATTTATAATCATAGAGACTAGTAAAAAAGTACAGACATCAGAAATTTAAAGTTGGTGAAGATGATGAAGGCTATGCTGTGAAAATGAAAATGAAATATTACTCTGAGTATATGGCACATCAAACAGATGACAGTCCATTGTATATATTTGACAGTTCCTTTGGTGAGGTAAGGTGATGCATATTTTTTTTAAAGCAGGCCAGTAGATAACTGTGTGAAAGTACACTATTGGTAGGGTTTTATAATTGTTTGTCTACCCAATGCAGACACTTCTGATGTGGTTGCAATTTTTCAAGTGTGAACAGCTGCTTTTTGGCAGAAACTGGGGTGAACTAGTTATGTGATTCCGCCCTTTGTGACTGATTGATTTTTATCAGCTGTGATTGGTTTTAGAGCATAAAAAGATGACCCCCATTAACTTGGATCATCATAAGGGAAGGTTTTAACCCTTTATACCCTAACATCAGTATGCATATTCTCCATACTGTTCTCCTTACATTTTCTGAGGTGTTGCTGAGAAGAATTTGAATAACAATCAAGACTTTCTTTAGTTGGTGACCATTTCCTTTATTCTCATGACCTTGATGTGTTATTCAGGGGTGATGAACTTGTAAGGAGAAATTAGATGCTAGTCACTATTAGGAGTCAAAGGGTTAACAACGTCACTACTTTATGAAGACAAGCAGCATGGTAACAAAACAATGTGAAGTGGCTGCATTGAGAGGCAAACAGCAGTATTTTTTTTATTTACCTCACCATGATAATAACTACAACATTTCATACAAATGTTACCAAAATTTGCAGATCACGTAATTTACCAACATGCATACAAATGTATGAAGACTAATTTTACACTAAAGGATAGGTCCAAACATGGTTAAACAAACAATTTGTTTGTTTTTTTGCAGCATGCTGAGAAGAAGAGATTGTTGATTGATTATGAGGTTCCACGGTTCTTTGCTGATGATCTCTTTAGATTTGCTGGAGAAAAAAGAAGACCCCCTTATAGGTATAACTAATAAATTATTATACTACAATATGAGTCAAATACCAAGTATATGAAATTATTGTTGTTTTTGTTTTACCTATGTAATGATGAAAAGGAGTGTTATTAGTAAAAATTAACATAAAATTTATAGTGGTGTATATTTGACAAATAGATTCCATGTTGCCATGTATGTGTTAGTAATAGGTCATAGATGACAACAAAATGAGATAAGATAAAAAAGTGATACACAAGTACACAAGGCATGGCTGAGTGTGTCATTGATGTTCTTACCACATTGTGACATCTTCTGTGATCTTATATGAAACAGACCTATGATAACATGGAATACGGTAGTTATCTGGTTATAAGGCGCACTTGGCTATAAGACGCACCCCCAATTCGGCAACTTCATTATTGCATGTTTTCAAACTGAAAATATCGCTAAAATACTTGGTTATAAGGCGCACCGTTTTTTGGGGAGTAAAGATCAGTCAAGTTTATTGTAAATTCTTTCATAAACTTACAAAAAGCGAAAAAGTCGCACATTGATTTTAGTTTACCGTTAATTAACAAAAGCAGAATTGTCGCACACGCAACCACACGCACTAACAAAAGCCTTGATTAAACAAGAATTAACGTACCGCTGAGAATGCAGGTGTCAGTGCACAAAAAAGGCTGAATGGATGAAGAAGGTATTTATCTCTTCGCTTGTTTATTTTTGTTTCGTTTTGTGACGTTTCAAATTACTAAGCACGCACTCTCGAGCACGTATCATATCTTTGCAAATTTGACTTTGCTCGTCTTTTCAGAACCACCATATTTACAAAAGTCAATGACCAACATTGTGTGTCCTTTTATTTGCTTAAAATCGTACCAGCAACTGTGATAAAAAAAAATTGTTTCGGGAAAATATTCGCCTATAAGATGCACCCAAACTTTGGCGGTAATTTTTAGCAGAAATTAGGAATTTCTTGAAAAAAACGGTGTGCCTTATAACCGAATAACTATGGTAGGTTGGTTTTGTATCATGATAAAAAAGTAAAATGCTGTTAATGATGATGTCATCTATGCCTCTGTCCTTAAATAGATCACAAGTACATATAAGTTCCAATCAAAATGCACAAATCAGCTTATAGAGTAATCAGCTGGTGTATTTCAGAGTTATCAATTTATTGATAGTGTTTGATGACTATATTCCAGTATAAGTAGACTGATGTTTTGTGTTCTGGGCTAAGTTGTTGAAGGAGCAGATAATGCTATTCAATGGATAAATCACTATCCAGTGGATAAGGGCTAATAAAATGTACTATGCTATCTACTGGATAGTAATTTATCCAGTGGATAGTCCTATCCACTCTGTGAGCAACTGGGGCTCCAGAAGTACATGTTCAAGCTCTGACTAAGTCATTGTGTTTTGAGTAAGACACTCGTCAGATTGGGAGTCATCAGATTCATCAGGAGCTCCTGTAATTTGTTTTTCAGATGGTTCGTTATGGGTCCAGGCAGATCAGGCACTGGTATTCACATAGATCCTCTGGGAACAAGTGCATGGAACAGTCTTGTATCAGGACACAAGCGCTGGGCACTGTTTCCAACAAATGTTCCCAGGGATCTTTTAAAAGTCACCAGTGCAGAGGGTGGAGATCAAAGAGATGAGGCCGTCACATGGTTCACCAAAATTTTTCCCAAGACTCAACTTCCCTCATGGCCTGAGGAGTATAAACCAGTAAGAATACCACACACATTCTGGATCAATATCAGTATCTGGGCAACTGCCCACCTACCCCTCCTCTAACTCAACAACAGTCAATTGATAACAAGGTAAAGTTAATGTTGGGTTGGGAAGGGGTAGGTGGGCAGTTGCTCAGATACTGATATTGTTCCCACATTCTCATTTTCTTAGATTCAGGAGATGATTTCTTTTAAAATTTTATTGTTCTTCTTAGCCCTTTAACTCCCAGAAGTGATTAACATGAAACTTCTCCCAATAATATCCATACATTATTCAGCAAACAGGCTATGAGTATAATCAAACTTATCAGGTAGAAGTTGCTATCTTGATCTACCACCAAGCTCTCATAACCAATTTACAAGGAAATGTGTATCAGCCAGAAGGGAGAATTAACAATCAGATCTTAGGAGTTAAAGGGTGAAAATCTAGTTGTTTTAGATTTTAAATTCAGTATCTGTAACCACATGCCCCTTGTGGAAATCAGCTTCATTGACAGGGCAAGCATGTTTTTTAAATAATGTGTTACTTACACAAGTTTTTCCTTCAACAGTAAGAGAACTTATGATTACTTACATACATTATTTTTCCCCTTTTAAGCTTGAGATCCTTCACTGCCCAGGAGAAACTGTGTTTATTCCAGGTGGATGGTGGCATGTAGTGATAAACTTGGACACAACAATTGCTGTCACGCAGAATTTCTGCTCACCTGTCAATTTTAACATTGTTTGGCACAAAACAGTCAGGTATTGCTTGTTTTGTGTAATTCTTAGTATAAAAATATACTCATAAATAGACCTTAATCAACCTTACTTTTATTAGCTTATAAAGGGTAAAGGTAATTGATGTCTTCAGTTGGGTAATACTGTGAATTCTCAAATGACAGCTCCAGTGGGAAATTTATCTCACATTGGTGCTCTTCCTTGGCTGCACAGTAGTTTGCACCAAAGGGTTCTGTGGTGGTTTCTAGTCTTTTTTTAAACTGAAAGTTTACTAAATGGAGTAATAATGTACTGTATGAAAAAGATGGGTACTTATGGTAGTTTCTTGTTGGATATGTTTTCTTTTTTTTTCTGCATAATTTATCAACCCAAAAACTAGATGTTTTCCCACAATCTAGTAACTAATTTGTTAAGTCTGATAAGAATGGAAATATTTTCCTGGGTATTCAAACTATTCAAACCCTCAAACCGCTATCAATATGACCAGGCAAAATGTTGAGGTTGAAATGGTCTCAAAGCTTTTTCTTGCATGTATTCTTATTAATATTCAACCTATGTATGCTGTGATTTGAAAATTTTTTTTTTTCTATAAAGTTGATGTTTTGAGCAAAATTTGGTTATGATCATCAAATAAATTTCTTTTGTATTTTCTTTATTTCAGAGGAAGACCTAAACTCTCCAAAAAATGGTACAAGAGGTTAAAGGTATGTTGAATTTTAAGCTTTTTACGTGGTTTAAAGTTATCTACACAGGGTTGGCATTCAAAACCTCTAAGGTTGTCATACAACTGTTCAAAGGGCCTGGCTTAGTCTAGTTCTCTCGGTTTTAGAGAACGCACCTCATCTCTCTCTTTTTTATTTTTCGTTAAAACTTCTCATAAGAATGTTAGCTGTGTTGTTTTAGTAATCCTCCCTTGCCACCTGCCTCCAATTGCTTTTCAAAATCCTCTCTTTCCTTTTATTTTACGTTCTTGTGCCTTTTGCTCGCACTCGACTCGCGCCAAATTCGTGATCCTCACTCGGCTGAGAGGAAACGGAAGCCGACAGCTCCTTCGGTGATCTGCTTGGGAGCCTTCTTCTGGAGAAGGGTGTTTTGAGGGGTGTTTAGACACATCCGCCCCCCTCCCCCTCCCAGGGTACTAATATGATTCATTGTATTTTTATATAGAAAGAAAGACCGGAGATAGCAGAGATAGCAGACGGTGTGCATATTGATGAACCCACTGGTGTCCAGTCCGACTCGTCCTCGTCGGCCTCTTCCTCCTCCTCGTCTTCGTCGTCATCGTCCTCTAGTGATTCATCAGAGTCTGAGACAACAGATTCAGAAGAAGACAGGTGTCGGGAGAAACAGAAGCACAGCCCGTCACACGGTGACAAACGGAGAAGAAAGCGGTGAGTAATGAATTATGGGAGCCGTGGGTGGCCTATTGGTCAGCGCGCTCAACTCCCGGTCGAGAGATCTGAGTTCAAGCCTCGTCAAAATTCATTTTGTGAGACCTTGAACCATTCTTCTTGAAGAAAAATTGCCTGGAATAACTTGGGAGTCGAACCAAATGCGGATTTCCTTCAGCGCGAAGTCATTTCTTCTCGAATTTAGTTAGCTCTTCTGTTGTCTTCTGTTTGTTTTTGCCTATGTCAGGCTCTCGAACAAGACGAAAACGAGACTGTCACCTTTTATGAGTACCCCGCTGTTTTTTGTTTACCTCTTTTTTGCTTGTCAGAACTGACCAAGATTCTATCCTGGGCTAGCGTCTACCTTGTGTATGTTTTGCATGAGACCTGAATTTGCAAAGGATTTTGAGAAAAATGTTGAACGATAACGGACCCTACAATTATGCCACGACCTTTTGCTCCGCGTTTTCAATTCGTGTGCCTGAGATTTTAAAATATTGATCTCATTTGTTGTAGGCCGAAGCAGAATTCTCCACCTTCATCAAGGGAAGAAAATTTAGGCCCAGGCTCCCCAAAACGTGGTAGATGACCGTGCTTAAGGTGAGTGATTAAAGTGTTAAACCCGACATTCTCATAAAAGCCAATCAGAAATAGGTTGATATCAGGAGCCAATCAGAGGTCAAAGTAAATATTTGTAACTTATATGACCAATGATTTATTTAACTCCCTGCGTGACAGTTAGGCGTTCATTTGCATGTGTGACCACTAATGACGCTGGAGATTGCGCTACAAATCAAAGCGCCATGTTGGTGACCAATCGTTCACGTGGTACGATTACAGCTCTCTCGTTGGTTACCGACCTTACTGCCGCTCTACACGACTACGAGGTTTCAATCCTGGATTACTTCTGACATAGTAATCCTGGTAATCATAACAATCCTAGTGATCTTTTCTTGATTTGCTTTGAGAATTCAAATGGGTGAAAAGTTCAGTAGTCGTTCTGGTCTCTCCCTTCATCTCGTTGCATGATCTCAAATGGTGCAGTAAAGCAACAAGGCGAGAAAGGTCTTATCTTCACGAACTGTTATTTCCTGTTATTTCCTCCTCGCTATGTACTTTCTTTCTCTAGGTTGCTCAGGAGGTTCCCGGCGAAATGAGATGCTCACCCATACTGGAACGTAGAACATTTTTTTCAGAAGCTCGATGCAGCAATCGTGGACGAAAAGATTTCAAAGACGTCAATAAATTGATTCTATAAACAGCGAACGTTATTTTCTGTCTTTTGTTTTTCGCTTATGACGGGTTATTACTCTTTGACCCTCTTTTCTTGAAGTTGATTTACATAGCTGTTTCATCCTACTTGGGTGGCAGTTTTGTAGTTGTAGAATGGAAACAAGAAGGCGATGGCGCGTCAAAAGGGTTGAATTTTAAGTCAACATTTTCCTTTCTATTCTTCTCATAGCTTCGCCGCTTGTTTTTGCGGCAGGAAACAATCACAAACCATCCACCACGCATCCGTTTTGCTTTTTCATTGCCACGGTGTTTGATGTGATGTTACTTAAAAACCCGTAAATTTGTTCCATGTGGCTTATGCTTGCTGCTGGTGAGAAATTTCCCCATGTTGATTCCCTTTCCCATCTCATTTCCCTTTCATCATCTAATGTGACAGAACTACTTAAATGCTCAAGAATGATGTTTGTTCCTACTGTGTGTCGCTTTATTGCGACGTTGATGAAATTTAGGGCTTGAAAGTTTTCAGGGTGCACTGAACTCATGCTTTCCGATTTGCAGGACAAATCTAATCGTTAAATAATTTTTTCGGATTGGAGAGGTACATTTGTGGTATTCATGTTGAAAAATTAGCTTTGGCATATTCGATCACGTGATGTGTTTGGACCAATCACGAGCGAGCAAAGATATTTGATGGATTATAAACAAAATCATTTCTTTCTCTGAAACACTGATTGACAATATCAAAGTAATTTTTTTTCGTTACTCACTTGGCTCCAGATAGTGACATGACCAAACAAGTCAGGATAACTTCTTTTATTTATTCTGTTCCTTAAATTTTGCGTCCGAACGTTTTTGAAGGAGAGCGTGGATATCGATAATCACCGCGGAAAATCTGCCAAGGCTTTCTGAGTTGGTCGCGTCATCAAAAACATGTCACGGCCGAAGCCCTTTGAATTCAAGTGACCGGAAGTGCTTCTTATATCTAAAAATAACAAGTTTAGCCTGAGATGTAGCCTACGTGTAGCCGCACCCTCCCCCGTAAAGCGAAACGAAGGCAAGGGAGCTCCCTCGCCTCCTTTTCATCTTTGGAGGGGAGGGTGCGGGCGTCGTCCATTAGATCATAAGTATGAATCAATAAAAAGGCGTGTAAATTCAACCTGTTATATAATATCAGAAGCTTATAGCCCTGAAGCGATTATTTTTGTCCGAGAGCTGGGCTTTATCAGAGCGTGAGACTAGCCTATCGGAATTTACTTCCTAATATGGAGTTGTTTATCTTAAATGATAACTGAATGTGTAATAAGTGAAACTTTACCGCGGTAATAATCGGGAATAACGTCAAGAAATTGCAGTTTCCAGACAGCAAAATCGACCATACTTTAGAAAACCGACCAAACTTATGTTTGTAAACAGATACAAACCGCATAGTTATTATTGTAAGCGCTTTGCACGCTTTGCACGCTTTGCACGCTTTGCACGCCTTGCATGCTTTGCGAGTCCAATTTACGGCCAAGTTTATTGATGTTCTTCAACACTTGAGGATATCCTAATATTCAAGCAACGGGTATTTTACTCCGCAAGCGGGTCAGGGCAGAGCTAAACACCTAACTTGCAGATAACTGATGAAATTTAACATTTAAGAGCTCTTTAAGAGCTATTGAAACCTAGTTTGTCTAGGTGGGAACGCAATGAACATTCAACAGGTAATTAAACCATTTATTTTGTAGCAAATGAATAAAGGGGCTGTGTTTATAAAGAAACTGTGGTGCTGTGTGGTTCGTAGAGTATAACAAGGTAATTTGATGACGTAAAATGGCCACCGTTAATAGTTTCAAAGCTGACGTTCGAGCGTTAGTCCTTCGACAGATTGAATGGAGGAATTGGGGGTTGTGTGTGTAATTTAATGGATTTACACTGTTGGTGGGAACTTGGTCACGAAAAAAACAACGATAAATTAGTTGAATTACTTGCGTTCGTTGATACCGCGGGGATTAAGTCTTGATGCCGATTTGATCGATTTTGTAGATAATGTGTTTAAAGACGACCAAAAGTTCATGTTTTTAAAATCAACCCTTTAACTTAGCTTCCAGAAGTGATTAGCATGTAACTTCTCTCTGTAAAATCAAACCATTATCCAGCAACAGGTAATGAGAATACTCAAACTTATCAGGAAGAACTAACACTAAATTCTCCTCAGTAGTTTACAAGGAAATGTCTTGCGGCTGGAGGGGAGAATTAACAATAAGATCTTGGGAGTTTAAGGATTAAGCTAGCTGAGCTATATTTCACTTAATATTCTTATCAAGATAGAGCAGATTAGCTGACAGAACAATAAGGAAATATACTCAAATATGAAATTTTTATTTTGTTTTTTTTATTTTTTTATTTTCTTTAACAAGTCTTGAAACATCCAGTCAAGTTGTTTATCAAGATCAGATGGGATTGGTGAGCAATTACATGTGTATTCACTTATTTTTTATCTAATTTCTTGATGTGCAATTATTTAACTCACTCTTATTATTGAATATTAGCTGAATATCAAAATAAGTTACATTTCTTGCCAGTTTTAAACTTAACAAATGTTAGCGTCAACTTCTTCATTTTGATTAGATCACTCTCAATTTAAACGGCAGAAATGTTTTTATGGTCTGAACATTTGCATTCCCCAGGTTTGAAATCTCAAATGGTTTTTGGACTTTTAAAGCTTTTTTATCATATTATTATTATTATTATTATTATTATTATTATTATTATTTGGAAACAATTTTGGTGTAAACTTTTATCATGCGTTGATCCCAGGCCCCGTGCTCTTGCAGTAGGAGAGAGACTGTGGAGTAGTAAGGATACAACTGACTTAAATGACGCTACAATGCGACTCTGGGAGCACAGGTGTCGTTATGTCAGGTACTGACAACATTACTTAAGTGGCAAGCTCTTAAAATATTTCCTATTTCAATCTCAGAAACGCAATTTTAAAGCATTTTTCTTTTTGCTTCTTTGAAATCGGGAGACATTGATTCAGGCCCCAACCACACCAATGCGTGTTGTTAAGTTTCCGTTTTCGTCTCAAGCCAAACAAAGCAGAATGTTTTCACCCACACGAGCGTTTTCGTTTTGCTTTCAACTGTCCATATAACTGTCCATATAACTGTCAACGGATAGGTCACGCAACAACTGCTTGGAAGTGAGAGAGAATTGAAGTCAGTCCCTAGTTCACGAGGCTGAGATAACCGTTTAGCTCCGACATGATTCACTCGACGTGGGTTGCGCGCAAAGCAAACGAGCTTGATCCTGCACGAGATACCGACTCTGAGTGAAATAATGAAGTGTGAATAAGTCTCTCTCATAACTATCTTTCAGGTTGCATATAAATAATATTGATTACTTTTCTTTGTATATTCCTCCTTCTTTCGTAGACGTAAAATACCAGCAGAGCCTGACGTGAGGTCTCAGTATTGCAGATATGAATGGAGGGTTTAGTTAAATGGTGACTCAAAGACAAACTCTTAATCAGTTGCCACCATGATATTCTCTTGATTACCTCCTGTTTGTTTGAATTTCGAAGTTAGAGGGACTTAGTCCAACTTGACTATTTTTTCTTGATTTGTATAGGTACAATCCAAATTACTTTTAATGAATCTTAAATTATTACCATACTTCACTGAATAAAGGTGTGGTTTAGAAATGTAGCTTAGTGCGTTTGTGTCAAAAGCTCTTTTGAATTATATCTACCTATCTGTACTACGAAATTTTAAGGATTTCACCTACAGTCGTTACACGTGGGAAATGACTGTATCAGAGCTTTAAACAAACCAAAAAAATTAAAAACGAAACCCAATCGGTTCGAAGAACTATTGAAGCATTCTTGTTCTTAAATTATTTTAATCGACATTCAAAAGGCAAGTAGAAAGCCCATTTTACCATTAAAAGTAAACGCTCGTGTTCGTTGAGATGTTTGAAATGAACGCAAACTGAAGGAGTACTTACGTTCCAGTTGTAGAAATTAACGCGAATTAGATGCTTAAATTTGTCAAATGGGAGAAACTAACGCAAATAAGACAGATACAAAGTAAAATTGGCATGTCAAATTTCGTGACTCATGAAACGATAATTTCCTGTATTGAGGTTAGAGAAAATGATGGTTCAATGATCGCTAACAAATGTACGAGCCTTTAAGGGTTTTCTGAATTCATATTTTGACCCATCTAGATTTATTGATCGTAGCAGAGCTCGCGCGCTTAGCGTAGCCCCATATTATAAGAGTAGTAGTAACCCATCTAGCCGAGAAGATTTAGTTTGGTGTACAAGGTACAAGGTGCTTCCTTTAGCATGTAAGGCCACCTGCGTTACGGGCTTAAATCTAGTATTAACGTAGGTAAAAGGAAGACGGAGAATATTTTGCACACGCGCGATTGCGTGCGTAACTTTGAAGCCCCATACATGTGAACTGAGTGCGCCTTACGAAAATAATTCAGACACAAAGTGATAAAGGGCGCATACCCTAATGCCGAGCCTTGTGGCAGCACACCACGAGCACCTAGTTAGGCATTACACGATGGCTTCACGTGGGCTAGTAGATGTGAAGCCGCGCAAGAAAAGAATTTATAACCCGTGTTTTTAGCGGGAAATCATACTGATTAGTTGGTAGTTGAAAACATCATCGATTCTCTGTACTTGAAATTTCTAATCAAGATACAAAGCAACAATACTCATAGCTAAAGCGGCTATGTTGAATAGAAAGAAATCATTTTAATTCAAGTTTCTGGTGAAAGCGTTTAGGGTTAAAATAGGCTGAAACAGAGAGAGCAAGAAGTATTAAGGTGCTAGCGAGTCGGGAAAATGGCAAAGGGAGCGAGAAACAACGCAAAAAGCAGGTCGAAACACGCTAAGAGGAATACCAAAGCGGACATGAGAAGACTAATACAAAACGGCGAATAACCAGCGAAGAGCAACTTGAGAAGGAAAGACAAAGAGCTCCAGAAAACAGACTGAAAAGAGGTCAACAACAAAGAGGAACCGAACTACAAAGGAGCCGAGAAAGGATAGGAAGTAAATTGAGTTTTGTTTGAGCATTCTCCCACGCTAAGGCCCAGAGAAATTAAAAAAATTTCTAATCAATCGTCGTTTGAAACTGAAGAATTAAGTGTTCGAGCTGTGATCGTGTATTGAAACGGGGCCTGGCACTGTGCTCACAAGACTGGCTGGTAAGCAAATGGTTAGCGTAAATAATTGTTGCTTACAGTTTTCAAATTCAATAGCAGTTTTTTTCATATTATCTGAGTGTTTAAAATTCGTGAATCCGGTTCTGTAACCTGCCTAGACATTTTCTGTTGAATTCATTAAGTTACACCCTCGGAATTTCATAAGTGATTATAAACGATAAATTCGGCACCACAAATAAGGCACTTTTACATTTATCAGTTTACAACTTATGAACCATTTCTGTACCCTGCTTAGAATTTATTTTCTGTAGAGTACTTGAAATTTCATGAGTGATTATGAACGATAAATTCGCATCTGCACCACAGCTAATTAAAAGCAAATTTCAAACTTTACATACGATTTTAGTACTCTCGATGATTTGACATAATTCGTTTTATGGAGTCTTGATTATTTTGTGGCCCTAGAGTGAACAGTGCGAATATAATTCAACTAAGCAAGTGTAAATATATGGCATGTACTAAAACCCGAAACAGTAAAACGAAACGACCGAAATGAAACAAGCGAAACATGTGAAACGACTTAACGAAACGACCGCAACGACCAATACGAAACGACCGTTATGACCAAAACAAAACCACTACAACGATCTAGACGAGTGGAGGGTGAAATGTCACGGAAAATGTAGATTTCACTTCAGACATTCTCTCGCATTTAAGGCTTTTAAATATTGAGGCCTTCCCACGAAATTTTATTTCTATATTTTTTCCACCTCGCGAGAAGTTGAAACTATAATTTAACACTTGTATGTAGTTTCTAGGACGGAAGCCAGCCATATTGAATACCAAAGCATATACGGAAAGGAGAGGAAGAAACAGTTAACGGTATTCATCGACGTCTACGACAGTGATTTTTTTTATTGATTCTTTTTTTTCTTTGTTAAGGTTTACCCGACGCCTTACGCAAAGTCGATGGCAATCGAGAGATTACTGAATTTCCCCGTGAGTTCGATCAGGAGTAGAACCGACACATTCGTCTCTTTTCGATTATGGTGACGCCTGACACCCGTAGGCATTCATTCTAGTTCATTATTATAATAAAGTTCGGATATAACGCGCGCTGTGATCGGTTGAAAGAGCGTGCTCTATGAGAATATAGAGCATAGAGCTGAGCTTAAGCTGTCACGCCATCTGCCAAATTGGACTATAGACTGTGGTTTCGCCTGTTTCGTTTCGTTTCGTTTTGCATGTTAAGGTCGTTTCGTTTTGGTCGTTTCGCTTGTTTCGCTTGTTTCATTTCGGTCATTTCGTTTTGCTGTTATGGGCTTTTAGTACATGACTAATTTCCTAAACAACTGTGACATGAAGAAGATCCATCCTCTCCCCCCCCCCCCCCCCCTCCCCCCCGTCACTCGAAGGAACAGTGGCATTCTGTCTGGAGATCTGGGAATGAGATCTAATTAAGAGGCTTGGATACCAAGGTTGGTTCTCCGTGACCTGTAACGTCACTCATCTAGCAACTCAAAGACGTTTCACGTGTCAGGTCTTTCGTATGACATTCATGTGCATGGAAAGCATTTGTTCATGAGGAATATTTGACTGTTTCTGTTGCTGGTCGAACTGCTTCCAAATGGATTTAATCATACTCCACCAATTCATAACCTTTTTATCAATTTTGTGTTCGATTCAAAGAACAGATTCTCACGTTCTTTCACATGAGGACGCTCGAAGCGTTAATGATCTACCGGCTCCAGAATCTTTTGTTGATAGTTTGTTCGAGACGTATGGAAAGAATAAATCGGTGATGACTCAGGCAGAGTTCAGCTCTTTGTTGAAAGTACTTAAAGTTGGTTCTATTTCAAGAGAAACGACAAGTTCTGCTGAATTGGCGGAGGAGAATGGAGTGAAAAACGGATATCCTAAGGTAGGCCTTCCATTGAAGCAGCCTGGGATTCTCTTAAATTACTAGCACTTTAGCTATGAAATGTATTGTTTGTGAATCGTAGCCTTCGGTTTTAGCATGAAGTTCTCCAACTTACTTTAAAGATGAATTGCATTTACTATTTTGAAGAAAAGTCCCCTTTTTGTGTCTCCTCTCCGATTATCAAACAATTGAACTCCGCAGCCGTGATTAAATTAAGTCGTAAATTCTTCGCGATCAATTAAAAGATTAGATCATAAGGAAGTCGTATATTTCAGGAAACTAACCTCTTAAAACGAGATGGTCTAACTTGCCTTAATTATCTATAATGTGTTTATGTTTTTAAAAGAAAGACCTTTTCGTGTTCCATCCTTTATGTTCAAACAACTCACGAGGGTTGCTGTAGATCACTAGAAAAATAGAACTGAGGTTACTAATAAGTCATTTAAAGTGGATCTCCTGATAAAAATGTGCAAATTTTACGGTTTACAGTTGAAATGTGGTACTAAATCGAAAATTTATCATTTGAGGTTGAAGTTGTTACTAATTATGTTTTAACATGCGGGCTTTGCCTAGGCTTCCCTAGTGTGGCAATGCATTCACACGTGGCATAGACAATTTAATGAAAGTTAAGGTACCGCAGTGATTCTATCTCTTTGCACTGTACACTAATCCTCCTTTAATACATTTGTAGATATAAGTTTGGTTTGGATATAACCTTTGGAAGATAACTCGTGATTTCAGTAGTCGTGCTTCCACATGAAGTGACATTTTGGCTAGTGGATTAATTAGTGCTCTTCAACTAAGGAAACTGCTTTGTTCCGATATTTAATGAGTATCGCTTGAAAAGCCGTTAATGTGAAATCATGAGAGCTGCAAATTTACATGAAGTCTCAGTTAAAGTGTATATTTATTTATATGATTTGAGGCGGTTTTGGATTGAAAAGTTTTAATCGATATCATAGTCAAAACTGCCAAGACTGCACACTAACAATAGGTGATATATGACCCATCAGACTACTACCTTGAAGTGTAATTGTGAAGGTCATGCCCCGATGATGCAAACAAATTTTTTTTAAATTTATATTTATGTGGCAGTTTTTGATTGTTAATATTGTCGTTTACTTTGGATCTTAAACTTAGAGACTGTACACTGAACCCTTTCACTTGAAATTCTCCTTACTGTCTGCTATAGAGATCTTAAGGATGTTAGTTCAGAGAATTTGATATGTGATCAACTAATGATCCCCTAATTGATATTTTTCTTGAATCTCATCACTTCTCTTTTTGATATTGTTGGAAGAAATTCTGTCTTGATCACTTGTGGGTAACTGGTGATATCTAATGCAGGGTGATGATTGGTTCAAATGACTTTCTTGAGATTATATTGCATGAGTCATGTGCTGAAGAGGTCAAGCTTTTTTTTTATTTGTATTTTCACAACAGATTATTACTGGCTCTCATAATTCATATGGCTATGTGAACTTTAAGACTACACACTAGACTGGAAAATTATATTTTGTGAAAAGAATATTATTTCATATGACCTCCTCAAACTTTTGTTCCATAAGTCATGTGCTTACTGGTAAGACACCAATCTTGTACATGCATGTGGCAATCATATCCAAAGGATTTTTGCTTGTGTAGAAATTTTTTTAAAAAGACAGCCTAGTGACAATACTTGCTACATGTTAGTTTTCCTTGTGAACATTATATCAGGTATTCCTTACCAAATATTTCTTGGTCTCATAACTGTTCTTTCAATAATTTTTTTTATCCAATATCTTAACCTTTAGAATTATATTTTCTCAAAAAAAACAAAACAAAAAAAAAGACATACAAATACAGATATAAAAAAAATTAGTTTATTGTTAGCTTAATCAGTTTGAATCACTTGAATTGTGGATTTTTCCTGATGAGAGGAAATCTGGAAAACTCAGAGGAGAGTCCTTGGAGCAAGGATAGGAACTCACAGGAAGCAGGAATTAACCCTTGTACTCCCAAGATCTCAGTAGTAATTCTCCTTACCCTAATTGCCATACAGTTGTTATGATGTTCATTGTTGAATTTAGTAAATGGATTGATCTATAGTCCCCCAATTGATATTTTTTTCTATTTTCATGAATATTCTGCTTGTCTACTTGATATTGTTTGGATATTGTAAGGAGAAGTTCTGTCCTGGTCACTTATGGGACATAAAGGATTAAAGTTGTGCAGTATCCCTGCTCCCCTAATCTCATGGTTATGTGGATAGGTAGAGAGTAAGGAAAATATAAAGAATGAATTACACTTAAAAAGTCTAGAAGAAAATTTCATAAATTTTTCAAACTGTTTCTTTTGGCTGATGCCCTGTTTTTTCCTTCAGAATTTGTAGAAGCAGGAAAAAAGAAAGGTTTACTTTTTTACACTTTTTTCTCTTCATCAAAGAGTCTAATAATGAATCAATTTTTTTTACCTTTCACAATTAAGAAAGAAAGTCTCCCCTCCCCCACAAAATGATTTTGTAAGTCTGGGCAAAATGTGTGACATGCTTACAATGTATGGGAGCTTGTGTGAATAATTTTTGTCTTTTCTTGAAGTATTAATAATAATTGCAACTGTACTTTGACATTTTGATATTAATTTTTGTTTCAATCCAGTGCTATTCAGCTAAAGTATTGTTTGAAATCTTTAACGTCAAGTCTACTGGCTTAAATCAAAGAAGATTTGAAGAAATATGTCCAGCAATAGTTGAACAAATTGAAAGTAAGGCTTGCCTTGCAGAAGGAAATGAAGAAGAGAAAAAAGAGGTGAAACAAGGAAGGGCTCAAGGTAATTAAGTATCTTGTCTAAAATAATCTTTCTCCAACAAACTTTACTTATGTTTTCATTTTACTTTTTCTCTAAAGATTCTGATAATCAGAGGCAAAAGAGAACATAAATTTAACTGGTTGGAAAAAATTAAAATTCAACAAAGAAGAACCACTTGACTGTACTACATATACACGAACATACAGATACTGTCACAGTGTGTATATCACACTCTTGCTAAATTTTTAGTCTGAAAATAAGTGTCATTCTGTTAGGAAAATGGCAAGTTTTTGAGGGGAAAAATTTTATAGCAGTCTGAAAATTTTTAGCCAAATGTTGTCTTGAATTATTGTTTACTCAGCTGCAGAGAACTGGTTTAGGAAAGCTCTTGGGATACTTTATTTCACCAAAGTAGTGCGCATGATTCAATAAAAGGCAAAACATCTTCAAAGAATAGTGGAATATAGCTGCCCCCTCCTTGGAATTCAATAATTGATTACATCCAAACCAGTATTCTTGCGGTGATGCTATGAAAATCAACCAGATGAGGACTAAGTGGTGTTTTCTTTCAAACCAAACTGTTATTTTACACGTCTTGCTTGACATAAGAGAAAACACTGTTGAAAACATCATGTGAAGGGATTTTTTTTGTGACAGAAGAAATTTATAATATTCGTCTCTAGGTGGAAATTGTTAAAGAGTTATTTTTGCAGTTATTTTCTATTCTTATTTTAAGGCTCATGTCTTATTTTTTTTCAGCCTGGGGTTATGGGTTCTTGTCGGTAACAATAATCAGCTGCGCTTCTCTACTTGGAGCCTTTGTTGTTCCATTTATGAACCGATCATTTTATAAGATTCTCTTGTTACTTATGGTATCTCTTGCTGTTGGTGTATTGAGTGGCAGTGGAATCTTTCATCTTATTCCACACGTAAGTGTTAACTACAAAATATCAATATTGATCAGCCTTTGTGCACTGCAATAAAATTGATATTTTTTTACCATTCTTCTCCTGGAAACTTCTATAATGTTGTAACTCTACTTCACTGTTCAAGGTAAGCAATTAAAACATGATTGGTAATAATGATAATGAAAATATAATATATCTTTTAAGAGGAAGCCATCAGCACTGCAAGTGCTTTTCACTGGGGTCCTTTGAAAATAGAATGTAAAAAATAATTCAACAAAAAAGCTTTGAAAATAGAATGTAAAAAATAATTCAACAAAAAAGCTATGAAAATAAAAAATGCAATACAAATAAAAACAAGCTTAAGACAAGCATGTAAAAATTTATTTAGATTCCTTGTAGAAATTGCTGTGATTTTAACAAGAAGTGTTCAATTTATTGTACATTTTCGTCAAACAGACATTTGGCCTCGGCACTGATGGTGATACAGCATATCTATGGAAATGTTTGGTGATTGCCTTTGGTGTCTACTTATTCTTTTTCTTGGAATACGTCATGAAAATGATTGTCAGATTCAAGCAGAAGTCTTCATGTGAAAGTGAAGAAGGACTGGTATGTCAAATGATGAATATTTAACTTAACAAATGTTCTGACAATTTTGTTTCTGCACATTTCTTACTTCAGACTGCAAGTGATTCAGGAATGGGTTCTTGGGTTTTAAATATACCCTATCTCTGTTACACCCTAGGGAGATTGTTAAAGATGGGATCACAGTGATTTAGACCTTAGGGTTTAAGTTTTAACAATAAAAGTTCTGATCTACGCAGAAGTTTTATCAAAGTACAGAAACATAAAACTGTGTCATTTAGGGCTTACGTGATGATGTAATATAGTTAAAGGAAGGGAAAACCTGTTTGAGATGAAGGAGTTTAATACTGATGTACATGTGAAAAGAATCTATGTGTAAAATTTTGTAGTCTAGGATTTACCAATAAACTAACTGAGCAAATTACTTGTCATCTTTGCCCTTAAGAATGGTTGTTTTCAGGATTCCAAGCTCATGTTTTTCAATCAAGTCACCATTTGGAAAACTGAAATAGATACCAAAGGTCATAGACACTAAGGGTAAAATTTTAGTCACCAGGAAAGGAAAAAAAGTGAAGAAGGACACTCTGTGAAATGTAATATCACCATTAAGACCATAAACACCTAGAATTAAGGACAGCTCAGCATGTGCATGACTGTCAAACACTGCTTAACAAATTGATACCTCTCACCAAAATAAAGGTGCCAATTTTTATGATACTATCCACAGTTTAGAGTGCTACTTTTAAGGTTCACTTATCAGTATGATAATGAATGATTCGCAGTCAGTTTCAGCATATTGCAGTTTTGTTGAATGCTGTTGCTTGCTACAAAACTGAGCAAAGAGACATTGTATTGATAACAAATTTATTTATGGAAAACTTAAATTCTAATTTCCAAGGGAACTGCAACATCAAAGAGTGACCAACCTGGTGCAGGAATCGCTGATGTTCAACTTCAACTCTACAATGTCAACCTAGATGGTCACCATAGTCATACCACATGCTTGAGCCAACAGTTACCAGATGTACATGTCTGTGGAAATGGTGCCAAACAAAATGGCACCTCAGAGGATTCTCAGAAGGTTTAATTACATCTTTTTGTGCCTTATTTGTCATAAATTGTTATCATTATTATTTTCATTATTATTACTGATATAACCTACATACATATTCTTGCTAGAAACAGTTGTCTTGAAATTAGATACAGTATTTCCTTGAAGAAGCACCCAGGCACCCATTAAAAATTTCAGTTTAAAGAAGCCATGCTTTTTGAAAGGAGGGCACTTCATTGATTGGGGGTTTATTGAGTTAGCCTAGCAATGAGAACAGATAGGACACGTGAAGGAACTCTTCAAGGTTGTGGAGATAGAAGTAACTGAAACAGGAAGAAACTATTGTCCTGTACTGATTCTGCTGCAGTTGAAGCTTAAAATGTTTTGAATGAAGTGCCCAAAGAAACTGGTTTTCCTCGTGTTACTACCATTAAGAAAGCGAGGAAGGTGGGGATGGTAATTTAATTGGGAAAGAGTGATTATTAGAGTATGAGTGCTTATTCAAGGAAATGTGGTATAAAATAAAAATTATGGCCATCTTTGTTCTACTTCCTTAACTTGAAAAAAAGGAAAATAAAAATGCTGAAAAGCAAGTAACTTATTTACAAATATGCTATTATAACTACTCTGATTATGGTTGTTACTATTATCACCTCTACCATTACAAAGTAAAGCAAGACTAAAGCAATCTTGATCTTCTGTGTAATTTTAGTGCTTGAAAGTGTTTCTGGAAATATGGGAGTTCTTAATGTGAAGTGATATTGTTTATAATGCAGTTTGTTGAAGGGACATCATCACCAAAAAAGAAAGTTGCTCCTGTTGCGTGGATGATTATCATTGGGGATGGACTTCACAACTTTATAGATGGCTTGGCTATCGGTGCATCTTTCTCCAGTTCAACATTTGTTGGCCTCAGCACAGCTCTGGCTATATTCTGTGAAGAATTGCCTCACGAACTAGGTAGTAGTTTGTCTCTTTTCTGCATTCAGCCTTATAGGTCAATGAACTTCTCTCAGTACTGTTTCATTGTAGAGTTATCCTTAATAAGAAAAAGTACTACAAGAACCCACATTTGAGTGACACTCAAATGGCTGAATGCATAGTTAACCTTTATCAAAATGCTAGACTTTTTAAACTTTCCCCAGATTTGCATAATTTGCCAGGAACCCCACATTAGTAGGACTCGAGTAGCCTTTAAAACAACTGCTGTCAGAAACGGTGACTCACCAGTCATCATCAGAGTCACTTTGGATGGGCATCCGTCATGATGCTGGTCACATTATGCAATTGATTACCAGCTACAAGCCTTTCCCCTAAAATTATGGCATGTTTTAAAATGTAGGCTAACTATAAGGAGATTTAGCTTTGAATATTAGCCTAACAGCTTCTCATATCATTCTCAAATTTCTTCATTAGGGGATTTTGCTGTTCTTCTCAATGCTGGCATGACTTACAAAATGGCCATGGGATTTAACTTCCTTTCAGCATGTGCATGCTATTTAGGACTGATTATTGGACTTTTGCTTGGTTATGCAACATCAGCAGTCAAGTGGATCTACGCCCTTGCTGGGGGAATGTTCATCTACATTGCTTTGGTTGACATGGTAAACACTATGTTCCTTTTAAACTCTTCCAATCTTTTATTTTTGTAAGCCAGGCTTTTCCGGTTATTTAGGTCATGCATTGTCTCAAGAATTTGAAATTTGGATGTCCCTATAGAGAATAGTCATGGAAGGGATGTTTAGGAAGTGTTAGGAAGAGAGTAATTTGAATTTTTTTGGAGTTAATTCCTTTAGGGCAGCAGTTCTGAGTAAAATGGGATTTTACTCTGGTTTAACAATCTACTTAAATTATGGGAAGTAGCTACATAAGCCGCCTCTTCTTGATCACCAAGCAAGCATTTCAGATAAAGAATAAATGGTTTATTTATCCTAAAATATACCAATTTCTGTTAATAGGAAGGGCAAGTCAAAATACAAACTACTGAAAATACTCAGCGATACTACACATCAGAATGTCTTATAAATTATTTACTATCCAACTGCTTTTTTTTCTCTGCCAAGTCTTTCTGCTCATTTCCCATAAGGTGGGAGAGGCAAAGCAGATGGAGAAGAGTAGCGCGCGCAGCCGATTGGTTCAACAGGTTTTTTTTACCTTACAAAATAACCAACTGTCCAAATAACCGTACAATATCGCAGGAAGTTTGAACTTTATTCGCGCGTTATTTGTACTGTACCTTCTGCTGTTGGATAATCATGTTGAGAACTCTGTAGCAGAGAATGAGTAACTTGGTTGATCAGTTTTGAGTCTTGATGGGCTCTGTTGTAGCGTGCAATTGTGATTTCATGAATAATTTTGATAAGTATGAATTGATGTTACATAATGACAATAAGTACTTATCCGTGTTAAATAAATATTTACTACGCTCATCATTTTTAACAGTTGGAGGAAGCCTCTGAGATGTCTGTCAAGATTGGTAAAAGTTCCATTCGCAAGAATCTCAAGACTTTTGCCCTTCAGAATTTTGGCATGATCTTTGGTTTTGTAGTCATGTTTCTTTTGGCTCTGTATGGAGGGGAGATTTCAGTGGAGTAAGATATTAATCACACAATCAATTTTTTTTGGGTGAGCCAGTATTTTTAATTCTCGCCAAATACTGATGTTGACTTACAATAACTTGGGGTGCTGAAAGTGAAATTGTTTAGTTATTTAAACTACATGAGTTTTGTATTGAAAATACTAACAAAGTCAGGGTTCTTAAAACCGCAGTTATAATGACTGAAGATGAAGTTTATTTTGTGGTTGAAATTTATCCCTCTTTCATTTTCAGAGGTTTGTTTATTTGTGCTTGAACATTAAAACGCGTGTAACTGACTGATGAAGAATATAAAATGTTAGAAAATGAAAACTGAACCGGGATAAAATTGAATCTCAAAGTGTGTTGAGAATTATTGGACACATAATCAGACGTTTCTCGCGGAGGGAATCGAAACGAGGGTCGTAAGTAATCGGAATTGTATCGGCCTTTGTCTGCTTTGCTATAGATGGTCTTACCAAGACATCGCTCAGTGACTGGTTCAGAAAAAAAAACTTGCGCTCCTCTCCGGACCAATCAGGTAGTAGCAAAACAATGTATTTTCCCTCACAGCGGTCAGACGTCGTGCATGCGCAATTTGATCAGTTTCGGCCAATGTACGCTGAGGAAACAAGAGTAGCAATCAATGTTTCGTAAAATTAGCAAAGAAAAAATGAAACTTTCCCTGAAGTTTACGGAAGGAAACAGAATTGGTGAAGAAGAAAAGTTGTGCTTTTTTATTCGAACATAATAGTAATTACAGAAAAATTCAGTTGATTTTCTATTTTTGTTTCGAGCTATACCAAGAAATTATAAATTTTGGTTGTTTCAATTTGTCGCTTACAAACTGAAAACCAAGCCGCCATTTTGAATGGCTGTTAGCCTTTTCTATATTCTCACATGCGCACACTTTTGATTGTGTTTCCGCGTAAGACGCAACAGACATGCGTAGAGCGCTCCCTTTTTGGGAGAAAGGTGTGTTGTGTTTAATCACTATCACCCCTTCCACTGTAACCTAGGAAAAGAAACTTTCACCAGCTATTGAACTGATTGAAGGCCTTCCAGCTAACAATTTCATTAATTTTTTTTAAGCTCCATTGGCCTATCGCTAAAGTAATTTTTATCGCATAAAAAATTGTTTTGGAAGGATACGGTAGCCTTGAGCGATTGTCATTTAGTTTAACCAAAAAAAAATTATCAGTTCTTCTAGCTGGGCGTTAGTGTTCTTTGCTTTTCGCAGATACGAGAATCTGCTATTACTTTATGAATTTTACAATTTATTTTTATTGATAAGAATAATTGTAACGAATATTTAAACTTTTCTTATGTGTAGTGTAATGTGGAAATTTTATTTGCCAATTACGATTTCAGCCAGGCAATTTTTTGACTTTTTAACCTTGATATGTGATTTTCAGCATCAGTTGTTCTTATTAACCTTAATGATTTCAGATATCGATTCTTTGAATTGCGGTTTATATGTATTTATTGAAGAAAAAACTCTCCATACGAAGTATTTTTTTGTAGAATCAACAGGGGATGTGTGTTCTTTACATTTCTGAAAACTCTAATTCGTGTACTTATTCATTTCACACTATTCGTTATACTATAAGGATTCTCTCTCGAAAGGATAAAATGTCTCAAATCAGTGGAGACTGTCACAGATTGAAGCTTAAGGAAAACACGATAGTTTCTTTCCATATGAAGGAGCGCTTGACTTCAGGCCACGAACTTTAAAACTCGCGAAAATACGCTCCGCCCATCAATCACATACAAATGATTGCTGAAAAATTCTGCAGGGAGACGGGGGCTAAGGGTTGAGGGTGGGGAAGTTATTTGCCTTCGATATACTTACTTAACCCCAAACCTTTACGCATTGTAAATCTACATTTTACCTTTGTTAAATGAATATGTTACTGAGCAAGTTTATTAAATAATTCTTGTGCACTTTCGAGGAAAAGGTAGGTGGCGTGGCTGGCTTACAAAAACGATTTAAGAGTGAGATATTTCGATCGAGTGAGTGTTAACTTTAAAAAAAAGAAAAAAAGGGGGGAGGTTTTAAAAAGATAAATAAAGGGGCTAAGCTTCTAAAGAAACTGTGGTGCTGCGTTGGTGGGAGAGTGTAACAGTGTAATTGTAATTTGGTATTATGAGTTGACAAGGTAGCGAGGTTTTCAACAGTCGCGCATCACGCTTCTTGTAACCCGCCCACGCTACGTAAGGCTATTTAGTCTCAAACTTATTATATATAAGTATATTTAGGGTGTTTTGGTGATTTTTCAGATTTTTCAGTGTGACTAATTTTGTCGTGTAATAAAATGAAGTTTTGATCAAATAGTATGAGATTTAGTGTTTGTGAAAAGATCCTTAGGCTCCACGAGGAACGTACCCCAGACCTTCGGATTCCGCTGTGGGAGTCTAGGAACAATGTGCGCATCTAGTGAGGGAGCTGAATTATAATAATGATAATAATAACAACAAAACTAGAGAAACAATGTTTGTTAGCACGTTTAACTGAGAGGAGCTATCTAAGAGGGGTTGAATCCCGACTAGGAGAGGTTACTCACTTATTTGGGTGAAATGAGCCGTCAAACGTTCTACAGACAAAACTGTCTTAGGCGGCACCGTATTAGGTGGATACCTTGTATGAAGCGGTAGGTTTTCAAAGTCTGTAATTTTCACCTCTGTTGAGCGGTCGTGGTCTCCCTTTACTGCGTCCCAACTGCCTGTTTGTATTGTCCTTTACCTGTGTTGAACGGTCACTCAAAGCGAGACCACTCAAATAAACTAAGAAGAATCTTTTTTTGATGTTTATCTCGCAAAATCAATGTTAGTAGTTTTTTTTCTTTGAGCGTGTACACGTACAGGTTCGATCGTATAGCTTTTGGGGGTTTGAGTCTCAACCGTTCATCACCATCGTACCCACAAGAAGGACAATTTCCGGAAAAAATGCGGAAAGATAAGAATCTTTTACGGTATTTCGGAATGTCATCCATTATTAATTATTACTGTAGAAAATCTCTCGTTTTAAATTTCAAATTACAATTTTCCCTTCCTCTACCCTCTTTGTATTATTTTGTTTTCGCGAATACAACTCTAACCTTGACTTTAGAAAACTGGCGTGGACATTTTTCGCGTACTTTTGTTACTTGTTTTATGAAGCTATGCTCGTTGTTTTTGAGCTTTCGTTCGCGTAAATTTGTCATCCCTTTGATTATGAATTTTAGGAAGTTTCGGAGTTTTTATTTTAGCCAAACGTTGTGGTTCATTTCATAAGTTTAATACATATTTTCTACGGAGTTTTGACACTTTTTCGTAATTTGATTTTTTAATTATAATTATTAGACAACGAACACGATTGGTCGTTGAACAGGGCATCTTCCTGAACCAGAAAGTTTCATTTAGATGGGAGCCTCAACCTTAGACAGAAGTGTGGGTTGTTGAAAACTTTCTGTCTATCATTATTCATTCATCTATCAATTCTATGGATCGAAATTTTTATATGCTAAACGTGTCTGGATGAGGTCGACATAAAAAAAAATAACGCACTCCAAAAAACTTTTCTTCACCAGTGACTGGATTAAAAAGCGTTCCACGGAACACTATCCCACTCCATCTCACCCCATTTCCCCTGATTACAGTCAAACTCCCTAATCTGGTACCCAGATTCTACCGTGTAACTGAGATGTTCCGCTCTGCTGTGGAAGGTCTGGGTACCGGCAACTGATAACCCCGCTTCCCCACCTCTTCCGGGGTTGAATATATCCACAAGGATGACACTTCGACACCTAGAATTAGTTCAAACCTGTATCGTCAATTCATTGAGTTTCCAATGAGTTGCTGGGGATCTTGTTCTTGATAACGCTCCCAAGAGACCTTGCGGCGAAATATACTTGTTACATCCGGGACAGTCTTGTTACCGCTGTATCGTTGTAGGGAGCACCATATTTACAGACAAGAAAATATTTCTTGGCAAGAGTTTTAAAACCGACGTTTTCTGCAAAATGGTTAGAGGAAGTACATTAGGAGACGACATTGGGTAGGTTTTTTTTAATTACTTTGTTTGGGAAACACTCATGCCGTGGATGGAGGTTCTCAGTTTGGCGTGTATATATAAGCATATGAACCACGTTGGATCTCGATATTTTAGATTTAGTTGTAATCTCATAGTGTTCTCCTTTTCTTAAAGGAAAATCTTCGTTGGTGGATTATCACACGAGACGACACAAGGTATTCGATTATTGTAGCAATCAATCAGTCCTAAGCGTCAATTTGACCGACTCCTACATAATTTGTTTGATCTACATGTTGGAGAAGTTTTATTTTATGAACCTCGTTGAAATTCAATTAATATGATATTTACGTTTTTCTAAACAGGTACTTAACACTTTTATTTACGCAGAATCACTGAAGAGTTATTTTTCATCGTTTGGCGAAGTGACAGATGTTGTTGTAATGAGAGACACCGTCACAAAAAAACCAAGGTACTGTCAGTTATTAGTACTATTGCGGCCTCCATGTGTTGGTGTGTTGTTATTTATTCAATCTACTCCTATTGGGGGTGAAAATATATTCTGTTCACCGGAAAGTAACAAAACTGGACATCACCGTCGTTGTCCTGTTTGAATTGTATGTTTTTTTTTCTAATCCAGATGTAATTTTTTTATATATTGTTTTGAATGATTAAAACTCAGGAAATACAGTAGTAATGTTTTTTCAGAGTTTGCGATTAAGATATTTTGAAATTGCAAAAGACAGAGCAGAAACATACTGTTATAGATACAAGTGGTTAGGTAAAAAACAACATGTCCCTGTTTAAGTTGTTGTGTTAGCTTTTTGTTGTTTGTGGATCCATTCAGTTACTGAAATACCAATAATCTTAATTCTCCCATTAGGACACCTTGCCCCTGCTTTTACAGATGTTTTCAGTCCTATGTGTGTGCATGCCATACATTTTTTTTAGCTTGTGAAAGCATTAAAATAGGAAAAATGGTACAAGTAGTACTAGACAAGTACTAATAAATATTACTCTAGATAAGCTGTTTCTCAGTAAATAGATAATAGTGTTGTTGACATGCTGATTTGATGTTTAAAAAAAAATCACATTTGGGAAAAATGTGGGTAATATTCCCCTTGATTAAGTGTTCCCCTCCTCTTTCCCTAAAGAATACCCCATGTTGTTAACTAATTGTGAAATAAGTGCCTCAGGTGCTAAATTGAGGATTTACAAAGTATTTTTGATGGTGTTTGGTGTTTCATGTGTATTGTGTTTTCTCATAAAAAGGGGCTTTGGATTTGTGACATTTCAAGATCCAAACTCAGTACAGAAGGTTCTCAACCATCCCGGATCACATGTTGTGGACAAGAAACCAGTAAGGCAGTGTTGTTAACTGACTAGAATTTTATGTAAAATTTAGGGAAAGTTGTTTTTAGGATATGAGATGACCATGGGTCACTAGGAGTTTTATCTTCTAGGTACTTCTTATACCTATAGGTAACACCTCTCACAAGTAATGAGATTGAATAATTGAGAAATATCATTCAGTGATAGGCAGACTGTACATGAGGGTTTATTTTCTTTCAAAACTATTCATATTCCTTCATAAGATTGTCCAGTGAAACACATTTTTAAATTACACTACAGTGCAGTAGCTCAAATTTATTGTCTGTTCGGTAGTGAAACAGGGCTTGTTCAGTAATTGGATAGGTTTAGATGTTGTTTCTGAAAAAATGAAATGGTGTGATTTGAAAGCAGTTATAATGTTCCAAAACCCTGTACTATATATTTTCATGTTTTTTATTTCTTTTTTTTTTGTTTTGTTTTTTAGTGTGTAACTGAAGGTATCCCTGCATTTTAACATTGATTGTTTTGTTTTTTGTTTTGTTTTGTTTGCTTTTTTTTTTCCAGATTGATCCTAAGCAAGCAGTTCCTCGTGGTCCTGGGCAGGCAGGATCAGTCTCAGTTCAACCAAGTGTAGGTTAAATTTAATTTCCTTGATAGAGGTTCAATCCATTTTAGTTTAGTTCACAATGAACTTGTTTCTCTACTAAAGCTTGATGTTCATGAAGTATTTTATTTCATCCTTGAAGGATGATAATCAATATAACTTATAAAATAATATAATTTAATTACTGAATATCTTTAAAAAATTCATTTCCTGTCAAAACATTTCTGAAAAAATTACATTTTGTCTAGATAAATATTTCATTAACTTAGTTAGAATTCATATTTCTTTTCATGTTATCAGTTTATCTAGGGTCTATCAGAAAACCAAATATTCCTTTTCTCCCCCTTGATTTCAATGAGATTTTCTTACAAGATTCTATGACATACATCTGAAATCTTTAATTCTCATAAATTTATCAGTAATAATTATTGTTTTCCTCTCAGAGAGACAATAATGAAATGAAGATTTTTGTCGGAGGAATTGCAAATGGAACCACAGAAGAAGACCTCAGCAACTATTTTTCTGCTTATGGCAAGGTACATGATTGTATACTTGTGAAATTAACCCTTTAACTCTCATGAGTGACCAAACAGAATTTCCCCTTACAATATATAAATACAATATCAAGAAGTATTTTCTTGTTGCTTCTCTCCAAACAAATTCAATTGAAATTAGATGAAGAGACTCCCTCTGAATTTTCTTAACCCTTTAAACCCTGAGAGTAACCAGCAGCTAATTTCTCTGCAAAGTACCCTTGCTGAATCTAGCATTCAAGGCATGAGAATGAAGGAAATGATGGCCATTAAAGAAGCTCTCCTGGTCATTACCATAGGAAATAGGAAGAGAACAGTGTGGAGATTGTTTGTTCTAATGTTAGGGTATAATGGGTTAAATTAGAGAGTATGATAAGAAGAATATGAAAGCTTTCCTGCCTTTGCCCCAACTGCTTGTAACAATACTAACCCAGAATGAACTAAGAGGAGTTTCCCAAGGGGTATTATGTACTAAAGAAGAAGGAAATCATTTGCCTTGATAAGTGTTGCTCTGTCACAAGTCCTTGGTGCTCAGGGTGTCAAACGAGGCAAAAAGCAAAGTAACCCTTGAATACAGTTCTCAGGTCTGTTAAAAATGTTATTTCTTACTTGGTTGTGGATTTGAGGGTACAGATTTATGAACTCAATAATTTCTTAGATTCAATTCTGCACCTACAGTTAACTAGCTGTTGTTAACTGTGATGATGACTTCCATTAACCCTTTGACTCCTAAGAGTGTTTAACATCTGATTTTTCCTTATGATAATACCTCTGAGTCACACGTTAAGGCCACACAAATAATTTAAGAAATTATCAAATACCAAAGAAGCTCGTGATTGTTAAAGAAATTCTCCTTGTCAGCACCTTTAGAAATGTATGAAGAACAGTATGTAGAATATGTATACTGATTTTAGGGTGTCCAGTCATTATCACCAACAACAGTTCTTTTCAGGAACTTCTGTTGGATGAGAAGAATACACAACCCAATGAAAAGTTCAGTCCTTGGTACTCTGATATACTCTGATAGAATCAACTTCAGTATTGCCAATCTTTTGTAGAATGCATAGTTTTGGTAGAATTTTAAAAATATTATTGCTACATCTTCATTTCTTTCAAGGTAATACATGTAAATTTGATGTATGAACACAATCAGCCTGATGGTACAAAGAGGATGAGAGGTAATTTTTTGTTAAGTTCTGCTTTCTACTACATATCTCTGTTTGAAGAAGAAAATAATGGGGGAATGTGCCAGCTCCTTTACCATAGTTCAGTGCTTTTTTTCAATCCTGGTATACTTGGCAAAACAAATTTAACCCCTATGTCTATAGCCAGAAAAACAAACACTACTGTATGTGACTGTCAGTTTGTGCTTATTGAACTTACATCCAACATGTCTTTTTGATCCTGAATTTCATATGCTCTGAAATTAATTATGAATTGTTCACAATTAAATTGTTTCAGTTGAAGCTCTGTCCCAAACTGTGAACAGATTGCACTGTATTGCACTGACCCAAATATATTCCAAACTCGTGCTTGCTATTCCAATGGCCAAAGTTGTCACATTCCGCCAATATTTGAACCTAAAAAAAAAAAATGGTTCTTCAAGTACAGTTGTATGTATTGAGCTTCTGCATTTCTTCTGGCAGTATCTTTTTTTATGCAAATGCCTGTCATTGAGGCTTCCCAAGTACCAAAGTTATAGTTGTACATATCTCATACAGTACATCAGCTCAATTGGCTTTACTCATATACTTGTTGCAATGCCTAGAGTATGCTTGAATATTTTAAAGGAACTTATGGGGAGTTAAAGCTCTGTAACGCTGATGTGCTGATGTAGTGCTGTTACAATCAAGCACTTCTAGATTGAGTTCACTTCATATACTAATGTTATTTATTTAATTATTTCTACTTTAGGTACAACTATATATTTCAATATATATTTACTTGTTAGTGCTGTAGGTAGCTTTGTTAAGTGGTGTATTGTAATAAGTGTGTTTGACAAGCAGGGTCAGATACCACAAGAGTTTAAATTTATTTCTGTTATTCTATACCTTTACAAATGAATAATTTGCTATTTTATTGATCCTAATTATGGAGGCAGGTTCCAAATGAAACCTATCGTAGGATTTTTTCTCTAGGCTACAAATAATTAAGGACATAAAATTTGCTAGTAATCTTTTACTCTTAAGGGAGAACTACTTTACTTAGAATATTTAAACTTGGATTTGTGATAAGTGATAGAAATTGTATAGCATCATTTATTAATTTGGCACTATGATGAAAATAATTTAATTATTGATAGGTTAAATCATTATAATCAGGTTTATAAAGTACTTAACTACAAAAAATACTGGGGAAATCTAGTGTTATCATGGCCCTGTACCAGATTGTACACTGTGTTCATCCTCTAGTTTGTGTCTTAATTTACTTCAGTTACCAGTGATTAGTTTTTTTTGTGTACATGTTACTGTCATTTTTGTGAATGTGATGTTTAAAGTTAAAGTTGCCATTGTTTTTATGATGGAAGTTCATTCGCGACAGATGTTTGATCAGCTCAACTTGACATCTGTGATAGACGTGCAGCAGCAGTAGATCCATTTATATCCCAAGTGGCTTGCAGCTGTACTCACAGTGTATTTGTCACTGTCATTGCAGTCTGCATGATCAGGAGAATTTTGATAACTGTGTTTTGTTACATGCATGTTTGTTTGTTTGTTTTGTCTGTGTGAAGTTGTCACTGTCTGTGCTATTCAGGATTAACCTATTTTATGATGTTATTATATTATACTATATTAGGCTTTGGTTTTGTAACGTTTGATTCAAGCCTACCCGTTGAGAAGACTGCCAATATTCATTATCACCAAATCAATGGAAAAACGGTGTAGTTATTGTTTAGTTACTTAAATATATACTATTGTGTTTTTTTTGGGGGGTAGGGGGCCTATCCTCTTCTTTGGTCCAAGGAGATACTCATTGTTTAAGTGTTGTAAGTGGTGATTGAGTCTTAGAAATGGTGGAAGGAGAGGTCTAGGGAATGAGTAACTTTTGCTGGCGATGAGTTCTTCTGCAACTACATGTACATGTTCAGGGAGACAGGTGTTCTTTTAAATGTGATCTTGACAAATTTCATGAAAGATAATTTTAATGGCTCATGATTCCTTACTTATGCACTCAGTTTACACTTTATCAATGGCTACCTGTCTACAGTAGCCATAGAGGATACTTGCAGTCACTCTCATTTAAACCATCCTCAATAGAAATGTCCACCAAAGCATGTCTTAACGGCCCTACATAGCTTTCAACAATGGTTAGCAGGTCAACAAATCACTATTTTCTATGTTCATGTTGCTTCATCTCTTAATATTATAAAGAACAATACTTATTGTTATTAAATAGTACAGTAACTGTTTATGAAGTAAAGCTGTCCTGTGTTCTACACAATGCAATGCAAACTGGAGCATCTTTCAGAGATAATTCTTTTGTGTAAGGGCTTTTTCTCATAAATTTTTGAAGACCTGGATTCACTTGTGGTGATTGACAAGAAGTTGCCATAGGAGACAACTTTGTAATTTTCTTGACAGATTACTATACTGCCACAAGCCACAGAGTAAGCTGTGCTGAATAAGTGAACAGACCATTTTCCATATGCAATTTTTACAAATTATTTGTACTTTCCAGTTTTATCAAAGGTATTTGTGAATGAAAATTTAACTTTCCATAATGTGTCAACTGCAAGAAGTCTCAATTCTTAGCTATTTCTAAGTGTGTAAAGTTTATCTTGCTGGTTCAATTGGAATCTTATGTTCTTATTTGTTAACTCTCCTTCTTTAAAACTAATTGACTTAGAAAGTATATTAAGAAATCAAATCAGAGTGACAGAGACTGAAAGGACAAAGTTAAATAGATTTTTATGCTGGTAGGTTGGGCATAAAACAGTACACATCAACACTTTTTTAAGACTTTCTTGCCCAAGTGATTATGCAGACTGTGTTATTTATTTGGATTTTGCATATTTATGAATATTTTCTGCAACATTGTCCTTGAGTATGCTATAGAAAGGCAAAACAATTCCATAAATGTTTGTTATTTATTTTTTCTTTTTATCAGTAAGCTTCATATGCAGAACAATGCAGTCCAACTGCAATAATCCAGATGTGAATTTTGACATACATTATTTTGCAACTGCAATTATTTTTAGAAGAAAAGTTATTACTTACCATTGAAAAATGTTTTTGTAAATTTTAAACTACTTACCAGTCATTAATTTGTTTCCACTGAGTCCTTGTCCTTCTCTTCATTTCTTCATTCTCTCAAACTATTTTGCTAGTTATGGTAAAATAATCGCAATAGTTTTGTCTCAACATTACCTGTGGATAAATGAATTGCTAGTAACAAATTTCCCAAAACTCATTTGTCTTGCATAATATTCTTTTGAAATAAGGTTATTTAATTCAAATACAAACATTTATTTTCTTCCAGTTACTTGGAGGGCTTTTGTAGATTTTTTTGTTTTTGCTGTCAAGCAGATAAATACTCTCCTTTACTCTAAGGTTCACAAGATGAGTCAAATTAATCAAATACATGAAATAATTATGGAGTCATTGCATATCATTTGATTTATTACTCTTATCAAGTGTACAGTTTATTACACCTTTTATGGCTGATGTTCTGGGCCATGGCCATCTTTAAGTAATCACTCTGCATGTATATTGCTACTTCTGGTGCTTCCTTAAGTCTTCTTCTTCTTCCACTGACTGGTGAAACATGAGGCTGATCAAAGCAACTATGGTTGAGATCCTTCACGACTCCTGCAGACTTTATACTCAACTAAGTTGATGAACAAGTTTTTACTTGTTTGTGGTCACTTTTTCTAGCTGTCACAAAAGAGTTTGACCACTCCCTTGGATTAAAAACTTCATCTTTTTCTTATATTCACTGAAAATGAAGGTTTGGTTTTCTTAGTTAGACAGCAGTTAGTTTTGGCATTTGGATCAATACTTTCAAATTCGACTATTGATCATAAGAGACTAAAACATAATCCTTTTAACATTTTTACATAATCAGGACATGTAGCCATGTAGTATTATTTCCTTGGCTGAGTTACAAATAACATTATCAACAGTAGAATATGTTTTTAACTTTGGAAATATTTTATATTAGTGCTGCTGTTTTTAATTGGATCATTTAAAAAAGGCAAACAATCACATTATAGGAAATAAACAATTCCAGCAAAATTTAAATTGGTCTTAGGGCCAAAGCAAGCTAAAAAAGGGGAAAAAAAACTGATTAAATTCATTGGATATTTCCTGTAATTAGATTGGCCAGTTTTGTTTAACTGATCCTAGTAACAATAGCCAGAAAGTGGTTGCTCAGTGTAACCAACTGAAACCAACTGTGATTCTCCAAGGTTTATAACTTTGTTATAATGTCATTGATTTTTGTTCATTTCAGGTGGAGGTGAAGAGAGCAGAGAAGCGTGATTCCAAGGCAATGGGAGCTATGCAGGGTATGGGTGGCTATCAACAGCAACATGGGGGTCATCCTGGATATGGCGCAGCTGCATATGCACAAACAGGTATCAGTTTACACAAGTCAACGCTGATGATGTCTCCACTTAGGTTGTCAAAATGCCAGTCACTACTATTTACAACAATTCTCTAGAACAATCTCACCTGAATAGTCAGAATACACCATCAAATTAATATTTTTAAATAACTGTGACTGTATGAAAATCAAATATGTGAACTACAGGTAGAGACATGAATAGGAAAGCAATCTTCACAGTAATGATTACTACTTGAGGAGTAGTGAAAATAAGGCCTGAAAAAAAGTTCAGGCCTGTACAGGATTTGAACCCATGACCTCTGTGACACTGGTGTAGTGCTCTACCAACTGAGCTAATAAGCCAATTGGGAGCTGGTCACTAGTTGGTTCCAAATGAACCCGTGAAATGATGAATAAATAACCATGAATATATGAAAATCATATTTTTTTTTTCACAGAAGTTCAAGTAGTGGCCAAGATTGCTTTCATACTCACGTCTTTATCTGCAGTTCACATATATAATTTTCGTATATTCACAATTATTTATTCATCACTGGTAGAGCACTTCACCGGTATCACAAAGGTCATAGGTTCAAATCCCATACAGGCCTAAATTTTTTTAAGGCCTTATTTGCACTGTTGCTCAAGTTCATTACTGAAGAAAGTGAAGATTGCTTTCATATTCATCTTAATATTTTTGTTCTTCTAACTAACTGGTCTAACTATTAGTATATACAGGCATAATGATAAAAGCAAGCCTCTCCAAAATGAAAGAATTTTCAAACCAGATTAGCAGAGTAACAGATTCATGTCTCAAATATGGAAGCGATCCTCGCATTTACAACACAACTTAAGTGGTAGTGAAAATGAGGCCTGGAAAAATTCAGGATTGTATGGGATTTGAACCCATGACCTCTGCAGTACCCATGCACTGCTCTACCAACTGAGCTAACGAGCCAACTGGGAGCTGGTCATTATGTTGGTAACATAATAACATAATGACCAGCTCCCAGTTGGCTCGTTAGCTCAGTTGGTAGAGTGTTGCATGGGTATTGCAGAGGTCATTGGTTCAAATCCTGTAGAAGCCTGAATTTCTTTCAGGCCTTATTTTCATTGCTAAGTAGTGTTCATAACTGCAAGGTTCACTTCCATATTCATTTCCTCAACCACAGTTTACACATATGATTATCATATATTTACAGTCAGATACACATCTTTTTCTTGTTTCTTGCTGTTGTTGTTGATTTTTTCTTTACTTCAATTTTTAATGAAACACATTTCATTCCTCAATTTTACTGTATTGTGAGGCACATTAAGTATAGGCAAGATAAATTTGCGGTCAGTGGGTTTAGTATGGCCTCGCAGCTACAGCTTAGATAAGTTCATATTTTTAAGTTGTGAAAATTCTGTTAAAATACATGAAGTTACAAGTGTTTGTTTTGGGTTTGGTTTTTTGCAGGTCCATATGGCATGCAACATCCAATAGGGATGGGGCGTGGTTTTCCTTCTTATGGTGCCATGGGTCCTGGTGCAGGAGCTGCTACCTCTGGTTTTGCTGGGGCACCAGGCCCATCTCCTGCATATGGATATGGTAAGTTCCAGCCAGTCATCCTTAAAACTTCAATCTTAGTCAGTTGTCTCTGTTCCAAACCATCCTTGTTACTTTTTGGTTGACTCTATTTACTGATGTGTATCCACTCCAGCAAACGATTATTTTGACGCGACAATAAGGTTTGATAGCTCAACATCTTGATAATACGTGGGTTCAAGGCTGTAAGGAAAAAAAATTGTATGGCTGACATTATAGCTCATTGTGAGCCCGTCAGCGGTTGCTCAAGTTCAGCTGGTATAACAGACTGCAAAATTAGAGACTGAGGTTTGAATTCCTTCTTGAACTTTCTCTCTGTGTCCCATGCCTGCGAGAAATGTGTCACAACTTTCCTTGCAATTCTAGTACTCCCAGGGAAATACAGAAGTTTCAGTTGGTGGAATAGGGTCAGTCATAGTAATAGTGTATTCTTCAAAGCGATTTGGTATCTTATGGAATTGTTTTGGTTTGTGATAGGTACAACAGCACCTGGTGTACCAACAGCATATGATCCTAATGCTGCGGCAGCTGCTATGTATGGTCGAGGTTCTACTGCAGGTAGAGATTATATCACCTTGCTGTTTTGAATATCTAACAGAACAGACAGTGACTCGACGAGTTTCATCGGTATCATAGGCTGGAATGATCTGATGTAAAACAGGGGTGGAGGGGTAGGGATGTAGCCTACGTCCTTTTCCCCTTTTTTGTGTTAGTTGTGTAAATGAGTTTGACTCGCTACAGCTTTTCCGTCGTTTGTTTTGTTGTCTCCAGGTTATGGAACTGGATATGGTGGTGCAGCCGGTGTTGCCACCCAACAAGCATCAGCATCAGGAGCAGGGGCACCAGGAGGGTACCCTGACTATAGCAGGATGCAAGTATCCCAAGCTGGGCAGCCTGGGGCAGCAGCTGGAGCCGCTCATGTTGACAGTTCAGTAGCACCAGACTACTCTGTGTATGGTAGGTGACTAACCTTGTAGCTAAGGAGTAGTAGGAAGGGTCGATGGATACTATGGTGGGTGACCTCAATCTCGGTCATTAAAAAAGTTTTGATTTATGCAGAAACAACCTGTCTCCCACCATTAAATCCTGATGCCCTGGTGGTGGACTTTCCCCAGTAGAAAGGAGTTGTAAGCTCGAGTGGAGATAATTGCTAACTCCCTGTGTGATGTCCCTCAAAAATTACTGCAAAATTGTTCAAAATTCATCAACGGCTTGATGTTTTATAGTCACCTCAGGTTATTCATTGTTTGTGTAGAGGTTAATGCTGTAGTTACTTCCATTTTGTGGAGGAATACCAAGTTGTCCATAGCAGAGCGATAACATTTGATTAATAATTCATCCTCATTTTTAAACTCGTGTAGAGATAATTTATGTACACTTCCCTAAACTCACAGCTGTTGTTTTATATTTAGGCCTTGGTAACTACCAGCAACAGCAAGATTTACAGTACGGCCCAACACGGACTTCATACTCCTCTGAAAGCAACTTTGCAGCCTATGGCTCTGCTGAGCCCGCTGGTTACACCGGGGCTGCAGCCCCGGCATACGGGGAAACGTTTGGAAGGGGGACTGCTCCATCACGTGGATTTCATCCGTACGGCCGATAAAACAGTAGAACGCACGTGATGGTGAAAGGGCGGATCTTGGATCACAAATCTTCGTTACCTCGTTGCCAATATTCTGGAAAATCTGCGTTTTTCTTTTCATGGCACGCATTATGTTCAGAGAAAACGGAAGGACAATAGTTTTTAGCTCCATTACCATTGTAAATTGCGAAAGATGTTTTTTCTTCGTTTTGCTTTTTCAGATACATCGACGCCATAAGCCCAGCTTCTCTTCGGTGAAGCTGGAAATAGAAGTTAGAAGTGCAGTTGGTTGGCTGTACTTTTATTTACTTTAATAGTGTAATTGGCAGATTGTAGCCTTGGAAATAAATCTTATTACCTGCGCAGACTCGTTTTAGAATAAAATGTATTTTAACTGCTCAGTGCAATCACGTTTGGTCTTGTCATTCTTCTGTTCCACTGCTACGGCACTGTTTATTTTCACACTTTGTATTTACTAACTGAACGCCTGGAGCAAGCAAGACTCACTGGGTTGTGTGGTCGTTTATCATAGTTACAGTGGATTAAGATGGAATCAACTTTGAACTGAACCATCACTTCCTTTTACCTCGATACAGGAAATTATCGTTTCTTGAAATCAGTGCCAATTATTCGGCAAATTCGTATCATTGTAAGTCGCGAAATTTGACATGCTAATCTTACTTTTTACTTGTCTTGAGCAACTAATTCGCGTTAATTTCTACTACTGGAATGTAAGTTCTCCTTCAGGTTGCGTTCACTTCAATCACCCCAACCAACAATAGCGTTCATTTTTAATGGTGGAATCGGCTTTCTATATGCCTTTTGAATGTCGATTAAAAATAATTTTATCCTTTAGAACAAGAATGCCTCAATAGTTATTCAAACCGGTTGGATTTCGTTTTCAATTTTATTTGGTTTGTTTGAAGCTCTGATATAGTCATTTCCTAGTAGTACAGATAAGTGAATAAACTTCAAAAGAGCTTTTGACACAAACTCACAAAGCTACATCTCTAAACTACACCTTTCAGTGAACTATGGTAAAAATTTAGGATTCGTTTAAAGTAATCTGGATTGTACCTATACAAATCAATTAAAAAAAAATTTTAACCAGGCCCCTTCTATTTCAAAATTCAAACAAATAGGTGGCAACTGGTTACGAGTTTGCCGTCGAGTTACCATACATCTAAACCCTCCATTCATATCTGCAATACTGAGACCTCGTGCCAGGCTCTGCTGGTATTCCACGTCTGTGTTAAAGGAAGAATATAAAAAGAAAAGTAATCTATACCGTGCGAATGAAAGATAGTTATGAGAAAAATCTATTCACGCTTCATTACATCACTCAGAGTCGGTATCTCGTGCAGGATCAAGCTCGTTGGCTTTGCGCACAACCCAAGTCGAGTGAATCATGTCGAAGCTAACGGTTACCTCAGACTCGTGATCTAGGCGCTGACTTTTTAACTCACTTCCAAACAATTATTGTGTGACCTATTTGTTGACAGTAATATGGACAGTAAAGAGGAAAACGAAAACGCTTGTGTAGGTGAAAATATTTTGCTTTGAAAACACGCATAGGTGTGGTTGAGGCCTGAATGAATGTCTCCCGATTCCAAAGAAGCAAAAAAAGAAAGAAAAAATAGCGTTGAGTGCGTTTCTGAGATGAAAATAGGAAATATTTTAAGAGCTTGCCACTTAAGTAATGTCATCAGTACCTGACGTAACGACACCTGTGCTCCCAGAGTCGCATTTTAGCGTCATTTAAGTCAGTTGTATCCTTACTACTCCACAGTCTCTCTCCTACTGCCAGAGCGCGGGGCCTGGGATGTGCAGCACGAAAACCATCAAGGTCACACCGATCAATGCATGATAAAGGTTTATACTAAAATTGTTTCCAAGTAATAATACTAATGATGAAAATAACAACAAAAGCTTAAAACAAAATAAAAAAGAGCCTTAAAGTCCAAAAACCATTTGAGCTTTCATTCTGATTCAAAACCAGAGGAGTGCAAATGTTCAGACCATAAAAACATTTTTCCCGTTTGAATTGAGAGTGATCTAATCAAAATGTATAAGTGAAGGCTAAAAACGCCGACACTTTATGAACAACAAAAACAAATGAGATCAATGTCAGTGTTTGAAAAAGTGCGCACCTACCCCTCCCCAAAACCAACAACAGTAAACCAATAACAACTTAGGGTTGATGTTGGGTTAAGGGAGGGGTAGGCGCGTAGTTGCTCAGATACTAATAATGATCTAACATATGTCTGTAAATACTTTGTTGGTGGTTAATTTAGCAAGTCAGACGATAAAACTCACCATGTTCTTGGGAGAATATTGGTTCCATCAACGTACTCTCCCCACATACACCCAGTGCCACCTATCACTAACTCTTTTTGTTCTTCAGTACCTGGAAAAATAATATCCAGTCAAAAATATGATTATTAAATTTAATTATATCATAATTTGACCCCCTAAAAGTATCCTTAAATGCGAGAAAACGGTTTAAAAGAAAGGAAAATAAACAAGAACAACACGCCCCCATAAAAATGAACTTAAATTAAGTTTAAACATCTTTCTTACCAGTGAAGTCTGTTGGTTCACAGGTGTAGTACTACAAAAACAATCCACAGAAAATAGTTTAAAATTAACACAATAAAACACGAACAAACAAACAAGCAAAACAAAGGAAACAGAATAAAGAAACACTGGTGACGGAGAATGTTTCCTGCAACGGTTCATATCGCCAATATGAATCATTTCCAAACCTAGTTTCCTCAAAAGTTGTTTTTGACTGCTAACGCGCCCGCCGATATAACAAAGTAGTTTCTCTCAAAAATGTCTTATCGATTTTCAACTTGCTAATTATATTATAACACATGCGTCTGATAATATAGATGATAAATAAACAAGTTTGCAATTACGAAAACAGTCAAATGCGCTCCAATCCAACGTCAAATACAGATCATAAGTGCCAAGTGCCCTCGACACTTTCTTTTTCACGCCTGCAGGAAAGATATGCACGTATGCATGGAACTGCTGTAGAAAATACTTAAACGTTTTAAGTTTTTTGCCGCCTTCTCTCGCGCCGGGGGAAAAAGAGGAAGAGGACCCGTGGAAAACCGTCTTAGCAGTCTAACGAGTACGCATGTGTAAACGCTGAAGGCGTAATCAAGCGGCTTCCCACATTATGTAATAAGCAAGGAGTAATAAATAAGTAACCCAAGTTGAGAACCTGCTATACAAATGGTGTTTTGAAAACTTATAACATTTTTGATAAAGCTCAAAACCAATCTCAGTAACCGCAACTGAATTACTATTTTTAGGGGGAATGGAAACTCTACTCAAATTTACCGTAGCGTTTAAGCGTACGCGTGGCGTTTTCCCTAAACTAACTTCAGCGTAAAATTGGCGCGCGGTCAGCGACAACTGATCAATTTGCGCATGCCCGACGATTGACTGCTGTGTTACCCGGAAAGGAAAAATTGGGATCTTGCTCCTAAATACCTTATCCCAGTCAATTCTATATTGTATTCTGTTCAGGTACCAACAAGCCGACAGAATTGTTCTCAATCCCTTGCTTGTAACTTTTTCCATTTCCTTTTTCCAGCCCGCTTTCCAAACATTCACCACAGTATCGGGGAGTACTTTGATGTCGTTATCCACAACTTCTTGCCAAACAATATAACTTTTACCAAGTCCCTCCACAATTGACAGCAGGCTAAAAATTGGAGGAAAGATCACCTCAGTTTCAGGTGGTTAAGTACAGGGTCTTTCAACGCCAAAATATTAAAATGTACCGCCTACTTTTTGGTTGCGGTGGCGCCAATATTTTCGCGGGCTGCTAGTCATGTCTGCGTTCTGACTGGTCGATACACGAGCCTTATTACAGCGTTTTGATTGGCCATTCACATCTACTAGTATGATTTAGTATAACTTAACACGATTGAAGCTCTGATCTTCAGCAGTCACTGACATGGATAAGTAAGCTTTCTTCAGTTTTTTTTCCAAGCAAGCGATATTCATGGACTGTTGCGTAAAGCTATTAAAGTTAAGTCATAGTCTAAAAAAGGAGAGAAAAAAGGAAAACTCGCCCAAGATTTGTTCTTACTGTTGCTCATAATACTGCTCAAGCAACGAATAGTTTTGCCCATATCCCATTTTCTTCATCCACGTTGTAATGTTCGGATTACTTGCCCTGGTGAGCAAATGACAATAGACATCAGTATAAAGAACAGTAAAACAAAATGTAATCATCAGTGTACATGTTACTGTCTTATTTCTAATCTCTAGTTAAAACTTTAAGAATATCAGATTAAATTAACAATTGATCTATCTGACCGGATCGAACAAATGCACAACTTTGCTGCTATAACTATAGAGTACGAATATCCACTGGAAAGATATCAAAAAAATCGTCACGAGGAAAAAACGATGAGTGTGATTGTGCTTAGAGTTTGGTGGCTCTGGGCAATAAGGAATGCCTTGTAAAAGAGGAAAGGTCGCCCTGATTTTAAACGAACACGTTATTTTCAGGAATCTTCATAATATAGATATACAAGGTGACCAAGCAGGGAAACTTTCTAAGAGATAGTTAGATCGACCAATAGGATCATTGAGTCCCACACGGTATTCACCATTTGACATTCTAAAGAACTATTTATAAAAATAAGGGAAACTCAGATCAGCTGATTAGTTGTTTGGTTTCATCAACAAGTGACGTCAGTCAAGTTCCGCTCATCAGTAGTAAAGAGCCGAAGTTGCAACATCATGATGTCATACCAACAGGTGTCCCTAACTTCATCTCCTCCCAAGTGAAGATAATGATCAGGAAATTTTTCAGCAACCTCTGAAAAGAATTTCTTCAAGAAAGTGTAGGTGGAGTCCAGAGTTGGGTTTATGGGTCCAAATGTTCTGCAAATTGGAGAACATATAAAATCAACCTTCAGACCCTAACATCAGTATGAATATTCTCCATACTGTTCTCCATACATTTCTTAAGGTGCTGACAAGGAGAATTTGTTAAACAATCAAAAACTTCTTTAGTTGGTGATCATTTCCTTTATTCCCATGACCTTAATGTGTGATTCACGGGTGATATTGTGAGGAGAAATTAGATGCTAGTCACACTGAAGAATCAAAGGGTTACCTTTAACTAACAGAGATAGAGTCTGAGAGTCCATTTTGGAGAGCTTCCCTTCTCATATACTGGTGATCATTGACAAACATGTGTAGATCTAGACTTCAGCTCATCATACCAAAACTTAGAATTTAAGGGCAGTGTTGAAAAGTAGTATGAGAAGAAGGTTAAAGAGGGGTGGGGTGGGTAGAGGGCTGGATGGCAGCAGGGCCTTGAATAATTCATCTCAATCGTCTACTTTAAACTTCTTATGCTTTAGCTGCATGTGTTCATAGCTTCCTGCGCACTGCTTTAAAGTGCACACAAAACAACCAGAAAAGCAGGCCAGGTCTAATAAAATGGCAACACACAGAATAAGCCATGCTAATGAATCACTGCAGCAATTAACAAAAACAAAAGAGTAAATATATTTTCTTACCCTGATGGTTTTCCTTCAGAATAACAAGGTGTTAAGAGGTTTTCTATGCTTCCCCAGGATCTTGTGTGACCCTACATGGAAAATACAAACCTCGCAACTGAATCTGATTTTATCAAGAATAAATGATGGCAACAATTGTGTGTACTTAATTGACCTCTCCCCTAACAGGGCTTTTCAGGGCCAAACAAACAAATTGGAATCACTGTATGATAAACATAGTGTTTAAAAAACCCAACTGGCAGGAGGCAGACCAATTGGCTATATAAAAGGTGCAGCAAAGGAGTTGATTTTGGGGAAACTGAGAACAAATCCAGTGAGGAGCAGAGTGGGGGGCTTGACAACTGAAGAATATCCATGTCTGGTTTTGTGACAGACTTAAATATACGACTGTTTTGTGAATTGACTGGCCAGTAAAAAATTTGTATTTAACCCATCAAAGCATAGGAGGCATAAAACAATTCCATTTGAGTACTCACTGGTGTATCAAATTCTGGAACAACTCTGATTCCACGCATCCTTCCATATTCCACAATATCATTTACATCATCTTTTGTGAATATGTGAGTTTTATTGTTGTATGCACCCTTAAAAAATGAAGCACAACATGCAATCAAGAAATTCAAAGCTGGAAAGAGAATTTCTTCACAAGCCCATAATTAAAGTATAGAGAGAGTAAAAATAAACTTATAATCTATGGTGCTGGATCAGCAGGAGGGGAACATTACAAGATAAATCTGGCTATAGTAATGGCTACCAAAAAGAGTTTCTAAAGCTTTAAAAACTCTTCACAGTGACCAATTTACATGATCAACTCAGTTGATAAAACCAAATTCATAAAAGAAAGGAATTTAAATACATAAATAATTAAGCAAAAAATTTTTTATACCTGCCCACTTAGCTGTGGAAAAGTTTCACTGACAAAAGGAAAAGATTGATCATCCACAACATGCCAATGAAGAACATTAAACTTGCTGTATGACAATGCATCCTAAAATTCAAAAGACCTTCAGAAGACTATAATGACAGGGAAACTGTGCAAAGTCATGTACACATCATTGGACAGGTGAATGAGACCAGTGTCTTTAAAAGCTACAGACATTAACTGAGAATAAGTTCAGAGGTATTTCTATAAACCCACTGCATAGAAATATCCAGAAAAGACCCAGCTTCTACAAAGTGTTTCAGAAGAATGAAGTGACTTTTCAGTATTGTATATAGGTCCCTAGTCTATCTGTTACATGAAGTGATTTTAATTTCCTCCTCTAAGGTCAACTGACACCAATCATATTTAAACCCCAGAGTGGAAATTGCATCCTTAGAGCTACAGCCATGCTTAGGAAAGAGTGCAACACATTTACCACTACCACTTGGTCTGGCCTTGAAATCTTGTTTCTCATTCTGCAACTATTTGGACTACAAAACATTGGGCCACTCAATCTTAGTGTATGCCAACTTCTCTATAAGACTTTTATTTCCACAGGGAAAAATTTTACCTCTTTCATTTGATTACGAGTGGTTGAATTATTTTGAACATTTTGCATTGTTGAATGACATGAGTGTTCCTCATTGACTTAAAAGCTCATGGGGAAAGAATGGGATTAAGCAGTCTCCCACCCCAACCCCCTAAAAAAAAATAGAAAGTAGTTAAATAAATTAATAAATTATCATGGGGTTGGGCATGGGTAGGTTATCCATAAACAAACATTCTCAGATTTAAGACATCTACAGACATCTACAGAATGGTCCAGTGTTCCTGATTTCATGCAAAACAAATTTCTTTAAACATCAGAAGAGAGTACACATTGAATTCATATGTTTAAAATTTCTTTCAGTAACAATTATAATAAAATTCTCACAATAAACTTGAGGATGATCGATGGATGTAAGTAGTGCCTTGAGGTGTCAATCATGAACCCTCTGTGCTGAAATCTTGGATGATCAACTATTTTTGAGCCATTGGCCAAATACTATGAAAAAAGAAGGAAAAATGAATTTAATATGTTTTGACATTTTATTTTAAAATAGTATATAGATTTGTTTACCTTTGATGTTTTCTTCACATTTGTTAAGTTTAAACTGGCAAGAAATGTAACTTATTTTGACATTCAGCCAATATTCAAAAGTAGAAGTGAGTTAAATGATTGAAAATCAAGAGATTAAATAAAAAATAAATGACCGCAAAGGTAATTGCTCACCAATCCCATTTGATCTTGATAAACAACTTGACTGAATGTTTCAAGACCTGTTTAAGAAAATGAAAAAAGAAATGACAAAAAATAAAAAACAAAAGTAAATTTTCAGCTGTAATTCATACAAAAGGCTAATAAAAACTTCATATCCAATTAAATTTCATTATTGTTCTGTCAGCTGATCTTAATTAGTATACTAAGTGAAATATTGCTCAACTAGCTTAATTCTTGTAAATTCTCCGCCCTAGCTGTGAGAAATTTTCTTCTAAAGTAGTAAGGAGAAGTTGGTGTGAGATCACAATACCTTCTACATGATAAGTTTGAGTATTCTCATTACCTTTTCATTGGATAAAGTATGGATATTCCAGGGAGAAGTTACATATTAATCACTTCTGGAAGTTAAAGGGTTAATTTTAGATATATGAACTTTTACTCATCTACATTTGTTTCAAGAATTCCAGGACAATTAACTTGGTATTAACTATCTAAAATAATTCTCTGTTTCCTAACTGGTGATATACATTCAATAGTTAATGACCGTTCACTGAAGTGGAAGTGGCTAGTGGTAGATATTTAGTAGGCCTTGTAACAGCGAGGTGAATATCCACCACTAGTCACCAGCTGCACTGAGGTGAGTTGTTGTTTCAGTATAAACTAAAACAGTGAGATAATATAGCACAAAAAATTATTTTAACTCATTTATTCCTACAACTACTACAATATTTTCTGCGTATAACAAGCTAAATTTGCACATATTTTTTTAATTGGTTTACACTTAAGATCTAATCAGTGGAGGACAGACACAGATGATGTCACCATCACCAATTTTTTATTTTTTATCATTTAAAGCTATTAGATTCCATGTTGCTGTGGTCTGTACAGTAATAGATCACAGAAGACATCAAATGGTGAGAACATCAGTGACACGCTCCACCATGCCTCATGTTTCCACTTTAATTGTTTTTACTACATTTTGACATCATCTGTGATATATTACTGAACACATGCACAGACTCATGGAATCTTTTTGTTACTTATAAATAAAAAATATGTATACCTCGTAATGCACCCCACACTGTGTTGGCAGTCAAAGAAGTAGTGGGTGCATCAACAACCAGGATATCTTAATTGGAAAATAAACACTCAATCAACACTTCTCTCAAACCAGACACTGAATCTTCCCTTTCCCCCTCCCTCAGGGGGCTCTGCCTCGTTAAGGCCATGGTGTTGATTCATCTATCTCGGTCTGAAATCAAGTAAGGTTTGTACATCCTTTGGAGCCATTATCTGCTGGAATTAGGTGTGCTTCATGAGAACACAAAAATTTCATTATAATTCAGATCTTACTAATAAATTAGGATACGGCAAAGTCACCTGTTCTGGTCTAAAATACAATAGTGGTTTTAAGAGTCATTCTACAAATTCCCCTATTTTTCTTGGGTAACCACCTCCCTTCCCGGTTCAACCCCGCCCCCTCCTTACTTCGAATTATGTAATGTTCCAATTATTTATGTGCCTTCTTACACATCTGCAGCTCGAGGGCCAAGACATCATCGAAGACGAAAAATAAAAAAAAAAAAGGATAGCTTTAAAGAGACAATTTTGAAATGAAAGACAGATCTATCGATGATCTTACACTTACAGGACTCATCAGACTCTAGTGAGAGCGGAGCGTATTTGTCCAACACCTTTACGGTCAGTTTAATAATTTGCGACAACCCGTCTTTCGGTTTTTCAACTGCATCTGGAAAAACCAAAACCTTGTAGCGCATTAACGCTTGTTTCAGTACATCACTGGTTTCACCCGCTGAATCGAAAGAAAAATTATTCGATGTAAGCGTGTAGACCTTGCCGGTTGCTTTGTAAGATTGAGGCTTAGGCCAGATCGATCCCGTCACATAATTGATCACTGCTTCCTCTTTATCGGCATCTTCTTCTACTTCTTCCCACGGTTCAGAAAGACTGCCAGAACAACTCATCAAAGCAAGAGCCACGAAAAACAGCTTCAGAAGAAACATCTTTCAGACGATAGATTTGCGTGAGCGCGTTGGATAATGCGGTCGCGCTACTGTTGTTACTGTTGTTGTCAGACATAAAGGACAAGTCACAAGACAGTCGGGTGATTTCGATCATGTGACAACAGTCACATTTTTTTTTCGGTGGAGCGCAATACTGTAGCGACGTAAGAATCGGCACCCGTCGACTCTTGCGCTGCTACATGATTGCGCTCCCTCGAAAAATAACAACGCTTCATTACAGGTTGACGAATCATTCAAACGTAACATGTACGAAAACACAGACGGTAGGCGATACACGGTAGACGATCGATTTTGTGACGCAACATTATCTCAAAGTTCAAAATGATCACGCAATCGCGTAAACGTCAACAAGAGAAGTAAAATGTCAATAATTTCAACAGTGTCTTCTGTTATAGTTGCAAAGTATTGTCGTAAAAATGCAATATGCTGTGAAGTACCGATGCCAAGATTGTAAACCAAGTTTGTACACTGATCAACTGATAGGCTAGAGACAGTGCAGGTGTCACAGCAGTTTGGACCCCCCGCAGATTCGTTCGTAAAGCCTATGATAACTTAACCCTTTCACCCCCAAGCCTTTTTAGTAATTCTCCTTACAACCTGCTATACAATTCTTATGATGCTAGTTCAGAGAATTTGGTATTGGATCAACTAATAATCCCATAACTGATATTCTTCTCTATTCTCATCACCTACCTGCTTGATATTGTATTGATATTGTAAGGAAAAATTTTGTCCTAGTCACTTGTGGGAGTGAAAGGGTTAAAATGCATCAATTCTGAACTATTGGAACTCTCAGCTTATTTTCAAATGCAAATCAACATTAATGTCTACGTCTTAACAAAAGTGGAGACTATTAAATAGAACTCAATCTTATTTTCTAATGTTAACGATTATAAACTGTTGAGGGATCCGACATAACACCTTAACAATTACGAAAACGCTTGAAGTCTGGTGGTCTGCAAGTCAATGTAGAGCCACTCGCCCTCCGGTGCAGTCCTAAATCCCACGCAGCTTAAGTGCAAGCACATTCAGTTGCACAACTCGCACAGTACCGTGTCGTCCCAACACTCGGGCATTGAACAATAACCAAATAAATTAATGTCACAAACGACCTTTCTCCAAACCTAAAACAAAATGCTTGCGTATTTTCTCTTGGTCAAAAGAAACGTCCGACGGGTCATTTTTTGCCGTGTTTTAATACATGATATTACAGCGCAGGCGCTTGTTAAAGGAAATACCGTTACAGGAAATGAAAATAAATGACATCGCACTGAATGATCTTTACGTCGTCTTTACGTCCGTCGCAAAAAAAAAATGATCTTTGAAGTATTGGCAGAGCAAAGGTAAAAATATCAGCTCCTTTACCTTACACACAACCTTAACCCAAAAAAGACTAGAACTAAAGAACTAAATGCTGGAAAATAATGACATTAATAAACAAGAGAATATATTCTCTTGTAATAAATAGTGATAACTCTAAATCTTTGAATTAAAATCTTCGTCATTTTCATACTCAAGTCAAATTTAAATCCCCAACTTGTATTGAGCCTCTTTCCACCGCACAATTAATAATTCTACATAATGAGGACATTTCTTGAGGTCGCGACTGTTGCAGAAATTTGTTTAATTATTTCCATAAAACCCTGAACTCAACAAAGTGCAAAAATTTTGAGATGCCTGCATCTTACCAGAAAAAGTGCATCTAAGAATATACACAACTTGATCACTAAAGGTTTTTGCCGTCTGTTATTGTATAAACAATAGCCTTCATTTGGCGCGAAAATATACACGGATATTTGTCCACGGTCACTATCTGTTCCGAGATGCGAACAGTTTTCAGAGAGCAAACCTCGGGGAAAACTGTGAGCTTCGTTGTAATTACTTTAAGTAGTCAACAAAACATCAGAATATCTCTTGTCAAAATAAGTAGTTTACTGAACAACCTTATTTGCATAAAAAAAATTGCTCCCGGAATTTAAAAAGGCCAACTGCATTCATTATGGTGCTACGTATTTCATGTCACCCGTACGACTAGGGCTTTCGATATAAGCATTTATGTTCGTGTATCTCAACTAAAATTTGTCAAAAATACCTCAAAAGTATTTATTCGGGCAACTTCACAAACAGCTCTATAAACTTCGATTATGAAATGTTAAGTTCTTTGCTCAAAAAATGACATTGTGTCTGATACTAGGACGAGTAGCTTAAGTCACTTATAATTCCTAAAGTCAGTCCTCATGCCTATTTCTCACTTGTTGAATGAACCTGGTGTTAATTATAACATAAAACGTCAACCTGAGGTAGTGCTTGTTTCACGATAGATTTCACCCCGTCTTCTTCCCCCAGTGGATTGCCTCGTAGCTTCTGCGTCATTAGATTAGGAATGAATCTCAAACTGTCCAACAAAACACGCAAGTCCCTCTCATCCAAATTTAAAAGTCTAAGATCAACAAACCACAAGCTGGGAAAGAAACGAAGACACTCAGTAAGTGGAGCGAGACAACCTCTGCGACTAAAAAAAGAGAATTCAAAACCTCCTAAAGCTGAAAATGTTTTATTAAATCCGCTAAATAGAGCCTCTCTTTCCTCCACTTGTACGGTGCTCCACTTCCTCCCACTTAACGAGAGACATTTCAGGAACTAACCGACCAACTGCCGCAGCTGTTGCTGGAGTCAATCTCATGTTCCAATCCTTTCAAAATTCTTACAGTCTCTAATTATTGTACTAAAACAGCGCACTATCTGCTCGTTAACGTGTACACTAATGTTTAGAGATCTAAGAAATTTCAGAGATGATGGCTCGAAACACAAACTTGTGGAGTGAGATAGAGTAAAATTCTCAGTGAATAGTCTGGCATGGTCATCACACATCAGTGACAATTCAGTGAAAACAGTGCCTGGCCACAGTGGAAATGGTTATCTATTTAGTTCTTCTAAAAAGCTAGGCCCAGTGCTAGTGCAAAACCACAGGTTGGTTATGACCTTGAGTAAATATTCAAGCCTGAGAGCCTCTTGTTCTCTTTCGAAGAGAACCAGGAGTGCAGATGTCAGCAGATGGATGAAGGGAAAAATAATAATTTACCTTAACCCATCACAGGTTATTTTCCAATTCTATTAATTAAGTTTGAAACCCATGGGTCTGTTTATCAGCAAAGCAATTGAAATGGTGTGAGCAGAGTGAAAATCCCCATTAGTGCTCACAGGAGTATAATCAAGTTTTTTTTGGTGGACAGTATAGGAAGGCCAGATGGATAGTGAAAGTGTTCCTACAAAACTGACATTTTTTTGTTGACAAAAATATCAACAATTTATACTTAGGAAAGTGAAAATATTTTAGTCTTTAGGGCTCTTCATTTAAGAGCTTTTTATTGCTTAAAACTTTATAAAGCCCATGCAGCAGGCACCCAGAAAAGTAACCATAATAAATATACACAAACAATATTTCGAACAAATACAGTGGTATATAAAAACAGAAAACACCATAATAGTGTTTATAATAGTTTATTTTAAAAATTACTAATTTAATTATTCATAATAAATATTGTAATAACATGCCTCCTGGGACTGATTCATTTCCTAGGTTTCAAGAAGAGGGGGAGGAGGGGGTTACTAGACAGAGGCCTGTAAGGGAGGCAAAGCTCATTAAAAATTCTAATAAATACATTGAACAGTTAAGACTCCTTAAGTGGAAAACATATGATATTCAAAAGGGAAACACACACAAAGATTTTTAAATACACATATTCATCATGCTGAAGCACTTCCTAGCTAAAATGGACAACAATACCCAAGGACCTTTACATCATTTTCCCCAGAAGTTTAAAACAAAGTCATTACACCAACCACTCAACCCATTATTTCTGACATGATTGTCACAATACATAAGAGTAAAAAAAGCAAAAAGAACTGTGAAGAGTCCTTTCAGATTTGGTGCTCAAATCATTGTGTCAATACTGTTTGGAGATGATGAGCATGAAACTACCATTGATAGGTAAACATTAGATAGGTGGAAGGGATGAAAACAAGCAGGTGTCAACTGCCACTCAAATGTCCTGATAGTAGTTTGGTGCTCTACCCAGATTGTGCTGACTAAATCACACCAGTAGGTGAGTGCCCCAACAGAAATTTTGATCCAATGATTAAGAACCAGACAAGGATACTCTTCAAAGTCATAAGATACTGGTACATCAAGAAATGCACTAAATTTCAATTTTTTCAGGTTATATTTGCATATCAAGCAAGTTTCATTCTAAAATTGTGCTTTTTTTCGGAGGCAATGAGCAAACTTACCTTCAATGTGAAGGAAGCTTGGAAATGTTAATCCAACACAATAGAAAAAAAAACCCAAAAGGGACAAAATAAACTAAATGGGAATGTCAATGGTTAGGGGATGGGGTAGATAAACTCAAATTGTTCAGGTTCCAAAATTTTTAGCTAAATAATTTTTTTGAAAGATTTAAAAGCTGTGATGTACTGCTGTAGCCCTGTTAATGACTATCAAGAGCAACATTATCAATGAACCAAGTCAATTCCCCATTTTCTGGGTTAAGGCCAGTTACAGGGTAATTCCATACATCAACATTAACACTGGAAATAGTTTTCACTATATCCTTCTTCTGATCACCCAGAGCAAGAACAGCCACAGATTTAGCCTTGTTAAGCAGGCCAAAAGTCGTTGTCATTCTCTTTTTCACTGCAGAATCTTGACCACTCTCAGATAAAGTAACAAATTTTTCCTTCTCGTTTAGAGCTGATTCATGGGGAAACAAAGAAGCTGTATGACCATCGGAACCTAATCCAAGAACAACAAAATCTAACTGATTGTTGCTGAGGGACCTGCTGAGCTCAGCCTCATAATTTTCAGCTCCTTCATCACTTTGCGCACACAATCCACCTTTTAACATAACATGCATTGGGTGAAAGTTGAAAGGAGAAATTGGTACATGTTGCAAAAGTTTCTTATAAATTAAATAAAAATTGGATTCTTGATTATTTAGAGGGACACATCGTTCATCCACAAGCCAAACATGGGAATGATGCCATGGGAACTCTTTGGCTATAAATGCGAGGGTCTCATAGAGCATTACAGGAGAGGTGCCACCTGACAAGGCCAGGTGAAAGACCCCTTTGGCAGATACCTCTCTGAGGGCATGGCCAATAATTTTATTGGCAAGAGTTCTTATTACTTGGGATTTTGTTCCAGTTACCAGATCGCTGTTCCTAAATTTTTCTTGTTTGTAATAGTTAGCTGGTGGTTCATTGGATTTGCATATTCTGTTCGCATCACAACTTCCATCATCATTATTTGAAGAAAACTCAAGTCTTTCTCCTGAAGTAACAAAATTCAACACATCCAAGCTTTTCTGGTCATATTGGCGAGGTAATTCTCTTTTCAAAGTGTCCAGAAAATATGACCATACTTTCCAAGAAGATATGAGATCTTCCATTCCAACAAATAAGTTTTTCTGTTCATGATAGACAGCAGAAATTAGAGTTGTATAAGCATCAGCTGATTTGTTGAAGATAAATGCATTGAAACTGTTGGCTGAACAACCAAACAGCTGATCCTTTGTAATTGCTACTGATGATAATGGATTAAAAGACTTTGGCTTTGGAAGAAAACCTGAAAGAAGTATACCTGGTTTTGTGAGTTTCTCACCTTGAATGTTAAACACTAACTGCCTGATATCACAGTTATTATCATATGATGCTCCAGATTGAACTTTATGTACATTGTCTTTAAAAACTATACGCACATAAGCTGTGCGCTCATCAAGCTGCTTTCCAGAAACCAAAATAAAAGGCACACCATCCCAGCGAGCATTGTTGATAAACATGGACACAGCAGCAAAAGTTGGGGTATTTGAATTGTCATCTTTTTTATTTTCCTGGCCATAGTGCATGTTGTAATCTTTATACTGACCAATAACACCACTCCATCTATCCATAGCTTTGATCTCCTTTAGCAGCCTCACTTTATTTTGCATGATGCTTATTCTGTCATTCAGACTGTCTGGTAACTCCATGGCAACCAGAGTAAGAAGCTCTGTCATGTGATTTTGCATAACATCTCGGATAACACCATAGTGGTCGTAAAAGCTAGTCCTCCCTTCACAGTCATTCTTCTCTTTCAAAACAATCTCTACTCTTTCGATGTGATCACTGTTCCACAAATCTTTGTATAAGTTACGATTGCTATACCGAAACTCTAAGATCTGAGCAACTCCTGTTTTGCCAAGGTAATGATCAATTCGGTAAATTTCCTTCTCGTCGAAATAATTCGACAAGCTTCGAGCTAACTCCTGCGCAGAGGCCAGGTCTGAACCAAAAGGCTTCTCAAGGACTATGCGAATCCAGCCATGTTTATCTTCAGCACGACGACAGAAGGAATCAATCCTTTTCGCTATCTGTGGGTACGCAAATGGAGGCACAGACAAGTAGAAAATGAGGCCCCTCTCTCTTTCGCCTGCCGCTATATCATCGCCCATAATCTGACACAGAGATATGAAATCTTGGTCATTTTTTAGTCGATGGTATTCCTTTACACTTTGATCCACAAAAACTTTCTTCTTCTCTAAGCACCAGTTTAACGTTTTGCTTTCAGAACACTTTAAAGACGCTTTTAAGATATCATCAATCTTTTTCTGGCCAGACTCGACACTTTCACGCGCCGTAGGGTAGACTCTGACAGTACTCCTCTCATTCGATTCTTTTATGAAGAGCGAGAAAAAACCTTGCCATAAATATCTTTTTGCGAGGTCCCCAGTGGCGCCAATCAAAACAATATTAGTCACATTTCGCGGTAAATGCTGAGATTGTTGACTATCATTGGCAGAAATTTGTCTATCGGAATACAAAAGCACCATTAACAGCCTTGCCAAGGCACAGAGGTTAAATCTGTTCGGCACCATCTTTAACTTTCAAACCCAGTCTCCACTCAGTTCTGCATTTAGTATAACGCAAACTGCGTGACAAATCGTACTTCATTTCTATATTGTGCATTAAGACCTGAATTCTTCTCTTTTCTGTTTTTAATGTTCGATTCCACATCTTATTAGCTTCCCACCATCATCTACGTTTTTTTAGATGCACTAAATAGGACGTTTTAAAAAAAAATGATAATATCCTGTAGGATTTCCGGTTAACGTGACTGAAGCACGCGATGTAGTCATTACTTAAAATATCTCATTACATTCCAAGTTTAACATTTGGGTGAGTGATGAGGGAAATAACAAGATTTGGGGAAAAACTCACAGGAAATAATTAGTCTACTAGTAAATCGCTTGCGAAAGCTTTTAAGCAAGAAAATAGAAAAAAACCTATCTGCACTAAACGCATTTTGAACCGAGCTTGGAAAGCAGCCCGTGTTTCGTATGGCCGCTGTGGAAACTTTAATTGGCGAACGAAGCTCACACAAGGAATTCTCTGATAGCTGTTACAACAGTAATTATAAGGTTGGTCAATTGTACTCGATGACAAGCATCACAGGGAAACCAGCGGAGCGACCGAGTAATATAAGCAATAATAACAGTGTTTTGGAGATGTCGCTGTTCACTTCAGATGGGAAAGTTCTTACCGCCTCACAAGAGATGCCCTTTGGCGATTTAGTCGCAGAAGAGACCTCAGACCTTTTAACGCCAGATAGTCACGCTTCGGATGCCGACTTAAAAGGGTCAGAAAAACATGTTAAAGTTACGATTAATGGTTCAGTTATGAAACATTACCGAGCAGAGGAATGCAAAGAACGTTACTTAGCAAACTGTGCTAACGAACAAAGTGCTGAAACGTCTGAAAGTTCAGCGAAAGTGAAAGAAAGTGGAAGCCTTTCAAATGATCATGACGTAGCCATTTTGGAACAGAACGGACCTTTGAGTCTTAAAGAAAGGATTTCTAACATTGACATGAGCATTGAATGGATAAGAGGCGAACTAACGCTAATGCAAGCTCAAGATTTGTCGCTAAGACACCAATTTGAACAGCTTTTTAAAGACGTGATGGAATTAAAGTTACACCAGGAAATGGAGAAAGACGAATACCAATTTATTGAGGAGGAAATTTCATTTGAAGAGGAGTTCTAGAAACCGAAACTATTTTGATATTTTAGCGTATGCACATACTATAATGAAAATATTAACTTGATGTCATCTGTTGCTCTGACAACAGCAGGTTCTTTTTAGAAAATACAATGTTTGGATGAAATTTTGTTAAAAATTAATATTGCGTAACACAATCGCTCTACGTAAGTGCCACGATTTTCGTTGCCCCCTGGAAAGCCGTGTGACTTTCACGTGGGTTCCACGTTTATGTGTAATTCGCCCAAGTAAACGCGATGCGCGTTGCCCAGGCTTAGCTAGGAAAGTTGGCCTAACGTATTTTTAAATAAGGAAGTTTATTTTTATCCCTGTGCCTTCTGTTAGCGTCATTTCCTCTCGAGAGACATCTTAGTCAAAGATCGGATGTGATTGCCCAAAAGAACAAAAACTGATCTACATAGACAGTCAAATAAGACATAGCACCTCTCCTTCGCCGGGGAAAGCTCTGTGCAGGGAACCACCTTAATTCACGGGAATCAAGTTGCAGCCCTCTCGGGAAAAAATTTCCCGGCTCAGTTAAACCTGTATATCTATTGCCCCCTTTTGGAATAATATTGGTATTCTCTAGCTCCCCAGAACGCCCTCTTGCGTTCTAATCATGAGGAAGTCTCTAAAACGAATTCCAGAAATGCTTCACAAAAACTTTGACCTTAGAACAGCCTTGGAATTTAAGAAAATTTGAAATGACGCGTATTGCGAACAGAGGAAATTTCATCACCCGAAATACTTCCATAACAGTACAGTGGACGTTGAATACAATAAAAATTTTCAAACAAGGTCATGCGCAAGAAGAGAGATACAAAGCAAGATCTGATTGATAAAGTATAATCAGTTCGTTACTTGAAAATATGATTTACTTGGATTTACAATTAAAAGCAAGCGAGGTTCCACTTCAAAGCCTGTCATTCTTCCGTATGGCTTGACTGTAGTATGTGCCTTCATTCAACAGATGCGCTGCCATTTCAGACGCCATCGTTAAGTTTTCGGGTTTCTTTAATTTTATTTCATCTTATTTAAGATCTTAAAACTTACCAAGTTGTTGAGTAATGGTGTTCAGCTTTTAATTTTTACTGTAGAGTAAACTCTTCATAATTACATTCCTACACTAATTATCATAACATTGAATATGCATAATATGATAACTTTGTATAGTTCGAATCGAAGATCGATTGGGATTTACATCATTTTACATTCGCTTCGCTCTGATGTCAGTGAAGCAATTGTAAACCAAGGTAGCTCACTGGCTTTAGACCAGGAAACAGTCAGATGATTCGAAACAGATCCGCCTAAGATCGTAAGAGATTTCCGAGCGAAAGAGTTTCGCTCTGAGGCTATGAAAAATGTAATGCATCCCTGAGTAACGTAACAAACAAAGCGTGCTTTTCTTGGTCTGGAAACTGTCAATGGCAATCAAACAAACATGGCTTTCCTCCATCTGGCGAAGACTACGCCCATCGTATGCTAGTGGTGATGTTAGTATAACAATTTCAGAATTGCTTTCTTTTTTTCCTTCGTTGTACATCGGTCTGTAGGCCAGTGTAAGGTATAAGGCAAATTTATGCGGCTGCCTGTAATATATGTTGTTGGATGTAAAACAGGTGAATGTCGCAATGATGAAAATTAAGTAATGTTAAGAAATTTTCTCCCCCAACCTTGACACCAAGTTACAGACGTACAATAAACTCACAGGCCTCTACATAGGTCACGTGCATATTCTTTTTTATGGAAAATACAGTTAAGAAATTTTCCTTTGTTATCGTCAGATTACTTATCTTTCTCGAATGGACAGAAATGCCCGAATATTAGTTTTGCGCGTTCCTCCCTTTCTCGCGTTTTCCAATGAATTACTCGGGTTAGAGTTAGGTTTGGGCAAACCTCAAGCGACTAGAATCTTCGACAAAAGTCTACGCGTTCTCCGGTGGTCAGAAAATCGCGAGAACCAACACACTCGGCGAATGCCGGCAAATGTAGTCGCCGGTGATGCAAAATTTTATTTACCGATTGTGACGATCAAAGAAAAATGGCCAACTGCGTCACAAGCTTTTTAATCATTACCTTGATGGTACAAATGATCCGCGGGGGGCCCATGCTCTCTATTAGAGGGTAATATTATAAAGCTTTAATTTGTATGGGAGATTAGGCTCCGCTCTGGAACTCCGTAAATAATAAAGCAATTAAACTAATAGTTAAAGCAATTAAAATATAGTGTTTTTTTGTGTTATTTTTGTTTTCAGGTTGCAATTTCAGGTCATTTCGTCGAGTTTTAGAATTTATTTGCTTTAAAAGTTATCATTAAATGAGATCTATGCAACCGTTTCTAATGCTGTTATTCGTGAGAATTAAATCGAGTTTTTTTGAAAAACTTGGAACGCAAAATCCATCCTCTAACAGCTTCGTTCTTTACCTTTGATTAAGACAAAAGATTCGATGAAAGAGAGATTAAAAAGAACACCTCACCTCGTCAACTGACGGAAATTCTGTTATCATAATACTTAATAACTGCTGAATAGTGGGTGAGTAGTAATTGCTCAGCTGGGAAACAAATCAGCAAGATTTTTTAATATTTTATCACGATAAACTCAATGTTGGGATGACTCCTATGTGTTATTCATTCGTATGTCATTAATTTATTAATTAATTATAATTTTATCTTATTTCATTCAAGGCAACATGTTCCTCGTGTTTCATTTTATTTCATGGCCAATTTCAAAAATACGCATTTCAGAGATGTCCAATCCATCTGTGTGAAGTGCAAAGCCTAGGATCTAATTAAAATATTCAATTTTAGTTCTTATGCGAATAATATTCTTTGTCTCAATTAAGTGACAGTGGGGTTTTTCGAACTTGAGAAAGGCCCATTTCATTTCAGGGTCTTTTTTACTGTAGTGAAGAATTCTGAACTTTTGAAGAAAATTCAATTTCAAAAACAATTTTTTCTTGTAAAGAGAAGGAGTAAATAACATACATTTAAGATAGATCTCATTCGAATAAATAAAGATAATCGTAATAATTATAACCATGATAATCTGATAATTATGATAGTATAAATAATGATAGCAAATTCAACTTTCATGCCGAAATAATAGGTTCTCTCTCGTAACAATAATAATTATAATGATAATCATGGAAATTTAGCACTGTCCACTGTCTCCAGGTCGATTTTAAATTTGGAATATTGGTTCTGATTATGGAGGGAGGAAAACCAGAGGACCTGGGGAGAGACCCTCGGAGCGAGAATCGAGAAAGAGAACCAACAACAAACCCCACAGGTGACGCCGTGGCCCGTTTCTCAAAAGTCACGGTAGCTTATCAGGCCCGAAGCCATATTTTGAAATAAAAATTCAGAGATTAGAAAGGCAGGTTCTGGCACCCTAATCAGTCCATTTCCTTTCTTTAGCTTATAGTTTTATTATCATCTTGAAGGAAAACAGAATAGCTCTACGGGAACCTTCGAGAAACATCCCCAAGTTCGGGAATCGAACCGAGGCCACAGCGGTGGGAGGCAAGCTCTCTCCCAGCTCCCACTTGTATTTACATTCTGACGTGATGACGAAGATTTACAATGTAGTTAGCCTTAAAAAGATATAGTTCCACGCCTTCAACTTAGCAATGACTTCAGTTTCTTCGACACATTGCGGAATTTGCGCGGGTTTTCGAAATTCGTCGGAAGACAAGTTCACGTCACACGTCAGCTTTTTTACCCTTCACGGTGGCCAATTTACATTTTCAACTCAGTTGTTAACACTAAATTACCAGCTATACTCTCTCACCGACGCGGCACCATAGTTTCTTTAGAAACTTACCCCTTTATTAACGTCACAACTAGTATTGCGATAGTGAACATTTCTATTCATGACTTCAAAGGGAAATAACGTTAACCTCATTATAAAACTTTTCGTGGTAATAACAAATACAGCATCAGGATTGACATAATTTAAAATAACAACAATAGTCTCTGTCATGCATCAGATGCAACCAGAAAAGTCACTCAAAGGCATTATTGATGGTGACATCTCCGTCGAGTAAGTAAAAAATGAACAGCTGCTTCGGCTTTGTTAAGTCTCGTCCACAAAGCGAAGCTTTTAAGACGTCTTTCAAGGTTCTTACGTGGAGAGAATAAAGTGGGATAATTAGAGTACACTCGTGAGTTGCTGCTTTAGCGAAAATGCCTTTTAGTGTTTTTTTTCTTTTGCAGAGAGAGAGAGCATCTCAACACCTCAGTTGCCACCTAAATGTATATTCAGTGGCTGCCGTATAACTTGATCATCTTCATTTTTAAAGCCTTAGGTTTTTAAAATATCTTGCTTAAGTTCTGAATCACCTTTCTATAACGTGACTTTAAATTTTAGTTTTCAGTACCAAAAAAAAAATGATATTAACGTATGCTTACCAAAAAGAAGACGTGAGTTATTCATGCCGGTTAGCCTTCAATATTGCGCACGTACGTCTCACGGAATCATTTTACCAAACTGCAATTGATATTCGTTTCACATTACATCACGGAAATGTAAGCGATGAATGTGAGACATAAATATGGTACGTGCAGTGACTCTCGTTATGGATTGTTATGCACGACAGTAAGTTGTATTTGATCTAACAAAAATAACAAAACTTGTCTGCAGCTGGCAATAAGTACCACAATTTTAGCAAAAATAGCCGCTTAGTGGTGCCTAATGATTTTCCTCTTATACGAGGAGAGCAAGTTTCATGCAGCAAATAGTTTGTAGAAACAAAAGAGTGACAAATTGTCTTGATTAGTAGAAGTTAATGGCGTTATTGATCGTAGTAATCTATCAATGCCAGTCAGAGAAGATATTGGTTAAAACCATGTAAAGGGGGAAAGGCGGCGTGTCTCTCTTTACCTTCTTAGACGCGCACATCGGGGAATAGTTCTCCGGGTTTTTTTCTCCGCCGGACGTTTTCCCCCTAGTAGAGAGCATAGCATCTCAATTGCAAATGTCACAGAGTTTTGATTCAAATACTAAAAATCTTAACGTAGTAAGACAGCCAGTCCTTTCTTAGGCTAACGAATATCAAATCGATCTTAATCGTGGCTCGAGCCACAATACCCAAATTTCAATCGAATTAACAAAGGTTCAGTAGATCTTCAATTGATCAAACGTATTTCCCACGGAGCATCCTTTCGAAGATTCCCCAGGGAAGCCTCCGCTGGGCTCTTGGTGCCTTGAACCCTCACAGAGAATGAGACGAAGGAGTATCATTGCGCATGTCGACAGTACGTGGCAAGCGTGGAGGACGTAAATTTTAAACATACACACTTTCATATCTTTTATATTTACATCTCAAAGGGTAGTGGGGAAACCCGTATTTCAAGATCTGCTTTACTTATGAAAACTGCCAGCCGTTTGCTTCGCTAAAGAAATTTTTTTCTATCTTAGCGGAAACGTAGAACCCTAAGGTGGAGGCTATCTTTGATCAGTCATGATATTAAGGAAAGAGTTGAATAATTTCCGTGCTTGAATTTCAAACACAATGAAACAGAGAAAAAAAATTTTAAAAAACTGAGGAATTTTGAATACCTCAAAAAAATTATAGATAATCATGTTCCTCAAAAATGTTTTCTTGACAAATTTAGTAATTTCGGAAGAAAAAAAAAACGGATGACAAAACAGACTTGTTTTTAATTTTGTTGGCAGCAGAGGCGAATAACCTTTAATAATTGATAATGTTACCACTCTGGTCTGCTCTGTATACCCGCTTTTCAAATTAAAATGTAAATTTAACAAGTAGCGTGCTTTTTCCGTGGCGCAAGGGGTGACTTGAGTCGTCAAAACTGAAGTTTATTTGATACCATGACGCCAAACTTGTCAATTTTCTTGCGTGGAGCATGATGTTTCCAAATCAAAGGAAGCTGTCACAGTCATTATGAAACGCATTTATTTCATATTAAAAAAAAACTGCCATTTTACTGCTTGCTAGCATTTGGATTTTTTTTTCAACTTTTTCCATAACGTTCCCAAAAATGTCAAGGATACTAAATAATATAATAAATGACGATATGACATAAGCCATATCGATAACGAATGATGAGTAACCATCTATTGCAATTAACACACGTCAAAGGTACTTACTGACTCATAGTTAAGAATTGCTCAGAAAACATAAAATTTTAAAATTTTAAATTTAACTGAATTCGAGCAATATATATCGACAAAATAAAGAAACTTTCTCTTAAAGTACTGATGTCCGAGGATAAAAGCAGTTGTCTGGTGGTCTGTTCAATAAGATCCTCTAGTTATTGTATGGTATAACATTCACGTTTTGAAACGTGACGTAGGATAGCTAAATATTAGAACACGAGAAAGCGAAAAACACGATTTGCATCTTAAATTCACCGCAACTGGTAATGAGTTTTGTCAGATCAATTTAACATTTATGTGTTTCCTGCCATTATTCAATAAAAAAAAAATGGCATCGTTTTCCTGCGATTGCCATGGCAATGTCTAAATGTTATTGTTGCGAGCGTCGACAACGCGAATGAACAATGAGGTGATTCATATTCGAAACCTCCACTATTTTTTACGCTGGTTTTAATGGTCACAGTCCGAGTAATAGCGAGACACCGGGTTATCTTGATTAAGAGAAATAAGTTACCCTCGGCATGCTTTCAATTGAAATACAAATACATGGCGCCATCTTATGTGGAGAAAATTTACACACCCTTTGTTAGTCTGTAGAATTTTGGCTTAACGAGCCAAAATAGTCCGCTTGAAAATTACAAGAAGAACATAAATTATGCAAAGGTTTTTCTCTTTTCTATTGTAGCTGAGGATTCATTTAACCTTCTGGAAACTCTTCACCGTATAATTGAGCAGCAGTCTTTCTTCCTTCATCTAGACTTGAAAACAAACAAAAAATTCTTCGTGTACCTGATATCAGTTAAGTTCAAAAGTTATCGAGTATTCATTAGTGAGAACACGAAAAACGCGTGGCAAATTTATTTTTTTGGGTTATTCGTCGATCGACGTACAGTTGTGCCTTCACTGGCAGTATGCTTGAATCGGTTAAATCTGTTACGACCGTTAAAAATATCATGGTTAAAAATAAAGATCCGTGTAGAGTTTCATTAGATAAAATTGACAGTTCTTCTCTGAACTTTTCGCGTTTAACATCATGGAGCTGAGGCTACGTGACAAAAAACGTCAAATTTTTTAACCTAAAGAGAGGAACAAAAACTGGGGCTCGGACAATGTTCTTATGAGTTTGGGGCTGTGTGTTGACTTTGATAAGCGAGTGAGCTCAGAGCTAGAGGGAAAAACGCTATACCGGAAAAGCTCTATTGTCAATGCAATATTCACAACAAAATAAAGATGACGTCACACCAGCTTTCATTTTGTGACAGCACGAGAGGAAAATTTTATCTCTTAAATGCGTGCCGGGAATTTTTGAGTAAATTTCCTTCCCGCGTATGTTCTGGAAAGGAAAACCGAAAAAACAACAACAAAAAATGGTTTATAAATGTTAGTCCATACTGCAGCTCACAGGAGGGCTTTTCAATGAACGGTTTTCTATCCACTAACTTTCAATAATTAGTGATCCAACTTTAATGAAGGCTTGCCGCTGTAGTGGACTTCAACTGCGCATGCTCTTAGAACAGGTGTTGAAGGTAGTAACGTCTTCGGTGCAAGCCATATTGTCAAGCCTACCAACCAAACAGCGAGTAATCTAGCGGCGGCGAAACATATTGTTATAACGTGTTTTTCTTGCCTTCGCGACGCTCGGCCATGCTCCTAGCGGACTCCGAGGACTTTCCGACGATGTGAAATCGCACTAAAGTTTGTATGCTTTCCTCCACTTCTTTTCCCTATGTTACTCAGGCTTAATTATGGCATTAAGTCAAAATACAAAGAAGCTGATTATACGGATTGTGTTATTTCTCGTCTACCTTCTCGTTGGAGCTGCAATTTTTCAAGCGATCGAACGTCGCAACGAGAAGAAAGAACGAGAAAATTTTCCGTTCGAGGACATCAAGACAAAGTTTCTCACCAAGCACAACATTAGCGAGAGTGAAATGAACGAGTTCCTTAGGAAACTAAAGAAAGCTATAGAGCTGGGTTTCGATTTGCAGACGGGAAAATTTCCTGACGAAGAACAGTGGCATTTTATGAATGCATTTGTCTTCGCTGGGAATGTAGTTACTACTATAGGTAAGTAAATCTTTAAAAGCTGTTAACTTAAGGCGATTGAAGTAACAATAGAGTAGATTTTGCGCGGAGCGCGGCGTAATTCTTCGCTGGCTTGAAATCCGCGCAATACGACTTACGCATTATGAGCCCTAGCAACAGCTAACAGCGCGCGTGAAATGATAGCTCTATAAGAGCGACTTAGAGCATTAGCAAGCCAAAATCGCTATTTATCTTTGCGCCTCTGTTGCAGGTAGCTCTTAGATCGCTGATGTGTTATATTTAGAGCACGATTCGTACTTGTTTTCGACAGAGTTTCGCATGAATTCAAAGAAGTCGTAGTGATGCTTAGACATTACAGATTCGGTCAATTTTGGCTTCGTCTCATCAGAGGCAGCTGTGTCCAATGATTGTTTAATATTTAAATTTTTCAAGGCTTTAAATGTGCCGAGGAAAACGCAGCCAGCAGCACTCGAAGAAATTTATAACATTGAAGAATAATCAGCCAAATAAGAGAGGAAACTCAATCTTCCACGTCGAGAACGAATATTTGGTCTTATTCATCTCTGAAAATGTAATAACAATATGCTTAAATTGGCTGCCCAAGCATAAACCTCTTAGAATTTTTACAGCAGGGATTTATTGGCTGCTTTATCTGCTTGTTCCATTCCATCGTGTAGTACTAGGGAATAAACAATCCTTAAAAAATGATGCTACGATGTATAACACTCTTTCATAATTATGTGTCTATCAGAACTTTGTTTTTGGTTCTGTCATTTCTCTTCGATTAATTGTGTATGTAGGTAATATTATAAGGTATTACGCAAGCCAATTTTATCGGAAGTATTACAAAAGCATTTGTAAAGACGCGAAAGGGTATAGAAATGTCCCTACTATTTAAACCTCAAACATTTACATTTACTAGACAACGGCTAAAGCCGCTCATGATTTATGCTTCTAAATTAACAATCCTCATGTCATTTTAAGGAACGAAGATGATCACTTTATCGAGCTAACACAGTCTGTTTTCGATATCTTTGTTTTCATTCAACCCGCCTCGCAGATTCTAGCCGCAAAACGCACTGCGGTCATTTGCCGCAACAAAGCACTCAAATGCTTTAGATAAACAACATATGTGGAGGTTAAGTATTGCTCAGCTCGAATGCTAATGTGTTGTAATCAACTAGAGCAATTTTCAGGCGTCTAGTTTTAAGATCCTGGGCCTGGATATTAAGTGAAACTGGCAGTAGAACTGGCGGGAAAAACAAATTTCCAAACTTCAACCGTGGTTTTTGAGTGAACTCTCGATAATTATAATCACAACTTTGACGCGTTGATAGCCCGAACAAATTAATAACAACTTCGTTGGATTTAAAATGGATCTGTATTTAACTTATATGTCGCTCTCACACAAATATTTGTTGGGGCTTAACGTAGTTTAGGCACTGACAGTTGCCCAGGCGCACGAAAAAGGAACACGAGACGTTGGGATGTTAGTGAGAGCACTAAATTTTGCGAGTTTTTTTTTTGGCGCAAAACACGAAGAGAAGGTAGCAAATCATACAAGTGACTTTATATTTATCTCTGCTACTATGATCCTTGGTGTTATTATAATCATTAGTATAGCTATTATTACACTTAAGGTTTATATGTTTTTGAAAATAAACTTGCATGGTTGAGTTGTTCATCTTTTTCCGGCTAAGGGTTTGTACTGTATTTTTTCTCTTCATCAGGTTACGGTCATCTAGTTCCAACTTCGTCTTTGGGTCGTTGGTTTTGTATCTTCTACGCATTAGTTGGAATACCCTTAACGGGTCTGACGCTTCGTTCCGTGGGTAACCGGATTTCTGAGGAAATTTCTTCGATTATAAAAGGTTTCGAAAGAAAGGTTTACAACAGAGAATCAGATAAACTGGAAATCAAGACTGCCATTATAGCTTTTATTTTGCTACTGGTGATAATAATAATCCCAGCTTTTGGATTTCACGCATTAGAAGGATGGTCCTATGAGAATTCGGTTTATTTTTGTTTCGTTACCTTATCGACCATTGGATTTGGTGATTTTGTAACAGGGAATCGTACAGGTTTAATAGAGGACGAGGCAACCAACGTTGTTTTGGAGTTTCTGAATCTCATCTATATGGTTGTAGGACTGGCAGTTATGTCTGGTGTCATTGTTTCAATAAGTGGAGTTATCGAAGAAAAAACTAAACTTATAGCTATGCCAGATCCTTTTGAAACATTAAGAGTTGGAAATTTGAATTCAAAAGCTTTAAGGAAGCTTGGAATGGGACCAGCAGGCCCCGGTGACGGTGTCAGGCCTAAAATAGACAGAATCCCTCCGAAAATAAACTCACAGTCAGTAATGCGAGCAGGGATACCTGAGAGTGGTGGATCAGTTCTAGATCGCAGTCGATCTGCCGACAATATGGACTTTCAAGGCCCGACGCCAATTCTACATTTAACTAAAAATACTGAACAAACTGGGGAAATTTCGAAAAACGAAAGATCTCCCGAAAACTGCACTAGACCTAAATTGTTATTTAATAATAAAGTTGTTCCAGTCGAATCTGCGGGAGCGTTGACTGAGCAAGGTCCCAGAAAGAATTCTACATTGTCATTCGAAAACAGAAGCGACAGTCACGACGAAATTGAGAGGGAAGTCGCTCCTGATGAAGGAAATTCGAGAAGAAATACTTTAACAGAAAAAAGAGGAAGCAGAAATGAACTAGTAAGTATTCTAGTTTGTGAATAATTTTATCGCTTCAAAGACAAAAATCAAATCAGAATTCAAATTTATAAAAATTGACTACTAAATACCTTGTTTAACTTAGTTCTGTTCTGCCCTCTTTCTTTTTTTTCTTTTCTGTTTTTATTTTGGTTTTCATTGAGGTTGAGATGACCGAAAGAACGAGAGATGCGAACCATTTATAAACCCACGGTTTTAGTTTGATCGATGGGTTTTAATGACTTTCTGTAACTTCCACGGTTTTCCTTTGTTCATGCTGACTGATGTTTAAGTAAATGTGAAGCATAGAACTAAATTCGACTGTAAACCAGGGTTACAGTTAAATTGCTTTTAAATCTTAATTTTGAGACTTATTCCTTTTTTTTTTCCTAAGAATCCATCAAAAATAAAAACCCGGAAGATTTGTCGCAGTCGCAATGAAACGAACTTCAATTCCTGTTTGACTTTAAAAGGATGTGAGATATAAGAGTTAAAAAAAAAACAAAGACGCCTTAGAATAATATATAGCGATGCCACTTTTTCAATAGAAGCACCTGTAATTTAGCTTGTTTTTATGTTCGCAGTGCGCCGAAATTAAAATAAGATCGATCTACATTAATATTCAATGCAGCGCCTTACAGTTTGACACAAGAATATGTTTCTTTTGTTGGGGTTTCAAAAGAATTTTCCCGCCTTTGCAGCACCTAAGTTTGTTTCTCATACAAAAATATCAAAAGTCATTTACAAATGGTAATTTTTTTGCGAATTTAAAGCTACTGTTGTGAGATCATCTTTCTATGGCGAACATTTGTCGAACAGCCGTAAACAGAAATATAGTTGCTTTGGATTAAAAAAAAAAAAAAAAGCACAAGCTGGATTTGTGTTCATTATTTTATTTTGTTTATGCCCTCCAAAAATTTCATTTGCGAAAGTTGGCACTATGATAACTCACAGCGAGAAAGAAATACGATTCTTTTTTTAGACTAAAACACGTTGCTAAAAACACGTTGCTTAGACCCGAAATGCGGTCTAAAGTATTCCTTACCTACGCTTGGTTGTTTCAGTTGCCGTGACGTGTTCTTTTGACAGCTGTAGTCGTTTAAAAGAACTGTCTTGTCAATTTCTAATGATATTTGCCGTCTATACGCCCCTGCCTTGAACTAATATTTTACTCTTTCTTTTGAAATATAGGTATAAATTTGTAAAACTCTTGACTAAATTTTTCATCGCTTTAAATGGACGATACCATACCTTAAGACGATGGCAGAATTTAGATAGTTTGACTCGGCTGCCTGAAAACTCAATCGTGGTAATATTACCGAGCGAGGTTAAGTATTGGTCAGCATGCGTGATGTACCAGATTCTCGTTTTGAAATGATTTTAAAGCTTTATTTTCCTGTGATTTTTTAGGGTAAGCTTGGTGATTATTTGCGTCAGAAGAAGGAATTGGGGTGTGTTGTAAATAAACGTGTTAGCACATCATTACGCTGTATAACTCTGCGGTTTTTTTGGCAATTTGACGCGCTAAATTTCGTCGAGAGTTAGTAATTTATGAAATTCTTAATACTGCTGAACAAACCCAAAATGCGCTGATGACTTTCAAGTTTGGCACCTTAATTGTCTTTGGAAAGCAAACACACAGTCGTAAAACTGAAGGTGTTAAACTTGAGTGAAATTTTAAAGCTCTGCCTACGAATAAAATTCATACCGCTTTTTCAGTTCACACCAAGTTTTCGTGGCATCTTCGTAAGAATTTTTGGATGTTATTTTTTCGCAACATTTTTTCTTGGCATATTTATATCACTTGTAATTTCACAAGGAAAAATACATTATTAAAATTTTAAATTTAAACCAGTTTTAAAATTTTTGGACAATGTTCACAAAAGTTTTCCTTTATCGCAAATTAGCATTAGTATCATTCTATTGGCTTGTCTCCATGCGAAGTTCCTGCTGATTTCTGAAATCTGCCAACCATTGAAAAAAACAATTGTATTGCCAACTATTGTCCTGCAAATGACAAAACATTAAAAAATAAGAATTGGTGAACAGTTCCAGCAGAGATTCTCAAAAGAAGGATATGGAAAAAAGGGGGAGACGACACGGTTGTTATTGGCGTTCAAATATCTCAATAATGATTTTTTTAGTTCTATGGAAGCTGCAAGGGTCATTTCCAAGGAATCTTTCTCTTTAATGCGACTTAGGAAAGAAAAGTTCTCAGTGCCATTTCAAAAGCTAGAAAGGAAATCAAGCTATGAAATTAGTTTTTCTGACCCAAACCGCCATTTTTAGACGCATTTTGCAACAAAGAATGACATATTCAAACAATAACCACATTCGGTTTGCCTGCCTAACACAAGTAATCAACAGTTAAGATCTCCCGCCTCGAATTTGACTGCTGGGTGCAAATTAATATAAAAGTCCTGAAATGTGTCAGATACATCTTATTTTGAGGTCGGACTTGTTAGGATGTTTATGTGTTCGGTCGGATAAGTTCCAGTCAAAACATTTTTCTTCTGCAGTGCGATCTAATTCGTTTAAAGAAAAAAAATGAAGACGAAAACTGCCTTCTTTTCATTTTCCCGCAAGTTTGCCAGCCTCGACCACTTTGCCAACCAAAGTTTTCCTATTTTGTTTACTGCAGTGAATTGAACGTGGATCTAAATTTCCGTTTCGAATGTCTCACGCCTGTGAAAACAGAAATAAATTCTGGTATCGATTCCTTTCAATATTAAACTGCGTCTTTTATTTCACATAGGTTGTGCGAGCCTAAAGAAAAAATAAGACGAGAACTGCCTCTTTATATTTTGAGGTCGGACTTGTTATGATGTTTAGATGTTCGGTCGAATAAGTTCCAGTCAAAACACTTTTCTTCTGCGGTGCGATCTAATTCGTTTAAAGAAAAAAAATGAAGACGAAAACTGCCTTCTTTTTATTTTCCCGCAAGTTTGTCAGCCTCGACTACTCTGCCAACCAAAGTTTTCTTATTTTGCGCACTGCAGTGAATTGAACGTGGCTTTAAAGTTCCTTTTCGAATGTCTCATGCCTGTGGCAAAAAAAAATTTTATTTCGATTCCTTCCAATATTAAACGGCATTTTTATTTCACATAGGTTGTGCAAGTGCAAATGACACCCAATCCAAGTCCACGATCGTCCCCAGCCCCCTCACCAGTCCCGGTGGAGCAAGAGGAACATTCTCATGTCCGAGAGGAGCCTACTTTAGAGATAAATGAAAAAAATTTTTCATCTACTCCTAAAGGCAAGCCTACTAACGGCAACCACTTGATAAACAATGATCTTCCTCCTGTAGAAGTCTTGGAAAAAAACGCGTCGATGTTGAATGGATTTGCTAACCATGCAGCAGAAAGGACTATTACTTGTTCAGAAAACGAAACGCTTGAAATGAAGCAGCCTGCGCCTATAAATAGGTAGCAAGGAAGGAAATGTGCAAGGATAAAACAAGCAAATCATCTGCAGGTAAAGTCGGCGATATGATCACATGGGTGTCTAGCACCCAGAACAGATCAGGCAATCGGAATCAGAGGAGCAAATCACGTGCTGGACACATGAGTGCAACTCAACCCAGTCCCTCCTGCCAGAAGGGCGCAGCCATTCAACCACAACAGTTTGCTTCCGAGCGTCGACCGTGCAAATATAAACTGCAGCAGTCAAACTGGCGTTTTACCATCGCAGAGCAGATATAAGTCATCCTCACCGCGCAGCATGAAGAAATATGCAGCCCTCTGAAGAGCCCCCTCAGGAAAATTCCCTAGAAAATGAACAAAAAGTAAATGATAGAGAGCACAGGTGTTGATAGACCAGAGTTTTAAACAAGAAAAATTTGTCCGAGGACTCGTTTTAGAGCTTTCTCAAGTTTTGAGCTAAGACTTACAGCAAGGAAGAAATCTCCCAGAAGACAATTTTGCAGATATTTTTCTTTTCCATCCCTTCACATTCTGAGAAGGAAATGCAATCATTTTGTTCGGTTGACCCGTTTTTAAACTAGATTGTACTGCATTGATAATGCTCACGATGCATCGAACAGTCAAGTCGGTGTTCTGAGGCACGAGGAACAGCATTAATCAAAGCTGACTTTCTCTTGCTCTATGCAGCAGTTTAAAAATTGGCTGACTCGAAACGAGCATAAGTCGCCGCCGATCAAAGACAGGTCCTGACACAGTTTCACGCACGAACATTAAGAAAATTTTTGCGTCACGTTTTCTTTGAACAGTATTTCATTCGTCACGTGAGGGAAAACTTCAAATATCACCTTACCTTGCCCTTCTGAAAAATTTACGCGTCGTGCGTTAATTTTGGGCTCAATCATAACCATTACAATTTCCTCAAATGTAATTGTTGCATTAACTGCTTCCATTTTCACTAATCATTATGTACAGTTGTAATCGGACAGTGTAATCAGACGGTTGGCTGTAAACGGACACCTGTAATCGGACAGTTGAAGCAGCCAAACATACTGAGTCCATTCAACTAAATCCACCAATCACAGAATTGATAACAATAACCATAGCAACAACCACTGATCCTAAAAAAAAAAAAAACAGGAATTTTCAAAAGGGAGAAATTTTTACTTTAGACATTGTCTCTACCGGAGAATTTCGTCCTAAATGTATTTATTTATTTCGGAAATTGTAACAGTTATGATTAATTGGTAACAGGACTTTGTGTCGTCCAATTCGGTCTGTAATCATACTCGTGGTTAACAAATCAGGCTTCCGCTTCGCGGTCGTCCCATTTTGTTAATCACTGGTATGATTACAGACCGAATTGGACTCTACTTGTTCCTATTACTATCATTAATCAAACTTCACGTGAAAACCCTTTGCCACCTTCACCAAAGGCTCGGATCGGTTGACTGAATGTCATGCTCTTAATGTGCGCTTTCTGAAAGAAGGCCGAGAGCATTGTATTCTAAGATCAAGAAACGCTCTTTTCTACTCGATAATTAGCAAATCCTGCGGTCTTTAGCTCAGATTTCGATTTTGTCAATCAATGAAATACCCAGTAAGGTTTTTTAAGGTTATTTTTATCGATTATTTATTATTACCAAAAAACATGCACCTTAGCGTTTTACGAAATGACATGCGGTACCCAAAAAAACAATTTGTAATAGATTTTGTTGTAATTAGAATGTTAATATTATTTGTAAATATATAGCAACCAAATCGAAAGAGTTCTGAAGAATATTAATTAAATATGAAATTACTAAAAAAAATAAAAAGTCTTATTTATGAAAATACGGAAAAACAAATCTCAATTACTTGATTATGACCTGAAAGTAATTGATTATTCAGCTGTAAGTAAAAAAGGGAGATACTTTCGTAAATAAAATCCAACCAATCGTATGTTGCCTTATTTTTCGCGCGGGGCATGCGCATACTGCACGCTGAACCAAGATAGAGAAGGAAGGAACTCTGTATAGTAATCTCGTACCCAGATCCTACCGTGTTACTGTAACTGGCTTGACCATGGAATGAGTGGGTACGAGACTAGCTGTCTAGGTACATGCCGTCCTAAGGAAGAGCCGTTTTGGCTCAAAATTGGGTACAGATTTTGATCACCGGTTTTCAACGGAACCGCAAGAACGTAGAAACGTTACGTTTTTGTCTTTTCAACTCCAAATGATTCATGTAGGAGGAGAAATAACCAAAATATGTCATTCGAGCTAAATTTTCGGGTGAATTTGACTTATCCTTAATTTCGGTTCTCGTTCCTATTTTGAAGGTGGCCATAAATGTTGGATTAGAGGAGGATGTTATCAAAAAATGTTTGGTGGCAGAAGAAAATGCAACAGATCATCAAAAAGCGTGGCTTGCTAGTTTCTGGATATGGATCTACTTAAGACTTGCCTCTTAGTTTAAACAAAATCAAGTTGATTCTAAGGCTGGTACCTGGAGCTGGATGGCGACCTTTTCTGTAAAATAAATTTTAACTAATAGGGCTATACATCAGCACAAAAATATTGAGCCACTCCTTCTAAAAACAGCTTTGCTGACTAAAATCGAAAGAATATAAACTGCGCTAAAATCCATCATGAGTAAAACCCGGCTAAATGTATACACCAAGCAAACTGATTCTCCTCTCTCCCCAGTTCGAGGATGTAAATTGGTCCGCCAGCACCTTCGATGAGAGGGTAGGGATGCTAGTTGTTGCGAAATCACCGACACGGAATCAAGTATCTTGCGATGTAAAATATCTCAATAAGTTTTAATCTGGTTGTAGCTTTCTTCGCGACCACCTCTATAATAGGCGAAGAGAGTACAAGGTACTTCATCCCCTCTTGAATAAGGATGAATAAGCACCCGAATAAGCACCTGTTCAGTTTCGTGACGATAGGGGCAATCGCAGGCAACAATGATAAACAACTTCCCAAAAGCTTTGAATCCCTCAAGTTGAAAGCTGCGCTTCAGTCAGCTGAAAAGAGGCTGTTGTGGATTGGTAACGCAGCATTTTGCGTTATAAATCGAGGGGGTGTGCCTCTTCGCAAGTCGGGGGGCTGTGGGCGAAGGGCAAAAAAGGGGATAGGAGTAGGTGCTATTCCAAGGGATACGCTTTTTCTCAAATTTGACTTCAAATGTGCGTTAGCTGCTTTGAAATGAGGCTTAGACCGTCTACAAGATGCTCCAAATTCTTAAAAGGGATTCTCTGAAAGCTACTTGAAAGGTGTGCTAAACGGTATAAAAGTTGCCCAGCAATTTTCTGTAATGGCTTGCTAAAATTATTTAAACTTCCCGTTGTTCTTAAGTATTACCCAGCCAAACAACAAATTCTATGACTGATTAATTTTTATACGAAAAGTGTTGATCATCTTCTCTATACCCCTGGTGCGTACCTATCATACCATTTAACCGGAAATCTGCTTAGTTTTCTTTCGTCCTCTCGTCCTCTCGTCTTCTCGTAAAACTTGGTCACCTGATCAACGAGACTTCCGCTGATTAACATGCAAATTTATGGATATGGATGCAACCTTTTCAAAACTTCAACTCCACAGCAGACAATTAAGCAAAACTTGAAACGAAAAGTAGTCTGAAAGGAGCTTTTAGTCGTTGGTTTTCTGTTACACGATATAGGTGAGTTATGTTTTTCTCTCTTCGTTAAACAGGCACGGAAAACGTTTCGCCACATCGACGATTCTTGTGGTATGGAGGAAATGTTTTGTGGCTGTCTTTAATTTCTAGGAATAATTTCTGTGTGGAGGCCATTTCATCGATTACATTAATGTGGGCTGCTAATATTACTTATATCTCCGTAAAAATTGATCAAATTGGGAAGTTTTTATGAACAAGTTGGAGCTTTAGTGCTTTTCGTGACTAAAATAATCGATCAAATGTTCTTACCATTCGTTTATTCTAGCCAATTTTGCTTACTCTGATATTTATGTTTTATATTTATACCAGACTTGTGAAATAGAGAGGTCGTGAACAGATGTATAGTGTCTTTCCTTAACCGGCTTAGACGAAAAACCGGCAGAAAATCTATTTGTAATCTTGTGTCTTCAAAGATCGAGAGGGATTTTGCGTGAATCAAACGACTTGCTCGGATGAACACAGTGTATTTGGCGTATGCTGTGCTTTTCTTCTGTATGAGAGGAAGCCGCCAGAATTTCAAAATTGAACATCGCATCAAGAGTTTTTTCCTTGCTTGATTTGGCTCAGTATTCTACTGTGTACTACTGTGATACGCGAGAATTAAGTGTGCTGTTGATTTTATCTTCTGCTTAGAAGACATCTGTTGGAGGAAACAGCGACTGTTCAAGGGAACCTAAACGAGTTCGACAAAGAAAAATCTGGACTAAATTCAAGTAACCAGGATTTTTGACTGCCCATTACATTTGGTGTGATTAAACTGGAGACAAGAGGCTGGTATAATCCACAACGACAACGCTTGATCTAATCTGGGCTATTTACACACCGCCATTTTGTTAGCCGCGAAATGTAAATACGCTAACTTGTTATGTACGAGTTGTGCAGACGGATGGTGAATTATAGTCTTTCATTTCCTCGTTGGAATGCAAGAATTTTCGTGCATTGAATTCAAAGCTCCTATAATCACGTATGGCTTCGTTCTGCGAGGAAGCAATTCTTAAGCTGACTGTTTTTCCAAGAAGAGATTTAATACCAACCGGTTGAACAACATTTTTCATTTCGTCGACATATTTGAAGCAAGATGACCACGGCTTTTGGTGAAAGTAACTTGAACAATAATTTACAGTTTATAAACTGCCTTCAAAAGCCCCTAGAACAGCGAACACAAGCGGTAAGTAAGACAGAACTATTTGTTTTAGATCTTGTGCAATATGATCCGTGAAATCGACAACTTTGCAAATCACGTTGATCTGAATAGTTGTCAATTTCACAACGTGAATAGTGTTTTGTAATTTTCCATTTTAAGACGACAAAAATACTTCGAGTTGGTATTTGAGTTTAAAAAGCGTAGACAATGAATCATAGATTTTAGGCTTGTCATTTTGCATTGTATATACGTTAAAATTATTCTCAGATGCACTCGGAATGGCGCTGAACCGAACTAAATGAAATTCGTTAATTCGTTTTCAAGTGTGTTTTGAGGAATAAATAAAGCTTGATATAGAAGCTTTAATCTTACATTCGATTCTGCATTGCATTTAAAAAACCCGTATTTCTTTGTCTGGATTTATACCTGCAAGCAGAAAACGTGAGCCGGTTCCTCAACTGTACATGTTGAAATGTTTTTCACGAGTTGCTTAATTGTGTGGTCAATCGTGTATGGTATGCACTGATCACATTTAATCATAGATTCATTAGGCTCATTGCCAGTCTAATTTTTATATCATTTATGTTTTTGTTATATTAATGGTTAAGTAGATTTTCTAAGAATTAAGACAAAGCTTTCTTTAGGATGCAATTAGTTGTCCAATGTTTCTGTGTTATTACTGCAAGTGTCAAACATTTCCCTTGAAGTAGCTTTACTTTGCTCGATATCTAATACTTAAGAATCTTTCACTGAAATATTTATGTCACAAGCTTACCTTGTGCTTAATTAATTAAGCAAGTGTGATGATTTGGTTTCATAAAATTCACAGACCTAAATGTAATGTTGCTACAGGTTTAGCACCATGCACATTATGTGCTTCAGATATCAAAATTGAAAACTTTTGCCATTAGAGTACATCACACCTGCTTTCTTGTGTGTGGTTTTACATGTCCAGCACAATTTTTTGTTATCTACAGTCTTGATGATCATTGAAATGACATTATAAATGTTAAAAATGATACTGAGGGACAAAGTGTAGCACAGAATACAGACAGTAAAAGATTGCAATTTAATTACAATAATGACACTCAAACATACATTTCTATCCAAAATTGTGGGTAACCATGAAGGATTTTGAGAGGATAAAAGGTCCTTAACAGACACATACACACAAACTTAAAAACAACAGTAGCAAAAAAATTATGAGTAAGAATTGCCAAAAATACAATGCAGTTTTTATTACCTTTGATTCTGTTGCAGATAGTTTCCCCTTGATTATAGTTGGGTACTTTTTCCATTAAAGATTGTGCAGCTCTACACATTGAAGATTTTAAGGTTTTTTGCTGTTTACAAGTACTCTTCAGCCCAGTCTCACACAGCCCACAAAATTAAGACGGGACAAATCATACTTGCAAAAGTCTGCTAATAAAAACTTTGGGTGCTTTTGCTGCATGATATGATGCCACAATAATGGCTCTTGATATATGACTTCATGAGAAATTCTTCAGTTTCTCTTAAGTGGTGCTTTGATCCAAAGTGATCTTCACTTTGAATAAAATAGAAATATGTATGTCAGGAGGGGGGGTGGGGTGGGATAGGGATTGAGTGTAAGATTGTATTTGTTCACATGAATCTCTCTTTTATTTACACTGTTCAATTGAAACTGGTTTAAATGGAGTCTTTTAGTACAAATTTAACATTAATTTGATATTTTAAGATTTATGTATGTAATATGATTTTATATTAATTATTATAAGTGGTTGATTTAAATAATAATGTTTATTATATGGCAAGGTGGTTTTGAGGTAAATATGAGTGTTGTAATTGGTTCTTACCTGGTCTGTATTTTATTAGATGGTTGATCTAAACTGTTAGGACCTCAGCGCAGCCCCTGTGCTCAGTTAGTTTGAAGTATTAGTGATTCATGTGATTTCCCTTTTCTGTCCTAAGGATGTGGAGACAATTTTTTGTTATTTGTGGGGAATGCAGGCAGTGGCTGGTCTGACGGAGTCAGCTGTAAGGTCAGTACTATGAGAGGATAAATAACACACTTTCTCAGCTTTGGCTATTCAGCAATAACTTTAAACCTTTTTGCCTTGTGGAATTTTAAAAGGCTTACTGTAATTTGCAAAATGAATTGAAACAAAATGAAATGAAATGAAAATCTGTAATTTGCAAAAATGGAAATATACTGATGATTTGCAAAATAGAAATTGCAAATTACAGATTTCTATTTTACCATGAGGGGACGCAAATCGTCTGTGCTGTAAGTATCCTGGAGAGTCCCCTACATTTTCTTAGACTTTTAGTCTAAGAAAATGTATGGGACTTTTTGAACGCTCCAGGCAGCTTTCCTGTAAGGTGTCATAATCCTGTTGCTGCTGACATCGATGTGACAGATAATTGCTTTCACACTGTTTTCTTTGCCGGCTTATACTTGTCATCAAGTTTCAATAAGACGGCTATCATTTTTCACAAGAATAATGAAGTTTTCGTAAATTGTGATATGTACTTACAGTGCAGACGATTTGCGTCCCCTCATGATGATAAGCATATTTCCATTTTGCAAATTACAGATTTCTGTTTTGCAAATCATTTGCATATTTCCATTTGCAAATTACAGATTTCTAGAAATCTGTAATTTGCAAAATGGAAATACACAAGTTGTTATCTTGATCTAACACAAAATTCTAGAAATCTGTAATTTGTGAAATGGAAATACTGGTATACGAATGATTTGCAAAATCTGTGTGGTGAACTTTGCGAAATCTCTTCTACATTCATGAATATCTAAATGGGAAATCAACTAGAAATCTGTTGAGTGTAACAATTCTCGATACTCATAGTCATATAGTTCCTTTGGTACTGACAAGAAGAATTTGTTTGTCAATCAAAGCATTTTAGGTTGGCAATCATTTGCCTTATTCTCAAGATCTTAATGACTGATTCAGTAGTATTACTGTAAGGAGAAATTACATGCTGGTCACTCAAAGGGTTTAAAGGGTTAAAAACAAGGACTTAACCCTTCAATCCCAAGAAGTGATTAACACCTAACTTCTCCCTATGATAACTATACATTATCCAGAAAACAGATAATGAAAATACACAGAACAAGTTGTTATCCTGATCTAACACAAAATTCTCATCACCAATTAACAAGGAAATGTGTGGCAGCTGGAGGGGATAATTAACAATCAGATCTTGGTAACTAAGGGTTTAGTGTAATATGAAAGAGAAAGATCTCCAGAGACCATAGATTAGTCATTTGTTAGTCACCATACTACTTTTCTAAAATAATGCAAAGTGTATACTAAAAGAAAGTTTTCTATTGCTATGTAAATGTGCCCAGCAACCAAAACATCCACTGTGTTATGTTATTAGTTCAAGTGACTGTTTATCATCTTCTCAGAATATTAATTTTTTTTCTGTCAGATTTTGAGTTAGATCTTCAGTTCTGTGTGAATAAATGCATGTTTCACAATTTTCTCTTGAGAAGTATATCTTAAAATTATTTACCCATGGCAGACAAATACCTTTCTACTTAGATGAAATTAAAAGAGTACTGAAACACTCTTTTGTTGAGGATCATGAAGCTGCAGCTTTGATTTGATTTTTTAACAAAAGAAAATCTAATTGACACACATGTACATAGCACATAGTGTTACATTATTGGATCATTTGTACTTGAAGTTCCAGCAAAGTCTATGCAAAACTTCTTAATGCATATGTTGCCCAAAACTCAATCCTAATAAAATCCTTTTCCTTGAATGTCACAGGACTATGTCGGAGACAGCAAGATATGAGGCAGAAGATTCTAACTCTTTACTTTACGTGTAAGTTGTTTCCTGGGGAATTAGCAAACTGTTACACTTATGTGCTGATTAGAGTCTGACCTTGAATGAACTTCATTCTGCAGAAATGAATGACAGGAGGTTTGACGTTTATTTATTGCAATCAGACTTGAGTTATGCCTCTTCTTGTTTAACAATAACATCTAACATGAAATTGATCAGCATTTTTTTTTTTTTTTGAGAACAATGAGATTGGAAATGTGAAAACTGAAATTGAAGTAAATAAGTATTCTTAAGGGCTACTCTTGTGAAACAAATGAAATTTCTTCTTTATATTTTTCAATATGAGAGTTTTTTGGGACTACAGTGAAACATGGTAACTGAATATTAGATAATGAAACAGTCCTATCTCTAAGCATCAAAGTCTATTACTTTCAGTAAACCTTCCATGAATTGAAGTTATTGGTAACTTTTCTGTAAACTGTAAGTTATGGACACTTAAATTACTTTACTCATCTGCAACTGATGGATGCTAATTATTTCTATCAAGCCTTTTCGAACAACATTGAGTGGACACACAATTATCACTGTAATCATCAGCAATGGATGGGTGCTATTTATTTCAAGCCTTTTCTAACAACTTTGATTTTTAAATGCAAGCATTTAATTGCTGGTCTTTAAAATTTTGATCATCAGGTCAGACGATATAGCATCTTGCTGGTATATTTTGTTGTCTGGTTGTGTTTTTCTGGAGGGATGCATGTATTTACCAGGAAGCAGGTATTGAAACAGTGATATTACTGTGCATCACTTTTTACTTCTTGTAGGTACACTCTACAGTCTACTTTATGTGTGTAATTTTTATAAGTTTGAAGTAGTGTCTTCACTGAAAAGATACCAATTCTAAAAGTAAAAGGGTGTGTGCACCCCTGAAGGTAACTTAAATTGTATCTCACATTTCTGAATTGAGCAGTAAACAGGGTGTGTGTCAGTTATGAACCTATCAATGGACTAGCTCAAAAGTGGTTACTCTGTAGCTCAGTGGTAAAGCATAAGAGCATGCAGTTTGTTTTGTGGGGGGGGTAGGGGGACTGGGGAGACTCAGATTTCTTCACTTGACAACACTCACAATAGCTTTCTTTATGAAGCTTCCACTTATGATATGAGAATAGGAAACTTTATGAGGTTTTTATCCTGATGTTGCACTACATTCTCCTAACTTATTACATATCAGGAAGAAATACAAATCAGATCTTAAGGGTTAAAAGCTTGAGTGGAGGATCAAGTCAGTATTTATACTGTCCACCAACTTCTGAAGGGATTAAGATAACTTATAGAAGTTTGCAGTGTGCCTTTCTTCATAAACAAGACATGCGCTTAACAAAGTGTTCTTTCCTCCAATGCTTTTTTCTTCTTTAATAAAACTTCTGTAATATAGATGTCTGCGTTGTGTTGTGTGTTGCCCTTTCGCAATATATGCAAAAGATTCAAGGTCTGCGTTTTTCTTGCAGTTTTGGCAAACAACCACTCAATAGAAAGAGAGGCACAGATTGCCTTGTGTTGGAATACTCTGAACTGATTGTGGTAGGTCTTGTGTAATATGTTACCATATTTGCGACGTTTCCATTCGTCTCTGGCGATCCACTTGACTGCAACCAGTTAGAGTTACATACATAGGGCTTGGTCTTGTAAACCACTGTCTCTATTCACACTCAATAAGCTGGCCATTTAAGATTTTTTTCTCCTCAAATAACATTTTACATAATATTATGCCTAGTCCTAATTCCCCATGTACTGAAGGCTTAGAAGCTGGCTTTCCCAACTTTCTCCAGCTGTCTAGGAAATTCTACCTGTAAATTCTAGGGAACATGCCATTACTTGACACTGCCGTGACTGACCAAGATGGTAAATCTGAGCAAAGTAAATTAAAAGAGAAATATACAAAGAAAAAAAGTTACATTTAATTTGGTCAGGTAAAAAATCTCCCAACTGTTTGTGCAGCAGACCTCAAAAAGATAAGTACTAACAAAAACGATTGTTATTATTTCTTCAACAGATTGATTTTCCAAACACGGATCTGTTCGAGCCATTTCAGCGACACTCGTATTCCAAGAATGATTTAGAGCGTCTTCTTGCTCTGGAAACCCAGGATTACAGGATAGGAGGACCAATACCCGATGATGAACAAGTAATGATCAAATAAAACTACAGACACATTTTTCCGAAAGGAACAACGTGTCAGGCCTTGTTTTTGGATGTGATCGTGCACAGTGTTCAATAACATTCCAATCATGTCAAACGAACCAACTCCTGAAAACATTCGTCAGATTTGTTTAGTCTATGTGTAGACAAAAAACAAAAGTTTAAGCACAATTAGGGAGTTCAGAACCTTAACTGCAGCACCGATGTTTTTATCTTTGATTTTTACCGGCCTCCATTGCTATTTTCCTTTACGAAGTTCGAAATAACTAAGAAATTTAAAAAACCAGTTAAATATGAAATTAAACCAAACAAAAAATCAACGACACAATGCACTTGTCGTTCAGTAAACAATGTTAAGTATTGCATGCAGTGTATGTGTAAGAGTGGAGAATTTCATGCTTTGTTCCTTCTGAAATGAAAATCGTTTCTAAACTCTTCCTGAAAACTTCTGCATTTCAATGGTTTACTTGTGTCTGTTTTCATTGTTACTTACAGCCTAATAACATACCTCAGATCCTACCTTAGAAGACAAGTGCTTACAATTTTAACTGCAACAGCGAATGATAGTTCAATACCGTGAAACATCACTCTCGAGCGTTGGACAAAAAATGTTTTTAGCTCCAGCGAGGATTCGAATTAGCTCACTTTTTGCTGTCAGATACTTGTTTGCGAACTACTTATTTACTCATGGATGAAAATGTATGTGAATTGTTTGATCCCCGAAAAATACCTGGCACAACCTCTTCTTTGTTTTATGAACAGTTGCCCATGGAACTTCAGCACGTAAAGGAGATTATCATAAGAAGCGATAAAAACATGAAGAGGAGTGCGTCTGAAGATTCGTCCTCCATAAACAATTATGATTTGGATCTTACAGGCTTGGTGGAAAGTATTGGTGAGTGAATCCTATTGAGACGTTTTTTTTTATGCAAGGGTTGTGTTTTACAGTAACTTTAATGAAACAAGAAAATAATACATATAAATAGATAAAAAATGAGAAAAAACAGATAGATCAAGTTAATTTTGTGGGGGAAAGGCCCCAAAACAGCAGTAAGTTTTGACAGTGTTTGAGGAGCTTTGTCGCGACTTCTGCTTCTTTTATTCATTTTATTTATTCGGAACTATCCCTTGTCTGTCTCAGTTTATTATTGCCTATTTTTGTCTACCGAACTATGATGTTTTTGCATGGTCTTCCTTAAGTTGTAGGCAGTTTATAGGAACACTAAATATTACTTGAAATACCACTTAATCTGTTATGACCATTTGATCACTTATGAAATCGCGAGACCTACCAGAGTCCCGTGAGTGACTGAAAGAGCATAACCATTAGTACCCCTACTGGGAATAGGCTCGCTTCCCGCCGTTTTATCGGCTCCCATCTTTGATCCTCTCTTTGGGTAGGGAGAGCGGGCTCGTTTCTAGAACAGCGGCTAGGCATCGTATCTACACTGAGGAACTGGTGGCTCCAAGTGTTCGTTTAGGAGAGGTTCCCGTCTTGAAAAGATGTCTCTCAGAACAGAGCTGACTGTACGCATAAATTTTTTTCGCTGTTTTTTTAGTTGATTCTGATGACGACGATGAAGAAGAAGAATCCCATTCTTCACGAGAGGTACTACAGCTATAAATTACTACAGCTATAAATTTTTTTCTTTAGATTACTATCGCTGTCGTCAAATTTACAAGAAGATCTTTTTTCAATTAGATGGACAATTTACAGCCTCCCCAAATGACGACATAATTTTGTCAATCAGATTTCACCAGACAAAAACCTGTGCGTTCTACTCGGTGATAAAGCTACTATTCCTAAACCCGAGTGAATTACAAGGACAGGTGAAATTAAGACATAAGCTCGCACATGTACGCATTGCAGACCTACCTTGTATCGAGTAAAGTTTCAGTAAGAGAGTAAAACGCTTTGATTTTTTTGTCACAGTCTTTAATGGTGCGCGATGTGGTGCGAGATTGCCTGGAGAAAGAGCCGACTGATCGAACAGAAAGTGATATCCGTGAGTCTCAAATTTCATTATTTGTTTTTAAGTTTTTTCTGTTTAAGATTTTATTTGCTAAATATCAAGTTTCGTTAAACCATTTTTTTTACAGAGGCCCTTTTGGATTTCATGCAACATTTGCCGGTAAGTTTTTATCTTGTTAATCGATATTTAAGCCATCGAAACGATCGTTAGGTTGGGAGTTCCGGCAGTCTTTTTCAACACTGTTTAACAGTTTCCTTGTTAATTGTGCTTAAGTACATTTTTGACCTCGTATTTAATGCACAGGGCGCTTTCGATAGTGTCGTGGAACTGAAACCAATGTAATCTAACTTCCAATCAGAACAAAGAAAAATGCAAGTAGAAGCCAATCAGAACTCAAAGCAAACATACGTAAACCGCCTGACGCGAGGAAACGCGAGTAACTAATTTTCGATGGGTTCAGTCTAGTTTTGCATCTGATTGCTTGGGAGGGCAGTGCGAGTTTCTGGACCAATCACAGCGCAAAGTAAATAAAACTTATTCATCACTGATCCACTTTTGGCCTTAGTTTGAAAATGCTCAAGCAGTCATTTGCTGATCGTATTTTTATTTCTTTTGATAACGCAGGCGTTTGCCAACATGACCATGAACGTACGGCAAGAGTTATGCGCTGTGATGGTGTTCGCTGTTGTAGAAAAAGCGGGATCCGTTGTGATGGAAAATGAAGAGGAGGTTAGTAGGGATCTTGACCTTTAGTTAAAAAGCAACAGGTTTCACCCTCAATCCAGTGTGTACTTTCCAAAATCTGCCTTTCTTTTAAAGATGTCGAGCAAGTTCTACCTTAATGTAAGTGAGTTCGTCTTGTTTGAAGACAGAATCAAAACTGGTAGGCATTTCCTTTGAAGGATAGATGGATCTTTATACAGATATTTATTTGGATGGAGTGTGTCTTTATGATGTTTACATGGTCGACAGAATGATAGATTTAACTTCCCAACGAGCATTCACTCAGTGGAAATCGTCATATCGGGAGAATTCTTAAAGAACAGTTTAAACATCAGACTGCAATTTGAATCTTACAAAGACTGTAACCAGGAACTACTCATTCACATCGTCTTCAACAAAATGTTTACTTTCGGCTCATGTTGTCTCATATAAGTTAAAATTCGCGTTAAATTAGTTTATCTTCAGCTTTCCGAATGTGTATCTCTCGGCAGCTGGACTCCTGGTGTGTTATACTCAACGGATCAGTTGAAGTTATTGTTCCTGGGGAAGAGATCGTGACCCTGCATCTTGGGGACAGTTTTGGGGTGGAACCCACACTGAAAAAGATGCGCCATAAGGGAATAATGAAGACACGTGCGGATGATTGTCAAGTAAGGCCAATCAACTAGAACAAACCAAATAATGTAATGTGGACTTTAAGTACAGCTACGAGGCACTCGAATGTTTTGCAGAAAGAGGCAGGCTAAGATTAGGGGGAGTTGAGGATAGAGTTTGTAACCGCCTTATTTGTATTGGTAATATGAAATGTTGGGCTTGCGGTGAATGTTTGAGGGTCGAATTCACCACCGTCTTATTAGTTATCGAGAACGACTGATCAAATGAATCTTGCGAGAAGCAAAAGTCCTATAGTCTGTGGGACAAGTGTCTTCTACTTTCTTTTTTGAAGTTAAATCATTCCCTAGCTGATAATTTCCTGATATCTCACTCGTCTGCGAAAAGTCGCCCTTAATCTACTTTCTTTCATTTTTTCATTCAGTTTGTGTGTGTAGCGCAAGCGGATTACTACAGAATTCTCACTCAAGGAGAAAGAAGCATTCAATGTATTGAGGAGGGCGGTGAGGTTGTCATGATCACGGAATTTAGGAAGACTGACGGAGGCAGTCGACAGGGTCAAGTAGTCATTAAGGTGAGTCCCTTGAATATTCGACGATTGTATGAATCCATCCACTCCTTGAGCTTGCGAGAAAGCTCTTTTTATTTTGGTGCTGCGACAAAATAGCGAAGCCACGCGTTCAGTTTTGAGCCGGCGAACAATGCGAGCGCGAGAGATTCTGGAGGATTCTGACACGGAAATGAGTGTTAGACCCCTCGAGGACCTGTGCTTTGGTTCTAGTGAGAATCTTCCTGTAGGCTTACTTTCCTGCTGTTCGGTTTCTTGATCAACAAGGAAAAAACGTTTGATTACAGGTTACTTGATTAATTACCATAACTGAAAGAAATACTAGGGACGTTTTATAAAAAGATTTGCATGGAAAACCCGTTAGCTTGCTCCACTTTTTTCTAACAATAACGTTTTCGTTCCGTTTTTCTTTTGTTCATCGTGAAGAGGATTATGCTAAAATATTTCTTAGCAGTCGCAGGTTAACATAAGGGAGATGTTGAGTTACAGATATGTAACAATGAGGTCTCCTCTGGCTGTTAAGATTACTTTGATTTTAGTTTTACGAGACTCAGTCGAAATGTTACTGTTATTTTCGTTGCCAGGCAACCGCCGAGAAGCTTATTAGTCACGTGGTAGCGGACCACTCAGCGATCGATCCAACTTACGTAGAAGATCTTTTGCTGACCTACAAAACCTTTATTGATCGCCCCTCAGAGATCTGCGGTCATTTACTAAACTGGTTCCTCGAAAAACGTTTTCGAGACAAGGTAGGTTTTTTTTGCTCTACCTTTAAACAAACACACAACGACGCAAAGAAATTTCCTGCTTTAGAGACACATCGGTACAGATTCTTTTACGGTTTTCATCGAAGTTGACGATTCCAGTCACATGGTTTGCCGGCAGACTGTTAAAAAAATAATGCAAACTGATTGCGGGTGCAAAAATTATTGTTTGTTTAGTTTTTAGAATGAAGCCATTGGAAAAGGACTGTGATGAACCTGTTATCCAGAATTCTGTCCTGCGTCATTTTATTGATATAAATCAGGCGCCTCTGTTGCATCCAATCTGGTTCATAATCATATGAAAGCCACTTGTGATCTCGCATTGGTAGCTTTTCTCTTAAGAGCATCTGATTCACTAAGATATTTGTTCCTGCAGTTGTATATGCCGTTGTTTTCTGGCTTGTTTTGGAGATTGGCTCAGTCTTCCAACACGTAGAAGTCACTGGCCATGTTTTAAAATCGTTTTTGGTGTCAATTTAATTTGATTGGTGAGACTTGGTTTATTTCATTTCAGGTAACGCGTGCCATGTTGTTGTGGGTTAATAACCATTACGGAGATTTTGAAAGTGATACTGTTATGGAAGGATATCTGGAGACCTTTGAAAAAGGTCTCGAGTTTCAGGTAACCACAGGGATTTTTTTTTTTGGCGTTTTCCTTTTTTTTCTCTTTAGTGGAATTGAAATATCATATTAACCCCTGAAAGTTTTGATGTGATTTAATTTTTCTGTCTTTTCTATTTTTGCTCAAACAGCAAATGAGCGGTCAGCTTGGACTGTTGAACATTGCTTGCGCGGCTAAAGCAAAATCTCGTCGGATTACAATGGTGAGATACTTTTCTGCCTACCTATGGTACCTCAATAGGACTGAGTAGAGTCCAACTAATTCTGTAACCATACGAGTGATTAGCAAAATCGTACGACTGTGTACATACTCGTGCGTAACAAATCGAACTCCTGCTTCATGGTCATCTGATCTTTGTAATCAGTTGTATAATTACAGACTGATATTGACATTATAAATTGGGCTTTTGATCACTCCTTAAGATCAATAATTACAGTTACAGTTTTCATTCGATTTTTTTGTCTTTCCCGAGATATGTTTTAGCATGTGATGACCTTTTTTTTTCTTTCCGTTATCTTTGCTAGGATCGCCCGTCCAAGGACAAGCCTTTAGGTTTTACCATTGCGGGCGGAAAAGAATCTGGTTTTGGAATATTTGTATCTAAGGTACAGCAGCTGTAGTCGTTTATTTTAGTTTTGCGTTTGCTTACTAAGCCTCAATCAAAGAGTTTGATTCAATGGAAATGTTATGAGTCCCATGACAAATCGTGGGCCTAATAATAATAAAATAGGACTTGCGGCTATTTTCCCGCGTTCGGCACCGGTAAACGCTTTACGCGTTTGCAGCGAGTAAGATATTTACCTGGCGTTCGTGGCAGGCTCCTTTTACCAGCCTGATGCACAGGTATCATTTCTTTCACGCGTAGGCCTGTCTGTACTTGAGCCTATTCAATACTGATGTTAAAATTGACATGTTCACTTTTTTTCTCAGGTTGAAGAAGATTGTAAAGCGTTAGAAGCAGGTCTCAGAAGAGGGGACCAGGTATTTTGCTGTTTCGTTTTATCACAGATGTTATGATCATTGTGGTTACTCATCATTCCCAAACCTGGTGTTACATTTAGGTTGAGTTTTATAGTTGGTTCTCGTCCTTGCTCTGAGGATTTTCCTCCAGGCCCGCCGGTTTTCGTCCCTCCACAAAAACCAAATTCTAAATTCCAATTCGCCCTGGAATTTCCACTATAAAATCCCTTGTTTTCATTTATTATATTTTATCCTTAGGAAGCAATTTTTGAAAGGCAGAAGTCGAATCTTCAATGTGCTTTTTCCGATAATTTTTGGTTTTTTTTTCTCATCCTTTCAGCTACTTGAAGTCAATGGCACAAACTTCGAAAACATTACGGCCACAGAGGTAAACGAAATTTAACGAAAGTTAAATTTAATTAAATGTCCAATTCTTTTTTATTTGTTAATGTTTTTATTTGCTCATGTATGTATAATTATTTCTTTATACACGTGATGTTTAGGCAAGGGACCGTCTGTCCTGCGCGATCCATGTGTCAATGTTAGTCAAGCGGAACATGCCAGGTTTGTTTAAAATTTACATTTGTATTTGTGTTTGGAAATTTTCTTGATCGAACGTTTCATCAAAATGATTTTGCGCCTAAGACTTTTTGAACTTATGACTGAACATTTAATCTAGTAAAGATTTTTCATATTCCTGTTTTTCGTAAAGTTATTACTTCTGTGCAGAGTAGTCTTACAATGTCAACCCTTTGTCGTATAGTTTCATGTTTTTTCGTGTTTCCACAAATGAAACTTGACCCAAGCTTACCCTACGAATTTCGTCCTTTTCGGATTTGGAACAAAAAGGAATGGCGATCGTTAATGAAATAGGTGTCGAAGGTTCTGAAGGGAGCGAAGTTTGGTAAGGGTAGATTAACCATCTTAGCAAATCTGAAAGCACGAGTCTACGCTTCCCAGCTTTGCTATCAAAGTAGACAAAGCTACAAAGTAGGCCATTAGAATTTGCCAAAGTTCAGAACTTTGTGGTATTGCAAGGGCGGGAGAATAATTTTTGATGGACTTATGGGAGTTTTTCTTAACAACCCTGTAGGCACAAAGTTTGTTTTTTATTGAGAGTATCTTAGGAGTATTAAAAAAATGGTGATCTCAATTCAGGTTTGAGTCGGTCTATTTGTAATTAAACAGTACAAGATGAAATGTTTATTTACATGGTGGAAAATTTAAATCGCATCCCGTTCAGCATTCACCTATGCAATATGAAGCAGCATTTTACGTCCCTAAATTATTTTTCTCCCGAGCTATTTGGGGTTCATTGCACATTTGTATCAGAAAATTCTTAATTGGAAAAAGATATTCGTAACAATAAGATACCATTTGAAATTTCTTTAGAATAGGATCGGCCAATCAGAATCGAAACGGAAACCAAACGTGCAGTGGTGGGCAAACTAATGTTTTTGCAAATTTTTCAATGTTAAAAGCCGGGTCAAAGAAGCGGTACATTCAATAGCCGTTTACAATGCAGAGATTTCATTAATGACTGTCAATTGTGAAGCGAGGGTTCTTTTTCTTCCGGTACTGATGGCCTTAATTTCTCTTTTGTTTAAAGCGGTTGAATAGATTACCTACAAAATTATTTCGGCTTTGATGTCACGTCCTTTCTAAAGGATAATTGAAATTTCGAGCGGCGTTTTGTTGGTCAAAAATCACATCACCAAACAAACTTTCCTTACGTTTAATTATCCTGAACTGCGCCAACAGTTTTAAGTATGAAATAAAATTTTGCGTTCTTCTTTTATTTAAAACGCAGGTGAATTTTCTAGAATATGTTGGCCACGCTTGGATAAATCTACCAAATCCTTGTGTCTTTTAATCATAGTTCACTTATTCATGTTTAAACACGTTTAAACAAAATTGATTCAAAAGAATTCTTTCTTCGCAAAGAAAACTTTTACCGGCATGGGAGTAAAACGCCACAAGAAGAGTTCACTTGTTGTGCGTGTTGAGAAAACATAGAAACGCCATGTTTTCACCCGAAAATTTTAACCCCCGCTCGTGACTTGTTTTTCCCACAGCTTTTAAAGACATGGAAACAACCCCGCATAGAAAAGAGAACTTGAAAATCACGCAATCGAAGGTATGTGCTACTTGTGTATGTATCAGTTGTTCAAAAAGCGTGACGTGTGAATTTAATTTGTTCCTGAATTTTGTTGACTCAAAACGCGTCTTTTCCGTTTGCCGTTTGGAGCACAAAATTTCACATGCTGTGTAAAAAAAAAAGCAAGACTGAGACGATCGATTGAACACGATTACCCAACCACATCTTCGCTTTGAGGTCCAAATTCCGCGATATAGGTGTGCGATTTTAACAGCCATGTTGGACCGCGTGAGCAATATCCAATTTCCTTTGAGAGTGAATTGGGCAGTTCATAATTTCGCCTAGTCCTACGATTCGGTCGCTAGGCGAGAATAAGGACCATGTCTCTAGAGGTAGCTAATTTTGAAACAATACTATTGAACAGATTGATTAATTTGGGAATCACTGGCGATACATTTACATCACTGGTTTGTTCATCTCTATTTAGGACACAGTACAGCGAAGTTCGTCCGATTGTAGCGAAAGGCAACGTACGTTGCAGTCTCGCCTCTCCGTTCCTGAAATATCGTCAGGTATAATAATTTAATCGGACTTTTACCTATAAAAAGTTCCATTACTTCAATCTTTTCACGGAAATTTTCGTGAAGCACTTTAAAACTTATGACACAATGTTGAAGAAAAACGGATGTTAAGCAGACATTACGTGTTTTTTTTTGTAGCAAAGCGTATTTTGATATGGCGCACTGTGAACTGCGGCAGAGGCGCGCGCTTTTTCTTATCTAAACGACATTTATTTAGAGTTATATCTTTTCAGATTGAATTATTGAAAGATACTTAAGAGTCTCCCTTACGTAAACTAAAAAATCAGCTGCTATTAAAATGTAATTTGCAAAGATTATAGTTTTCAATATTGCTGATGTGCCTGAGCAAGCGTTATAAATGTTGGGATGGGAATTTAGAATGATCTTTTTCAAGATGTTACTTCGTCCACGAAAGGCAAATTTTGCCTGCTTAGTGTTATGTTACGATTGATTTGAATTTGTGTCGTCTTCTTGTACAGATCCTTCCAAAAAGCCAATCCAGGTAAGTGTTATTTTTGTCTTATTTAGATTATATTCTTAAACGATTTTTCATGCAGTAGATTAGAAATATAACGTCAATACTTTCAATGCTCTGGGTCTGGTCCTCTTTTATTTACGCTACAAAACAAGCGTGCGTGTTTTTACTCATGGCGAGAAATCTTCTTGTCGGCGAATATTGAATTTGTATCGCACACGATGGAAAAGTGTTTAGATTCGCTTCATTTACCGTAAAAGAAGAAAGAAAACCACAATCAAATGCTTCAGACTATTTTGGGTAAGTGAAGAATGCAGACACTACAGATTTTACACGTTTCACATAGGTTACCGTCGTCAGTATTCCCACGCCACCGGAGCGATCTTCTAATGACCGAAAATTTAATGATAGTAGTTTCAAAGTTTTTCAGTAAACTTCTAAATTTAGATTGTCATAAACGAAATAACACAACAAACGCGATCTGGGAAAGGAAACGGAGCGGCAAAATTATGACCGAGCCTTTTCTCTCATTTTCTCTGTTACCAATTATAATAACCTGTAAGCAATTGTTTCACGTTGTTTGTTAGGCTGTCGAGATCTGGTATCACCGGATGCCTCAGCCTACGGAGGTCTAACAGTTTGTGGGATTTACAAATTACTTGACTGTTTAGCGAGTTTCTCACGCTGACCCCACGTAAAGATATTCAAGGCCAGTGTCTCTGGTACTGTTTATCGAATCTGGCCAATGGTCAATTTTTGTCGGGACAACTGAAAAGGCCATAGGTTCCAGCAACATTTTTCTTCAAGATTAAGGCAAAGTTAAGACTAACTAAGTGCCCGACGAAATGGTTACGAAATAGCAGATTCTTACTTCTAAAAAATGTCTCAAGAGTGTCTCTCAAATATGTGACGATGGTTCAGCTCTCTACAGGAGTGATACTCCAGTGGAACAGTAATTAACATTTTTTCGAAAGATTTTAGTTCTCAAAAACCATATCAGGTATGATTAATCAACAGTATATGTGGAAGTAATGCTCCAAATTCTTTAACGTTCCATTTACGTTAGTTTATGCAAATATATCGAAAGGTCGAAAGGATAACGGAACAAGCATGCATGTATGACGTCAAAATCTTGTGGTCGCGGTACATGGTGTGTGTAGCGTCATTAGAGAGATATTTTACCTCCGTCGGCTTGGTTTTTTTCTAGCTGAAAGATTGACATTATGTAAAAAACCACAAAAATGTCATGGAAAATTATTTACTTTGATTTTTCAGGATTGTTTAGTTGTGTGGACTGTCGGAATCAATATGTCATGTTAGGGGTTAATTCTTTCAAGGTGACTACCTTTGCCTTTGACGTTCTTGTTTTGCGTAGAGTCAAAGTGCACCAAAATTGTTTTGGTCACAATATTTCGCATATTTATTTTATATTTGCTTTCTTTCGCAGAGTTTTGATGTTGTGTTTTAATAAAAACACGATCGAGAGAAAGTTGTTTTGAAGGCTTTCAATTATGCGTGAACTAATGAATCCATAGATTTTGATGACAAATTTCAACACAAGTGGTTATATTGATATGGAGACTCGTTTTATGTATTTAAGCCATTCGGTCTTTTTTTTTCCAGATATTTTTGTGACCTCTTGTGTTGAAACATTTGTCAGCAATATCGTTCACTGCAGTGAGTTGCGTAACTTGATGGTAGAACTTAGTTCATAGTTTTCTTTTTTGATAACAACATATCACCTGCATTTCCTGCTGATCATTGAGATACTTAAAGGAAAGCTCCTCCAACGAACTAATTGTATGGTTTCAGTTGTCTTGTAATTTCTGATCACCTCAAGAAGTTTTCTTTTTTTGAAAGGGACAGGCGTTTGACATTTAAGTCTAGCCTTAGAGGTCGTACCCAATGGGGTGATTGCCATGAAATTGTCACAATATAAAGAACGCCTGAGGTGGGTAGGCTAGTTGCACGAGTGGATGCGCGCTTTTTGAGCCTTTAAACTTTGTCGGTAGCTTTGTACAGTTTAGGGATGAGTAAGCATTCAATTGTTTTGAACGACAAAAAAATCAAGTGTCTTCCCATTGATGTGGTAATCATTGTCAAAAACAAAATAAAACCTAATTTATATCCTGCATTAGTCACTTTTGGTTTCCAGAGCCAATTTTTCGATGAAAATGTAAAGCTTATTGATATTTTGCTTTTTTTGCTAATCAGCTTGTTGTAAGTCGTAACGCGATGGTAAACACCTTCTACAATCTATATATAGTTGGCGCTTTTCTAACGCCGGGATGAAAATATCGGCTTTGTTTTTCTTATTTATTTTTTTCTCTTCGTTGGTGTTGTTGCAAAACGAGGGTGCCTTTTTTTGTCTTCTCCGGTTTCGAGTTATGCTTCGTGGTCTTTTCGAGAAAAAAGTAGACCTGCTTTGTCAGTTATGTTTACGAAAAAGTAAATGTTGTCTGCCGTTAACTGGTGAAACAAACCGCATGCCCGGTTGGAATATAAGATTACGGTGACTGGCACGCCGACGAACCAGTTGAACGCGAGCACTAATGTTGTTCAATGTCTATACTGGCGCACGGTAGGCTTTTTGACCAATCAGAGTGTGCGCTTTATCTCAGTCGCTGTGACTCAACTATACTTCGTTTGTACGACTTTTATTTGGGAAAGTCGGAACGTTTTTCGGAAAAAAAAAAATTCCATTTATTTTCTAGCCTGGTACTTTTCCTTAATTACAACTCCGCTTTTGTGAGCTGTAATTGTTCCAGTTGAAGATCAAAACAATGCTATGTTCAGCGTTTAGTCATACATGCTGGATATTTGTAGCTACGCGCGTATTGCTTTTCATTGAGATATTTGTGTAATGTCATTTGAGGCTATGCTTCATGTTTTCACGTATTTATAATTTTTGGGAATGCTTTCTCCTTTAAACCGTCTCTCGCTCCATCGATATTTTCGTTGAAGTGAAGAGGTTTTCGTATCACAAAATCACACCATCCTTCCTGAGGTGTTTGTTTTGTGTCTTAGTAGAACTTCCTTTCGTGAGACAATACTCGCTTCACCTCTCGGAGGACTTTTGGGTTCTAAATAAACTCGTATTGTCTGAAGAATGAAAGCTCTTGGCTTTTTATCAGAAAAATCTCAAGAGTACCTCTCAGGCACGTCTATATGTTGGCTGCCTGACTGAACAAAGGTGTGCTCCTTGACGTATTAAATGGATCACTGGGGTGGGTTTTTTTTTTTCTCTCTCGCTTCTTATAACATCAAACAGTTTTCCGTCGACAGGAATATTTTTCTCGCTTAGGTGAGGTGATGATGTGAGCACTAAACTTCCGCTCGTCTGGGCCTGGCAACTTAGCGGTCAAACTCAAAGCATGGGTGTGTGGATCAATTCTGGCCGCCCACGCGCCAATTTTCCGCGCAAAATTTCAAAAGAGAACATAAAAAATAATTGCTGTCTTATAAAGTAAACGAAAGAAATTTGAAACGACATTTCTATCTATATAAGAACGAAAGTACGGGAAAGGCCTGGAAAACTCCAGACTTTTCGAACACAAAGCTTATTCGATAACGGGTTTCCTGTTATTTACCATTTTGTTTTGAAAAGGTTGTACGCTTTTAAAATACAATTTATTTCTGACAGCCTGAAAGCACACCAGCTAGTCGTTACTAGGTTCGCACGTGCGCAGACGTTTAGCCGCTGTGTTGGGTCCAGCACCTACGCATTCCAAATAGCGCTCAAGGGACCGCTGGCTGTTTGCGGGCTTTTGTATTGGGAATATTTTGATGACGAAAGAATCCCTTGGGGATCTTTATTGATTTTGTGCAATTTCTTTTCTCTAGCATATTCATCCGACTTCAACGACCCTGAAGGTGAAGAAAGCTTTAAATCGACTCAGTGCATTTGGAACGCTATCCAAGAACACTAAGTAAGTACAAAACGTCCATAGGACAGATGTTGTCCTGAGAATTAAGCAATTTCGCGAGTTAGACATAGTGTATGTTGTCTTGTAACTAAGAGAGGTGGCCTGTGAAACAATATTGCAACATTTTTGTTTTGTTTTGTAGGTCGATTTTTCTTCCCTTTCCTTGTTTATTTTCAGTTAATGGGAAACAGTAACGCTATGAAAATCGGAATCATTCTTCTGAGTAACGATACTTTACTTTCGTGGTCGCACAGAATTGTTAAATTGTATTTTTGTCAGCGGAAATAGACACTCAGAAATGATGATGTCGAACATTCCAGTCAGACTTTTCGAGGAAGGGTTGCAACTTCTCACGAATACATATTCTGAAAACCTCTTAAAGGAAGTTGAAGTAATTTTCAAGAATTTAAAGTGCCTCGACTTCCTTCAAAAGAATATTTATAACTTTTGACGTTTTCCTTCGGACTGATTGTAAAAATTTCGCTTTCCGGGACAATATGCAATCAAGGGCTTTTGAAGTCTTATTTGGTCATATTATACTTAAAGGACACTATCCATTAGGACTGGGATTAAATCTCTACTCCATTGAATTCAGTTGGACTTCTATAAAATCCACTTTTTGGATTCCTTAAAATAGACGTCAACAATGAACATGGAGGTATATTATTAATGATCACATTTTTAAACTTTCGTGTGCCTCGAGTCAAAGTTCAAGATACTCTTGACAGATTCTCGCGCAGGGTAAGATTAAATTGGTTAACAATCAAGGTACTTGACAACGCTGATTACGCTGATTTAAGACAAGAATTTTCACAAAATTCTTGGAAATTTTCCGAAAATTCCGCTTTGTATCTATTTTTCCTCTAATGAGAACTTGAATAAGTAATGAATCTATGTCTTATTATATCTTGTTATCATTGCTATATTACTTAACTTTTTGATTAGGAGGGATATCTTGTGTGTATTTTTAAATAATATTCTTATATTATTGTTGTTGATATCGAAACGACTTGGCAATACGATCAGTTTCTGCGATAACAACCTTAGCTTTGTCAACGAGGAAAGAAAATATGTAATTACTCAAACACCAAATTGTATTTAAAGCTTTGGGAAACAGGGCTGTGGATATTGAGACCACCATTCGCGTTGATAGGCTTTTTGTACAAGAATTAATATTCAGACTTGTTCGATTTTGCAGCACTTAATCCCGACCTGATTTCGTCGCTTGTCAGTGAGGGATGACATAACAAACATAAGAATTAATGAGATTAGCGGGGTAACAAGAGAATGTCAGTTTGGTTTAAGCGGGCTGTAGTCGGATTATATTGTTTCCGCACAAAAATTCCTTTGGCGCAAACTTTTTGTCGAATCAAATGTTGAATTTCGACCTTCTCTCGGCAAATTTTAGCTCCTTTCAAAACGAAAGACGCACAGAATTGAGTTATCTGTTTCAAAAAACTCACCGGTAACTAGTGGTAACATGTTTTCCACTAAACGTACACTTATCCTTGTATAAGGTGTTTGAAAATTTCTTCTTCTAAAGACACTTTTTGGCCTCTTTTTTGGCACCTTAGCACTCTAAGGCTTGCCTTGACTTAAAAGATTTAGAATCTACTTGGCAACAATCGCCTGTGAAAAGAGCTCAATACAACTAAGAAAGAATCTCAATATAACAGCCGCCATGTTGTTTTTTCCTCAAGGCTCATCTCCAAGAGTGAAAGGGACCTTCTCAGCGTGGATCACGAGGGCACAAACGATCTACACGTGATGGCCAAGCACGGGGTGAAAAAGTCCCCGGCCAGCCTACCGAGAGGATTTGGGTCCACAGAGTGCATAAACACTAGTGATCAATCGCTTGAAATGCCCGACAGGGTTATTAAAGTTTTCAAAGCGGATCAGACGTGTAGATATTTTATGGTGTACAAGGTCAGTGTGTGTGGTAACCGTAGGTCTTAAAATCACAAAGACACTATGAACTATGACGCGCGCACATGGGCGCCCGCTAAAACCTTCATTCTAGCCCGCAAAATGCGCCACAATGCCGGGAAAAGTGATAATAATTAGTGTTGATTGTAGCTTTTAGTGCCTTAACATCTCTCTAGCGGTAAAGGTATTTTTACTAGCAACTTTATGTTGAGGAGTCCACTCTTCAAGGGAAATTTTGTTGGTATTTACATTTTAATTAGCAGAGATTTTGGTTCTGAAATTGTGTGTGTAGGGTCGAGATGGGTACAATCTCATCGAGATTCTTATTATGGAAAATATCACTCGGCAATTCATCTGCGATAAATTTCATCCGTTTGACCTTGCACTGATTCCTGCCCCAGAGCACGACAATTTTTGTCCAAATTTTGGCGGATTTTGCAGAATGCCCTCGATCTGCAAAATTTAGTACCCGCAGAAAAAAAGGTTCCGTGAAATAAAACGCCTCAAAAATTACCACCTCTAGTCCAATTAAAAAAACTCTCTAGGGGAGAAGGCAGGGGGCGGCTGAATATGAGTATAAGAATTCTCCACATTTTGTTATGTGAATTTGGAGAATCAGACGCTATCGAGAACAAATTTAATGAGAGTTTATTTAAGATATTGGCCAATATCCGGTGTTCATTTAATCAATTGTTTTATATTTTCGTACTGATATTTTTGCTTAGTTCATTTGTTGTTATTTCTGTTCTTTTTTTTTGTTGCTGTTGTCCCTTTTCTCGTTTTATTTTGTTGTCGATGTTGTTAAGTGATAGCTAAGAGTTCCTCTGGCCCATTTTTCTTGTTATTGCAATTGTACTGAGCTTGGTTAAACACCGTAACAATTTCAAAACTAACATCAGCATCGAACCGTTTTATAAAAATTATTGTATTCATAAACGTCTCGAAAAGCATCCAACTGATTATTCCATACTTCATTCTCTTACATCAAACCAATCATCTGTTACTCAATAAAGTTTTTTGTCATTCAACTTCACCTCCAAAAGCATCGCAATTTGTTCCAAAAGAATGCGCACATGTTTACTCCAAACTGCTAACAAGATGCGGGATACTTTGATGGGGTTTTTTGGATAAAAGTGACCGAGCCCCTAATAATCACGTTATGGTGTTAAAAATGTTTGTTTCACACAACTAAACGTCGGCCCTCGAGATTAGAGTATGTTCAAGGAAAATCGAATAGATTGTCATTTCTGTATAGAGTGTTTTATACAAACATCGATCAGACAGAGATAAAACAATTTTTTCGCATCGAGTGTAGATTATCAAAACTGTGTAAAGATGTATTGCAATGTAATGAGATTTCTTAGTGTTGTAAGCCGCTTTTTTTCTTTCGTGGCGGCTGTATTTTGTAAATGAATAGTGAGGGATTAGCGTATTTCTTCCTTCCGCGTGGAAGTGAAACCAAACACTTCGCATCATGCGAGAGTTTACCGACTAGTTTTTGCGATAAAAAAGCGCTGGTTGATCGCTCTGTGAACAGAGCGCGTAGAAGCGCAAACCCTATAGCTGTCGTAAGCACATGTGTCTGCAACCAGACTCAACCTGTCCGATCAATTTTGCGAACAATCAGAGACAATGCTGGCATGTGTAGGCTTTTTTCCTCGAGTAAGACGAAAGGTAGACAGAGTAGATATTGCTGCCACTTTAGATCCGGCGACACACCATATTTCAGATGTTTTTGCCGACTATTTTGTCTTGTTTTGTAGGAAACTACGGCACGAGAGGTTGTTAACCGAGCCGTTGAAGCGTTTGGAATTCAGGGCTCTCCAAGGTAAAAATAAAAATATGAAACTGAGTAAAGCTCGTCCAGACTTCAGTGGAAAATTGTATTGGTCCGCACATTCTGCAGTCATTCAGTAACGGATCTTCTTGAACCGATCAAAACTCCTTGTAATCTTCAGTTTCTCTATTTATCTACCGGGATAATCCTGCATCGTGTTTGAAAATGTGATACGAAGCAAAAGTTGCAATTTCCGTGATATTTTTGAGGAGTAACACATCGCGGAATGTTCAGTGGCGAACAATATCCTTGCAAGTCTTAGGGTAAAATCTTCAGGATTCTGATAAAGGAGAAGTTGTTTTTACATCATTCCAAAGTTTGATTTTAAACCGGCTTTATATTCAACGTTCTCCAGAGAATACGCGCTGTGCGAAGTAACAGTCGAGGACGGAGGGTTCGTGAAACAGCGAAGACTTCCCGACATGCTGACGAATCTTCCCGATAGAATCCACTTGAACGGAAGGTGAGTAAACTCTCTTTACCCACGCTCGTAACAAGACGAATAAATTGTTCTGTTTACTGACACGATGATTTCGACCTAGCAGTAGAGGAGACGCGTGTCACATATCAATGCTTACTGTGGAGTTCCCTGTTGCTCAGTGGCAGGGTATTGGGGCGCGGAATCCAAAAGTTTGGGGCTCGATTCCTCAAGGGGACTTAAAATTTTTCCTTCGACCCACGACTTTTCAACCCTCTTTAGTTTCTTACTTTTTCCCAATCTTAATTTTAAGATTCTCATCATTAACTTCCATAAATTTGCGTTATCGTATCGTTATTTACAAGAATTAAGTAAGTGATCACCTTTTCGTTATTTATTCCTAGGTACTATTTGAAAAACAACAGCGTCTCAAGCCAACTTCTCCCTGACGAGGCCGCTCAGGTCAGTAGGGCTCTTTTGTTTTCTTTTACCATGACAATCAAACTGGCCAATCAGAACAAACGATGGCAACAATTTGAACCAATGGAATGAAGCAAAATATTGCACGTGAATCGCACTTGGAAACACGATAGACTGGATCATGTTAGGCTAACATCTAATTGGTTGATGGCATGACGCGCGTGCTTGAAGCGTATTAGCGTAACAAGTCAATTCGGAAGTACTTTATTGACTTGAATTAAGAATTGATCTTCGTGAATCATGGTGAACTACAGCTGCACGAGAGTTGAAAAGCGAATAAACCCACGCAATGAGCCTTTGAATTATTTAACCTTTTAACATAGAAGTTACGAAATTGGGGATATTATCCCGTGATAAATAAGTTGCAAGAAAAACTTTGGAAATAAATTAACTTTTAAGAAACAGGATATTTAAGATTTTGAGGCCATAAGAGGATTAGCAATGGGTAGGTCTTGAGAAAATGTAGGGGGTCTGGGTTAAGACGCATTAATGGTAGCATGGAAATTAATCCTGTGGACAAATTGAAGTAGCCACAATTTCTGATTAACGTTCTCTCGAATCTAAATTCAGGAGCTGGCCAAGGAGTCTCAGTGTAGTTTGTTGCAACTTAAACCGAAGGAGGTGGCCAAAGAACTAACACTCCAGGTAGGGGGAGTTTTGCGCAATTTTAAATCATTTCTTGAATTGTTTGCGTAAGGAAAGATTGCATGATTTCCAAATCTGAACGATTCTGAGAGTACCTCAGCCTTTTTCTTCTTTTTTTCAAGCCATTAAGTTAACATCGTTCTCTTCTTTCGTAGGAAAGAGAGGATTAAATTTTTCTCCAGGTCTTGTTAGTAACACACATTTTGTCACACAAAACACGCGCTTTAGTCAGGCATTTTTAGTTCATAGATCGTCAGAATCGTCCCATTCATTCCAATTTTTTGAGACGAATAGGAGGATCCTGTTGATCACATCAAAACAAAGGTCTAACTGTACCCACTTTGCAGCTGTAGAGATAATCCTCAATTTCTCATAATTCCTCGAACGATCTTCCTTTTACAGGATTTTGAAGTTTTTAGAAGTATTGATCCTCGCGAGTACATCTACAAGCTGTGGAACTTTGGTCCGAAACTCACAGAAAACTTACGAAAATTTTCTGAGGTAAAGTGAACCTAATCATTTAACAAGAGTAAAATTCAACCGCTGATTATTTGCAAGGCTGCGCATTTTGAAGTTTACTTACGCCATGTTTGCATTCTTTCATTTTTCGCAGATTGTAAATAACGAGATGTTTTGGGTTGTGACCGAAATATGCTGTGAAGCAAACTTAGTAAAGAGAATGAAGTTAATCAAAGCTTTTATCAAAATTGCAAGTAAGTCAGACCTAGATAATAGCATGTTGAGTATTTGACTTTGATATTCGAAAGTTTTTTATTCCAAAGCGTTGAAATTTTTGGCTTAATATGCTCTTGTGTTCTTTACAGGATATTGTAAAGAATGCAAAAACTACAATTCGTTATTTGCTATTGTGAGGTGAGTTAATGTATGTAAGATAAAACCCTTATTTGGTTTATCTAAGTTACTGGCATTGTAGTTTTTCTTTTCCTTTTTCTCGTTTCTTTTCTTTTTTTCCGGCGCTTTATTTGGCCTTAAAAGAGACCTTAAATTAGCTCCTCGACTGCCTCGCCCTCCAGTTTTATGATAATTTCCCTCTTATTATGTCAGGTTTGTCGATGGTTACATGTTTTCTCGCCTTTCAGTTCACGTAGTATATTTTTCTGCGCTTGTCGATGTTCAGATGTTTTTGCCGACTTCTGTTCGCTCCTAGTTTTCGCTTTTTTTACTAATACCCATATAATACCATAACATTGCCGCATTTGTTTGTTTAACTCTTTAAATAAACCAAATAGCCACCCCTTTGTTGAAGTCATTCCCTCTAACTTACGCCCTCTGTTCTCTGTTTCAGCGGGCTTGGCCACTCAACGGTACAACGTTTGAAGAATACGTGGGACAAGTTACCCACAAAGCATAGCAAGGCATTCGAGGTGAGCTGTGCTTAAAGAGATGTTTATCAGATTAAATGTGTCTTTAGGAGTGCCAAGCCTGTGGCAGTGTGTGCGTTAGTGTTAGAACTGTTCAGCGCTGGACTGCCCGGTCGAAGTCTGGATTCGAGTCACAGTTGAGTCACTGTGATGTTAGGTGTATGAGACACTTTACCCTTACAGTGCTTTTCCGGTTTATTATCAGTTTTGCAAATTTGGTTTTATCAACTGAGTTGATGAAGTAAATTGGTCACCGTAAAGAGTTCCTAAAGCTGACGTTTTGAGCGCTATCCCTTAATTATTCGCTCTGACAAAGACGCTCGAAACGTCAGCTTCAGAAACTCTTTACGAAAGCCAATTTACGTTTATCAAGTCAGTTGATAAAACCAAATTTTCTCGTAACAAGCCCATTGACGCACCACCATAGAGTCTTCAGAAACTTACCCTCTCTTTTCTACTATCAATTATGGGTGAACTGTGTTGCAGACCCTCGTTAAATGAGTCGTGTGACGATATTTATATGGATAATTTAAACGTGTGTTCTTTTTTTGTTTGTCTGTTTCAGGATCTTCAGAGTCTGATGGATCCGTCAAGAAACATGTCTAAATACAGAAATTTACTAAATGGAGAACACGGAGAACCTCCCTTGGTACGTTCAGTCCACCATTACGAGTTATGAAAAGTTGAACTTTTTTTAAGTTCGAATCTTTATCCAAAACACTTTCTTTTGACTTCTCTTAGGCTAATTCTTGTGATAGGCCGCATCTCGATCGAGCTTTGTAAAACTGAAATCAAAGTCATCTCATCAGCCATTGTTAAAAAAGATTATTGCAAAGAGCAAAAGTAAAAGGAGACAAGTGCGATAAAACGTGAACGAATTCGTGACAATTCTATTTTGTTGGCGAAGTGTATGGACAGATATCATGCTTAAAAAGAAAACTCTTCCGATAACATGTTGAATTTCAAGATTCTTATTAGGAAGACTGAATGAAAGTTAGCTTGATTGAAGTCATTTTTTTGTTCTTCTTTTAGATTCCGTTCTTTCCTGTCATAACGAAGGATCTGACGTTCATTCATCTAGGGAATGACAGTATCGTGGACGGACTTGTAAGTGAATATTCATTTGTATTTCACAACTAACTTGGTTTTTGTACTCTCAGAGCTAATTTTAGACTATTTTCCAGGAAACATTGTTTTCCTTTGTTTTTTTTTGCTTGAAGAAGCTGCCTACGCTGCGTTAATTGTAAAAGATAAAAAGTCGTAGAATTGAGAAACTCACCTATTTTTATAAGAGTGCGGCGCAATATGGATTTGCTTTACACCCCATTCCTTCCTTGATTTCACTTGCGGAAGATAAATTTTTTCTCACAATTTTGTTTGAATATATTTGCAGGTTAATTTTGAAAAGCTTCGACTCATTGCAAGAGAAGTTCGCCAGATTTCAAAATTCAACTCCATTCCCTACGTGAGTATGACGCTGATTAGTGCGTGCATTTCATAGAAACATTATTTTAACGCATTTCTTCTTATTCCAGGACCCTGACACGATGTTCGAAGACGAGCTGAACAGTCAAGGTGGACCTGGGCAACAGAAAATGACGTCAACGGTGGTCGGCATGGTAACAGGTAGCTCTACATGGAGTCGGAGATCGTTGCGTGACCAAAATCCCAAAAAGATGTACGAGGAGGTAAGAACAACTGATTTCAAGGTGATTTCTCTTAAACAGACGCCTTAACTTTATTTCAGTTGACATTTGAAAATTTGATTCTCCACGTTAGTCTTGGATCTTGCTCTATCTTACTCTGTTTTGCATTTTGTTTTGTCACGCAGTCCATGATGTCACGCAGGGTAAAGCAATACTTGTCGAACCTAACTGTCATACAAGATGAAGAAAAGTTACGAGAAATGTCAAATGTCTGCGAACCTCCACAAGGATCCGGTAAGTTAACTTTGTCACTCCATCGCCCCAGTCTCTCCTTCCAAACGCATTGTTTTTGGACCCTTGTGTTTGCAGGTTTTAATTTTTTCAATCGTTTTCTTTCCTCATGTCCAGCAGCTCCTCCCAGCGTACAGACCCGAAAGAAGAACTCGCCCACGTCCTCTCCAGGCGCAAACAAGAAAGATCGTAAAGCTGGAAAACCAAGTGAGTTGACGGGTGAGCAAAGAAACTGTTTTTGGTGCTTGCTGTCTACAGATCTCTTCCCTCCTTTCCCTTCCCCCCTTGCCAGAGGTTGAGAACCTATAGGATCCTAGACACGAGTCTGTAACATCTCTAAAGACGCCTGAATTTTTTTGAACGTTACAATGGTAGGCCTCACTTCGTAATAAATTCCTTTCACATTAATTCTTATCATCAAAGAAACCTTTTAATTTGTGGTTCTTTCTCTCGTTAACAATATTTTATAACGATCATACTACTCTCAAAATCGGTAAGTTCGGGTATCCTGTGACCCAGTCCCAATTGAAGTGCACCAACACGTTTGTAGTCAGAGCTATGAGCAGAAAATTGATTAAGACATAAGAATATGTTGAACCTTCCAATTATTTAATAACTTGTGCTGACTTTGTTTAATGGACTTTTTCTTTCTGTACTCAGTTCCTTCCCCATTAGCTCTAAGAAAAGACATAGCGGGTGACAGAATCTCGGTGTCCTCTACAGCGAGTACATCATCGTTACCGGATGTGCAGTCTCCAAAGCAAATCAGTGAAGGTAAACTATTTCAGCAATAAATGAAAAGAATAAGGTGAAGCGTGGCTACGTTATAAACAGCGGTTTCGGGAAGTTCTTCCCGTATTTAGTTTGAAAGGAGGACTAATTGTAGCGACGATTCGCTTTGTGCGACATAGAAATTTTTTTTTTTCAAAACTATTTTACTCGGAAATTTCTGTACCTGAAAAAGAGAAAGAAAACGAGTTTGAATTTTGCGTGATTGCCACGGTATGAAATGAGTCGCAATAACTGTTATTTCGCTTTCCTTTCTTTTTCGTTCTCTCTTTCTTCTTTGAACAGTATTTTTTGAAGGAAAATTAAATCTCTTATTTCATGCGCAATTTTTTTTTCCGTCAGAGGAAGTGCATGTCTTTCCTGAAGCAGACAGAACATCTTTACCAGAAGATACCGTCCATATGCAGGAACTCAGAAGACTGCATATCAATGATGATCATCAGAGACCACAATACCGCCATCCACCAGGTCAGACAATAATTCTGTCGTTAGGTGAAGTCCTTCACGCTTACTAGCCGATTATCACTGTTACTGTGCCATGAACCTACTAGGAAACCCCCCCCTTTCCCCCCCCCCCTCCCCATTTACCAGCACTTCGTTAGATTTCCCAGAGAGCGTATCAAGAAATGTTCCATTGTTCCGGGTCAACTTTTCCATTAAGCATCAAACAAAAGTCCTGGGTAATTGGTAGTCCTGAGGGACTTTGGCCGAAGGGAAGCGGGAAAGCTCGTAACTGATCGAGAAGGCTTACCCTGAGCCCTAACAGCTTAATGTTGAGTGCAACTTATTAATAACCGGTTAATAAGTATGATTGTTGACTTGAATGTCCTTGTTTTTTCGTCATTTCAGGTGTGGAGGTAGTCAGGCCGATCATGTATACAGGTAAAAAAAATTAACTGTTTGTAACAAATATTCTGCTGTTCATTCTCCCAACAGGAGTGGTGGGAGGAGATCGGAGGACGAGTTTAGTCAAGGACTCTTAATTACCGTAACCTCGTTAAAGTTTGAGACTTTTTTTTTTTATATTTATCTGTATTTCTCTGATCTTTTTAGTACAAGCTCCTTCCACCGATAGTGTTCCTTACAGCCCAACCCACTCAACTTCTTCACAAGAACATCCATATCATCCTGGTGAGTTTCTGAGATCGTAATTCAAATTCTTCTTATTATCTGCGCGCATTTTGTGAGAAGTTGGCAAAGTAAGCGCTTTCCCAGCAACGTGATCACGTTTGAGATCAAGACCGAAAATTTGAGATTACTTGCTTGGCAATCATGAAACGTGTCCGTGATCCGCTCTTAGGTCCGTTTTTTAATTTTATTTTTTACTTTTCCAGGAGTTACATATCACCAGTATGTCAGCTACCACTATCCAGATCAGTACAACAGAGTAGAATACGTAGAAAATTATGACGGTAGGTTATTGCTTTTGTGCTGAGTATTATTTATATGACTGAAATGCTACGGCGTCTCTTATTGGTTAAAAACAGATTTTGGATTTTGTGGCAAACTGAAACACGCTCATGTCTTTTGCGTGTTCTCCCAACATTCCGTGTGGGTTACGACATAACGTGAAGAGGCGAGCCAATCGGAAGCAACATGTTCATTTGTTTCAAACATAAGACAAAAGCTTGCTGCGAAGAAAAATGTGTGAGCCCTGGGTGAAAAAGAGTCGAAACTGCGGCAAATATCCGATTTTGCAATTCCGATGGCTCGCCCTACAGCTCGAGTACTTGTTTTTGACGTACTCTGCCATCAAGCCGAAACTTGCGGAGATCACTTGGTTAAAAGTATCTGGGATAAAAAAAAAAAAACAAAACACACGCCAAAGTTATTGTCTTGCTTTTGAATTCGTACGATGTTGTTCCTTTATCCGAAATAAGAAACTTGATGTTGTGTTGACTAATGAATGTAGAATGTGATTCTCAAAATATTTTCTTCCTTAAAATAAGACAGTTGTTTTGATCTGGCTTACATCTTTTTCGTATCGTTTATTTTCACAGAAGAAGAGGGCCAAGTTTCCGCTGTTTAACAGAACATGTGAGGTAAGTTAAACATCCAATTACTTGAAGACATTATGGACGAAAGCTCTTTTTTTTTAATTTCGTGATTTAGTTCAAATGTTTTGAGGAACTGCTTTTCTTTCTTAAAGAGCCATAACTGTGTGGTTGGATAGAGAAATATCCCTCCTGCCTTCTGAGGGGGGGATTTTAGATTTTTCTATACTATGAATTTTCAATGTTAGTCTTAACGTAACGATATGCCTTTCTGAAGTTGTGTCACCTTTTTTTTCCAGGTCTATGAAGACTTCCTTCGCCGATTCATCCCTCCCAGAAAACGAATATTTTATTGTTTCGAGTGATTTATTTTCATGAGCTTTTGGTTTTTTTGGAGGCCTTTCCAAGCTTTCCTGTGCAAAGCTAGTTGAATTTATTGCGGATTATCTTAGACAAAATAGGCAAGAAGAGCTTCTTTCATTTTTAACTCTCAAAAGGAAAGCCTCTAGTCGAAGACAAACAGCGTATTAGTATAACGATAGGCAGAGCAGGCCGTCTGTCTAAAACTGCATAGATATATGAAATCATACAATTATTATTTTTAACTACTTTGAATCTCGCCAGATCATATATACTCAATGAAAGGGAAATAATGATGGTTGTAGCACGGCGCGGGCTTCTCTGGCAGTATGAATAGAGATATTTAAACCTTTGTAGTAGTCTAGGTAGGATTATGGAACGAAAAAAAACTCATTCAATTAAACATACATTTTTATTTTAATCTCAAAATATTGAGAGATGTACCTACTTCTGAGTCTACAAATTTTTTTGTATCAACTGTAAATAAGTTATAGGCTACATTACAAGTACAAATTATTAAACATACTTTTGGTAAAGGCTTTTGTGTTACCTTGTGTGGTGTTGCCTTTTAGAGTTTTTCTGCATAGTGTCTAGTCATTCAAAATCACCTTGGGGTGGGGACTGAGGGAATTTGGGGATCACATGGTGTTCAAGGGGGACGGAGAAGGGATCAGTTGTCGCCAACAGAGTATAAAGGTGGGGGGAATTAAATTGACTGGCAATCAGAGGGGGATCATAAGAATATTTATAGGCGGGGGGGGGGGAGGAGGAATCAGGTAAATTTTGTCGTGACCAAACCAAAATTCACCAGCCCCTTCCAGACGGTAAATAACAACCAGTATACGAGAGACTTATGCACAGACATTTTAACGTTGGTAGCCGAAATTTGAGAGGTTGTTTCTTCAGTCGCCGCTCGCGTCTTAAAAACGTCTTTACGAAGCCCTTCCCCTCTTTCCAGACAACTTGATCATGATAAGTTTGAACTAAGAAAATGGTTACTGAAGACAAAAATATAAATCTATAAATTGATATGATCAGTTTTTGACCTGTCGCTTCTGAAGACAAAAAAATATCTGAGCACCCCAAAGGGCGCGGTCGTTTAATAAATTTGATCATTGGTCGCTTGAGAAAGAATATTTGAAATAACATTTAACTAATGAGAAAAATGCTTATTTACAAAGAGTGAGAGTCGACTGTCGTGAAAAATTTACCCCTGAAAAACACCACAATATACACGTGCTAGGTATTTCCTCTTGAACTTCCCGTTATAAATGTTACAAGCCACATTACCAAAGGAGCTCTGTCGACCTAGTAAGATTATGAAGCAGCCGATAAGCTATTGTCTACAGTTTCTACGAAAATTGCGGTTTGTTTTGTTCGTGGTTTTTAAAACCATTCTATAAAACTACGGAGTGCCGCTTCTGTAGCGTCTGCCAACTCTATTTTTTATATTAACAGTTAAACGCCTCGTCAAACCAATCTGTAAATAAAAGTTAACAGGGCTAATCCATTCATAATAATAAGTGATGCTTAACTCTAGGTAGCTTGCTCTTACCATCTATCTACGTCTTTGGGCCTAGAAATTACTTCGCCATTCTTAGATCTAGAAATTCCACCAGTAAATCACACACAGAAAAACATGATCTTACTGTCACGCCCTGGTTGGTTACTATCGATAAGATTTTCAGCTCAGTAAAGCCAGCGTGGATCATTTATCAGCGGTGTTGACTGATGTGAAGCAAATCGTCTGAAAGGAATGACTGATGGAAACACAATATTATCCAGGTTGCGAGAGACTGTGTACAAGCCATCAGATACTGGAACCAGTTCCTCTGTGATATTTGCACCCGTCCTTCTGTGACAGCAAAGACCTGGTTAAGAGAAGAGGAAAGAAAAAACGAGTCACAATAAAACGGTTTCCACCTGAACTTTGCTGTAAAAATTTTTAGTGAATCCTTATACACACCTTTTGTCCTTTTGAAGCCGTTCCATCTGTTCAATACTTCAGCTGCCGCTACAACTGCAGAGAGTAGACTCGACACAAGGGCGAGGCCGAATACAATGTAGAAACCCCGGACGACAAGTTCCAGCGTTTGGATCCCAGATGAAGGCTCCTGGCCTTTTCTAGGTACCATATCCCCAAACCCAATAGTGCTTAAAGCTGATAAAAGAAAACATGATCTAATGACTTATTTAGTTTATAAATTTACAAAGAATAAACCTTAACATTTTTATCAGTTGAATGGTTTACGAACGATAATATTTCTCTGCTTTCAACAAGTCATTCGTTCATAATATGGACATTGTGAGCTTTTGAATGACTGAATTAATGAACAAATGAATTGATGATTGAATGAGCTAAGGAATTCATCCGCCTGAAGATCATGGACATTTTAATCATCAGCTTATCATGGTATGTTCCTAAGTACCTTTGTGTTCCAAATACGCTTGCTATTAGTTCATTGTCTTGCCTATAATAACTTACGTAAGCCATACCTATAAAGCAGTAGTAAACTCCGTCAAAGTAGCTCCAGCCTTCTGACAAATACAGCAGTCCACCGAGCATGAGAAGGACTAGGACCAGGGCAGCAGTGCTTAATAGCACCTTAATCTTAATGCCTTTGTCTTGTTGGAGCTGGTACTTTGAACTGATCAAAATAAAACCGTTTTCGATCAATTCGTTGATTCTCTCTCCTATTGATTTCAACGCCAACATACAGAGAGGTATACCAAATAGCGCGTAAAAAACACAAAATAACCGGCCGCCAAATGTGGCAGGAGCCATGTGGCCATAGCCTGAAATCAGAGAATTGAGCGTCAGTGCATCAAAGAAATAGGCATGGGGGTATTAGCTGACTGAGTGGTGTGACTAGTTAGGTATCAAACTGACTGACGATGAACCGGGATCATGGCTTTCCCCCTCCCTGGTTCCTAGATGATTGACTTTGACTGGCTTACGATCTGATTGGCTAGCTGACCAACGGACCAACTTTCAAGCTGACGGACAAATTTGCTTCCTGGTTGTCTGTCGAGAGGCCGATCGATCATGAAAGTGCATGAGTGATTGAACAATTTACTGTTACAAAAGATATGTATTAAAGGGGAAGTGAAGCCTAAAGTTGAACCATTTTTAAATTGTAGCTTATAGCTCAAATATCAATGTTTGAACGTTTTGACGATGAATTCAAGACTGTAACTGTCTTTCAAGCATCCCCAAATCTCTCCCAATAAAATCCAGTCGTCAATAAACTGAATGGAAAACTTACATGATCAAGGCAACACATATATATATATTATATTCGTGCAGCCTGAAAAGATTACGAGTTTGGAGGCAAAAACTTAGGAAGACTACGAGACGAATAAGGTGACAATTTCTAACACAGCGTCTAAAATCAATAATATTTGCTCTGAAAGTGAGCTATGCGATTTCGAACTGGTACGCCTCCGCAGTCAGTTGTGAAGAGGATGGGTCAGTCTGTTCTTCTTTCTTCCGAGTTGTAAACAACGGTGTAGACAGGACGTTTTTACAGAGTAGTGGATAAACATGGGAGCCTTCGATAGCACTTCATAGAAATTATATGGATGTTGAGCTATCCTTGTAACTGAAAACTGATAACTTAACCATTAGACCCTTACCGATTGTGGTTATAACACTCGACGAGAAATAAAGTGAAGCATAAAACGTCCACTCATAGCTTGACGCTCTTTGGTGATGATCTTCTTGAAATTTATGAAGCTTGTTCACTAGATCGTCAAATTCTTCCTTCGACATATTCACGCTTAAGTTTGTTCGCATTTTCTCCAGAGTTGCTTTGTCGGCGTCTTCCGCCAGTTCAAGTTCGCGTGGATCTGTTGTACTTTCAAGGACTTGAAAAACTGCAGCGCCAATTAATAGAAACAACGCAACTAAAGTGAAGCGAATTAAAATATCTCTTGTGCCAGCTTTCATTGTTCAAGACACTGGAAGGATGTTTGTTTTGCCTTCGAAGACTCGACCACTTCAGCCTGTTTTACCACCGTGTAAACTGATGTAACTCCAAAGTCACACACGCGAAGTTTTGTCAGATTTTCGAATTAAATTAAATGCTGAAGGACGATTTTAAGTGAGTCACAGTTGCCTATTTTGCTTTTTTAATTTATTTTTTTCCGAGAGAGAATTCAGTTGTTTTTTTGACCACAGACCAATCGCCACAAGTCTTCAATTAATGCCCCGCGTTAAAGATTCACATAGAATCTTGTCACCGCAGTTACAATCTTGATTAAAAAAAGTGTAAACAAATTAGACTTCTGTCTCTAAGAAGCAGTTTGATGTTTACAAGTTAAACATCGTGTTGTATGAAATCTCAAGTAGGTCATTCAAAACCGTTGATTGCGTGCAGAATTACAAAACCCCCAAACTTCATGAAATATTCACTGTTTTCAACAACAGATTCTATTGTCGGCACTTTCGTTTCAGACCCTTATCAAATAGAAATATTATAGCATCTTTCTACGGTCGCCCAAACGTCAAATGCAAACACGCAATTAATTCAGACCAGAATCTTCTCATTCACTTTGGCTGGCTAATTAGCTGAAGGAAAGACAACACCTGATTCATAAAACATTTTTCCTTTAAAAATACGGGATATCAGAGATCAAACAAAAGATTTCTTATGGACGAAGTCTCTTAATTCGCTGTTTAGCGTCGTCCGATCGCATCACATACTTGTGTTAAGAAAAAGAAGTTATATAATATAAAAAAGCGGTGATTTTCTCATTTCACCTTTAAGCTAAACTGTAGCTAAGACACACAAGTACAGTGCTTGAGAAGCGCCATTAGATGGAGTCTCCTCTGAGACATCTACCCGGAGAGTTCTTCGATTACGGGAGCAGCTGCACCCACCAACAAAAGCAGAAAGCGCGCTCCGATTTTCTAGAAGCTGTTGTTCTTCCTTTTCGTATAAAATTGTTCTTCGGATCGGATTTCGATAAACCTTGGCAGTTACGAGAACTTCTTCAATTAACTGAGTCATTCAATCCTCGCTGATGGATTTCAGGAAGTTACTTCCTGTTCAGTTTCTTTAGGCTGTACAATAATAATGTTTTGCTGGGTCTAACGGTTTTTGTTCCACCTAGTTCTAGATTCTTAGTGAATTTTTTGAGGATGCTTTTTCCATCCAAGTGACCAATCTGTTTCGGGCTCTCATTCGAGCAACCGCGCGGGTGATTCCCCTTCCTTGATTTCTCGCTGTATTATGGGCAAACCATGATGTCGCGGGTGTCTCTGCCTTAATATTGAACACTTGGAACGAGTCATACTTAAGACGAAACCGAAAATATGTTATGGTCAACAAGTCTTGGTTACACCGTTGCTTCAAAAGCTGAATCATCCAAAAAGGCCAGAGAAGACCATGCGCGTTCTTTCACAAATCCTCTCTCCCTCAGCTACTCCTCGAATTCTTGGCCATATTCTGGCTCAATTTCAGACCAAAGTGAATAATTTCCCACATCGGTTTTCAGACCTAGGCCTGCCTTCTTTACGGTAAATTTGATTACCAAATCCCTCACGCCTTGTTAAGCTTTGCATCGGTGCCTAAAAGTCAATCTCTGATAGAATTCATTCGAACAATTGAGCTTTAATTCACCCTTTGGACTGTTTATTCTACTCTCTCTCAGTATCTATTTGGAATTAGATATTCGCCCTTGTGGTTTCCTTTAAAACCATACCGAAATGAAGACTATAGTGGTCAGAAGCTTTGCCGTTTTCAGACCGTACCTTTTTAACATGGCGGCTCAAAGCTGAGATACAAATTGGCACAAATAGAGTGCCAGAATAATGGCTGACGTAAAAATATAAGAAGTAAAAAATTTTCCTTTTTTAATGTTTGCAGATTTTGCTGCTGTAAGCAACATTCCTATGGCGACGAAAACTAAGTATTTTATAAATCTTTCACTGTGTAGATGCGAAATGTTTACAAATGGATAGAAGCGTAAAGAAGCAGTTTAATGAAGATGGTATATTCAAATAGCACAGCTTTAGACTCATTTTCTATTTGTTTTAAATTCAAGTTATATTCATATATTTTGTTTTTTCATTTTCAGTCTTCTCAGGCTAAGATGATTTTACTTTCTCTATAGATGGGGCATTTTCGAGGAACATCCCGTCACCAATATTACTTCCTGAAGACTGTTAGCATATTTTTCATTACATCACAGATAGTTTGATGCACAAACTGGTCCTTTTTTGCTTGAATTGTTTATTTTGAAATTAAGGGAAAATTCCCTACTACTCGCTGTTCGGGACTTATAATCGTCACCACTTCCGGCGCCAAAAAAGAGCTATATTTGAAGTAAGCGTCATTGCATCACCGAACAAATGTGATCACGTGCTGGTTTATGTCCAATCAGAAAGCTTAGAAATGGAACGGGGAAGTCCCTTAGTCGAGCAGAATGGAGACTATAAACTGAACCACTTCTTTCGGTTTTCACATGTGTGAGTGGAAAACTTCAATGTTGTTTTCACGCTAAAGTTGACAAGAGGAAGAGAATCTACAAGTTCTTAGGATAAAAGGCTAACGAACGTTATAAGGTGGGCAGATTTCACGTATTTTGGGCTTCTCTATAGCTTGTCTTCGCCGCATACATTTTGTTTCCCTGACTTTCTCTTGTCATTTTACCAACCAGTATCCTTCGAGGAAATTATTCTCTAACACTGGCGGTTTGAAGAACGAAATAACTTAAGTTCATCAAACGCAGAAACATTTTCATAGTAATACGACACGTTCAAACGTGAATTCTTCATTCCTTCTTTTATTTCAACGTCGAAATTGTCTCACTAATCGTTGTAAGCGAGGTGCGCTTGTGGCGGTGGGTGTCTTCATGTTTTACGTCACGATCAGTGCTTAAACATGTGCTTAATCAGCATGTTGATGATATTTTTTCCATTCTTTCCTAGTCTACTTAGCCATATTCCGCTTGTCGTACCCTATAGTGTCACTACTTAGTTAAAAGGGATTGTGACCGATCATCAGTGTGATTAATGCTCTTAAGTCTTGTGACAAACTGATCATGATACATGAAGAGTGACTTACAATAAACGTCGTAAAGATCCTGTTGTATTCAAGTTAAATTTGCATCTTAATTTCTCCATGAAATATGTGTTTTATGAGGCATTTTTGATTGATGTAAGACAGACATAACATGAGCTTGTTGCATATGATTAGTTGTGGTAAATTCGATATGTTTACCACAGCTAGTACACGTATATGAATACATGTATATGTTGTAATTTGAAATAATTTCAGGGCAAAATGACAACAATCAAGTTTAGAATGTGTTTTTCTTTGCATAAGAGATACAGCAATGTACTTGGAACAAAGGGGAACACAACGTAACCATTTCAAAATCACTTTTACGTAAAATTTATTGTTGCCTTGAACATGCAGGCATGTTCTTGTGTCAATTTAGTTTTATGGTCCTGTATAATACAGCCTTAATTAAATATCTGAAAAATAACCGTATGCTGACCTCTTGTGCCAAATTTAATGATGGAATCCAAAAGTTATTATGATCAGGGCTATGAGGTTGTAATTGAGAAACAACTGGATCTTCAATACTATATTGATTAATAGAATAACTGTTAGCAATAATACAGGAGCATGTGTTTAGACTGACTGATGCGTATGTTGCTCATTATATTTAGCTGTAATCATTTGGTAGATATAAGTAAAAGCTCTGTTTTTTGAAATGGTATTAGACTATATTTTGCCATGTTTCTGAGGAAATGCAGATGAAATGAAGGATGATGCAGGTATTCAGATGAATTTGTTAGAAGTGATTGGTCAGCAATAAATGTTTTTTCTCAGTCACAGTGAATTCTGTCTTTTATTCCCTCAACTTTGTCTCCAAGTTCTTTCTCTCTCTGGCAATTCCATTTTCTTTAGATATAACAATTTGTTACCTATGATTTAAAGATGTTTTGGTACTCATGGAAAATGTTGTTTCTTCCTTTAGCACTTGTAATTTGTGAGCTATAAAAAGATACTCCAAAAGTAAGGGGATCTGCCATATTTTGAACCAGCTACTACCATGGCAACCAACTCGGAAAGGCAGATCGGTGAAACTCTCACGGACAGTTTTATGATGGATCTCCTGACACCGGGGTATCTACCCGACATCTCGGCACTCCAGGTGCCAACAGCATCGTACCAAGGTAGCTGGGTTTGCCAAATTAATGTATCACTGCTTGTAGTAACGTAAATCAACAGAATTTCAGCTACTCTTTGTTTCTCAGTTATTATTTGTAGCAAAATTGTTCACTGCTTGTTGCAATTTCAACCAAGACAATTTATACCATTCTTTGTTTCTCAATAAACCAATCTGGTTATTCTAAGTGCTTACATCCTCTACTATTTGTAGCAAAATTGTTCCTGGGAAAGTGGAATTTATGTTGATTAAAAATTAAACCCAAATGCAATTTTTAACTGAAATCAAAGACTTATATGATAACTGTATCAAAGTTTAGGAAACTCAAATTTAACTTTGCATTTAGCTTCATCAGTTTTGATAGGAATTAGTTATTGAGAAGGTACATAAACAGTATAAGCACAAGCAGTTCAGTTTATTTACACTCTCTATTTTGAAACAATTGTTAAAGAGGGTATGGACAACATTCCAGAAAAAGATTGATACTTCTATGTTATAAGTAATGTAACTTTTGTTATCAAACATTTTTATAGGACCTTATATGGAAATTCTTGAACAACCTAAACAGGTAAACATGGCATTCTTATCTTAACACGTGGACTCAACAAACTTAGGCTCCCAGTTAAATTGATCTTTGATTTAGAGAGATCATTTGATGGCTGTTTGATAGAGTTGGCCTTACTTTTACCTTAAGACATTTTATGAACCTGAGGTATGATTAAATCATGAGATTCCTCTTCTCAATCATGAGAGTTGTGACCACACTCTACCTACAGATTGAAATTGATCAATACCACTAGTCTTACAACCAGTGACATTTTAGAACTTGTAACTGACCAATCTCTTCTCACAAACTGGATAAAAACCTTCAGCTGGTGAAGAAAAAGGAAACAATAAAATTCTTTACTTGACTCTGAAATTGACTTTCACAATATTTTTAAAAACAAAGATTTAGTGATAGTTATTAAAACATAGTCCTTCTCACATTTTCACACACTCAGATGATTACATTATTGTATATGTGACAGGATTGACCAATACCCTGCATAACATTTGTTTCTGCAGAGAGGTTTCCGTTTCCGTTATCCATGTGAGGGCCCATCTCATGGTGGTCTACCAGGGCAGTATTCTGAGAAAGGCAAAAAGTCATATCCTTCTGTTCAGCTCTGTAACTACCAAGGGCCTGCACGAATTGTGGTATCATTAGTGACAGTAGATGAACCTCCTATGCCTCATGCACACAGTCTGATTGGCAAGAACTCCACTAATGGAGTGGTGACAGTACAGATTGGCCCAGAACAAGGAATGACAGCAACGTGAGTTGTTTATGACTTTTATAACAGTGTTGGGGATCTAATTAATGGGCTAGATTCTAGATCAAGAGATCTGAGTTGCATCATCGTATTGTGTTCTTAGGCAAGTCACATTATTCTCACAGTGCTTCTCTATGTGCAGGAGTATAAATGGGTACTGGTGAATTGTCAGGGAAGTGGCAGCCTGATGAAATGCTGAAGGGTGACCTTGCAGAAGACTGGTTTCTAATCTGGGGGAGAGAGAAGCAATGCAATCCAAGTTGCTTCATGTTATGGAAACTGGAATAAGCTTCAACCACACTGTAGATGAGGTCACTTGGCTTGATTGCTGACTTGATCTTTTTGGGTAATGACCTTTGCCATGAAGTTAACTGTGTCCAGGTCATAAAATTGTTGGGTATTGATTTCTTGTGAAAGGAGCCAAAGGAATGTTGTGTGGAAAAAGTGACATTCTTGTTGTTCAAATATTTACACCCAGAGCGGTACAAACTTGGTTTTAATTTAGCAAGCTAAACCATAAGTTAGCTTCATTATTTTGCTCAATTTTTAGGTTTCCCAATCTTGGTATTGAACATGTCACAAAGAAAATGGTTGGTAAAGTGCTTATGGATCGATATATCAAGATGCAGACCCTTCACACAGCTACATTAAATGCCCTAACATCAGGAGATGGAAAAGTGTTTGGTGTGGCAGGTTTAGTAGACCAAGCAATGGTAGATGGTGACAGAAGCTCTTTTGATAAACACTTGGCAGAAACTGTGGCAGGTGTGATAGAAACATTATTAATTCTGATGATATTTTATGTCTTGCACTCTGAATGTGCCAGTAACGACTGTGTAATTAAAAGCATTACTATGCTTGTTGTATACCAACTTTATTGTTGATATTGGATGAGTCCTTTTTCTGAAAAAGCACAGCCAGTAATCAGATTATGTAGAGTCAATAGCTCAGTGGAAAGATCTTGAAATTTAATCATTTAAACAGAGAAGACCTTTATTGAATTAAAAACAGCTTGTTATGAGTTGTCAGTAAAGAAAGTCTCCTGATATTTTAATTTTTTATTCTATTAGAGGAGGAATCACAAAAGGTTCGCGCCATGGTGGAAGAACAAAAGCAGAGTATGAACTTGAATGCTGTCAGGCTGTGTTTTCAAGCATTTCTTCCTGATGAAACTGGTGCATTTACAAAAGCTTTGCATCCCTGCATTTCCAATGCAGTTTACGATTCAAGTGAGATATAGTACTTTAGTTTATTTGGTAAAGGCTCAGGGCTGGTTATTATGCAAAGTTTAGCTCTTATTTAAGTCTGGAAGTTACAATTGATACAGTCAAAACATTTGTTCATTAATGTGTAATTTTCTAAAAAATAAGAAATTGTCTGTTGTTTGGTGTTTTATCTAATAGGCTAAACATCATTTTGAACAGGCATTCCAGCCATTGTAACATCTGAACCTTAAACTCCTTAAAGTTATTCTTAGTGTTTCACTCTAGCTGATCTTGATAAGTTTGTTTATTCTTAACACCTGTTTGCCCTTAATATTTTGAAATTCTTAGGACAACTTTTGTTTGAATCAGCTGCAGAGGTTATACAGTTAATGCAATTCACTTATTTTTGCAGAGGCCCCATCAGCCTCAAATCTTAAGATTTGCCGTATGGATCGCAACTCTGGATGCGTCAAAGGAGGTGACGAGGTTTACTTACTGTGTGATAAAGTACAAAAAGGTGGGTGTTGGATCGTACTGTTTATGGTTACACCTTAATTTTGCAAGTGTGAATTTCTATCAATACAAAAATTTTATTTTGCCACGAGGTCAACGTGACATGATCTTGCTCTGTCTTGCAGACGATATTGAGGTTATATTCTATGAAACTGAAATGGAGACTGGTAAAAAAACATGGGAAGATCGTGGAGTGTTTTCCCCTACAGATGTTCACAGACAGGTGATTTTAAAATAGAAACTGTTGCTCTGTCATGGTAGAGCCAGGAGCTTCATTTTTGTGTGTCAGGAAATCAAACTTCTTCCTTAACATGTACTGGTAAACAAAATATTGGGTGAAATCTAGTAACCTAGTAGCATGGATTCCCTAGAGTGAAGGTTGATTTCATTTTTGACTTGCACGTTGTTTTCTTATTATTCCTGGTTCCAGGTTGCCATTGTTTTCAAAACTCCTGCTTACTGGAATGTGGCTATCGAACAACCTGTCAAGGTACAACTTGAGCTACGGCGGAAGTCTGATCAGGAGACAAGTGACCCAGTGGAGTTCACATATCAACCACAAATGTTTGGTATGTCATTAAGTTATTTATAATCAGATTCAGGTTATTCAATGGAGGATACCCATCCGGGTATTCTGGTGAACACATATTTGGAAAAATACTGTTCAAAGCATCATGACCTGCACCATTAGATTTTTATTCAAAAGGAAAATTGGGACAAAACACTGATTGGTTTTGTGGAATCTTCATTTAAGCTGAATACAAGCTTCTTGTTATAATGTATAGGGATTTTACTTCCCATATTGTCATTAATTTTTGAACTTGATACTGTAAATTTAGGTCACTTTAGCAATTCTTACATGGAACTTTGCACACTTTTAGCTGCTGTCCTCACAAGCTGTTAGAGACTATCTTAGTTCCATCCTAATTTCCTGAGCAATCCTGGCCTGGCTACACCAACCAATAGTGTTTAAGAGAAGTTGTAATTGCAAAATGTTTTAATAAGTGATATTTATTTCATTTTCTCATCAGACAAAGAGCAAATTGGAGCCAAAAGGCGAAAGAAGATCCCACACTTCTCTGACTACCTTGGTGGTGGTGGTGGTGGAGGAGGTCCTGGCATGGGTGGGGCAGGGGGAGGAGGTGGTGGCTTCAATTTTGGTGCCTTTAGCTTCCTAGCACCAACCATAGGCTTTTTACCAAATTATTCAAACTCAGGAACTTCTCAGTCAGGCAATCAAGGTGAACAATTCACTTATTGTTGTTTATTGTCATGTTTAATGGTAACCAATAGATCTCATAGTGCCTAGTATTTGTTTAGTTACATATCACAGGAGTCAAAGTTTGTTTGGTGGGGAGACATGAAAGTTTTTGATGTTCTTGTTGTGTTATGATTTTGCCTGTGATCTGTAATGGGACAAACACATAGTGCATGGGTATCTAAATTGTTTTAGACAATGGTCAGAAAAGTGAAGTTATGACAATTTTGATTTGTGGCAATTGACTGCTTCAAATTTTGTTCAAGGGTACATGCGTGTATTTTTTTAAAAAAATCATAAGAATGAAAGTATTCAGTGGTTCAAATGTTATTGTGCAGTGTAATTATGGATGATAAGTCATTTCAAAACAGTTCCTTCCATAACATGGCCATTGAATTTAACAATTCGTACATTTTTTAATGTAACTTTTGTAGGAGGTGGGAGCTCATCACAGCAGGGGCAGTCACATTCTTCTGGACAGACACATGCATCTGGACAGCCACAAGAAGCAGGTGAGCTTGACTGTGTTTTTTGTTCGATAACTTAGTGGTTGGTGCATATATGTGTTTATCTTAGTCGTGAAATGAAGCTGAAAATGCATTGTATGACATGAAGAAAACTTTAAGGATGATATTTCAATCAGTATTGAAATGTGCTATACTATCATTGTTCAAAGAGAGATGTTTGTCTTTGTAACAAGTGCATGACACTGAAAAAAAATCTTGTACAAAAAAAGTCCTAAGCAGAAAAAGTACAAAAAATGGAACCCTGGATCTAATGACACATTTGAACCAAAATGACTATATGGCTTACATATAGCTCACCAGAGGTCTCTCTAGCTTAGTTGTAGAGGATGTGAGCAACAGCTCTGAAGGTTTGAGGTTACATTCCCCCAGAGGTACTCAGATTTTTGACAAAATGAATGACACCTTTCTTTATTTGACTGATGAGCAAACTTTTAACACATGTAACCCGTTTGTTATTTTAACTTCCTGCTGTTGTCTTACTACAGATCTCAGTGAATTAGCATGGAATCTTGCCGAGAAATCATCAGCTGCCATGCGTGATTATGCTGCTACTGGTGACGTACGGTATTTACTTGCTGTTCAGAGGCATTTAACAGCTGTGCAAGATGACAATGGGGACACGTAAGTACAATCACTTGTCAAAAGGCTCTGGGAAATAGTGACAGTAAGTTCTGAGCATCATCAGTTCATTTCAAGCTTCTAAACTGAAACTTGGCTTTTTTGTCCTCCTGTTACAGAGCTCTTCACCTTGCTGTTTTGAACGCTCGGCAAGAAATAGTCCAGGGTCTGTTAGATATCATGGCTAGCCTGCCAGAGTCATTTGTCAGTGAATACAATTTCCTGAGACAAGTGAGTCATTGTTTCATCCTGAAGCTCTTAATCTTTTGAATCATCTATCTCCAGCCTAGTAGTCTTTCCAACTGACATCATTTTAGAGTTATGGAGAACAACTTGGTCTCACAACCCTATCAGGGGATGATATAAGAATATTCTTGTTGTCCATGACTACTGCAAATATCCTCCTTTTGAGCTCCATGGTTAGATATGATGCCCTTATCTTTCCATACCAGTGCGTTGCACTCACCAGTGTCTTTCCTCTCCTTTGTTACGTCCTTCTCGAAGAATTGTTTTAATTGCTGTAAGCTTTATTTTCTAGGTTGCATGAAGTGACCTTTCTGAGATCTCTGCTCGTTCTTTCTCCACAGACACCTCTTCATCTCGCCGCTATCACAAAGCAACCTCGCATGCTGGAATGTCTGTTAAGAGCCAGAGCAAATGCTAGATCACGTGACCGTCATGGAAACACTGCTGTGCACATTGCATGCATGCACGGAGATGCTATGTGTCTGAAAGCAATGTTGAACTTCAATGTGACAAAAACTGTTCTTAACTGGCAGAATTACCAAGGTGAGAATTGAACAATAAAATCATGCGCACCTGAGGATTATTGCAAGACGTTGGGAGAAGCAGCTCCTTAATGTTGGTTCTGTTTTGAATACCCGATTTGCATCCTCTTTGTTGAATGAGATAATCCCCAGAACCAGAGTAGGTTAGTATGGGATTACATTTAAGTTACTAATGAGTAAATCTGTTTACAGGACTAACGCCAGTGCATCTGGCAGTGCTAGCGGGCAGTAAAGATGTCCTTAAACTGCTGAATTCCGCGGGAGCCAACATGAGCGCTCAGGTATTTTATTACTTTCAACATTCTTGTGTTAACCCTTTACACCCGAGCATTAGTATGAATATTCTCCAGACTGTTCTGTATAGATTTCCAAAGGTGCTAACAAGGAGAATTTGTTTAAAAATCAAGAGCTTCTTTAGTTGGTGATCATTCCTGTGATTCTCGTGACCTTAATGTTTCATTGAGGGGGGGGGGGATTTTCTAAGGAGAAATTAGATGCTAATCACTCTCAGAGGTTAAAGGGTTGAACAACTTATTTCCAAAATCAAGCACAAGAAAATTTCAGATGAAATCGAGAGTTAATAATATTTGTTGTTCAGGGATTTCAATCTTTGTGAGAAAGGTGACATCTGTCTTTTAGTCGGTGAAAAGGGCAAGTTTTTTGTTTGTGAACATAAGTAGTTATCCATTCTGATCTTAGTGATAATATGTTTTGTCGTTGTTTAGGATGGCACTAGTGGTAAGACACCACTTCATCATGCAGTTGAACAGGACAATCTGGCCGTCGCTGGATTTCTCATTCTTGAGGTAAACTATTAAATAGACTTTGTTCCACAAGAAGTGAGCCACAATGTACGGGAAGGGCACAGTCACGAGTACATGGTCCAAAGCTTCTTAAAGCTTTTTCAATCGAATGTGGAAAAACATCCAGGATCTGCGGTGAACATGTTAGTTTCACTTCAAGTAATTTAGTGTTAACAACTGGGTTGAAAACGTAAATTGGCCACCGTAAAGAGTAGAAAAGCTGGCGTTTCGAGCGTCAGCCCTTCGTCAGAGCGATGGCGAAGGGCTAACGCTCGAAACGTCAGCTTTTTTACTCTTTTTACGGTGGTCAATTTACGTTTTCAACTCAGTTGTTAACGCTAAATTACCGGCTATACTCCCTCACCGACGCAGCACCACAGTTTCTTTAGAAACTTACCCCCTTTATTAGTTTCACTTCACTGCGCTCTCTGATTGGTCTCAAAAATTTTCCCCACCCTTTCAGTCAATCAGATACAAAGGAAAAGCCCGTCACGACGTCCTCACTCTTCAGGTCGTGGAAATCTATTTACTATGACTCTGATTGGTTTTTTTTTTTTAAGAAAATTACCTTTTTGATTGACTTTGGTTTCGGTTTTTACGTCATTGAGCCTAGTTTTCCCTACATGAGGCTTTTGACTCCTTTTGTTTACCATATACACTTTTGGTGGTATGGATTGTTATAGATGTTTATTGAATTAATTTATAAATAAATGTCTTATCTTCTCACTAGGCGAACTGTGATGTGGACGCAATCACTCTCGATGGAAACACACCACTGCACGTTGCTGCAGCCAGTGGGCTCAAGGGCCAGACCGCGCTTTTAGTTGCGGCAGGGGCCGATACAACAGTACAGAACAGCGATGATGAAATACCTTTTGACTTGGCAAATGTAGCTGAGGTAAGTTTCTCAGGAAGCGGCTCACTTCGCCCAATCGCACTTTCGCCCCGAGTCTTACCTTTGTTTTGCTTTTTCACGGAGTGCCGTAAAGTTGAAGAAATACTGACCCTTGCAAGAAGTAAGAAAGTTTCTGTCTTGTCAGCGAATCCTAAAAGGAGGAGGCTCCTATAAGACATAAGAAATTAGCAAAGAAAAGAGCTCTAATTAGGCTTCGGAGGGCAAGTGACACTCATTATCAATCAGAAGTAAATAAAGAGGAATAAACAGCCGTAGCAAAATTTGAAAGGCCGACATGTTATTCATTAGCTCCTCGTAGGAGTGTAAGGAAAGTTAAACGCTTCAACAAAGGGCTAGCGCTCGAAAAAGTCGCCGCTTTTCAAAATTCGCCGTGGAGCTTCACTTACCTGCCCTTCCTACTGATGCCGAGCTCACATGAATGCCTGAACGTTTTGTGTCCTTCTAGGTTCAGGAAATCCTGGATGAAGATGAAATACTTAGTACGGATCCTTCCCAAGACGATGGTGAGTTTTTTTTCTTTAAATCTTGCATTGGTTAAAATGCAGACGAAGATACACGAGAAAGTTTTCTGTTGCAGCGCTGACACAGTGCAGACGCGTTGTAGACGCAAGGTGGAGGCATTGCAAAGGCAGATTTTCCTCGACAAGTCCCCGCCTTGTCTAAAAATTACGCACCTTAATGGTGAGGTCATCTAATAAAACTCTTTTTCCTTTCTTCTAGATTTAGCAAGTGGATTAACTGGCCTTGCGCTTGGTCAAGGTAAGATTTTATGGTACATTCTGAAAACATCAGGTTTTGCGACTTTCATGTATAGTGGAAATGCTGTGATCAAGAAATTTTTCTTAATTTCTCTATGTTTGTTTATTTGAGGGTTACGGGCAAAGTGAGCCAATTCAGAGTTAATGTTTACAATTTGCCCCACAAACATCTAATTTTGAATGTTTAACCCTTCACTAGGTGATATGGATAAACTGGATCCTTACGTCAGAAGAAAAATAGCCCAAAAATTGGATCCCACTACTGGAGGTGGGGCGAACTGGCGTGAATTGGGAAGGAGACTGGGACTAGGGACATTGGAGAATGCGTTCGCAATTCACTCAAGTCCAACAACACAGGTGTTGGCTCAATACGAGGTGAGCATACGATTAGGGAAGAGAGGCTTTTTTCAGAATAAGAGAACTTCAATTGTTACTTCACGAGAGCTTACACAGAGTCTTGAAAAAGGAAGGAAATTTGCAAACTGATTTTCAAGTCCTGGAAAAACTATGGAAATAAAGATTAAATCTGAAAAGAAAGTGAGATGGAGTTTTGGCGGCTTGAGATAGTTCTTGATTTATCGGTGGGATCGAAGATGATTGATTTTTTTTTCACCTCTTAGGCTGCTGATGGCAACATCAAGACTTTACGGCAAGTTCTTTATGACATGCGTAGAGGAGATGTACTTGAGATACTCGATGGGCGGCAAGACTCAGGGTTTGATTCCGGTCTCGGTTCCCAGTCCTTATCGGCGAGTAGATCGGAAGGTAAGATTCGCTTTGTTTCTTCTTGTGTAATTAGTTCATCGTTCGGCCATCCGACAGTCAATCGGTTTAGTCGATCGCATTTAGTCAGTCAGTTGGTTTCAGCGGGTCAAACTATCAATCAGCCAGCCAAACTATCAGCAGACAGTGAGTCAGACAGGTGCTCATCCTGTGAGTCAGACAGGTGCTCATCCTGTGAGTCAGGGGGGGAGTGGTGATTCATTTGGTCGCTTGATCCAGCGCGTCAGTTGGTCATACAATCATCCATCTGGAAATTTAGGCTGCCAATCAGTTAGGGGAAAATTACCGGTGTATTCCTTTTGTTCCTTGTTTAGCTTTTCTTCAAAATAATAAATCCCTTTTTTTACTTTTTTTCAGAATTATTTTCGTACGATGAGGGTTTTTCGAAAGGATCCTCTAATTCCTCGTTAAAGAAAGGAGTAACGAGTCTTGACTCCACGCGAAAGGCTGGGAATGTACAACCCATCAGGAGACACCAAGATGTGTGTTAACTCGACAAACTGTGTAAAAAAATACACCTAGACTAGAGGCTTATTTAGGCTTGTGCACTTGCGGTACTTAACAGTTTCACCGAAAAAGACGAAAGACTAGGATTGTGATGTCAAGACAGCGTAACAGATGTAGATCTAGTATTATTTTGCATTGCGTGACTTAGGGTCAATATTTCTCGGTGCGTCGGAGTACAACTGTCAATCGTATGACATTCACACCCTCTTATGGAAGGGTTGATCGAATTATTATAAGCTTCCCATTGCAAGAATTTTCCGTCTGGCGGAACTTGAAGGTAATAGGTTTGAATGTAATATTGTGTCATTTAGTAATAGTGCTGAATTCATAGTGTATTCCAGATGAGTCGTGTTATTAAAATATACCATTTATATTCTATTTTTCCTTACGCAATCGGTGTTATTTCTGCAATAGTTGGTTAGGTTTCGGAGAAGTTATAACTTTGGGGTTTTAAAAGCCAACATAACCATGTCTAATATGAACTAGGTATCATTTTAGCTAATATTTACTCATTTGTCACTAAATTGTAGTCACTGTTTCGTTTTGCAATCACATTTTCTCACAGGTGGGTTATTTGAGATTGTGAGGGAAGCGAAGAGGCTGATAACTAGGCTTTGATAGCGTAGGAGACTGGGTCATGGTTTTCCTTTTTGCGTCATATTATCTTGACGACTGTAGCACCCTGTTCTGGGAGTAAATGGCCTCAATTCTTGCAGTTGTAAATTACTACAATTATTAAGCTTCTGTTAAAATCTTTATTTACGAAATTCAATAAAACACATTAAGAAATCTATTGGTTCCTCTAAAATTTCCTGCGTAAATCTACGGGTACAATATGTCGTTAATGGTTTTCAGGACTGCCCCATTGAAATGATCGGCGAAACCTGGGAACGAGATAATACGAAACTTGACCTGGACAGTTGAGTTGTTATGGGAACAGTGATACGAATCATCGGTTGAAAAGTGCGAGTTTGCTGCGAGTCAATTCGTAGCTATCACTGCGGGAAATGGTTAAGCTAGATCCAGTGTAAGAAAGATTGTTCATCGGTAGTAGTTCATTGATTTGACGTCGTCTTCTCTTGTGGGTGATTTTGTCCACTATGCGATGCAACAATGGTCGAATAACTCGTTTTAACCTCTTATTCAGATAGCCATAGATAACGAAGTTAACCAAAATCCCGCACTGCATCAAAACTACAGCACATACTTTTGCATCGTGTGACAGCTGCCCAGTAAACATCGCTGTCGTAATGCATCCAAGATAAGGCAGGTGACATGAGCACAACGTTAGAACCATTAAAGCTATCATTTGAATGTTTTTGGCCGATACGCGAATATTTCTTTCTGCTATTCGCCTTCTGCTCGAGTCTAAGCTGTAAAAATCGGGTGGTAAATTATCCGTTTTCTGGTGAAAATAGATGACTAAGTTAGCGTACATGCACAAAGTTCCGAAATGTAAAAATGCAAGAAATGCAAATTGTGCCGCAGCCACTCCTCTAGAGTATTTGGTCACATCTGCGCTCGCTTCTTGCTGAAAAAATGCCACAAGGCTCGCGTAAACAGTAGAGATAATCCATGAAAAAGTGATGCAACATGTAGTTTGTTTAACAGTCATTCGGGCAAGCTTTCGTCCACACAACACCAAACTGTATCTTGTTATACTTATTAGAAACAGCGCCTGAAAATAAACGCTGATTGCAAATTCTTCTATAAAACTCTTCACGCCGTGTCCAAGCTCTGTAGTACTGTTAATCTGTAATACATCGAATACTAACGTGAACACTCCTGAAACAAATTCAAGAAGCAAACCAGCAAAGCAAAGATTTATCACCGGCACGGCAGTAGGTACTTGTAAGTGTTTGTCCTTGTAGACTGCATAGCATATAGTTGAAGCTGCAAAGAATACAGCAAAGGTAAACAACGAGAAAATTATAGCGGCGAAAACGATGCTGAACGCGTTTACTGCGTTGAAATTCATTCTCCGTTGACGAGCAGTCGAGGACCGCTCTCACTTTGTGCTCATGTCACGAAGATCAGTAAGAAGTACAAAATGGATTTGCATTTTAAATGAAATTCACTGCTTGCCTTGCATTAATTGTATGCATCTCACTACAATTCGCACGTCGTTTTTGTTCATAAAACTGCATGGTGAAAAAAGAGAGAAAAGAAAAAACGCTCTTGTCTGTGCGACTCCTAATAATTTCTGCTTTTTCGGAATTTATTAAGCTTTCAGAGATTTCGACCTTAATTTGATGTACCAACAGGCTTTGTTACAATTAAAAACCAGAATGAAAACATGAAAGGTCAAATGAAGTTAGATGGTGCTGTGAGGAGAAAAACTAAGATAGAGGTATCTTTTAGCGGAAGTGTGATACGAGACACCCACAACAAGAAGGTCTCAAAGAGGTTAACCGTTAGCCGTAAAACGGACTAAAAAAATTGAGCCGTTAGGCGAAAAAATTGACAAATTTTAACCGTAAGTCACAAAAAAAAGTTAACCGTAAACTGTTTTTATTTTACTGGCCAAAGAAAGAGGGTTAACCTTTAGCCGTCAAACAGCCAAAATTTTAAACCGTTAATTTTAGCCGTAACCGTACGTCGTAATTCCACTGAGACCCTCAAAATAAACATCGGGGTGAATTGCTATCGTAAAACATCAAGCTGCATCTTCCTAATTCTGAAAAGTGTCTTTCGATCATAAGAACCAAAGTAGAGATTTATATATGTCAGTAAGAACGCCGCGATACAGGTGAAAATTTTCGCATAAAATAACGTGAGCGAAGATCAAAACAATGGTTGTCGAGTTTTCTCATCTCACAAATATAAACATGCATAGGTCATTAGATGAACTTTAGTCATTCAAACTTGACGCGAGAATTTCTTCATCCATATCATGCAACTCGTCAGTCATGTGAAAATTTTGTGATGAGGTAGTAATGAAGATCACATTTTTAACAACGTGTGCTAGAATCCGACCGTAACTAATTTCGCAGAGTGGTAGTAGAATTTCAAAACAAACAGCTGAAGGTAAGTTTCACGACTTTGACTCAGCATTTTGAATCGCCAGGTACCTTAGACTTGTTCGTCAGATTTTTCTACGAATCAATTCAAGCCGTTCTTATAAACTTCATGTGTAAGTCGGCTTTGATTACTGACGAAATTCAAGTCTAAACGGCAGGTGTACAAATCTTTTTTCCCCTTCAACATCTACTGATAAAAAAAAGCCGAAGACAGTCATTTTTGCCTATAGGTTTTTCATCATATCATGAAAAATGCGACTCAAAATTTTTAATGACAATCAAATCATATTTATTAAACAGTTCGTTTTCATCAGTTCATTTCAAGCATGTGACTCTTACTGACCTTTTTTTTTTTTTTTCATTTAATGTAAAGAATTCATTATAAAGTTAAGTCGAATGCAACTTCATTGTCTAACTTGATTTCGGACTCAAACTGAAGAGCAGATTTTTCTTTTACAGACATACAGTTTAAGTGTCATGCAAAATTCGGCTTCAAAAGTCTCGAGATAATTTTTCTTTAGAAAGTTCGGCTTCATTCAGCGGACTACTACTCTTAAGCGGAAAAACTTCCTGAGCTGAAAGAGCATGTTTGGTTTTCTCACCTAGGCGCATGATCTTTCAAAATGGATGATTTGACAGGTTGGTTCATACCTTGAAGAAGTATTGTTCGCTATTGGAGCTCAGTTTGTTCAGGAAAAGCAAACAAACCATTATTTAAAGACAGAGTTTAAGCAAAAGCTGGCTAGGATATGTCAGTAACCATTGTGCCTCAAATTAATTAAACCCCAGCACAAAGGCGCCTCAGAGCGAATTAGGGTGCTCATCCGACTTACTGCTGAACTGTTAACTATTCGTGAAGAAGTTGTTTATTTAAAATGCCTCTCAACTCTCAGTTGTCAATGAGCTGAACATAATGGCAAGACGTCTGTAAACTATGAGGTCTGCGCAAGTACACTTGACTGTGTTAAGAGCTTCAAGGTAAGGAATTTTTTCTTAGACTCGAAATTGAGTAACAAGGAACCAGTTTCAAAATACAGAAAATACCATTGGAAAGCTGTGAATCAAAGCCATTCGTAAGTAAATGTGGGCATGCCCAGGCTTCTTTTTCCTGTTCTATAAACAGGTTATTAAGACGCGGTCGTCATTCGATCTCAGTCGCGTTTTTTTTAATCTGGGAATTAAAACAACTTTGATCGGAATGTGCTGATTGTACCGTATTTAAAAAGTTTCGAATCAGTGTTCACTGAATCAGCATTTACTTTGTTTAGAGAAGCGTCTAAGATTTCTCCCGCATGACCAAAAATGCTTGATGTCAAACATCAATTTGAATTCCAGCTCTTCCTGAAAGAAACCTTCGTGTCTAAGACTGGCACTGTTTGGTGCGATACTTGGAACGTATTGCAAGCATTTTTGCATCGATTAATATAGATCGCTTCAAATGAAAGAAAGATAAGGAAGATAAAGTGGCTTTACTTCCCTGGCCTTGCCGATTCACGTTTTGGTTTTCTTCTGGGATACTGTTTCCCCGCTAAAGTAAGCAGTTTTAAAATAGCATCTTACTTTCACGGGACTTTTAAACGACCAAATTAAAGTCTCCCTTTCTCGCATGTTGACAAGTTGTATGATAAAAAAAAAACAACTATTTCCCATTTTCAATTTCAGTTTGACAAATGCGAGTGATCAGATGTGGTCGTAATATTTAGGGAAATGTCTCATATTTAGTATGATAACATTTTCATTTTCATTTCTAGTTACAAATATTACTGTTTTTAGATCACCTCTCAGTTTTCTTACAGTATAGCAGGGAGTATAGTCACTTACATCGTTCAATCCGTGCATAGGTGACTTTTGCGTATCCGTGATTGTTGAAAGAATACACCTCAGTTTTTCGATTGAAGAGATATCCTGCTCTTTTAAACTGAACTGCTTTTTGCAGCTGGAAATTCAGTGTTTCGTGAACGGTAAGTTGTCGATCCAAGTATGTACGTTCATTATTTACTAGTGACGGTCCGTGACGGACTCACCGCTCAGAGCAAGCGGAGAGGCCAGTTTTCTCTTCAAGTGTACTTGATGTGCTGGTACAAATCCTTATTATTAACATCTGACAATGTTCAAATGTTATAAATGGATGAATTGAATTCCAAATTTATTTTTTGGCAATCAATTCTTGTTCGTTGAGAACGTTGTATGGGTATTCAGTCAGAAGGAATATAATAATTAGTAACGGTTTAAGGAACTTTTCCTTCAAATCCGATTGAAAATTAAAATTGTTTCTCTTCGATTGCAGGCTTCGCAACCATGGCGGACTTAAATTTTAGCCAACTGCAAAATTCCTCGATTTCAAATGGCGAGGAACCTGATACCGAATACTTGGTGCTTGCACCTGTTCTGGGGCTCGTAATGCTGCTCGCCATATCTGGTAACATGACCCTTATCATTACAATATGCCGCACTCGTAAACTGCGCACGTGCACAAACATGTTCATCTTAAACCAGGCATGTGCAGACCTGGGAGTCGCTTTATTTTGTATGCCATTTTCAATCATCACGTGCTACACACGAGACTGGATATTTGGTGACAGTATATGCCATCTAAATGGGTTTGTGAACATTCTGTTTGAGGCTTCATCGTTGTTTACGCTTACTTCGATAAGCATCGAGAAATACTTTTCCATCGTCAAGCCTATGAGGGTTGTCATAACAAAAAAGGTGACAGTCACCATAGTTGCCATGACGTGGTTTACAGCACTTGGGCTTGCAACCTTACCGTTGACAGGTTTCATTGCGTTTGAATTTAAGCCGGGTAAGTAAAAATTTTTTTTCCATTATGGATAATTTTTGAAAAAATGAGCAACAAGTTTTAGAAGTCAATTATTAGCGCAGTTTGGGGTAAAAATTACAAGTGATTAAGTATTCCAAAATTTCCCAAGAAATTTGATTTGATTACTTTTCAATAACATACATAGAAATTTAACTTCTTAGACTATTCGAGATTTAATTTAGTGAGGTGTTTTCAGCCCAAATGAGCATGCTGAAATGTCGCAAGTATGAATGTTTATTGAGGTAATAAATTTTTATTAACAGATTTATTACACCCAGTTTGAAATCACTGGTGGTCCCTGTAATCTGATTGGCTCTGATTGGTGCGATTTATTCACGAATCGTACCATTTTTTGCTTTAAACGCATCTTTTTCCCAGCCAATGAAGAGGCTACACTAAAAACAAAACAACCAATCAGATTTCAAGGCTTGTTCAAAGTAACCGATCAAATTGCAGGAAAATGAAAGACAAAGAGTATTATACGGCAAATTTTGCAACTTTTGTTTCCGAAACTCCTATTCCCCCCCCCCTAAAAAAAAAAGATGAATTTAATTTCAAACCGAGTCAGTCCTGCATTAATAAAATATTTGACCAAGTCCTATATTTGGGCGATTTCAAAATGGATGCAATAGCCCGATAGTTAATCGATTAATGATTAATAACGGTAACTGAACCTCGTGTCGTGCAATTTTGGTCTGAAATCATACTTGTGATTACAAATCACGCGTATGATTTCAGCCCAAATTGCACTCCACTCATTTCAATTACCGTTATTAATCATTAATCGATTAACTATCGGGCGAAAAGTTGGCAGGGTTATGGAGTAACACAAGCTCGGCATAAAAGCCTATGAACCAAAAGAAAAGCTGCAAACAGTTTTAACAATTTTCTTCATTCCTTAGGGTCAACTCAGTGTGGAGTTCAAATCTCATCTAATGTTGGTCAAACCATTTACTCATTGGTGGTTCTTGTGGTCGCCTTCCTTATGCCGCTATGTATCATGGGATTCTGTTACATCAACATTTTCCTGGTTGTAAGGAAACACAACATTCGCCGTCCAAAGATGTCATATTCACGCATCGACAGCAAAAGTTTTCTGTCGACTCAAAGCCAAATAGCCCTGACCATTTTCATGATGTTCATTGCTTTTATTCTCTGCTGGTCACCTTATTTCGCGTACATGATCTACATGACCGCTCGTCAAGTGAAAAGCCCAGATGCATTCGCACGGAGCTTGGGACTAGCTTCTTATTGGTTTGCTTTCCTAAACAGCTGCATTAATCCGTTCCTGTACGGCCTCAGGAATCCTCTCATCAGAAGATCGCTGTATTCAATGTGCTGTAATCGCAAATTTCGAAGCAGTCGCAGACGCTATTCCTCGAGGAAAGCAAATGACTACTGTGATCCGCCATTTTTTGGACCACCCCTGCCATTAGTCGACTACGACAAAACATCCCCTCCCTACCCAGCTTTCATCAACGTTGTTGCCCTGACCGAGGAAGACATAATCAGCCCAAATGAGGGAATTGGCGAGCCGACTGTGGACAGAGGAACTCAAACGGGCGAAAACTGGAAAATTTTATCTTTCCAAGATTTGCCGCAAACTTACTTCGTCAATGAAGCGTCTTCCACGACAAACCAAGTATTTCCACTTCAGTTACAAGAACAGGGAACGTTATTCGACCATACCCATAACGTTTCAAGTTCATCATGCTCTAGCATGTGCTCTGGTTGCAATCACGTGGTGACAAACAGTAATGAGGAAATCTTGTGTTCCAGCATGTCATCAGTGGAAGACAGTGGTCTGTGTAGTGAATGTGCATGCTTGTCCGATTATGAAAGTTCAACGAGTAGAAGTTGTAGTCAATGCAAACAAGATGACCTTGAATCGAATTCTTGCCCTTCGATTTCGAATCACACGAAATAATTTCTATCGCATAGCGTGTTGCACCAAGTTGATCAGGCTGGAAACAAGATAGAAAACTCCCTCCATTCCGCGGTGGGAGAAACAAGAACGAGTTTTAAAATTGGTTGGGTGGAATCTCATCTTTAAACCAACCAAATATGTGATACTATGCCAGTTGTTGGCGGGTTCTTTTTCTTCGCGACGATAAGAAGCTTGTAATTAGAGTGAATAGACCTGAATACTAATGTTGCAAAAAACAAAATTAAATGTAAGCTAAAGCAAATCGCGAACTCATCTGTAACGATTTCTCGACAGACTTGCTATACACTTGTTGTTAGTCGATCAAAAATGATGAAGGGAAGAGCATTTGGATAGACGGCCTTCCTGTCGTTCCCTTCGTTGCGTATTTGATGCTTGATGATTGTATATACTCTTTTAATCTTTTACACTTTGGTATGTTTAACTAGTTCTTAATCTAAACTTAGTATTCTTCTGAGGACCCTTCTGTAAACCACTTCGTGACGTTGGCATCCTCATTGAAGATTACTACTGCTACTTGCGTACCATTTTGACTGGTACCCATCTTTTCCGTAATCAAATTCCTATTTTGAACTTTGAGAGTGAAAGATCCAATAAATAAATGGATAAAGAAATTAATAAATTGATGTGGACTCTTTTTGTACCACATTCGTTACAAGACAGAAGAAACATCTTTTTTCATTTCATTCGCAAGAAAACCATCTCAACTCAACATGCATTAAGACATATTAACTTTCAGTCTCTTTGACCTGGGTGACATCACCCTAGACCGCATGACAACTTATGCCCAGACCCGTCGGACTGAGGGAAAACCCCTTCTTCTTATTTTACACGAACTGCACGTGAATCGAACATTTGGAAAGTTGCTGTTTCAATTATGAAAATGAAAACAAAGCTGTTTTTCTGATCAGCGTTATCAAGTAATTTGTTTGTGTTTCCGTTTCATTTTATTGATCGAAAGTCACGGCCATTCTTTGCTCAAAGTGATGGAGATCAAAATGCATGATCTAAGTGTTTTTGAAGGTCTGAGTGATGAGAGAAACTGCGGGACCCAGGAGATACGTTGAAGTAAATATCAAAGAAAATGAAAACGCGACGAGGGGGGGGGGGAAGATGAGTGAGTAATCAACATTGAGCTGTCTTGCACGGAAATCTTTTCGGCTTTCGCTTTAGCTGCGACACTGTGACTAATGGTCTCCAGCTTGAAGAACGCTGTCTTCAAAATCAAGGCGAAACCCTGCAATGCAGAGCTGTTTATTTTTCGGTGATTCTGTGAGTCTATTTTGGTGAAGTGACACCATATAAATTTATATATCATCAACATATCCCATTCTTTAAATATCTCGGTCACTCATAGATCATGTGGCTCTTTTATTTGCCTAATTTGTCGCAATCAAGATTACTAACATTCCATTGTGAATTTCTTTAAACAGTTTATAAACAAATATTTCAGTGGCACAAGGCAACGTGAATTTTCGTTAATTCTTTCGAAGTAAAGAAGAGATGTTTACAATTTATGATCTTTCGTATTTTTGACTCTCCCCTTGTCAGAGAACAAAGAAAACACATTTCCGGAGAACGTCTGAATTCAATAGACTTGAAATCCGACTCCCTAACTTGTTCACAATGCTATTGTTGCTGGCTTTGTCCGATGTTGTCTCCGGATATGTTACAGCACTTAAACTTGACAACATGATCATGTTCTGAAAATATTGCGGGAAGGAGCAAAGTTACTTCACTGCAGGGAAAATCCGCGCGTTTTTTATTTTGGTAAGTCAATGTTAAATTGTTTGCTATTCCCTTAAAGGCGACGATATTTGCTCTACGTGCGTGAGAGGCATGGTATTGCAGACAGTCTTCCAGCCACCGCGTACTTGTCACATCTTTTTCCAAATCAAACGAAACGAGTTTTCAACCTTTTTATTTTTGGTTATGTAATATTGTAGATGCCGCAAGCTGCATAGTCAAAATGCCTTGATAAATTTGTCTCGGTTTTGTTTTCCACTTTGCAAGTAATTCTTGTTGTTATGGATTTAAAGAAAAAATGCATGGCTTGTCTCACTGAGCGTAATGGAAGTTATAGTGTTTGGTGTGACACAAACCTGTTGATAAAACAATTAGTGCTCATTATATTTCGATTTCGTTGATAAAAAATGCAGAAATTCACAGCTTTGTTCATTGTAAGATGCTCTCAAAACCTAGAGCATAAATTTTCAATCTAGTGAAAGGTCTATCGCGGAACCATTTATCGTTGTATTGTTCAATTCATTGAGCATGTCGGGCGTTAGGTATGTTGACCATCAAACACTTCGCACCATGAATTTTTCTTATTCTTTGTTTGTAATCAGAGATGTAAAACATAAAGCGACTTCTGCTTTTTTTTTTTTACCAAAGAAAAATTCTGAGGTAGTGCAACTTAACCAGGTTTTTGGCTCTACAACATTTTGAATGATCTGAAATTCCCAACCATCTATTATTTAACCTTTTCCACTCTAACATTGGTATTCACTGTTCTCTTTACATTTCTTATGTTACTGACAAGGAGAATTTGGTTGACAATCTTATCAAGAGCTTCTTCAATTGGTGATCATTTCCCCTATTCTCATAATTTGATTCAAGGCTGATACTGAAAGGAGAAATAAGAAGCCAGTCATTCTTTTTTAAAGAATTAAAAACTAATGGATTTTCTCTGAAAGTCATAACAGGCTTCCCGTCTAACGCGTCTGTAACAATAATTTCTGAATGTTCATCATGGAAATTCTAAATTCATAGAACAAATGGCATTTGCCATTCCTCCCTTGTCTCAGTTTTAATTCTGCCATTGTATATTTTTAATGCGCTCTCAGGAATGATCGTGTATCTGTAGAGTAACACGTTGATGGTATTGTGACCTATTGTTTGAAACACCAACTCTTGCTCAACGCCATCAAACAGTTCTGATCACTCAGACCCTTCAGGCTGAAATGAGGCTTGTGTTTACACTTCAAGAGTTAAAGCTTACAGTACTACTTCGTTAAGTTATTGATGTTTTGTTCAGAACTGAATATCAGACAATCAAACTAAATTAGGTTTTAGCGTATGTACCCTACCAAAAATTATTGTTACCGACATATATGTTGCACGTGTGAGTACATTCTTGCAGGTTGTCGACGAGAGAGAATCCTTGATTCTATCTGGGCTGTCGACTGAGAAAAGAAGCTCGTCGAGCTTATAGAAACTCACTATCCAAAAATAAACTAAAAAATAAACACTAGAATTGTGTAACTAGAGATGTAGGTACCGGTTTTGGCTTTTGAATCCTAACTCTTGATCCCATCCAAAATCTGATCTGTAACTAGGATTAAAAGTCACTCTGTATAAAGCATTCTTAGGTTGGACAATTCTTTTCAGTTGACATAAGCTCTCGACTTTTACTCTGAGAAAAGCTTTCACTGAACTTTAAAGCGCGAGGTGATCCCGTGTCACAACACTGGGTCATAGAACAATGCGAGCGTTGACTGACAGTTGCAGACTTACCCTTCTGTGCTGTATTTCTACCCATTCTGCATTGAAAAAAACGGAAAACCGCGTATGGGTCGTTGCATATTAGACACATTATTGACTATAAAGGAGCTAGTGGTCAATAATGGACGTTCCTTATTCACTTAGCTTTGGCAAGTTTACACATATTATCCATTTTTAGTAACGTAAACAATACAAAAATTATCTCGACTTTGCAGTAATTGATCAAGTGGGAGGGGAGCAAGGTCTTGTACGTTGTAACCTTGAGCCAAATTTCTACCGTCCGGCTCGACCTAATTGACACATGAACGTTTTTGAGATCATATGAACGCCTCTCCCTACATCTGAGTGGGAAGGGCGGCATTTTTCGTCTTCACTCGCGACCTTTAAATCGGGATTCTTTTTCTATAGAAAACAGTATAGAGAATATGCATTCTGATGTTAGGGTATAAAGATCGATAAGCCTGCTTAGGTTAAGAGACAGGAGTAATAAACAGTACACTGAATAGAGACAATTTTTATTCGGGATTGAACAACTGATACGGATTGCAAATAAGAAACTAGCAAGATAAGGCTAAAACTTCAATAAGCGAGACTGCAACACAACTGTTCCTCTTATATTAGTGAAACCTGTCTTATAATTTTTATCTTTTTTCTTCAGTGTTTAGCCCCAAGCAATAGAGAGCAACTTGCAACTCGCAACATGGTGATGAATAACGATAAATTTTCCCCAGTGAGTGTAGAAAACATAAATGGGACAACCGAACCAACGACGGTCACGTATAATGAATTTGAACACCTTCTGATGAGTGGGAGTCTGGTACTGATCATGCTAGCGACTCTGATTGGGAACGGAACGGTTTGTCTGGCAGTCTCCAGACATCGTAAACTGCGCACGCGCACAAACATTTTTATCATTAACCTGTCATGTGCTGATATCGGTGTTGCAGTTATCTGCATGCCTTTCTCGTTGTACACGTGCTTGAATCATGAATGGGTGCTGAGTGATGTTCTGTGCAAGCTAAATGGTTTCCTTAACATAGTATTCTGCATGAGTTCGCTTTTGACGCTTACAGCGATAAGTGTAGAAACGTATTTTGCCATCTGTAAGCCGCTGTACCACAGACATATGAACCGAAAGTCTTCCATTGGTCTCTTGTTGTGGACTTGGATTCAGCCAGTTGTCATAGCTTGTATTCCTCTCTTTGGCATCATGGAGTATGAATTTAAATCAGGTATTTATATAAATACTGATATATATCAGTAAATTTTAATGTAAAGTCGAAAGTGATCGGGAATTGTACTGGTTTTTCTTGAGAGAGCAGGAACTAAAGCTCTTTTGTTTTTCTGCCCTGCACTCTGTGATTAATCTAGAAAACGTACAACTTGATCTAAGGCAAAATCCTCCTTCATTCAGTTTGCCTTTCTATGCCTAAGCCCTCTTGGCCGATTGTAAGATTTATTTTATCTATGGTGACAACTTAGATAACTTCCTTTCAAGTTTAGGGACCCTCGATTGAATCGGGCTCTGCACTATTTTCTAAGTACTGACCGGCAAACGCTTTTAACAACTGATGGATATGGTATTTTTTTTCATGTCTCTTTGATTCTCACCTTTTTCCTTTAGGGTGAAAGGTCATAGAATACATCCCTGTTCAATGATGGCGATTGAAAATGAAAAGTGCCTAATATTTAACTGCGCAGGAAATTCATACCATGTGGCCCATCAGGAAAGCTATCATGGCTTAGTTAGATAAATATCAACTTAAGATCCCTAATAAATAGTTCTTTTTTGATAGGTACAACTCAGTGTGGGGTCCAGTTCCCTACCAATCATTCTGAACAAGTGTTCGCCATCTTTGTCATTTTGTTTGGCTTCGTAGTACCGTTTGGCATCATGGGTTTTACTTACTGTAATATTTTCCGTTCGGCCAGACGTCACACACGGCGCGTCAGTCGTGTCTCGTTTTCAAGCACTTCTAGTACCGGTTCCACCGCGGCCCACAAGCAAGTAGCGGTTACCGTGCTTATTTTACTGGTGGTTTTCTTGTTTTGTTGGCTACCGTACTTTTTATACGCTGCGCTAGTCAGCGTCAAAAATTCTGCCTTGTCGTCTGATCGCAGAGTGCTGGCGTTAGGAAAGGCCGCCTATTGGTGCGCTTTCACAAGCAGCGCGCTCAATCCCTACATTTACGGCTTCCGTAACCCGCAGTTCAGAAAGGAATTCCAGTTTCTACTTTGTTTGTTCTGCCCGTGCATTAGGACCGGTTTGCGCACGCGGGGATGTAGCACTACAACGAGAAGCAGGGGCTCATGGGAAGGGTATGCCGGCTTCGAATACAATCACCTCAAACGTACCAGTTTGTCGTGCCCCAGCCCTAAAGCGAGGCTCTCTGTAGACTTTGCTCAGTTTCCTCCAAATGGCGCCGCTAAGTTTGAGATGCTCGCCCTCAAAACTAAACTTTCCAACTGTTCGTCTGATCCGGGGTATCGCAGTCAAGAAGACAACCGGGGCTTTGATGAGGAGACTGGACCGAGTGAGGAAGACGGGGCTGTTGGTGATAGCAACAACAATAACAGCTCATTTGGTGATGAAAGTCAAAACAATTTCATCAGAATCCTCGGTGATGAAGCAAGTGTCCTAAATTCCAGTTACGGCCCAGAAGTACCAATCCTAGGTGCATATTCAAATCAAGTAAGAGTTCTTGAAAGGAATGCTGAGGAATTTACGGAAAACCTGTTTCATGACCATGAAAATGAGGTAGAAACCTCACGATCTGAGACTCAAACCGAGTCTCCTGACAATACCCAGCCAGGAAGGGAAATGCCTATGAATTACAGTTCCACAGAGGAGTTATTGACTCCCACGAGGCTCAGAGGGTGGAGTCTGAGAACTCTTGGAGCCAGGCTTAAACTCGGTTGGGTTGAAAGCACACTCTAATACCTTAAACTTTATCAGTCTTAATCAAGTCTGCTCTCCAGTAAAAATATGTTTATGCTATCATATTGAAGCAACAAAAAACTGGCTAAGATGGGCTCTTAGCCAGTTTAGTTTTTACATCGATCCCAAAACTTAAACCAAGCAGTGAACAAGATTAGTCCAGTGCTATAAACTCGGTCGCCAGGTCATAAAACGATCGTAAGGATAAATATGTATGCCCCCTATGTTAAGATCTTGGATTCCATGCTAGGAGGCGAAAAAGACCTGCATAGCTGTTCAAAGATGCATGTTTAGTTCTGTTTAATCTTAATTTTGGAGTATGTTTTACTCTTCAAAGTTTATAGAGCCACAAGGTGGCAAAAAGGATCGGTTTGTTTAAAAATATTTGTCAAAATAAATTTATTTTTATCTCAGTAAGGAAATGGACGATGGAAACGAACAATGAAAAAACAACATATAGCAAAGTAACAAATGTTTTACGTTGGACGTTAGGTAAATATTTTTAGCGTATATTCCATAATATAACGTTCATGAGCGTTGAAAAAAGGTTCATCGTCTGGGAAGAGAAAAATAGTTATGCTCCCATATTGAAATTATGCATGATATCTTTGTAACTTCTTGACAAAAATAGAGTCAAAACACATTTCAAACTTTCAAATACTTTTTAAAGACATCTTACGGTATGACTCGTGCCATCATAAGTTTGCTGTATTGTATCCGTTTACTTTATCATTACACGTCACAGGAATAGTTCATTACTCTTACAATAATTTAAGTGGTCACTATACAACGCATCCTCTACTTAAGGTTATTAGCGGTTTGGACTGAGTGTAGAACTTAAGAGCACTCAGCCGAATATTTGGGCTTACCACACCCCAGAACTCACCCCAGATAGTTTTGAGTAAAGCGAGTGAGCCTGGTGACGGAAATGCGCGCCTGCATCACCTTGCGCTGTACAACATGGCGGCAAATTTGGCGATTAAAACAACATATCCCAAGAAGACCATAAAAAGCAGCTGACAAATGCAACATGAGTGCTTTACGGCTGTTGGCGAGGCGTTTCAACTACTCGGTAAGTTTTTCTTCTTGTTTAGAGTTACATTCGATAAACTTGGCTGTTTTTGCATTGAAATAGTATTTCTGGTATCTTCAACAGACATTGAGACCCGCGAGAGTTCTTTTTCATCCAAACGTTGCCACTACACCTTCATTTTACACTCTTCAAGACAAGAGGCATAGTAGCAATGAAGCACCGTCGTATTTTTTCTTGTTTTCTCCCGATCTTCCTCCTGTGTATGCACTTCAAGTATTCCTGGAGACAGTCCATACTTGGACTCATCTTCCATGGTTCGTGATAAAATGTGTTAACCATATTACCTAGTCAGGCTGTAAAGAGCTAATTTACTTCATGCTTGTCAGCTCTGTCTCTGAATGAATTAGAATTTTTTGTCTACTAATTCTGGGGTTATTTTTATTACTTTTTATTATTATTATTATTATTATTATTATTATTATCGTACAATTTGATTCAGCCTATTTGAACTGCACTTGTACAGTCAGACAACTGCAATAGATGAAAGCACTGTTGAAATTAATTCTGGATTGTGTTGCTTTTTATTCACTCTACTCTCTAATTGGCCAACTTATTGCGTTCTTTGCGGAAACATTGACACGAACCACACTAGTAATTCTTGTCTACGGTAGCTATTACTTGTCAATCAGAAATTTGTAATTCTTAATTTTTTAAGGTGGGCAGTGATTGTTGGCTCTACAGTTGCTTTGAGAAGTATAGTCACAGTTCCATTGGCGATTTATCAGAATAAACTTCTTGCTGAAATTGAAATGCGTCAACCAACAATTAGTATGATGACTGAAGCTCTTAAGCATAGGGTAGTTGGAGAGTGTCGCAGATCAAATCAACCTCCTGAAGAAGCAGAAAGACAATATTTGAGAAAAGTAGGTATCCTTTTCAGAAATTTTCTGGATATTTGTGTATATTAGTTTATCAGTTTAACCTATGTCCATAGCTGTTGAATCTCACAAACATTTTTTTAAGGTACTTGTCTTTTTAGTGCACATCTGAGAAAAAATTTCAGCAACAACTTTGATTGATGTCATTAAAATACTTTTACTTGAGCAATTTGACAGTGCATCATGACAAAAATTTTACCATCAAAAAAACCTTTGAGAGATTTGATAGCTATTCAACAAAGAATTGTTGAAAATCTCTTTTCACTTGGGAAAAATTCTGCTCTCCCCAAAATTTGAAAAATTTGCACCATGAACTCATCACTTTTTCAAGCTTTCATTCAAGCTCAATTCAGAATATTTTATCACTAGTCTTCTTGGGTCAGTAAAAGGTTTTGAAGGAGAGTGATATTTAGTTTCCTCGCAGCATTATTGCATGACATTGCAAAGAATGAAATGTGTAGAAAATTAAGTGCATATTACATGAGTATACCTTTACCAAAACAGGGGATTGTGAGAGGGTGGGCTTCTACTAAAAGTCATGCAGTCATCAACCAATCAGGTTTTCTAGCCTCTTTCCCAGATTACTGAGTTTCAATGTCAAGATGCACCCTTGATTTATCTTATCCAGAAAAAGCAATGTTGATGCTAACCTTACATCAAATATGGCTTTTGTATTTCTCTACAAGAGCTTATGCCATGATCACCTGGTTTATATTGAACGGGTATGTATATAAAGGTTTTTACAGATGTAATGTTACTTAATATAAATAACACATGATGAATAAAGTTTTTTGTATTGAAACAATCTTTCAGAATAGAAAGATGATTTCTGAGTACTACAAGTCTGAAGGACTCAGTCCATTGAGGCTCTCAATATTGCCATGGACTCAGCTTCCACTGTGGTTCTTTCTCTCCTTGTCACTTAGAAACCTGGCTGGTTTCTTTCCTTGGCAAAGGAATGCAGGTAGAGCTGATAAGCAAATTTTCATTTATGCACTGATCAATTTGAAGCTTCAATGTCCCCTTTCATGTAGATCACAATGTGTTTTATCTTTTAAAATGGAGGTGTTTAAGATAAAGAGCTAACATTCATGCACAGATTTTTGCAACAAAGTGTGATGAAACTTTTTATTCTGTGAGCTTTAACATGCTTTTCACCTACTGTTCCTATTCCCCTTTGAGTGTTGGAAAACTTGAGAGGTGGATATTAACTTTGCAGGTACATTCATTTTTATTAATCCACTAATAGTTAAATGTGATCATAACTGTTACACTCACATGGGTGATTTTCTTTCATTTTAATTCTGTTTCTCAATTTAACTACAAAATCCAAGTTAAAAATGTTCCTTTAAAAAACTTGTTATGAAAAGTGAATAAAATATGGTATGTTGGAATCTAGCTTGTACATGTCACACAACATATTAGTCAAAATAAGGTTTGAGAACATTGCATGACCATTGATGTGAAAGTTATAGCTAATTAGTACAAAAAAGTAAAATGGGATTACTTAGTAGTTTCACTAAGATGAAGTTGTCTGGGTATGTAGTTCAAAACTGTTCAGAAATCATGAAGTGGTTATCTTGAAAATGAATGCGTAAGTTTTATTATTAATAGAAACTACCTTATCATTTCAGAAAAATTACATGTACTGCTAAAATATCTTAAAGGAAGGGAAAGGGGTAATAAGAAATAAATTGACAAGACCTGCTAGGAGTGTTTGGCGGCATCTCAGGCTGAAACATTTTGCAACTTTGTATGTTTTACTTAAGATCCTTATTTCTTTAAATTATGCATTTGTTTGATTATTTGTGTGAAAATTGCATCAAAATTAATACTGTCTCATTATTAAAATGGTATGAAATAAATATTTTTATAAACCATTACTTAACTGTTACACTGCAGATTTTCACATAAAATTATAGGAATATAGACATCTTGTAAAATGTCTCCAAATTCCCTCTTTGTTTTATTTATCTTCTATGTTTATCCACTTGATTTACTCTTTCACACCTTTCTTGTCTCTAGAAAATGAGAGCTTACATCTCATTGTTGAAAATGTTTGAACAAGCATGTTTTACCCAGAATTAATTTTGTTGTTGCAGTATATTTAAAAAGAGCATTCATTTGCTCATTCTTCCAAGTGTTGCCTTGTTCTTGCTTTGTTCTTCTAATTTGGCTTTTTCATGTACTTATCTTTTGCACATCTCAATATTTCTTGAATCTCATCTTCACTGAATTCTTGCACCTTTATTTTGTTGATGATTTCAGTCAAGGCTCCATTCTTCTTCAACTCAGCAATGGCATCCTCTTTGCTTGTACCCTCCAATGGTAATTTTTCTGAAAGAAGCCCACCAGGTTTAGCTGCCAGCATCTTGCTTGGTGAAGCATTCTGCTTCATAAGTAAAGCCTTGCTGTTGAACTTATCAGCATGTGTGAAGCTTTTGGAGCGTGTCATTCCATACTCGTTTTTCTTCACAACAGGCAGATCTTTGGTGCTTGTTTTTTCCTTTTCACAATTTTCAACTTTGGTATCTTGAAATCCCATAGCTTGTTTCAACTTCTTTATGTCATCAGAGAACTCAAACATTTTAAACTCTAGTTGAGCAACTTCCTCACTTAAATACTGAAACTTTGTGCTGAGCTCCTCAATCTTTAAAGGCTTGTCAGCTTCTCCAGTTTTCTTGTTGTCTTGTGATTCTTTTGACGTCAGAGCTGTCATTGGTTTCTTTGCATTATTTCCTGCTCCTAGAAGCACTGTTTCGTCTGCTGAGCTCTCACTAGATTCAGAGGAGGTGTATTCAGGGATTTCTGCTAGTTTAGCACGTGAAGGTTTCTCTTTCTTCATCAAAGCTCCTTTCCTGGAATCATCTTTTACATCACCATCCTTCTTCAGTCCTTGCAATTCATGATCATTTTTTGTTGATGTAAACTTCTCTGAAATAAGAAAATGCCCATTTGAAAATGAAGCAGTTTTTCCTTCCTTGAAGTTCTCTGATACTTTTGATGCCAACAGTTTGTCACCAACTTCTTTATTATCCTTGTAACCACTTGTAGCAGCTTTATTAATTCCTTTGCTGTCTGGATTCTCTGCTGATTCAAAGAAACTCACAGGTACTGTGCTAGCAGCTCGCTTTCTTGGACTTTTGATGTACTCATACTTAGCAAGTGTGTCTATGGTAATGGTTTCAAAAGTGTACTTTCCACTCTTGTCTTCTCCTTCACCTTTATCTTCTTTGCTTTTTCTGGAACTTCTTTCATCGCAGCTAAAATTGACTTTGGGGATATCATGTTTAGGAGATGATGTTAGCTGAGACCTTGCATCTTTCCCATTGGAAGGCTTTCTGCTGAGAGCAGTGGCACCTGATTTTCGTGGGCTTGACAGCTTTTCTGCAAGTAGCTCAGTGTAAAGCCTTTTGGTCTTGTCATCTGTTTCCCACCATTTGTAAGTGGGAAAGCTGGGAGCTGCAGCCATAACCAGTTCAAGAAATCTAGGAATCTACAAATTAATGGACAAAATGTTAAATTAGACTGAAATTCAGGGCTAATTATAAGCCACTAGCACTATAGGAGAAGTATTGTTGTATTTGATGTATTGGCCAGTTACATATTAAATAAGCTAATTCGTGTTTGCCTCAAACAGAACTCTAAGTATTTGAAAGGTGCCTTCAGGATTTGTTATCTTGAAATTGTGAATTAATCATCTACATTTATTTAGTATGCACCACACTGGTGAACAGAGGTTTTTCACATGAGCTGATTGCTTGGTTCTGAAATGATTAACGAGTACTATTCACCTCCAAGCCACTGAAGAGATGAAATTGCTCAATCCCATCAAGAGTTGAATTTCTGACCCATTTGTTTGGTATATTGACCAAAGTAAACTAATCCTTTGGTTTCTGTGTGGTATAATCTAAAATGATTATTCGCTTAACCAATATCAGTGAAAGTGGTGGACATTAGCCTTGCTGTTTTGCTGTTCAGTAAATATCCACTACTAATCACATCTGCTTTTAGTGAATAATTGTTGAGCCAGTTGTGTGGTTGTTTTATTACACTTTACAGTTTATTCATTTCACTTCAGGTGAAGTAATCCTTCCTTGCCCAGACATCGCACATGAGGGAGCCCTTTGGTTTCCAGACCTCACTGCAGCAGACCCAACCCTGATTATACCTTGTGCTGTTGGTATTTTTAATCTTGCCAATATTGAAGTGAGTAATTTGAGTCACATACAATATGATAATGCTTGATTAAAAATAATCACATTTATTGCTCAAGAGTTCTTTTCATGATTTAGTTATTGATGTTGAATGTAAACCATACTGATTAAAAAGAATCATTTGATGGCGTATAAGTAAATTATTGGCAAATGGTTTTGAAAATTGATAAAAATTTAATTCAAGCCAATACCCCAAAATGCCAAATATTAAGAAAGTGCTGAAAGTCTCTTATTCGATTCTTGTTGATAAAATTTAAAAAGTTTCATCAATTTTACATTTAGAATGCATTGACTGCACAATTACATATTATACAATTGGGCACATTGTAGTACACTTTTCTCAGCTTCATCTGTTGATAGCTTTTTAAATAAAGCCATAGATTTTGGGGTTTCTTTGGGAGTGGAGTGTTAATCATACTGCTCTGATCCTGGATTCTATGATCAAAATTAATTTAAAATAGATTATTTTAATGCTATCTGAGAGTAGCACACAAGACTGTCAGTGATAGAGTTCACAGCATAAATTTGTTATATTTTCATCCCATGGAAAGCCTTTTATGAAGTATTTTGACTATACTTCAGTTCTTGTATCTTGTCTGTTTTTCCCTCACATCAGAGAGGGAAATCTTTATCCTAATTCACAAATTACCCTTGCAAATTGACAAAAACTTCTTGTTTGACTTACCTAGGATCAGAAATCTTTCTTCACTCTACTCTGATGCCACTCCATCTACAGCCTTTCTCATCACAGAGTCAAACGTACTGTATAAATGTTTTGTTGTATAAGCACCCTGCCTTTTTATAGGCGTGGTACAGCACTCAGGGTGTGGACTTCCAGCCCTGCTCATTGTTTACTTCATTTCATAGTTGAACCAAGATTTTACTGTTTACATCTGCTTCATGGCTTGACATTTTGGGTGGAGTTTGGGTGTGGTAGTTTTGAAAAGGAAAGTTTGACTTTTAGGCTTTTAAAGAAGCAAAAACAAGTTTCCAAAACTATCAGAGCTGTCTATGTATTCAGTGCCCTTCAAATTTGAGGCAAATAAGCTTAGAATGTGAAGGAGAGTGAAGTTTACAATGATATATTTTGTGTTTAAGTAGAATGGTTAATTGGATGTTACCAAAATAAAACTGACAAGATAACAGGTGATAGTTGGCCACCTGTTGATCAGGTGATTTTTTATGTTGGTGACAGACTCTGAAAACTCAGTTTTTGTTAGAAAAAAATTTAAGCACAATCAACTTGTTGAGAAAGCTAATGTGGCAAAATGAAATCCTTAATTGAACTGGGTTACATCAAAAACATGATCAATCCCTTACCTTAATATTTTTTTTTTTTTGCGGGCTAGATTTTAAGAATTGTGCAGCTTACTCCTTGTTATTACTTTTTCTGTTTGGTCTGCTTTGTAGCACAATTGAATTTCATGAAAGTCAGTAGTGTCCAATGGACAGATATTCAAATACTAAATCATTTCAACAAATCCTAGAGTATGCAATAATATGGGTGCATTAGGAATCAACTATTCTGTTTTACAGTGTATGATTGAAAATGATTTAAGTTGCATCCATAAGCTCAAGAAATGAGAAACACATTTGACAATACAGTCATGAAATTTTGGCTTTGTGGATGTTATTTTTTTGTAGAGATAATAAGTAAAATTTTCATAGTGTTAGTTCAATATTTTGTAAATGAATGGACTTTGATCATGGAATAAATATGTAGTTTTAAAATTCATGTATCTACAATGTTATCAGAGCCACATTGCTTTCAAAAAATTGTATTTCTGTTTTTCTTTTTTTAATTTCAGTGAGGTAGGCAATTAGATTAGCTGGTGAATTAAAATGTTGTAAGGTGAATTAATAGATATAATTAATTTTCACTTAACTTTTATAATGCAAATTTAAATTATTGATAATTACATCAACTGATTTAATTACAATTCTTATGATAAGGTATTATAAATTTTTATTGCTTTGGTTGACCAATATGGCCTTTGGAGGTCGCGTGTAAATTCTCTATTGTTGTTAATAGTTTGTTTTCTGAGGGCAGCTGTATATAATGTTTATAACCCTTATGTTGAGTTTTGTTCTCTGATCACCAGCTTCATGCCCTGCGCCGACACAACACAACCAGATTTCAGCGGATTCTAACAAATACATTAAGGCTGGTATCTGTGGGTATGATCTTTGTTGCTGCTCAAGTTCCTTCAGTAAGTTTCCTGTCATAAAGTTGTTTAGTTTCTGAAAATGTCCATTTAGTGAAACAAAACCCCTCTGATAGGTAGGACCTTTTCTACTTCCCCAGCTGAGTCTCTTGCATGTGACCAAAGTGATCAACAAATAACAATAGTCACTGAAAATAACCAAGTCACTAACCAAAACCCAGTCCCCCATTTAACGTGTGAGAACCTTCTCTTTTGTCACTTTTAGGAGCTCAGCTGGCCAGAAAACCATGTCTCTGTGCTGGTTCATATTTTATGGTAATTTTTTTTGCAGGCAATGTGTCTCTACTGGGCAGTTTCTGCTTTCTTTGGCTTGGCTCAGAATATAACCTTTAAATTCCCTGCTGTTCGCCGTCTGCTTGGTATTCCAAAGACTCCCAATGAGAGTCAACATCCAGTGCAAGACTTAAAGAATCTGCTGCGACTTAAGGGAGAAGAGTTTGTAAGAATTCAAAGAGAAGGAAGATCAGTAAAAAAGAAGGAATGATCAGGAAATTACACGTCACTGGTAAGACATAATTATGTCCATTTTGGCCTCTCAACGTTAATTGAAATATACATTAGTGTTAAGTTGATTTGAGGCATGACAAATCAGTGACAGGATCAAATTGCCTGCTTGTATCTTATACATGTACGGCCAATCTGTGAAGGGTTTTAATTATGCTTATGAAAATTTCTTTAATTTCTGTTTAACACTGTTCCATAGGTGGTTTTTTTTTCCAAGAAGATGTTTTCAAAAAATTATCCTCCTCATTTTTGATCTTCATCTGACCCAAAGCAACGTAACTATTTCATGTCTTTTAAACAATATTTAAGACCATATACACAATGTTTCTCATTAAAATTTTATTTGAAATAATTATTTAACACCTAAATCTGAAAACAGATACACTGCCCTTTGTAGATCATAATTCCTCATTTCTTTCCAACTCTTCCATTTCTTTTTTAGTTATTGTCCTTCCATTGCAAAGACAAGCATTACGCTGGGCTTCTTTATATGATGCACATCCTAAGGCAAGTGTTCCTGAGTACATTAGATCTGCCGATGTCTGGCATGCATCCAACTGCTTCTTTGGTAGTCTATTTCCCAGACCTGTGAGAAGGCACTCATTGTCTAAACAGGATTTAAAGTCATCATCGCACTGAGTGCGGTCATTGTTGCAGGTGTCGTAGCAGATGTCATGGAGATCACAGCATCTTGTAAAACCAGCAAAATTGGAAGTGTCAAGCTGAAAACATATGAGGAAATCTTAGTAGGGTCATTAAGAGAACGGTGCTCACAGGGAGATAAAGATCATGGTTGTTCCTATAACTATAAACATTAATGTCACTCATATAATAGCGGGAAAACTGCAAAAAGATCTTTTTTTCAGTTTAGTTAATAAAAGAAAATGCTCAAGAAAAGACTATAATTATTCTCCATTTATTGTGACTGTCTTATTCTTCATCAAGACATTGTGTGTTTCAATGTTCTCTCTACCCAGCAGTATAGATAATCTTGTGTGTATCAGTCTCATGAATGCATTGCTCCCAGTGTACTGTATGGTTCTTACCATGGCAAACTTCTGCTCAGAGGTTCTGAATCCATAATTTCCTTTTCCAGTGACTACCCTTAGACTACAAGTTTTCATTTTTATTTTTGTTAAAACTATACCTTTATTCCCATGGAACCACATCCATCACTTGAGGGTTTATGCTTTGGATTAGTAAGAGGCTTATAACCTGAAATGAGAACACAATGGAGAACCATCTAATACTTTGTTTCTTGAATACATTGGAGCCAAAATTATGTGTTATCCCAAGGTTAATAAATATTTTCAAGATATCATGCGGTCTGGATGGGAAAGAAGTGGGGGTAAAGTTCTAAAGAATCTGTGGTGCTACACTGTTGGGGGGGGATTTCTCTGACAAAGGGTTACTGCTGCTTAATCAGCTTTAGAAATGCTTTACAGTGGACAATTTACATTATCAACTCAGTTGATAAAACCAAAATAGATTGTATTAGAAAGATTTTACTTTCAATGATAAAAGCAAGAAACTACTTAAAAGGTCTTACTCTTTAATCACACCCCAATCACTCCCCTTTTTCCTCAATTAAAAAAAAACCTGCTTAAAATTGAATATGATCAGTTATTGAGGTCTGGTTGAGGCACACTGCACAACCACAATAGTGGAAACAAATAATTTAATACCATCTTAGGAGTCTGTGTCTGTAATTATGTGTTTGTCAGTTCAACAGCTTTACATGTAGGATTTTCCAACAGCGGATATGTATGTAATGAGAGGAAAAGAAAGTAATGAAGGGAAGACTGTTTGATTTTACATCAGAACTACGATTATTAGAAACTATGGCAGATATTAGGGAAGAAATGATATGGGGACCTTTAGAGTCAAAACTGGATAATTACCTTATTAATTTTGTTATTACTGGTAAACACAGACTAGCAGGTGAATAAATAATATCAAATGAACCAATTAAAACGTACCATGTCAGCTACTTAAAATACAGTCAAAGAAGCCAACAGTTGCAAGTATAACGTTACATTCTCACGGACAAATTTGTTTATACAGTACTTTTATAAAGCATTTTAATTCGTATGAGAGAATAACTACAGCAATACATAAAACTAGAGTTATGTTTTACACCCTCGATATATTTTCTTCTTCATCGATCATTTCCGGTAGATTTAGATCTCGTTTTCTTCAGCTTCAAGCCTATTGCACGTGAGAGTGTATTTCTGAAATACTAACACAAAGTCTAAAAGGTGAAATTAGTTTTTCTTGGGGTGGATAAGTCTGAGATTAAGAACGAAAATGTACCCTTTTTCTTTTGATGAAGTAAGGGCTATACAGTTGAGATGAAGTTTACCCTTAACTGTTCCGTTAAATTTTACTACAACCAAGAACACGCTTACCTTTCGGACATCGAAATGCACAATTTTCTCCACCGGCCAACTGCGCCAAAATTTTTGCTAAATCTCCCAGATTGCCGGCTTGTGAAGCTACTACTAACCCTTTCAATAAGTAACCAATAAACAGTAAGGAACAGATTTTCCAGTGAACCATAATTTTTAGATCCTTTTGACACAACTCCTCCAGAATTATGATTAAACTAACTCACCGGCCACTTCTGATGAATACCACGATGTTCTACCGACCTCGGGGGAGGTGGGTAGGGATCACTTTGTCGATGTCTTATTGATCGCAGGCGCATTTTTATCCAAATATATATCGAATGTCATTGTTTATCTGTTTTAATACATTTTAGTAATTTATTGATGTATTTTGTCCTCATCGAAAATTCCACTTTTATTTGCTCTCAGTTCGAATTTTCACTTAGTCGGAAGCAAAATCTATATACCGTACAGAAACTAGAAAACATCCATAAATTAAGACATACGAGTTACATAAAACAATATAAACAAACGAGGAATGGTTACATTCCATATAATTTTCCCTGAAATTGCATTTTCCTTCAACATGAATATGGGAATAGTACACTTTAAGTTGTTTTTGAAACGAGATATGAGGGGTATTCCCTGGGTTAACCTTGAAGATGATGCAACGGAATTTGTCGCCTTCTTATTGGTTGTCGTATGTTGTTCACGACGTTTGCACGGTGTTGCACCATAACAGTTAAGAGAGTGTCTCTGTAAGAGCGGTCCGGTCGATTTTGCTTGAGACACGGATTTCGCTCGTTTCTTGTGTGTTGTAAGACATTCATGTACCTATACTAAAACCACAATCGGTTTGATCGGATCTCTTTATTTTTCAGAGTTTTACGGAAATTAAATTTCACTCGAGCGAAGGCTTGTCGTGACACTTTTCAAGACTTTAATTTCATACAACTTTGGAGGAAAATTTACAAAAAACTACGGAACTCAGCAAAAAACAAATACCACAGCCATGTATATTAACTCTATCTTATCTATCGAGGCGACTTTCGTAAACATCACGTTTCAATCAAGGAAACAGGAAGACTTGAATGACACCTTATCGGGTTCGCCTAAATCACACACGCCAAAACCGATCAAATTCAAGGTAAATTTTTGAAAAAGTGAGGCGTTCTTAACTGATCCAACTAACATAGCTAGGAAGTACGTGCCATAGAAAAGGTAACTACAGAAAAAAACTTTGCGGCCCGACCTTTACGAGAACTTTATCACTCCGTGAACTTACCTAATTTTCGGCAATCTCCAAGTTTGGCCGCCATTTTGAGGGACTTGTCAACATGAAGCGTAACCGATATAAATCAAGCAGGTAGATCTAAAACCGTCAGAAATACATACGAAAGCAATTCAAATAAACTTTACTTTCAATTCAAGCGGCAAAATTTGAAATTGTTCAGTAAACTTACCATCTCCACGCGACCATTTCTTCCAACAATTCAAACACTATAACTAGTGTTCGAATACCCTCGTCGGTTCCACCGTAAGAAATAAACTGTGCCACCCAAGCTTCGACTCGAATGTGAAGTACAAGTCAAATAACATAACTGCTTCATCTTCGCGGCAATATCACGCTGGTATTTTGATTTTCTGATCGACAAGAACGGTGATCAGGAATCGATCGGTTTGTTTACCTCATAAACGTGACCGCTAACCAGCCGCTGAGTGAGAACAGTATAGCGCGGGTTGGGGTAGGTGGCGGGCCTATCGTCATAAGATATTCGAATACATGCTTAAAAAGCTTTAGGACTATCAGTCTAAACAGTGATGGCATACTTCGTGGTACAGACAACTTTTCTTTGATTCTCGTAACTTTCTCCTTTAAATTAGAACTGGTATTAATTAATAGAGTTATCAATATATTTTTAACTGGGGTAACCATATAACCTTTTTACTTGTCATCGGTGGTACAAAATAAGGTGTCTTTTCCTCCAGAACCTTTTATTTATGCCCCATTGTACGGAATGAACACTATACTTAGAATGTTTGTTCTGAGTAATTTTTGCTGTTCCCAAGAATGTATGCAAAATGATAGAGATTTGATTCATTCCGCTGACACGTTCTTTTAAGTTATGGCGCTTGCAGGTTTTTTTCTATTAAAAGTCGTACGTGCAACACGCCGGAATTGAAAATTCGTCGTAAAATCGCACGAACCTTAGAATGAGTGTAGGCAACTTTAACTTCTGGCGAGATGAAGTGGATGGTTCAAAGGACCCCCTGAGATTTTTTCAGGACTATAACTGATATTTGTTTATAACTATGATAATCGTCATCATTAGCGGACGGTGCTTTTTACCCATTGTTGTCATCATTATCGTTATCACGCCGGAAGAAGTATAAAGCCGGCATGTCGCCTTACCTAACTACACCGAAAATTGTTCTCTCTTTTGCTTCCCGTGGATCCTGGAAACTGTTACTATTAAGACGTCCAACAAGAAAGCCTTTAAAATTATTGAAACTTTTGATTAACAGAATGTAAGAAAAAATCGGTGGGGAGAGTTATTCGCGTATTTTATAATCTGAACGATAGTTTTAAATAAAACAAATACCACTTAATTCAATTTACCTTAGTTGTCGCGTTTAAAAGTGGCGTTTCTGGGGACCGTAGATTCTTCTCTGATTCTTCTTGTCTCAGCCAAGGCTCACTATCATCAACTTTTTTCTTGTGCTTCTTACAGCATGGGACACAGAGAGCTGAGGTGGGCGATTGCAAATTTCTCAGTTAAAGTAAAGCCTAGTAGCTTTCATGAGGAATTGAAAACCGATATTCACTGTTTACTTTCATTATTCTTAATAAAATAAGGGGTGTTTTAGTCTGCAAATTTAATCATACTGGTTAATGAGAATCATACAAACCGGGGAAAACTAACCGCAAATAATTTTGAACCGTACGCATGAATAAGTGTATTGCGTTGTCAGGTGATTTGATCTTCTACAAATACATTATTGATTATCAAGCAAGCAACATTGTACATATTTCCATCTGCAATTAAAAGCACTTAAACACAGATCCATGTTTTTTCAACGTGATGTGTACTTAAGTACCCTTCATCTAAAAAAGAATTTCTTCTCTTTTCGAGCAGATATGTCACGTGAGAAAAATAGATAACAGAAAATGTTACCGAAGACTACCTGATTCAACTGGAATAATAACTTCAAACAGCTTTTGAATGTCCTGAGACATATGCAAGGTAATTACATCTCTGCCTTGGATACGCTTCCTGACGCCATCATGATCAGGATACTGACATGTAACCTTTGCACTTCTCCAAAACTTCCCCAAAGTGTGGCGATGCCTATAGCAAATCCACATTTTTTTGTTTATCCTCCTGAGCGAGGTGAAATAGGCCAATCCGTGCCAAGAGTAGCTCATTTCACTTAAGACCTCTTTAGACAGGTGGCAGCTTATCAAATGATGTTTTACTTCGTCATTGCATTCAGACAGTTGTACCAAACCACTTAAGCCACGCGATGAACCAAAGTTTTTTCCATCTTTACTATTCAAAAAGCAGTCCTGAGACATAATGAACGTCTCGCTAACGAACGACTTCTTCCTGTACTTGTAATTATTTCCAACGCGATACAAGTTCGGAAGATCTAATGGAACTCATCATAACTTTGTATACTCGATACGATTTCAATTTCCGCGTCAAAGGAGAAGCCTACTGTAATTCGTGAGTGGTCAGTGGTTACGCTTGTGAGGTAAAGAATGGGTTTGTGACTTTCTCACTCAATTGAAAGATTCGCCTCACTCTGATAAAATGGTTGAGCAGAATACAGACTTCGAGCAGTCTCTTATTTTTCTTAAAGATTGTAAGGTCACGCGTATCCTGTGAGCATGAAGAAGCCGCGAGACGCGAGACTGGTGTCTCGCGTCTTTGCCGCTCCAGCCTCTCAGAGTTGGGCAAAGACAAGACACGTTATTTCTGGTGCGATACAAGAGGTTCAATGGTTATCTCGATTATCTAAACACATTTATTTACGTGGTAAAGATTTGTTTGTAAATCTATGAAATGACGTCAGTCCTATTTGGAACGAAATGTATTTGAAAGAAAAAAATTATACTAAGTAAAACAAAAGTTGTCTGCAACACGAAGCATGCCTTCGCATTGAGACTGAGATTCCTAATGCTTATCATGATACTTTAATGCATATGTTCGAATTTTCCCAAAAATCTTCTGATAATCTGCCCGCACCCACCCCTCACCCCGCCCCTCACCGCTGAACCGTACTGTTTTCACTCAGCGTCTGGTCAGCGATCACTTTTATCAGGTAAACATGGCGATCGCTACCTGATCACCATTCTTGTCGTTCTTGGTAAGTTTACCCAACAATTTCAAATTTTGCCGCTTGAATTGAAAGTAAAGTTTATTTGAATTGCTTTCGTATGTATTTCTGACGGTTTTAGATCTACCTGCTTGATTTATATCGGTTACGCTTCATGTTGACAAGTCCCTCAAAATGGCGGCCAAACTTGGAGATTGCCGAAAATTAGGTAAGTTCACGGAGTGATAAAGTTCTCGTAAAGGTCGGGCCGCAAAGTTTTTTTCTGTAGTTACCTTTTCTATGGCACGTACTTCCTAGCTATGTTAGTTGGATCAGTTAAGAACGCCTCACTTTTTCAAAAATTTACCTTGAATTTGATCGGTTTTGGCGTGTGTGATTTAGGCGAACCCGATAAGGTGTCATTCAAGTCTTCCTGTTTCCTTGATTGAAACGTGATGTTTACGAAAGTCGCCTCGATAGATAAGATAGAGTTAATATACATGGCTGTGGTATTTGTTTTTTGCTGAGTTCCGTAGTTTTTTGTAAATTTTCCTCCAAAGTTGTATGAAATTAAAGTCTTGAAAAGTGTCACGACAAGCCTTCGCTCGAGTGAAATTTAATTTCCGTAAAACTCTGAAAAATAAAGAGATCCGATCAAACCGATTGTGGTTTTAGTATAGGTACATGAATGTCTTACAACACACGAGAAACGAGCGAAATCCGTGTCTCAAGCAAAATCGACCGGACCGCTCTTACAGAGACACTCTCTTAAAATTTGCGGAGCTCAGGAATTTTACCGGTACAAAAGAGGGAGGTTTAAGCTTAGTGGGTATTCTATAATTTACAATGATGAAAACTCGATGAGAGAAGCCGAAGTTTCGATTTTGATTCGAGTTTATTTCGCTATTTATTAGTATTTTCTCTGCGATCGCAGGCAAAATGTGTGGGAAGTTGGCAAAAGACTTCCATAAGCTCATGAAGAGCATTGCCAGCTTTTCGAACAATCAGGCAAATGTTGCCCATTACGAGGAAAACTTGGATGCAATCAGGGTGGAAATTGTACCGAACGATGGTCTTTATTACGGAGGCAGGTTCGAATTCGAAATCAAAGCCAACGATTATCCAAAGAATGCTCCAAATGTCACCTGCATCACACAAATTTATCACCCAAACATTGACGAACAGGGGGAAATATGCTTAAATCTGTTCAGTGAGTGGGCAGAAACCAATACTCTGGAGGACTGCGTTCACGGATTGCTGTTTTTACTGTACAATCCAAATCTAGAGGACCCGTTAAATCCTCTCTTCGATCCAGAAGTCGAAACTGATTTTGAAGTGTTCGCTAAGAACGTGCGGTTGTCTCTAGAAGGAGGTGCTATTGAGGGGTGCGACTTCGAGAGAAATCTGGTGCACGAGGATAGCAGCACTGACGAGAATACTACCGGTGATCAAGTTCAGGAAGACCTGCAAGCCAAGGAATGTAAAGAAGCGGTTGAGACTGTTGATGACGATGGATTAATCGAGATCCAGGTGGTGGATGATGAAATCGATTCAAGCGAAGAGGTACCTTCTACAACGAACACCGGCGGCACAGATCACGCGACCGAATGTCATATGGATGCAAATGTAACCAAGAAATCGGAAGAGACAACTGACTGTATTTCAGGGGAAATCAATTCACAAAGAACTGAAGAGGAACCTGTTGTTCTAGTTGAAATCGAAAGAAGGGCAAACCACCTTGAAGAACATGGATGAAATAAAGAAACTTTTCCAACTTTTATTATTTAGAGCATGTAAATGTTGTAGTATGCGTATGTCTTGGAAATCGTATGAAGGGGATACACATCAATGATATGGCTACAGAAATTTCATTCAAGAATATTTGAGATTTCGATAAGATTGCATCGGTGTTTCTAGAGCGACTTACGTGCTTCCATGAAGAGCTCTGCGCCGGAAAAAAAGTTATGCGAATTCCCGGCTGTTCATTGAATGTGCAGCCAGTAATTTGGATAAGTAATTTAAGCCAAGGTTTGACGCCTCTCGGTGGCATGAGGTGTAAGCTGAACATTTCAGGGCATCTGATAATCGCTACGAAAAAGTTACTAAAGATCCCCTCATTGTAGCCCAATACTTGGCCAAGATATTCTGTAGAGTTTATAACTATATTTTAACTGTAATTACGTTAGCACTTTAGTACAGAACATTCATCTGCCGCTGAACCGTCGTGTTTTCCGAGGCAAACCATTCGTACTAAAAATAAAAACTGGTGGATAGTGCCCTTATGCGTGGTTTTTCTTCTTGAAGATTAGAGAAAATTTCCAACCTAGTTGATGTCAAGATCTTAGATTATGCTCAGAGCTTGCTAATTGCTCAGGAAAGTATTAGGAAAGTATCCCTAGTGAACAGTTGAACACTTTTACAAGGGATGTAACCATTAGGTGAGACCTTAACACCTAATACTAGCCTAGTTGACAAGGTTAAGAAAGAGAAGCCCACGGAGTTTAAACACTTTTAGACGTTCCCGGACTGTTCTACCGTATTTAATAGACAGGCTATGACTGTTTGCATGTGTCATTCTGTGCATAGTAATACACTTAAACTGATGAATTGAGTACTTAGTTGGTCCTATTGGGCCCATGCATTACTGACGTGGTGTCCAGCTACAGTACCAATGGGTGGCTTTGTGGCCCAGTTGTTAGGAACATCAAACTGATCTCAGCGGAGAGAAATGTACCAGTTCAAGCCATTCAGATAGAATTTGATTACACGCCTTTATTCTGATTGTGGTTACAGCTTATCAAAAATATCACATATGGCAACATAAGTCAATGCTGAAATCGTATTTACTATTCTAGAAGAATTTTTTGTGAAGTTATTAAGGATAATTCTAAAATACAGCTGAATGATACATGACATTTTGCTTGGATAGAAATTCCTGCCAACTAGTGGGTCTTAGTAAAGTTCAATAACTATATAGAGAGCCTGACCAACATTGCAAAAACAATTTGGTTAGTTTTATTGATGATCAGTTCAGAAAACAATCAATTGTTACTCAGTCAGTCTGTTTATTCACATAATTCAATAAGAGCTGTCCTGAGGAAAGCCATGATGCAAACAAGGCACAATGCATACTTATTTCACTAGAAACTATACCACATTCTAACATCAGAAATTTCTTGTTTTCTTTTTTTTTTTTATGCAATGGGGTGGAGTTTAAATAAAGAAAGTCAAGATGAAACATTTTTAAAATTAAAGTACTCAATCCACAAAGAGGTTTGATGAGGGGGAGGGAGGGGGGGCTAGGGGTGGGGCAAGGTTCATTGCTCTGGTAATTGAGGTGAAAACTCCCCATACATTGAAATTGAACATATATCATTGAAAAAATCACTTGTGCCTACAAAGTAATTTAAGTTCAAGCTAGAAAACAGCAAGTTGAACCTTTTCAAACAACACTTTCATACCAAGGTTCATGCCCCTAGCAGTTGAAGTGAAACCTAACCATGCAGTAAAATTTAACATATATCATTGAAAAAAATCACTTGTGCCTACAAAGTAGTTAAAGTTCAAGCTAGAAAACAGCAAATCAAACCTTTTCAAACAACACTTTCATAAACAACCTCTGACATACAAAAATAGCTGCCAAAATAATTGGCAATAGAATTCAACTATATTTGTATTTTGCCAAAAACGTGTTGCAATGGGATGTACAACAACATAATATCTATTTTGAAAGAAACTTAATGGTTAAGCATGTTTCTTTCATTGACTTTTTATTTAAAAATAATAGCAAGACAATGGCTACCTAGTGAGAGTAAAATTTAAATAGTTTCAGATCTGACAGCTACATCTCCTCACTGGCTAGCAATCAAACCTTACTAATATACTGCTCAGAATTTGATATCGTATCAAAAAAAATCTCTGATTGTTTTCCAAAGGATTTCCATTGAAAAAATTAGGAATAGCCAACAAGAAGGTCATCATGACTAACACTGTGAAACAAGCATTTCTTTGCCTTTTAACTTTTTAACTCCCATGAGTGTTCAAGACAGAATTTCTCCTTACAAGATCAATACATTATCAAGCAGATAAGTAATGAGAATAAAGAAAACTATCAATTTGGAGATAACTAGTTCATCTAATACTAAATTCTCTGAATTAACATTATGAGAATTGTATGACCAACAGTGAGAAGAATTACAAGTTTGATCTGGGAGTTAAATGGTTAAAAAGTTTGCGGTGAGCTGGGAAAGGTCTGTGAGAGATATTGCACTAGAAGTACCAGATTCTTTGCTGGCTGTGGTCAAGGTCTCAACCTAATAATGAGTGCCTGCTGGTAGGCTAACTGAAGATGAGGTATTTACATATTATTCACTCAATTATTTACACCTCAACTAATAGATGAAAATAAAGGCATAACACATATCCAATGACAATTGAAATCTTGAAAACTTTTCAAGAGTTTTATCTTCTTTTGAGACACCTATTTGCTTTTTGGTGACCCCATCATAGGACCATCGCAAATATTTTATTTATATTCAATGCATATTGAAATCTTTGCCACTTTAGAAGCTAATTGGAGTATCCAAAAAAATAAGAAAAAAAAAAACTCCGTAATGCTTTTGTAAAATTCTCCTCATGAGACAAGTCTAAAATCACAGACTGAGAGTGAGCTAATTATGGAATAAACCATTTAGGAAACTACACTTCTTCATTCCCTTTTAGTAAAGGATTATCCTTTTTGGTGGCCACTAAGCCTTGGGGAATGGTCAATATCATGTTGATTAAAAGTGTAATATTGGAACCTTCAGCTGTACCAGATAGAGGATAAAGAAAACAGTTGCACTGAGATTTACACTCATGCCTAGAATGCTGGGACAGATCCAGAGGTGGTTTAGGTGGTTTGGTAACACCCCCCAACACTGACCTGAAAAACATTGAAACACATGCATATTCCTCAGTTTTTTTTTCTGTTATTATCCCTTAAAACACTTCATAATTTTTTTAACACCTTCACCCTGGAATTCTTCACCTTTCAGTAGACATTTATCCAAATCCACCTTCACTAAATCCTGGATCCACCCTTGGAATGTAAGTATGAAAAGTGATCTCAATCAAATAATTTACATTTTTGTCCAGTAAATGTTGCATAGGCACACAAATAAACAAACTATATATTTTCCTTTTACTGAGATGTACAAAATGGTCCAATTCAATTACTTTAATTATATGAAAAAAAACTATTTATCAGTACTTATTTCAATGCCACCTGACATTTGATCATTTACAAAAACAAAACATTAAAAGATGAAGGAAAATCTTACAAAGATGAATTCATAAGAATACTAAATGTTTTGATACATGTTTTTTTATGATTACAAAAAGAAACTGACTCTGCAGTCTGTTTCAAGAGCTTCTATAGACCAAGTTATGCTTTCAATGTAAAAAAGAGATAAATTTTTAAAATAAATCTATCTTGTAATCACAGTTTACAGATACAGCACTGTTGAATACTTTACTCCAAAATAACATGATAAAATTTTGCTGCCTTAGTTTTTTCACGTGGATCAGCTCTTCACATCTTTTTTTTTTTTTTGGTGAAATCAAGTTCCTTTCAAAATAATTTTTATAAACAAAGTCACAACATTTAACATGACAAAATATATCTATTTCTTTTTCACATAACCAAGCTTCCATGAAAACAAGCAATAACAAATGTAAAAAGCAAACCTTTTGGTGACCATAGGAATAACTATCAGACAAGCATGTTATTGTAGTCAATCAAGTCGCCAAATTAGTAAATTATGCTGCCAAAATTTCTCCTCTCCATTGGCCACCAAATGATCGAAAGTAAACAGTAAAGGACCTTTTGGAAACAGGGTACTAAATCCAACCAGTGTCGCACAAAAACAATATTATTTCTATCCGTAAGAGATTCAGAGTTAGAATATATGTACAGGCATCCTGATGAAGTACTGTATCTACTCACATAACATGTAGTTTTGAATTGCTATATTTCAAACAATGTACAAGTACATTAAACTCACCTAATACTGCCAAAACAAAGTCATACTGGCCTATTTATTACAAAAATTATAATTTATGGTCCTAGAAATTTCCTCAGAACTACCAGATTTCTATTTTTTAAACATATTCAACTACAGAGCTCCTTTGGTCTTCTAAATCCCACTTCACCTCAGTGTCAGAGTCTGAAAAGTCATCCTCTGCATTTTCCTGACCAACAGTTTCTAGTGAATCCATAGAGCGACTTTTCAAGGTCTTTGATGATAACCCCCGTACATGTTTCCTAGGCAATGATGCACTTGATGCAATTGATGAAACTGATGCACTTGCTGCACTTGCTGCACTTTCTACACTTGCTGCACTTACTACCCGCGTCATTGTGACTTCTGAAAATGTGACACGAATCTGCAATGGCAAAAGACTTTGAATTAATTGCTATTAACCATAAACCTCCCATGTGCAGGCATCAAAGCTGAAATCATTTGTGTTTTGAAGAAATTAGCTAGAATTTCTAAATGTTGATTCTTAGATGACTGTGTGCCATTCAATATTCCACTCACCCTAAAATCTGACTTAAACATCTTCTCTTTGGCATCTTTGTGTGCCTTGTCAAGATTATCCTTTCCAATGTCAAAATAGCGTAGATTAGGATCAAGTTCAAACGTATGAAGAGTTGGCTCATCTTCCTGGATTTCTTCTGTCCAAGCAGCTTGACTTATGAAGAATGTGTTAAACCAAAACTGGAAAAGTCTCTCCTGATAGAAACAAATTCACATAAAAATCAAATGTTATGGTGCAGTCTTTGTATAGGATTGAAATTTCAATGAATATATAGTACGTAACTTGTACAAGCACACATATGTGGCTATAAATGATTAATGACATGAATGAGAGACCAGAGGCTATCATTATCAGGGTTTTAAAACAAGCCAGTGAATGCCAGAGTTCTGCCGCCTGCTTGATAATTTATAAGTTGCCACTTACTCTGGTCAAAACAATTACCTTTTTGGCCCTAAATGACTTTTTCACTGTCACCTACTTTTGCAGAGTCTGATGCCTACTTCAAAATTTTGGAGCATGAATATTCAATATACCAAAATAAGAAGTAAGAAAAAAAAGCATCATAACCATTTTTGTTGTGGTTCAGGTTTTGCTTTTCTTGTCAACAATTTTTCAAAAGGAGCTTGTCTGACTTAATTTCCATTTGTTTACAAGACAAAGAAAATTAAAAGATAAAACTGATTTGAAAAGTTTGAAATAAGAAAGGAATTTGAACCAAAACATCCTTGTACATTAACAAAATGTACAAGACCAATGACATTGGCAGCAAGGTTGCAATTTTTCTCTTGTGTGATTCTGTTAACAATGGCTACAATGTGTTCTGCCTATCATGAGAATATATTTGTACTTTATACATGAGGCCTTTAATTTAGTGACCAGAGTTCAGCAAAAAAGATGCAAACTTTAACAATTCTATTACTTAGCTAGTTTCAAGTTCCTAAGTTGAAGAGAGATAACCACTTCCTCAAATTTTTTTTGTTGTAATAATGCAAAAAAAAATTTACTTGAAACTAAAAGTCGCTTTGGGCAATATTTTATGATTAAACTGAATGTTGTCGAATGAGGACTTTAATTAAAACATAGGCATGCATAGCATGCAAGAATTATTGTTTTTTAGCCGGGCAGGTCAAAATCGTCACACAATGCCCTCTATTCTCCATTGAGGAGAGAGCCATTGTATGACAAGACCAAATAACAGTTGCAAGAGACTACACTCATGGCCATTCCTCTAACAGGAAGAAAATCAAAATTATTTCAAAAAGGTTGAGTTTGGAGAGAACTAAATGTACTGTCAACATCACTGACTTCATACAGGTGGTTTGTGGGCACAAGCTCAAGGCCCTTATTTATTTTGCAGGTTTCTCTTACCCAATTATTACACTGCTGTAGACAGGTATGATGGCTGTTATTATGGTAAACTCTGTAAGCTGCATCTCACCTTTTTAAACATGTCTTTATGGAAGAATTCTATCTTGATGTCACCACAAATTGGAATTGGTTGACTCGGCTCAAACATAAATCCTTTGTCACATTTCCTTCCCTTTGAACCAAACATTGGAAGATGAATGATAATGAAGATGACTACCACACTTAGAAAGTAACAATGATAAACCAAACCACTGATTATGTAAATAGTATACAACTGATTGTGCAAATGTTGACACCTTAAAACTGAAAAAATGCATGCAATATGAGACCCAATGGATTTAAGGTTATTTTTTTTGTTTTCCCCTGAATAACTTAACCCCCTCACATGGATATCCTTTTCATGGCAATTTCTCTCTATCAAGAAAGCTTGCATGGTTTCCTTCATTTATCGCAAGCAACCACATGTAGTTGTACTTATCATGCAAAGTCTACACCATTAATTTGCCAGATACCAGTCCTTCCTTCATAGAACTCAACATTTGTTCCAGATTTTCTAACTGTTGGCTCTTCCATTTTCTGGTGCAAAGAGATACAGTAAGACTACACAGTCTTACCCAGGAACCCAATTTAATGGCCCTATCAGGGATGGAACTCTGACCTCTCAAAAATCACATTCAAATGTATTTCATGTACTACAAAGCACACTATGCATATTTTCATCCCCTTGTTGTTCATAATTATTAAAGCTGTAGGAATTAATTGAACACTGATAACACTCAAGGGAATCATACCTCAGTAACTTTAGACTGATAAAGGTTCACCTTCTGTTGCCAAATGATGTAATATGGATCTGAAAGCAGTACAAGACATTAAGTTTAAGGTTAGTTTGAGTCCTTAGAGAAAAGATCAGAGTCTAATCAATTTGTCTGAAGAGAAGAGTACTTCACAAGGATTTGTCCATAAGGGTACATCCACCAATAATATTTGCAATCTCTGTTTGAAAGCTGAATTTACATACCAAATTATCTTCACCAAAATGTTTACTGGTTTACCTAGTTCATGTAAATTAAGCAACCTTACAAACATTTCCCTCAGCAGTCAGGCATTTTGATACAGCCTTTTTAAAAATCCAGACCTCTCTCCATCCTCACTTAACCCTTTAACTCCCAGAAGTGATTAACATAAAACTTCTCCCAACAATATCCTTACATTATTCAGCAAACAGGTAATGAGAATATCAAACTTATCAGGTAGAAGCTGCTATCTTGATCTAACACTAAGTTCTCAAAACTAATTTACAAGGAAAAGTGTAACAGCTAGAGGGGAGAATTAAAAATCAGATCTTGGGAGTTAAAGGGTTAACCTCTATTATAACATAGCTGGTAAATTTATGTAATCAAATTCAATTGCGCAAGCGTGCTTCATATTCCTATTGTGCACGCTCATGATGTCAGCAAACAAATCCCTCGAGAAAAAAAATTTTCCATCTGGTTGAACATGTTATAAAACAATTGGTTCATATGTCAGCTGTGTGTTCATCAAGATATGAAGCACTTGGAAGTTTGAAGAGCACTCAAGAAGCTAGAGTTGCTCTCGGCTATGCCTCGAACAACTCTTACGCATCTTTCGTGCTCTCCAAACTTCCCACATGCTTCAAATCTCGATGAACACACGCTGACGTATGCACCAATTGTTAATTAGTTTTCTTTTCACTATCTCCAGGTCTTGACAATCATTTAACAAATATCCATTCCATTTGAAGAATTCAAAAATAATTATAATTAAAATCAAATCTGCTTCACACTCATACTATGTACCTTGGTGACAAATGTCTACACATTGAACCCCCACAAAGGAAATTTCACTTCAGACAATATTTAAACTACTGCATGTTCATTTGTAAGCTGTGCCTTCGTGGAGATTATCAAGCATGTACAGTGTTTAGACAGCACTCTAAAAGCTGAAGTGGCTCTTGGCTGCCCCTTAATAACAAATCTTGGGTGCTCTCCAACCTTTGCATGTGCTTCATATCTTGATTTACACACACATGTATGCACCAAGTCTCAAAAGTGCCCTGCCTAATGCCTCAGCCACAAACCTGTTCCGTCAAAACACCTTAACATCACTTTGAAGGCAACTTACATTTATTTTTAATTATTAACATTCCAATTAGCCATAGATCACTTACTAAAGGTGTTTAAGAGGGTTTGATCAGAAAGCATCTCAATTTTCTTCAGTAATACCATTGTGCGAGTATACTCCAGTCCATGTGTAAGAAGATGATTGTAGTAAAGAACATATCTCCTTTGACTGGGAATTGTTACACCTTTTGCATTTCTTGTTCTTGCTTCTCCATAATACTTTAGTGCCCCATCACTCTCAAAAAAATGTTTATTGTGAAGCAAATATGCACATATCATAACTCCTGTCCGGCCCTTCAAAAGAAACGTACAGAACAGATGATGCAGACAATGAATATAATGTAGCTGATAGCTGTAAACTTAATGGATTCAAAATAAGCAACCATAGGATTGTTAAAATGATGAAACAATCCTTGCAGTAAGCAACTTGTCAACTTTAAGGCTTTTATAGCAAATTTAAGACTTTGACAGGCTCCATAACCTATGACCTTTGATGTTTGCTGGCAGTTTCACTCCAAGAATAATTTCCTTATCGAATGTAATTTCCACTGTTGATATGAATCATATTTTAACAATAAATTAATCCCATTCTGATACCAAACACATACATTCAAGCCAAATTTGAATTTCTCCCTTCTCATAGCTTAAGCTGCTAGTTGATAAGACCATCCTCATGACATTGCAAAGTCAAAGTTTAAAAACCTGTTGAGGTTCCCTACTTCAAGTGCAGTAGACTTCTTACAGTAGTATAATTATCTAGTCACACAATATCACTAAAAAGGATGATCCCTTCACCACTCCGTTTTCGCAATTCAACTTTACTTTTCCGTATCCCCAATTCTGAAAGATTTTCACCAAACAGAATTGACAGAATTAAAGGCAAATATTCTTTTGTCTTGTCACAAACATTAGACAATGAAAAAATTCTGAGTTCTTGTGAGGAGTCAAACCTTAAGCTTTGGATTCTGCACTCATATAGAGACACTACCACTGAGCCACAGTGACTCTACATGAAGCAAGGCTGTTATAAGTTTCATATCAAAGGAATTCTTAGCTCTGATAATATTCTCCCTTGTGAACAACCAAGGTTCAATTACAGGGATAAGCTCTTTACCTTGCCAGCTTTGCAGTGAATAAAAGCTACATTCTGCTCACTTTCATTCAGAAATTCATGCACATCAACACAAAACGGCTCAATCAGCTCAAATGGAGGTGCATTGTGGTCGTCAAATGGGTAGGTGGCAACTAAAGAAAATAGGCCATATTAATGTACCATTCAGTCTCTTTTTTTTCTTTTTTTTCTTTTTTTACATACAAAGTACAGTAATACAAAAAGAATATGAAAATAACCTTCTGGATTTTGAACTAAAGAGTAAAATACTCATTTAATTTCTGACACACAAGAAATATTTCAAAGTACCAATAGTATGATATTATGGAAATATTACAAAATTAATTTAATTTCACTGGGTTTTGTAAACATTCTTCAGCTTTTCTTTACATGACACAAATGCAAGATAAAAACCCCAGAAATGCTAAGCTTTAATTTAAAATGTAGTAAATATTCTACTTTAACACGATAGTTGGTGGTCAAACAACATGTCATGTGACTGGCTTGTTCAAAGCTCTCCTACAAAGCTCTCCTACAGGTGAGTTTTGTCTGACCCAGGATTAAAAATTGGTTTTGTTTTGCACACTCTATCACAGATGTAACTTTTATTTTGGATTGACTGGTGGCAAAACAGCCAAGAACCCATATCTTGTTAATAACCAGAACTCCTGATCAAAAACGAAACTGACTAACAGTAGTAAGCTAACTTACCTCTGTTTTTAAACTTGACTGGATCATAGTTTCTTTCAGAACATCTGTGTGTATAATGAGAAAAAAAATGAATTGCACCAACTGTGCTCTTTATAATGGTTCAGGGGTTGCAATGAAAGCAGGTTACAATCAGTCTCTTGCTTTTTATTAGACCTTGTGTGAGACTTCTGTGATCTATATGACCCTTCTCACAGTTGCAGCTCCCACTGCCACCCTACACAGCCATTTTCAGAAAAACTTTTTGATAATTTCTTGGTGCATTTATTTTTATTTCAATAACATGCCCAAATAAATCAACAATCCAGTTTGCCATTAAGGACTTACTCAAAATTGAGCTTGTTTCATGGCTAGACTTTTCAGTCAGCCCAAATGGACTGCACAGGACTGTTTCATTCCAAACAATATGTACAGTACTTGTCAGAATGAGTTCTTTTCCCTAATGTATTTATAAAGTGCACCTAGTCAATAAGTCAAATTGCATTGGCTAGCTTCTACAAATTGAATGCTTGCATTACTCACAAATTGTAAACCTTGTAGTGATCTTTATGCCTTGTTTCCAGAAATCTGTCGACAGAAAAGTAAACAAGTTACAATTGTATTACTATATCAGCAATTCAAAACAGGTATGCCACTGGACAAACACAGCACCAAAACTTGACCAAATTTAGACTTATATTCTAAAGAAACCTTAACTGCACAATACTCTCTTTACATCAACCCACACAGCAAACAGGAATCAAAATATTTTGTTCAAGGTAAAAGCACATGAAACAAACACAGCAAGGATTTTCCAGTCCAGCTGATCTAACTCAGTCACAAGAGATTTTATAATGCAGCTGCAGAGACTTAATCATGCGACTGTAGCTACTTCTCTTTCTTCTTGCATTTTGCATCTCAGATGGCTATATACAGGGCCATGAGGCCTTGCTGATACCATGGTCGGGTGCTTCTATAAAAGCCAGTTACTGGCATTCTACCTATGCCTATAAGACCTCTTGCTGTTGCCTGTTTAGCCTGTTGCCAAGCTCCCATGCTTGGTTTTGCTTACAACCCGTTTTTCCAAGTATAGCTTCCTATTACACCATCAGCAGCCACTTATGAAAAAAGTTATAGAAACAACCAGATTTTGTACTGCCTTTTTTTAAAGATTTTTTAACAACAGTTTTCTCCGCACAATAACAATGCTTATTACCATTTTCAATAACACACAAACTATGAACCATGAAAGAACAAAAAGAATAATTCCTATATGCTTCATGACACTTAGTTTGATACAAGTAGAAGATTGTAAGAGATTGTGAACTATGGAATAGGAGATGCAACATTGGGAAAGTGTTTAACCTACTGTTAATCATGTTTCTGAAATCTGGGGAAAACATGTGCCATGTTGCATTGGGTTCAGAGGGTCATGGTTGGATGATTATAATCCAATTTGTTTCTGCTTTTGAGCACCAGTTGTCAAGAAAAATTAATAGTAATGTGAAATTAAATTTCAAATTTTACTCTGAGGCTCAGAGTTCACAAATTATTGGACAGGCAGAGAGACACTTGTGTTACCTTAGGACCTCATCAATGTGATTTCTATACACTCCTTCAAGATTATCTGATGGAAAACCCATTGCCACTATATTTGGTTTAATATCTGGGAGACAAATTAGTTAAAGAACAAAAACACAAAAACATGATTGAAGCACCATTGTGACAAAAATTTTAAAATGCTAAATTAACAATTACTTCTCATAACCTCTGGAAGCTCAGGATTGATTAAATTATCACTTCTCCTTGAAAAATCAAGAAACGTTTAGCGAAACTATGCATTTTTTACCACAAATTCACCACTAAAAATAATTCTTAAAGAGTTTTTATATTTGTTTCAACTTCAAGGATATTGTACAGTTCAAACAATCTTACAGGAAAGCGGAAGCTTGTAAAATATCTTAGCAACTAGACAATATTTTGCTGAGTCGTATCTAAGCCGTCTGAGCAACGGCCCCAGAAATAAATAATTATGCAATGACGTATGAGAAATACGATGAAAAGATTATTTCGATTTTACGGAAAGCTTAAATGAAGGAGAAAATCAAACACCAGAAGCCGAGTTAAATACGCGACCCCTATTAAAGCAACTGCACAGATTACAAGATTGCCCAGCACAGATTCATGTTGAACGTACGTACCAATCGATAAACAGAATGTAATGGTCGATCTTTTGCGAAGAGCACAGAAAATTATTAATACCCCTGAAAACTTCAAATAACAATTTAGCTCAAAGTGAAATATACGAGTTAAAAAAAGAGCCCTTAAAGACCCTTAACTTCTACACCAATTCCTCGACACTGCAACGGTTGGCTTGTGAAATGACCACTGCAGCGCGCTTAGTTTAGAGATCAAGTAGCTGATGTAAATACGTTCTTGCTATTAAACATAAATACGCACGGCCGTATCATTAGTGCAAACAAGGATACATGTTAAATCCAAATCAAACCCATCTTCCTGAAACCGCCGTTTCTTCTTACTCACGAGAGCTTTGAAATATGCCATCTCAGAGGGTGACTTGTTATCGAGTGAGTTAACGAAAAACTTCTTGAGCAACCCGCTTCTGTTTGTTAATTTTGGCTCTTCCTCCGCTGACACATGCTTCAATGACACCTTCACCGATAATTATGTCAGTAACTGCAGAATTCTACAGTACATTACGACAATTAGGCCAGACAGACCATCACATATCTTAGGTTGGCCGCCATATTTGAGGCATGCCGAGGGTGCTCACCCAAATATGGTCTCATACAGAGAACTGGGCCAGAATCCCGAAACCCTCGTTGTTTATACCCGTAATCACCCGCAAGGTCAAAATTCGAATTACTTCCTCCGTTTGTGAAGAAGGATACAAGTTAGATCAAGGTCAAATCCATCATCTGTGAATCTTCTCTTTTCTTTGCTGACACAGTGCTTCAGAATTACGAAAATGAGTCCCATCTCGACAACGACAGATTGCTGAAGGAAAGAGAAATTTACCACAGACTTAAAAAAGTATCAGATAACTGAAGCTATACAAATAAGGGGGAAATTTTTAGCGCTGACAGCGGAAGTCCATTCTGTCGGCGATTTTGTGAAACAATATCATGGACAACGAAAATCGGGGAAAGTTTAAGGCGAAGAACGGAAATTCTTATTGCTTAGTGATAATGCGGAACAAACCTGTACTGTAAAGTTAGTATTAACGGAAGTACTACCCATATTTGACCTGAAGTCCGTAAAAATTTAATATGACTGCGTTAAATCAACTTGCTAAAAAGGGAACTTTTAATATTTTAATTGCCTTTGATACTTACCTTTGATTTTCGTGACTTCTGTAAATATTCCCCAGAAACTTGTCAGTGCATCGTCTATGAGTGTACTTGAATAAATGGAGTCTTGGATCCAATCTTCAGTGTTTATGTAAATCCTCGTTTAAGCAAAAATTCTTGGGAATCGTATCTCGATCGTGTCGTGAACGTGTAACTCCGCTAAAAATCAAGACAATTTACGCTTTTTTCCAAGCTGATATTTACCACAGTTATTTCAAGTCATTCACTGGTAAATACACTGAAAATAGGACAGAAAACCAGACGAGACCAAGGACTTGAACGAAATTATAACCTAAATGTACGTTCACTGAATTTTTACCTTTCCGATTGCTTTCCTACGTAACTTAGTAACATTTAAATTTGCATCAACACATTTGAGTTGTTTTTAGCAAATTAAAAGTTCTATAACCTTCCTTCAAAGTTCTAGAACGTGACGGTCAGATGACTCGAAACCAAAAACACTGCGTCAGGAAATTAATATTATCATGATATTTAGTGGAGCATTACATCATTTGAAATGCGCTTCAGCCGGCTGATCTTGGGAATTTGATCTGCTGCACCACTGTAATGTGTGAGTTGGAAAGAGTCCTACAGGGGTATTCCCCAAGGAAAATGTAAAAAAAACAGTCAGAGAGCACTACGTAATGATATTCTTTTTTCACCAACTGTGACCAATTATGAATGACATGTCTTGATCGTCAGCAATTCATTGTTGCAGTTTCATTTTTTTTGTTTTTATAGCAAGATCAATTTCCAATCTTCTAGAACAGTCCGTTGCTCATTTTTTTAAACAAATTCTCCAATCTTCAAGAAACTTTTTTTATGTCACGTTCCTCGTAAACTAGCATTGATAAAATTAAACGGCTGTGAATATATGAAAATCATCTTTTTGAACTGCGGATAAAGACGTGAATGAAAGTGATCCTCGCAGTAATGAACACTACTTGAGCAGTAGTGAAAATGAAAGTAGTGAAAATAGGTTCACATCCCGCACAGGCCTGAAATTTTTTAAGGCCTTATTTTCACTACTGCCCAAGTAGTGTTCATTACTGCGAGGATCACTTTCATTCACATTGATAATATTGATACTAACAGCCCTCAGAAATCAAAGGCGGCGTGGTGAGACCTTTATTGTTACAAGGAAATAAAAGATTTTTCTAGATTTGAATATAGCGCACACGGTATAACACCAGCTCTGTGTAGTTATTTTAAAATGCACCACAGGAAATTCAGTTCCTTTTTATGTGGTAAGAACAGTGACACACTGTTGTGGCTGCGCCTCGTGTGCCACTTTTTTGTTCTTACCACATTTTGACGTCATCTGTGATCTATCATTGAACAGACGCACGGCAACTTGAAATCTATTTGTTAAATATATATATTTTATCATCCTTAAGGAGCACTCTCGTTCCAGGCCTTTCCTCGCCTTTACTCGTCCAAACATGCAAGAAGGGGTACGAACACAAGTGAAACTGGGAACAAGGTTGACTCCTGACTGAAGAGATCTTTCTTTTACGTTCGTATATTGCTTACTTGTCGGTGTTCCCAGTGAATCAGATATATGTAATATCCAGGAAGGAGAGTGGACATTAGTAAACCTTTTTTTGAACAATAAATTACATATCCACACCGTATATCCAGACTAGCAAAAGCTAAATTTTACATTACTGTACTTTGTACAAAGGTTTTGTTTAATCAAGAACATTCACAAAAGGAAATTGAAATTCATGTCGACAATGTTCAGGCTACCCATTAATTTTCGCTACTTTTCGACACGTGGTGCAAAATCGTAGGACAGTTATTACGCAATAGTCCCCGTTTAGGTTGATATCCGTCCTTCGATTATTTTCGTCCAAAAGAAATAAAGCCAGTGGAAAAAAGCCAGCTCAAAATAGTTTTACCTTTTAATCTTTGTTTTACTTTACATGTCGGAAGAAAAACGAACTTATGTAGTAGGGTCCAGTGTTAGTGACATTGAAAATGCTGATCTCAAATGCTGTTGCGGAAAGTAAATAAAAGTCAACAAAATTTGCTGTCAACGCGCGATATGAAAATTAATGGTAGAGCCTTAAAATAAATAAACTATTTCTGGCTCGCTGGTTTGTCGGCTGATATTGTCCTTGGCTGAGAGACTGTCCTCAAAATTTCACATCTGCCCTCGAAGCTTCGCTTCTCGGCCAATTATCAAATTTTCGGACAACCTTTCAGCAGCGGACATTATCAGCCGACATACGGTTTCCTAGAAAAACTGAACCAAGGATCACCGGATCAAGGATCAAGGATCAGTTCAAAATGAATCAAATAAATTTAATAAATTGATATGCATGATTGATTGCTCATCTACGTGACTCAGTCAAGATCTCCCGTATGCTAAAGCGAAAATAAGAGAAAATACTAAATACTGAAAAAGCCATACCACTTTGTGGAAGTGTCAATTTTCGCCTACCGACTATGAACTGATCCTTAATCCTTGATCCTTGATCCTTGATCCTTGATCCCTGATCCGGTGATCCTTGATCCAGTTTTTTTCAGGAAACCGCCGACAAACTGGCCGTCTGAAGGGGTTTATTTACTAATCGACTATCCGCCTGGAAAGGGAGGGGGGTGAAGGATTTTGGCTGTGTTACAATGGAATTTTCCTCATCCATTATAGGTTTTACGACCCCCCCTTCTTTACTAGCAGTTCGTTGGTAGTCAATTTTCTATGGTCTCCCCCCCCTTAATACTCTGTTCGCGACGACTGATCCCCTCCGTTACCCCTGAAAACCACTTGATCCCCCAAAATTCTCTCCGCCTTCGGACAATAAGAGTGACTGGCCCCTTATAAACTCTCGTTGGCTTCAAATTTTTCATTTACTCCGGCAATTCAGAGAACTTCGATCCTTCCATTTCGCCCCGCATGAATACATTTATTTAAGAGGGTAAGTTAGTAAAGAAACTGTGCTGTTGCGGTGGGAGAGTATAATGGGATGATTTGGTATTATCCCAACTGAGTTGAAAACGTAAATCAGTGGCCACCGTAAAGAGTTTCAAAGCTGACGTTTCGAGCGTTAGCCCTTCGTCTGAGCGAATACATTTATTTACATAACCTTTTCCCCTTGTTAGTTAATTCCAAAACATAATTTATATTGATTTGTCAAAACATGCTCCTTTCTACAATTGTATGCGAAATACAAAACAATAAGACCAACTATTGGTCTGGGTCAAAGTCTACTTTTTTAGAGAATCCGTTGTAGACCAGATGTTCTGTTAATTTGAATTTGACCACTGCCATTTTTAGTTAATAATTGTTTTATTTTTCCATTTTAAAATAGCAATCTGTTTACATTGAGATAATGTAATTACCTTTACTACATATGACTTATGTACAGGAACTTCCTCAAAATCAATTTTCTTGCACGTGTGGCCGCTTCTTGCTTTTATTTATTGGTAGGTGATTCAGTGGTTTGTTGTTTCTCAACGGAAGGGGAGCACTAATTTAGAGCTGAGTAACCGAAATTGGAGAATTTACGGTATTTAAACCTTCATATACTTTGCCTTAGATCTCCCACAACTTGTGATACGTAATTATTAGAGATTTTCAGCCAAGAAACTCGTTAACGCAATGAGCATTTGTAAGACAGCTTCGCTTGATGTGAAAAATCTTTCGTCTTTTCTTTCCACCGACGGCTTGAATCTTTTTTTATCTCTTAAAACTGACCTCGAAAAGCGGAGTCGTTTTCTTATCGATCTCACAGGATCTATCCGTCAAAGTTACGCTAATTTAGGTGATTAACCCTTTAATTCCCAAAAGTGATCTACTTGTAACTTCTCCCAATGATATTCGTACATCATCCAGCTGACAGGTAATGAGAATACTCATACTTATCAGGAAGGCGTTATCTTGATCTAAAACCAAATTCTCAAAATTTATTTACAAAGAAATGTGTAGCAGCTAGAGAGAATTAAACAATCATATCATGGGAGTTAAATGGTTAATATCCTATCGCCTGACAAATGATGATAATTGTGAGGACAGAAAAGGAACATTCGTTGTTGCTTATATCAAAGTAGTGGTTACGGAGGCTCGATTACCCAGGCTCCTCCAGAAAACTGCGGATATGGAAGTTAGGACGTTCGTGAGATGCCATACAATCTTTCATACACATCATTCAATGAACTGAAGTTAAATGAAAATCCTATTAACATTAAGTCATTTAATCACGGCAGTTAACTAACGCGTTATGTCTCAGTTCAGTAGAGTTTCTTGAAATGGTTTCCCTAGTTTCTGACCATCTGGAAATCAGCATGATATAAATAAAATCATTAAACGGGAGTCACGGTTGATGCTCACCTTCTGAGGAGGCCTTTGCTCTGCAGCTGACGGATGACCACACATTTTATTTGATTTTTTACAAAAACTAAACTGTATTGACTTAGAATTTTTAGACGGACTGATACCGCATCAAACTAACGACTAGTTGGGAAGAAATGCATACTCGTATTGGCTAGCTTTGCGATTCAATCACAGGATCCAGTCGGTAGAACGGTAAACAGATAATTTCACGCATAACTGATTCTCCAATTCCTTCTTAGGTCTTCCAGCTGCTAAACTCCCTTATTGCAAACTGTCTTTTGTTGACAATTTCCTTGTCGGTTATTTGAAAAGTTCCCAATAATTACGTGAGGAGTAAATACCGGAATGTCAAACCTTTGAAGGCAGTAAAGGTAGAATGCTAGTACCACTTTATAGTGTCCTCTTTTTATACTCAGAATTTACAGAATATAGAATATGGCCGTACAGGAAAAGAGGAATAACACATTTTTCTACATTTTATGCAGGTTTTATCATAAAAAGAGAATAGAGAATATCGGTTGAACACTTATTAATTTCCGCTTGATTCATTGGTTCCACAAAGACGCAAAGAAAAACTGGGCCATTTCTTTTTGTTCACTTAACAATAAATGACCATTTTCAAAATACAAAAAACCTCACTACTGAAGACACTAAACAAAAAAGAACGGATTCCTCTCCTCTCATAGCAAGACAAAATGGTAATACCTATTTCACGGCCAGTACCGCCGGAAAAATGCATGGTCATCATTCAGACGCCAATGCTACTAATTACACTCGAAAATGAACACTGTGAATCATCAGATGTTACTATATATTGTGTACTTGTTTACTGATATTAATCAATTTTTTTTCCTAGTGTTGCATTTGAGAGCTATTTAAAAGCGATATGTTTCGCTTCACGTAGCTACTTGCCCCCTTCGGCATCTCTCTCACACCAACATCTGACACTTGTTCAGGGAGAACTTGAACACTACCTTTAGAGCGCTTTTAGATTCAGTATTACGAAACTGATGTGTAACTTATGTCAGAGCGTGTTCCGTCAAATCAAATCGACCAAAACCACAAAGCTGTAATAATAACCTGAACAATGATCCTACTGTAAAAAATTACACCCGGATTAGCTTAGTCCGCCTAAAATATGCAGGATGCGTGAAATAGCAACTATAAATACTCATAATTATTAATTCCTTCAATATTAAGTCAACCAAACGTGAAATACATATTTATTTGTCTGTTTACTCAAAGTTCTGCTTTCTAATATACACAACTTGCAAAGTTCCTCACGGACCATTGGTTTGGACCCTCTTGCTGTGGCACTCAAAGTAATTCTGATTTTCGTATACTGTTAGGGGACGACTTCAAGGTCGTAGAGACGAATAGCAAAATAATAAAATATCAAAACAAATATCAGTTAATCCCAACTTCGACAGTATTGAGAAGGCCCTTTAACAGCTAAAAACAGAAAATTAGTCAAATAAGTTATAGGTCTCTGAAGAACCTACTACTTTGCTGTGTTGGTGAGCTTAACACCCAAGGTGGGAAATTGGCGCCTTTGAACGTCATTTCAGATTAAAGTGGCTCGTTATTTGCTTCGACCTTTTGAACTTTTACAGTATTTTGGCCCCTAATTATTCTCAATCACAATACACCCCAGACACTGTTAATAACCAAGGAACAAAGACTTGCTATTTCCTGCACTTTACTTTCACATACCCTTTACTAAAGTGATAAGATTCCTTCCCTCGACTGCCGCGTTTTGCAAAAATTCAACCCACGTATGGACTTACCACAAAGAAAAATTGGTATTGTCGTTGTTCTTAGTGTTAGATAAATGTGTTTCTGAAGACTACAATTCTGTTTCTTTGAGTTCATGGTGCTAATTCCCTCATTTTGAAATTTAAGCTCCTCAATTTGCGTCAATTAAAGTATGTAAATAAAGATTTGCTAGAGTATTAATTACGTACTCTAAAAGGTGATTATGAGCCAGTCACCGCAGACAGAATGCTACGTCAGTAGCCAGTTGTCGGAGAGCTCGAGCCCCGGAATTAAGGCCGACGAAACGTCCACCCTTTTGAATTCTGAAGACGGCTTATCTTTTGTTTGTATCAAATTACTGGTTGATCGTCAACGAGGGATGTCATTAAAGCTTGCGTTACCAAACGCACTCCCTGAACTTGCGCAACAGAATCGTTAGATATTTGACGGGTTTGACCTTCAGGAAACGTGTGTCTGTGGACATGGATTTTCACGGGAGAACTAGTTTCATGGTAGTTTGCTTCTTATCAGGTAAGTACGATATAAAACCAAGTCAAGATCTGGTGACTGCGAAGTCACATGCAAAACAACGTCGTTAGTCGTAATTGAACCTTCTCGGTTAAGCGAAATTACTTCTCGGTGAGTTAACGAAGAACAGTGTTCAAATTCAATTAAAGAGCTGTATTGTTAAAGTGAGGAAATAATTGGGCCTTTTCGGCTCTAAATATAATCATGCTTTCATTTAAGCCAGAACAACATAGAAATTCCAAGACAGTATGATCTGCGTAGTAACAGTGGTATGCGTCCAGTAAGGAACGATTTTTCATATGTTAAACCTTAGATGGACGTTTTGGTTTAGAGCGCTTTGAAATTCAACGAGGAGGATGTATTGCTCTTGTAAGAACGGGAGAAAACAATAATATCGAATTTCTCCGGGACATCGCCGTCTGCACCGTCAATGTTCCATCTTGTATCCGTATATTTTGTTCACGGTCTCATCGAAAATTTCACCTAAAAAAAAAATCAAAGTGCTCTGTGAGCAAACTCGTGAATTGACACATGATTTTTTTGGATTATGTTTAATGTTATCTGGTTTGGGGAATTTTGTGGTTGATTGTCATATCTAGAGTACGAGCAGTAATTCAGTGTTCACTAATGTAGCAAAGAAACAAAGTAACGTTGGGATAAGAAGGCATTACAATATTGAAATGATCATGCTATTGCATTTGACAAGGGTAGATGATGTCATGTGTTTTAAACGTATATCATTTCTGTTTCTGGTTCAAAAGAAAAGGTTGGAGGTAAATGTGGGTGAAAAGTGAAATTTACTGTCTATCATTGTAAATATTAGAAAATCAAGGCAATACTGTCTTAGTGAAAGCATTAATGATTCCCTCTTTATCAAATGAGACAAACGGCAACGAGTTTTGAGTAATATACCTAAGTCAAGACTGCCACCGTCATTTTGGATCTCCACCTGGGTAGATTTTAGTCACGTGCTAGGTAACGTATAATTAATAACAAGATAGAATTTCATTTCAGGCCTATTTATCAAATTTGTGGTGTATAACTTTCGCATTTTAATACGTTATATGTATTTTGAATCTTCAAATTGTCTTGAAACTTAATTTGAACAAACTTCAAATTGTCTTGAAACTTAATCTGAACAAATCTCTCTGCAAGCTTCGATGTCTAAATACCACAGTTGTCCCAAGGTCTTCAATTCGCATACAGAGAAGCATTCGACTCGACGCCTATAGAACCGTAATGTAGGATGATACTTTGCCTGACATGGTACCAACGGATTTTTGTCCTGGGTCTTTGTTCAGTTGGACAGAAATAAGAACGCACGCGAGCTATAAGAAGATAATTCTTCAGAAAATCGCTTATTTAATTTTTTTTAATCGGATTTGGCGGGACAGCTGAAGGGCAGTTTAAGGTTACTTCCCACCTTCGAGGGTATCCTTCTGGAAAAAATTCGTACGCGTGCTAGTTTCACTAAAATCCTAGCAAACTATACATCAGAAGAAAGCTTAATAACTGCAGATTACGATAAAAACATAATTTAAGCGACTTTTCTTTTAAGGAAGTGTCAGGAGCCGGTAAGGCGTGAAACGACGGAAGGTTCTTCGATTAAATTTGTTGGGAATCGGATGCCGCAGCACGAACTAAATGGCCGCAAATATTTCATATATCAAAATTTCCCGACACCTTCTCGTTTTTCATTATTCCTGGAATGTTTTGGCGAAATTTGACCTAAATCGGCCGAATCTATTTAACCTATAAATTCGCTCAAAGTGGTTGTATTCCTCCCAAACTGAAACCGCAAACCATTGGGACAACGGGACCTCCTGGCGTCAATGACGATGGATCAAGATTTCCCTGGAAAAGTAACTCATTGCAGACACTTTTTTTTTTATTTCGATCGCTCAGTGGAATGTTGAGGAGGACGAAAAAATGATGAGCAAAGTTGCCGAAGGCAAAGGCAAGACCTGCGGCAAAAATGGAAAAAACACAAAATGTGCTGAGGTGCAAGACAGCGAATCGACAGAAAGAATCGACGGACAGCTTTCAAAATTACTGTTCGAGGCGATTGTAAATGTTTTTGTATCAAGGCTGGTACTTGCACCAAGGAAAGGAAACCTCATTTTTAACATTATGTATGGTAAAGTTTGGTTTGAAAGCGACTTCTTTGTTCAAAATCTGGACGCCAGCGTGGAGCTCCGCCAGTACTAATCGCTTTCACAAAGGAATTTTCTTTTCTCGACAGAATGGTTCGCTTTCATTCTTCTTAGGGTCTGTTTTTTTTTTGTTTTTTTTTACCCAAGACTTTCTCTCGCTTTGGATTTTTCCATGGGCAAAGATCTTTCCATAAGCAAAGAGCTTCCACGTGAGAATTTTGTAAAGTGCGCGATGTAAAAACAAAGTATGGAACTAACATGTAAAACGAGCCCTCCATGAGCGGTTGCCTAAGTGAAATTTTGTGTGTTTGCGATTCTATCAATAACGGTGCGCAGATGTATTATCCTGACGGTGAACTTAATTCTAATTTTCCCCACCTTAACTGGCCAATGTACAGTGTACCTGCAACAGCGGTCAGTGGAAAAAGATAATTTTTGTGTAAGAGGGAACTTGCTAAAGTAATCTTAAAGTTGCCTTATTTAAAAACACATTAAATTTTCCGCGATGTCCGAGTCCATTCTATTAGTTAATGAGCTAGACATATTTTGCATAGTAATTTGTTCATTTGTGCGTGTGATAGTCAAAATGCAAATTCACTCACTTGAGTGGAAAACATTGACGCATCTTTCAGTTTAAAGTTAAATTTTATGTTTATTTCATCAAAAAGAAAACAATTTTCTTTAACTTCTCTTCTATTTGCCTGATTGGTTTTCGGGTAAAATTTCCGCACAGCCCCATACTACATTATGCATTCAGTTCTTGGATAGAGAAAACAATGACAAAAACAATACATTGCCATTGGGAAAACAGATTTGTTTTACAATAGGATGGGACTATGTGGAAATTTTACCGGTTTTCGTTCGATCGTTATGGTTCCCACATAAAATAACAATGCCGACGAAATACACGTAAAAGTTGCCTTGATTTCAAATTCAATTACGAGCTGCAGACAAATATTTTTCTCTTGTCAGTTTAAGATGCAATCAGTGGTGGGAAATGCATATGAAACCTGAATCGTGCTAAAGCCACTGATTAAGCGTAACGCTGTGTTCCGGCTGACAAGGAAAGGAGTTCAGGTATACAACATGTAGGCTTACATGACTAAAAGTTAGAAGGGTTGGCTGTAAATTTGCACCTTGATGAGAAGTGTGAGAGGCAACCTTACACGCTATTTTTTTTCCCTTCATCCTGTGCAACGGGCGCAGACTGCATCCAAATTGGCGAAAGGCCATGTAATCATCATTCAGCCAAAAGATATCGAGATTATCGATATTAAATGTCGGTGGCTGGGGAAATTTAAAACAGATGACATCTCACGTTGCTGCTTTCAAATGGCCATATCGGGTTGACTAATGTTTTTTAAAAGTCAAACTCCACGGCCGTACTTTTACCTGAAATCACAAAATGGTCGCCAGGAGAAAAATTTCGTAGCCAAAATAAAAATAAAGGAAATTAAATAAAAAGAAAAGAAACAATTTAGGAACCTTCAGTGTTTTAGCCATCATATATCTATTTATTCTGATCTCAGAAATAACGGAAATGTCCTTAAAAATATGCCTTTTGTCACTAACAGATTTTTCCGTCCGCTTGCTCACCTTATGCTTGCCGAAAGAAATGAAAGCAATCTCTCCGCAAGATGTCCCCAGGTTTTCGTTTCGCGGAGAGGCTGTTTGTATCTTAAATAGGCTAACATATTGCGTGACATGGCATTTTCGCGTTGGGTCTTCACTCAGTTGAACGAAAAAATGAAAAACACACACTCGCGAACAATAGGAAAGTCTTCGGATAATCATTTATTTCACAAATTGTATGAATTATTTCAAGGCGGTTAGCAGCTGTAAGTATTTCGTTAAATGGATTGTTTGAAATATGATATGTATGCAAAATCTGTCTGGTTTGAAGGCCCATTAACTAAATGGACTTGGTGATCGTCTCAAATTTTTATATGTTTAATAAGGTAATTTTAAGACGGTAATTTGGCAAGTTCCCCTCTCACTCACAAAAATTTCTCCATTTACTCCTACTGCAAGGTACATTGGCCAGTTAAGGTGGGGAAAATTAGAAATAAGTTTACCATCGAGATAATACAACTGCACACTGTTATTGTTCGAATCGCAAACACACAAAATTTCACTTTCGGTAACTGCGACCCCTTGAGGGGAATTCATGCAACCAATATTATGTATAAATGTCCCACTTTTATCGAATACTTTTACACAGTTTGCACATCCATCCGTCATGAAATATGAGTTTTTAAAAGCTATACAGTGTTGGGGTTCGCTTATGCCAGACGAGTCACGACATCCCCATGATTTCTTCTCCAAAGTAGCGTGACTTGAAAATTTAAGCTTGAAATTTCCGCGTTCGTCGAAAACTTGAACTCGCTTGTTGCCCCAGTCGCTAACAATTATATTGTCATGTTCGTCTATGGACAAACCACAGGGAAAGTTAAACTGCCCATCAGCTGTCCCACCAGATCCAAATGAAAAACAAAATTTACCAGCTCTACAATCGTACAGTTGAATACGATGGTTTCCATAATCAGAAACTAACAAATGGTTGCTTTTGTTGTACGCTATTCCATCAGGTAACGACAAATTGCCTTTTTCTGTTCCACTACCACCGATTGTTTCTTTGAATGTTCCATCTTCGTTCAAAATGATGAGACGATCACATCCCTGGTCGGACACGGCAATGTCTCCTTTGGAGTTAACTGCAATTCCCGATAAATTAACATCGTGGCCTTCGGCTTCCAACCACCGTAAATTGTAGGACGCTTTTTGTGTTATTGGGGGAGGTTTTACGTGTATCATTTCCACAGCTTTTCGTATTTATGTACCTTAGTAGTAAGTACGGGCCGCCACTGCATCAACAGGAAGTTGTTTGCTGCTGATAGGATGACAATTATGATAATCAACAAATGAAAAAATTTGCATGACGAAATGTTGTTTATTGAAACGAAATACAATTTCCTTGACTTCCTTTTTTATTTGCCCGATCGCTTTTGCAGTCGATCGTCAAGGTTTTCTCGACAAAATAACAATGATGATGAAACCAACGTAAAATTTGCCTTTATTCCTAGATTTTATTCCGTTCTGCAGATAATAATTTGTTCTTTTGTACGTTTGTTATTGTCAAAATGCAAATTTACTTTTCTAAAGTATCTCGATTGTCAGTGGTGCGAAATGTATTTGAAACCTTAATTGAGCATAGGCCACTAAGTAAGCAAACGCTTCTAAGTCCTGACTGACAACGCGAATAATCTCACCTTTTTATCTACCATATACAATATGTGGGCTTGCATGAGTAAAAGCGGCGCGTTCGGCTGAGTACTTGCACGTTAATGTGAGCGGGAATTTGAGGTGCAAGAGGCAAACACGCGCGTTTGTAGCACTTTAGGGAAATTGTATCCCGCGCAATCCGCGTGGGATGCTTTGAAACTGATGAAAGGTAATGTGATTACTAATCAGCCTATGCAAAAGATGGTAAGTTTCTAATAACGCTCGAAACGTCAGCTCTAGAATCTCCTTACAATGACCAAATCTCATCGTCATCTCATTCGATAACTTAACCAATACATATAAAATTCGATTTCAGTGCGTGGGAAAACGCTGGCGTATAGTTTCCCGGGAAAATTTTGCTTGAATGAATGTCACGTTGCTTGAGAGTTGACAAACTCAAACTTCACGGTTTGTCTATACCGAGCGATTATAAACTCCCTATAGATTCTTATATTTTCTTGTCTTTACTGGAATGATAAACGATCGCCAGATGGAAAGTTTAGGCATCCGAAAAAAAGGTTACGGACAGCTTATTTTGTATTACATGACCATGTAGATTTTCCTTTTGAAATTCAGTAAATCTATCCAAGAAGATAGGAAAACATTTACAAAACACGACGAAAGGATATTAGTTTCATTGGGTGAAAATATTTACCAAATAACTTTGATCTCAAGTCACTAAATTACCGATCTTTGCGGCAAATTTGTTCGCAATTTTTTCTCTTTTGCATGGTGCTCTAAGCGATTGCTGATTGGAGTGCTGAGCTCAGATCTTGAAAATCAATGTTTTATTCCGCTCTTGTAAAATAAAAAATTTCCCAAAGAGATTAAAAGTCTTTTCTTGGTGCGGAGTGATTCGGTTTCGGTTCGGCAGATCTGGCATTTAAAAAAACTCTGCGAATACCTAAAAAATGATTAACAAACTTAAAATTTTAAAAGATACCGCAAATTGCAATTTGGCTGAAAATTTTCGCTCGGATGCCGGACGCTGGCTGTTTAAAAGTTCGGATTATGGATAGCATTGCCGGTCTTCTCGCCTGCGTTGCAGACATATTTTGCTCCGTTTAAATCCAAGGGGAAGAAACGAGATTGGAAGAGGGCTAAGCATGAGGCGAAAGCGGACCAAAAGAAATGAATCACAAGCGGGAGATAGCTATCGCAAAGGAGGAAAACTTTCCTTTCCTTTTCCGGAAGTTTTAAAGGAATACGGTAACAAAAGTAACAAAAATAGAGCCTGTTAAAAAATATCGCAGACTGGCGAATTCCTACTCTCCTGCACACTCTCCGCCCCCACCCCCACACATATCAGAGATTTAAGTGCGCTCTTAGGATCAATGGATTAGTCATTGTTAAAATAAATTTCGTTCCGAATAAAAATAAATTAATGGGCAATGTGATTAATCAAACATGGCATTTTCAATTCAAATGTTTTTTCTTTGAATTTTAGGCACGAAGTGAACTTTTTCATAAATCAATAGATTTGCAGTTTGCGACGGTTACAATTTAGAAATCCAACTGATTACATTATTTAGTCTGTTAAATGCAGGTAATACTGTTGCAATCACAGTTAACTTAACATATTAGCTCGTAAAATCTTTGCAATTAAACCGACATTTTTCAAATGCACGGAAATGACGTATGGAAACCATTTTACTAAAACTTTGTAATTGTTGCTACAGACATGATGATTTCAAACCGCACGAAGAGGATAAAAATGATGGAAGATTATCCTTCGCCTAGTTGGGAAAGGATACGCGAGCTCGACTAGGGATGACATGACACGGTATTCATGCAATGATCGATGCGCGCCAAAATCATCAAACAATCCATTAAGAGGCTTCCATCTTTGAAACAAGAAAATTTTCATTCATTTTTTTTCAGTTTGCTATTTGCCATGCGCTTCAAATTCTCCACGCCAGTTGCTAATAAAATTATTTTAACCTACTTGGTATAGGCGAAACTCTTATATAAAAACTAAAGAATATCAACCAGTTGATATTCTCTCGATAAAAATATACTGTTTTCATTTAAAGTCATTGTTCAATGACCTAAAACATCATCAACAAGAACTTGAATTGTTGTCATGTAATTCTCCTTAAAATGGACAATTTAGGACAGTTATTTGGCAACTTCCCCTCTCACTCACAAAAATCTCTCTATTTGATCCCTTTGCCAGGTACATTGGCCAGGTTAAATTGGAGACACTAGAAACAAAAGCGCCATCAGGGTAGTACAACTGCAGGCAGTTGTTATTCGAATCACAAACGCACACAATTTCGCTTTCAATAACGGCAATCCCTTGAGGAGAATTCATACAGCCTATATTGTGCAGAAATGTTCCTCTTTCATCAAATACTTGCACGCAGTTTGCACACCCATCCGTCATAAAATATAGGTTTTTCAAGGCTATGCAATGTTGCGGTTCGCTTGGCTCGGGAGACTCAGTGGCCTGACCTGAAAACCTTAGCTTGAAATTTCCGCGTTCGTCAAAAACTTGGACTCGCTTGTTACCCCAGTCGCTAACAATTATATTGTCATGTTCGTCTATGGACAAACCACAGGGAAAGTAAAGTTGCCCATCAGCCGATCCACCAGATCCGAATGAAAAACAAAATTTACCAGCTCTACAATCGTACAGTTGAATACGATGGTTTCCATAATCAGAAACCAGCAAATGGTCGCTTTTGTTGTACGCTATTCCATCAGGTAACGTCACATTGTCTTTTCCTTTCCCACTACTACCGATTGTTTCTTTAAATATTCCATCTTTATTCAAAACGATGAGACGATCACATCCCTGGTCGGACACGGCGATGTCTCCTTTGGAGTTAACCGCAATTCCTGATAAATTAACATTGTGGCCTTCGGCTTCCAACCACCGTAAAGTGTACGAAGCTCTTGGTGTTATTGGAGGAGGTTTTACGTGTATCATTTTTACGGCCTCTCTTTACTTCATGTCGTTATTGAAGGTCAGCTGCTATGGCTTGCGCACAGGAAGTGAAGTTGGTGTCGATGCTTAGGATCAGTTGCCACACCAGGATTAAATCTGACAGAATTCTAACAAGAGTTATTGACGATATCATTTCCATAAAAGGGTTACAATTCTGTCACTTCCTTTCCTTTTAGCAAATCGGTAATCTTGTCCATCGAAAAACCACAAGTCCAATATTCTACTCGCTAAACTACCTACCATTTCGAAGCTAAATTTCCTGTTGAAGACAACGCATACTTCTTCAGGCTTTTTGATTAGAGAAATGCAAATTAAACTCTTTAAGCTTTCTTTTTCGATCAGCTGTCATATTCCTACAATAGTCAGGGGCCAGGTACGTTTTCGTTATCACTTTCAACGAATATTGTAGATCGTGCGTTGTTGAAGTGGGAACATATATAGGCTTCATTGACGTCCGCCATCTAGTAAGCAATAATTATTCGTCAAACTTCTATTTCCTTTGCGAATATTTTTAGATGAGGACATCAAAAGTGAATTGATTCCAGACATGAAAATAATCGGCAGCTCTAGAATAAAACTGTCATTGAATATATAATATTCATTATTTTTGTCCCTCAATAATGATTAAAACACCGTTAGAGCGTTGAAATCTGAAAAAAATCTGAAAAAAGCGTTGAAATTCAAGTTAAGTAAGAAAAGAAAGGTTTAAAAAAAAAGCAGGGACGAGGTGGGTTGTTACTTAGCAGTAGAAAAAATAAATAAGGGAAACTGGAATCAAAAGGTAATGGATTGTTGGAGTCGAGATGAAGCGGAAGTCGTTCTCACTGTTAATGGAAATAATGACAGTCACTGCCAGAACGACTGATAAACTTTGTGAATTTTTCCCTCTCTTGACTTCCCGAAAATGATTCGATACACCTAGACACGCAACAGTGTATCAACCAACGCAGTGTTTGTCCACACTCCTCTTATCGTTAAGCCAAAAATCTTTATAAATCACAAATATTTGATTTGAAATGTCCCCAACCTCCTCTAAGTAGAGTTAAAAGTTCCTTAGATGCCTTCACGTTCCCTGGCCGCCTCCCTCTATATGACGTCATCGTTTGTTCCGTTCTTAAATCCTCTCAACCCATACTGTTTTTATCCTTTACCGCATTTTGATCTGATGTTGCCCTCTTCCTTTTTTTCGTTGTCGGGGATCATCACGCAATTGAATTTCAACATATCTTAATGTTTGCAGTGGGGTCGATGAGTTGTTTTCGAAATTTTGCGCGATACAAAATGCAAACAGTTCGAGAGGATGATGATAAAACAGGGACATAACTAACAACAAAACAAAAACAGGCAATTCATCAGAATATATCAGATAAGGATATTCACAGAGTCTGTTGAACTCTTTGACTCCAAAGAGTAACTAGCATCTAATTCTCATCACAATATTACCCCTGGATCACACATTAACATCATCAGGAACGATCACCAACTAAAAAAGTCCTTGATTGTTGGTCAAATTCTTCTTGTCAGCACCCTGGGAAATGTACAGAAAACAGTAATGACCAATGTTAGGGTGTAAAGTGTTGATTATGGGTAAAGAGGAGACACACTATCAGTGAACATGAGTTGGAGGGGTTTTCATAATCAAACCTTACGTCGGAAAGGAAGACAGACATTTCATTTTATGCTAAATTTATGCATGGTTGACGGTTTGAAATATTCCGTTTTGACGGGAACCGTTAACAGCCGACAAGATCCACCGGATAATTCACGATTTTTTAACATTTCTTTTCCGGTTTTATTCGTTTTATTTTGCAGTATGGATCACGGCAGATTCCCTGACTATGACCCAGTCTCTGCGCGCGATACTGAACAATTTTAACAGTACAAGAAATGTCTACATCGACCCAGCTGCGAAACAAATAGCACGTGACTACATCGTGACAACTTTTAGGGATCATGGACTGCAAACGTGGACTGAAGAATTTCAGAGCAATAACGACAAGGTGAATAACTTATTTTGAACAGGTATTTGACAGATGGAAACTTGAGGGAGTGTTATAAAAGTGTCCTTAAGAAACGTATTGATGATAAACAATTATTGGATGAGGTTGAGCATGGTGTCATGAATTATTAAGCCGAGTTCGGCTTTGGTAGACGCGAGGTTTGATAATTTATGATATCATACGAAAACCGAATTCAATAATTGTTATTTTATACATTTTTAAAACAATTCGCAAAAGAAGACACTTCCCCTTGAGTTGCAAAAGTTTGAGAACACTACACGGAAGAAGGGTTTAGTAGACTTTAAACTCGGCATTATTAATGCAATATCCGCTGCAGATATTGCATTTATTATCTCAACTTCACACTCTACTATATATTGGTTGAATGCTTTCGATATATTAAATATTACACAGTCAATCTCATGGTTAACGATAGCTCTTGTCGCACGAGTAAAATTTAAGGTCTGTTAATGTAGGGAAAATTTTTTCTACCTAGCTTGGTTATAATTAAGACACTCCCGCCTTCGCTGAACTAACGCACCTTTTAATGTTTTTATGTATACACAATATTCAACCTTCGACTTAAAAACTTCGAATCTGAGCAGACCTTGCACGAAGCAAACTCGTTAAAAAAAACGTACAATTTTTATTGAATTCGCCAAGAGATGGTCCATTTTCCTTCAGTAATTGAAACTTCTCGCTAGTTTCCCCTTTATTCACGACGCACAAAATTTCCACCTACCTGCGAGAGGTGTATGGCCTTGAAAGTCTGCTTACGGGAATTTTTTCTGCTCAACCAAACACGTCTGCCTTTTCTAGTTCCCAGGGATAAACGTCGTTGGTCGGCTGCCTGGTCGCTATTCTGGAACGCGTGACGACAAAATCGTTCTCATTGGTTCTCACTATGACACAGTCCAGACCACTTCCGGTGTGGATGATAACGGATCGGGGATGACTGCCTTGCTACAAGCTTTAAAGCTATACACTAGTTCAGGTGTGATATTAGTTATGTACGAAAATGTCCATGGGCTATAAGGAGCGGAATCAGCTATTCGCCCATTTAAGAGTTAATCCTTCCACTGCTTCGGGTTCATATATAGAAATCGTTTAAGAATAAATATCGTTTCCCGACCAATACAGCTCAGGAGCCATATTCTTTTGGGCATCATCCGACTTTATTGCTTATTTTGGAAATTAAACCCCCTTTTAAGTGGGTACTGACGAACAGTGGATTGGAACAGAACCCGATTAGAAACACAAACTGAGATTGAAAAGACGTAAGACTAACGCTCATTTTAAATAATATGAGTTCAATTGAGTGCTAAGTGAGTTTTTCTAAAGAAACTGTGGTGCTGCACCGGTAGGTGTTTTATAAGACAATTTGATTTTATCAACAGAGTCGACAATATGAAATATAATCCATCAAATAGCTTTGCTCGCGCGCGATTGATCCAAAATCACCACGTGATCAAATATACCCAAGCTACCCGAGGATGAGCCCCGAGTGATATTACCCAATTTTGTGATACTACCCAATTTTGAAACGGTACGTCCATTGCGATAAAATCGTTCGTTTAAAATTAAGTTTCAAAATTAGGGACATATTTGTTTGTTCGTCCCATACGTTTGAAAACAATTTCCCGCGCATTGTAAAAATATTTGAGGCCCACAGTTTTTATCGAGCTTCACTCTGGGGAAACTGTTTGCATCTCGGATCAATTCCATGATAAATAGTGAGTAAAGAAGTCGCCCAATGTTATCTGGTTGTTATCAAAATGAGATAAAAACATGAGCCTGTCTGGTTGTTACGTTTTTAGTATGCGCTTCGCCCTCATAAGTTATGACACAATAGAAATCTTCAGATCACAATCCAATTATTAAATAAATAGCGAGAGACGAAGCTTATTACATTGCAGCATTTGTGATAGAGGGCTCGTAAATTGACATACTTATATATAATACCCCATCATGGCGGGCGATGAAGATCTTGCATAAAAACAAAAAAAAATCGATATAATTGATGAGGCGGCGGCGTGGCCGAGTAGTCAGGGTGCTGAATTTATAATCTGGTGGTTCCAGTTCAAAGCCCACCACATCCACTGCATGGATTTGTTCGCTGTTGCGCCAAATTCAACACCTCGGCTACACTGTTTAAGTATTCAACTGTTGCCAGCCAATTGGGGCTTTTAAACATTTTGTTTATTTAGGGCCTGTTTAATGTTTACATGGAGGTGGGGGACCCCAGGTAGGTGAGGTAACCCGCCTGTCCATATAATTTCTTATTTTATTTTGATCACGTTTACATGATAGGTGGGGTGACCCGCCTATAAGGTGGGTTGCCCGGTCTGCCAGGTAGGGTAACCCTGTCAGCCGGGGTGACAGTTTGCCATGTAAACGTGTCGAGGTGGGATAACCCGCCTAGCCGGGGTCGCAGTTCATGGCAAAAAGCTCAAAAGCGAAACATGTATGTTTTAAAACTTTGTACATTTCCTATCTGTCTCATGGCAGAAATCACCAAAAACCGCAACGGACATACAAGGAGTGTAAAATGTTCACATTTCGGAATATTTAGCGTCGTAAATCGACCATATTTGGTTTCCCAAACTATTCCGTATAACGTATTAAGTCAACGGTTTCTCGCGAAACCAAACACCGCTAACACAACGCGTGACGCTTTCATGAATAAATACAAATGTGTCCGAGAATTAATCTTTGGTCTTTTTCGAGATGTGAGCTTGGGACGCCTCTGCTCAAACTCCTTAATTGCAAGCGCAACAACAACCTAAAGAAACCTCACCCCAGCACCCCGGGGTTGTAAGATTGCATGTAAACGCGTTTTGTTTTTCGACCACGGCTGGGCGGGTTACCTCACCTACCTGGGGTCCCCCACCTCCATGTAAACAGGCCCTACAATATTTGTTTCAATTTGTTTATATTGGTCCTGTAAAAACCTTGTTGGGGGAGTGGTCAGTTAATGTTATGATTAATATCGTAACTGTGAAACTCCTTTCTTTAGACAAACAGAAATGTTCACGAGATTACACGCTTTTGTTCGTGGCTTTCGATCTAGAAGAACGTCAACCTACCGTCAACACCAGCTGCTCAAAGTCAGGAAACTGCCCTTGTAGTGGTGGAAGTTGTGGCAGCTATTATTTCGTACAGAATTTCAGTCAGTATCTCAACAACAGTGGAGTTGGTTTCCAAGGAGCCATTGTTTTGGAAACCATTCTAAACTACAACACCACACCAAATTCTCAAGTGTTTCCTAGTGGTTTGAAGCCGTATTTTACAGAGACATACAACAAAATATCACAAAATGGGTTCACGGGTGACTTCTTGGCTTTAATTGGTCGGTCAACATATGACAGAAGACTCATCGATGGAATAACAAATGCTTTCAAAGAAGACGGTGTGTTCTTGTAGTGCTTTGTTACTATCGCTCGATATCTTTTGCTTTGGTGAAGCCAAATTGCTTCCACTCTCAAGAAAGCACCAAGGAGCATAAAAATTTTGCATTATTTTAATTTTCAGCAGGACTTGTGGATTGTCCTTGATGTGCAAATGAATCACCGGAAAATGTATTACCTTCAGTCCAAATCCATTTACGTATCATTTATTGCGATTATTGTGTGTTCCCTCAACCTCGTTCCTAGGGTGCCCTCTCCTCTTCTCTCTAGGGGGGAAGAGAGAGGACCCTGGAAATGAGGTCGGTGTTGCCCTCTTTATTAATCGACAAGTTAGTAAATTTGAAAGTCTTCCCGGCGTTTCTTTCCTTCTTGATCTGATCTAATGCTGTGTAATCAATTTTTAAACATATCGACCCGCAACAAAAATGTTTTTCCGCCAAACAAAGTCTAAAAAAAATCACAGATCTTCAAAATGGGACCCTCGCAGGATTTTAAGGTGTGCCACATTGCCGAACCTTGATAAAAGGACATTGCAGGATGAAATATGTATATTGGATTGTTGTTTCAATCTTAATTTCGTATTAAGTTTCAAGAAAATCTGTTTTCCCTCATTTTCTAGAAAACTTTCTAACAATTGCCATGCCTATACCCAACTTGTTTCCATCTGGTCGACCGGACACTTGGCCCGAAAAAATTAGGCAAGGTATGGGGGATTTCTTTCGTTCCGACCATTACTATTTCTGGAATGCGAAGCCAACGTTACCAGCGATCTTTGTCACAGACTCTGCGGATTTCCGAGGATTCATGAAAAAATGTTATCACAACGCCTGTGACGACATGAGTCACGTGACCCCAGAGATGATGATGTTTTTGGCGCGAACAACAAACAGCGTGGCTAAACTGGTCTCCAACATGACAAATGAAAAGTGCGAAATGAAAAAGGCTGGTAAGTTTTACTTGACATCATGATGTATGATATATAATTAACATTTTAAGCCCTGTCAAATATTTGGCTGAGGCTTTGGCCTTTAGTACAATTATACTATATCAATGAATAGCGTTGAAGGCGTGCTCTTATTGGCTACTCAAATACCAAATTTCCTTGGTTAGTATGTACAACACAAGTGAATAGTGCTTGTCGCGCGCTGATTGGCTAGTTCGGAAGTGAATTGCAAGTACCAAGATAATTACCATTCACCTCCACGTCGGTAAATAATCAGTAACTATTCCGACCATAGTTGAACATTATTATAAACATTATTAACAGGCTCGGTTAATGTCTACTACAAGCCACCTCTGCTCGGATAACAGATTATTTCCTTTCTTTTCTGTTTTGCCTTCCCTTTACTCAACATTTTAATGAACCTTGCATAGTCATTTAATATAAGTATTACAACATATTTTTGGTTTCAATTACTTAATTTACTTCGGAATTTGTACAAAAATTTTAATCAATGAACTTCCTTGGGGCTTGAGACTCAAAGTTTGTCATTTAGCGGTAAATAATCAAAATTATTCACCGACGTGGAGGTGAAAAGTAATGGATATTTACCACTTTCAATGGCTTTGAGGTGAATATTTGTTTTAGTTATACTGTACAGAAACCAAGAAATTGTAGTTTATTTCTGTCAATATACCGAGAGATGGTCAGAAATAAAACTATTGACAAACAATTTTGTCTCTTCGGCTCCTCGAAGGTGAATAGTACTTGCCAATCACTTCCGAACTAGCCAATCAACGCGCGCGTGAAGCACTATTCGCGTGCCAGGTATATACTAAGCACAGTATCTGGCTGTAGGATACATTTGAGGGTCCTCTGTAGCCAGAGCGTGCATCTTCAAGCCGTTGAATGACTTACATAAGTGTTAACTCCTACGAATGTTTTTCAGTCAGCGCACAAATGAGAGATCCTACGACCTGTAGGGAAAAGAGCAATTAGTTTCACTTTTGTTACTGAGTGAATATGTGTAATTTTGTCTGAAAACCTACAGCTTCAGATGAAAAGAAGTACCAATTTGATAAAGTAAAAATAAACATTTATGTGGCGCTAAAACTATTTACATATTCAAACGCGCCTTACATTACAGTAAGGATTATAAACTAGTGATGAACGCTTTCCTAAAAAGAAATGTTGTGAGCTGTTTATGAAATGTAACCAGGCTGCTAAAGGATCTTATTGGTAACGGCAAGGCAGGAACAGCACGAGCAAAAGCGCGATCCCGAAGTGTAGAGTAATTGACGCGTGAAACGAATAGAAGAGATTGTGTACATGAGCGAATAGCATAGTTAAAGGCAGGCTTAAGAGATAAAAGGTATTAGGTTGTTTAGCGACCTAATAAACAAAAAGAAGCAATTGAAATTGAACTCTGAATGATACAGGAGGCTATTGTAGGTCGATGAGAGCCAGTGTGATGTGGTCAAATTTCGTAATCTGAAATATCACCCTAGCTACGGCGTTCTGAACTTTCTGTAAACGATCAAGTTGATATTTAGGTAGACCAAAAAGAAGCGAGTCGTCATTGTTCGGGGGCAAGTCCCGTTATTTTTCTTGTCGGGAGTTAAATACTTAGAGGGGTTTGTTATCTTTTCGCCTGGGGAAACTATCTGTCATCCGTGGGCAGTGGAAAACAAACATGTACTTTCCCAGAAATAACGTAGCTTTGCATTTCAGCTTTCATAACTTTTCTTCCATATGTAGCGAAGAAATTTCATGTCAACGTAACATCAAGTAATGATTAACGGAACTGCAAAAGAACAAAATTGTTCAAGATCTTTTCCTGAATGGTTTGAAATTGTTGGAATAATATCATTGTGCAGTTCTTGGCTTTCGCCAGAATGTTTGATAATTTTTAGCTAGTTATACCGCTTTTTTCTTTACATGTGCAGACTGTGTTCAACAGATAACAGAAAGCGAAGGTGAAATCGTAACGCCGTACCATGACACCGTGTATCCTAACAAACTGAACTGCGCATGGACTATTTCACTTGACGCTGAACATAAAGATCTCAAGTTCAAGTTTACAGCGTTTGATCTGGAGGAGAGCATCGACTGTACTGCAGACTATGTTGTCATTCGGGATGGAAAAGACGAAACATACCCTTTGATTGGTAAAAAAAGAATAACACATAATTTCTCACCTTAACCTGACCAAACCTAATCCAACTTAGGGCACCACTACAGCAAACGGCTGTCAAAACACGAAAGGTCTTGTCACGAAAGACCAAACATCTTTTCATTTCGCGTAACGCACAGTCATTTCTTGAAGTTTTTGAAGTCTTTAATAAATCGTAAGATAAAAAATACATATCCTATGTTACATAAACGAGAAACTGTGTAATGATAATTACAGTAATATACTGTGGCCAAAAAGAGCCAAATTTCACAAGATTAAGCATGACGTTACACTGAGGATGTTTCGGGGAAGGTTTTCAGATTGGCGAACTATTTTTTTGCAGTGATACGAACCTTTTAAAAAATTTGGACGCTCTCATTGCCTGCTTCAGACTAATCAGGAACAAACGCGCTAGATGGCTGGAGCTTAGCTAACAATACGCTGTTTTTTCGCAGGGAAATATTGTGGGAGGACTCTTCCAAAGCCAGTTACGGCTTCGTCCCAGTCCCTATACATCATGTTCCACTCGGACGACCTGGTAGCTTCCAAGGGTTTCAAAGCGGAATGGACATCAAGTGTTACCTCAAGTGCTTTTCAAGGTGAGCTTTTTAGTTGCGATGAAGTACCTTACATCTATCGATGTAGTCGCTTTAACTTGAGCTTAGATCCTCTTTAAAAGTCAAATGGTGTCACACTATCTTGAGAGGTGCTTTTTTAAAAAAACTTGCATACGATGACCACTTCGCTTTCACATTTTGCATTTTTTTTTCCTCCCTGGCCTTGTAAAAAGTGACCACGATGACGATAAACACGAATGCACGCATACTTTACCATTTCCAGTCCACAAAAAGGCCGGTTTCACACTGGATCGAGTGGCTGTTTTTCTTTTTTATGTATATTATAACGAAATTTCGAACAAGAATTGTCCTGTTGTTCCAGGATCTCTTACTTAGGCTTTTGATACTATTTCCAGCAGAACGAGCGCAAAGTTTATTTCGCTCTTTAACTAATTATTAAGGAAATAAAGGGCTAGGATATGGGAGTAAATATCCCAGGGTTTAACAAATGACCTGAATTTGCATTCTTTTTGATAGGATATCGTCCAATAATGTGGCAAAGCCTTGCTTACCTTGTGTGTACAACACTGGCCATTATTCTGTGAAGAGCTGGTCAAGTTTTTATCTGATTTGCTGAGTTAGGATGTTTTCTCAGCTCTTACTCTTACAGAACTGATTGAGCAAAAATAGAGAATTTGAGGTCATCTAATAAAAAATTCGTCTAAATTCAAAATTGCGACTAAATATGGCTTATCATATGTCATTTTAAAGCCAATTAAATTCTTCATCGGATAGACCATAGTAAAGCATTTTTCTACATAAATTATGCTAATTGCTTCAATAAATTCGTATAATTCAAAGCATTTTTTTTGATAATTTTTTCTGACAAGTTGCCATGAAAAACCAGAAACTTGCGAGGGAAGTAGCAAAATCTTAGAAGTTTGTGAAAAATATAGTTTGAGCAATATTTAAAAGATATTGTTTCGTCGGTGATATTCTTCATGGGAACCAGAACGACCTAAACGCTTCATGCAAGTTTTGCATCCAAAGCCAGTTTCCTTTCGCTTCGCTCCTTTTACACCAATCCAACAATGGTGACATATTCCAAACTTGAGAAGCATTGACAGAATCATGGTCTCTCCCATGAAAAAGAGGGAAAGGCAGTACTGGTGCTGGACCAGGCGGACGGCGGCAAGAAAAATTTCCAATCAGCTTGTGGATGACTCCAGATAAAAATTTGTCGTATTCAAGTGGCTGTGTGTGATTCTGTGGTCCTGACATGTTCATAATTTTGAAATTCTCCTCGTAAATAATGTATGCATTTACCATTATTGCATCCAAAAAGTTAACAAACATTCTCACCCACCATCTCCTGGACTTACTTGCGAACCAATCGATTACACCTATCGACAGCTCCCATATTTATTATGATAATCAACTGCTATTGGTGGGCAAGGTAAATTCACTTGTTCACCTCTTCTCGATTTCCGAGAGATTGTGCAGTTTCCTTCTCATGTTCTTCAATCAAGTTACGCAAATGGATATATCATTAAATGCACAAATTTCTCCGCCAGATTTGAAAACGGATTTCAAATTGGTCAAATAAACCAGAGAAGAAATACTAGAAGAGTAAATTCGTACATTTTATCATTGTGGCTCTCGCTTCGGCGCTGTTGCTCTTATATTGAACCCTGTTAATAGACACTTCCGGAACAACTTTTTCAGTGGGCATGCGTGGTTCTGTAGCCAATTTCAGACCCTATCTTGATCACTTTTAGGCATTCAAACAACTTATCAACCGCGAATCTTTCATTTTAAATCCCTACTTAACAAAGTTTAATGTGCCACCCTATTGTCAACACAGTATTTAGGATGCAACCCCACTAAAGTCACAGTCGTAAAATTGGGATCCCATCCAGCGGCAATCCCCATTTCCCTCTCTCCAGGAGATTCCCCCCCCCTTCCGGAGTTGTTACCCTTGAGTTTGTAAACTGCAAGTTTGAGGATCATAGCATGTCGGGTATTGCGCATACCAGTCCAGGCACAGTGTCAACATAAGGTTTCACGGAAGCAACTTTTTTTTTAGCGCAGCTATGATGGAGGAACATGAGGTTTTACATGTGGCGGGAAAGCTGGTGTTTGCTAACAACACAGGATCCGATGGAAGAGCGTTGTTCCAGCGATCCATTCTAGTCAACTTGAATTTTTATTTCGTTGATGAATATGGTAAAGTTTTAACAAGACACCACGAATTGATAAAAATACTCCCTTAGCTATTTTGATATTTCCACAGTTATAAGAATAATTTATGAAATTTTAGTCATGACCAAGAAGCGGTAAACACTTACGTTAGAAGGTTATTCGAAACAGTGATATAATTTTCTAAAAATTTTTTGTTTATATTAGTACGACGTGTAGAATTCAGTTTGGTATTCAATGTCAAAAGGATAGATAACCGTGGGAATTTAACAACCTTGCATTTAAACCCGTCTTGCATTTAAATTTGTCTTTCCTTCAATATTTAGATCTCTGGCAATCAGTCTTCCTTTCATCTAGTAGTTTTCTCGTTTAGTTGTAATAATGTTCAAGAGCCGTCATAAAGGCACCAAAATACTTCCTACGAAAATTTCAACTCTGCCTCGCTTACACTAGAGATGTGACTATCTCGCCAAAATTAAAACACGCGTTCGAATTATTCAAAGAATCTATTCGTTTCTTCACACGTCACCGAACCATGTTGCAGTAACACCGTCGCAGGACATCACTTGACCACATGTGCAGTAAACTCATGTCACCTCTGATATCTTTGCAGTAGCGTTGTATAACACGAGTCACACACGCGGACGGGTTTGGCCGAGGAGGGGAGAGGCATGGTGTAATCTGAACAGGAATTGCAGAAGATACCACCGCAGTTACGACAATGATGCTAAAAGAAGACAAATACGTGAGTTAGTTGATCAATCTACATGTGAAACGCACGACCAAAAGAAAAGAACCTCATGATGGTATGTAGTCTGATAAGGCTTTCCTGTAGCCAGCAGTCGCGTGATAAGAACCTCTCTCTCTCTCTCTCTCCCTCTCTAATATTTACACACCCAAACATTAGAATACCAGGAAAGTAAGATGCATAAATCAACAGCTAGAATACCTTTCGTCTGGCCAAAGAAAACGGCTGATTACACTGTTGACATTGAGTAGCGTCCTTGTCTTCAGCCCATTTCATGTCCTAAAATGATCCACGAGAAATGCAATATCATTTTTATTTCATTATTTAAACGGCACGTTATCTCGTTTTGCTACCCTCCCGCCCCATTCCCCCTCCTATAAACTCACATCCTCTGTGATTCTTTCCCTCGCCATCAATCAGCTTTCTTTTACTTTTCCCCTCTAAAGATCGTACGAAAATATCAGGAAACCTTTCTGGGCTTTGTCACAACTGGTGAGCGAATCGCTCTTGAGGCAAAGCTGAATGATTTTTAAATACTGATCACTTGAAAGTTTTTTTAAATGTAAACCTTCACTATCCACCAAGGTAGTATAAAAATACAGAAGGCACTCCTTTGGTGGAATTCAGGTTCTTAGTGAACGAGCTTGACGGAAATAATCCAAATAATTCAACGACACTTGCCCCGAAGTCTCATTTCGCATTTGACATCATTATAGGTCATCAATTGGCACTACCTTCATAGACTGCGTAACTTCCTTCATTTCTTCAACCTTTTGCTGAGAACTAATCAAGACATACTCAGTCAGTGACGTTGAAAAGAATTTTTGCTGAACAGTTTATTTACAGTTCTTAATGAGTACCGCGACCCGACACAAAATTCCTCTTGCTTTTTCACTTCTTCCGCTACTATCGCGCCATTTCCCATTTCGCTCCGTCTTACGAACTGGACGTCTGGAACAGGCAACAGTTTTTTTTTGCAGTGTAAACTGCCTGCATTAGTGACAAAAAACCGGAGTTTTACACTGTGAACAAGACACACTCAGTCGTTAACTTCAAATGGCTGTTTTGTTGTACAGTTTACTTTAAGTGCTTGGTTAGCACAAATACCTTTGTTTGCAGGAACCCTGAATGATACACCATAAGGTAGGTTTGGAAAGACAATAATCTCACGAGGTGACGATAAAAACTTGAACAAGGTATTAATGGGACCACGACCCGCGGAAGAGATCTATCAAAGTTCCCATTGAAAAACCGCGTTGGGCGAAACCCCGAAAAACCGCTAAGAAGGAGACTACCTTTGAGCAAAAAGTGTGGGAGAAACATAAATGTGAGGTACTTACTTAGATAAATGAGAGCCCATTTCTACCAGTGCCTAAAACAACAAAGAAAAAAACCAAATTATCATTTTCATGAAGACATTGCGCAAATGCCGCACCTCCCTCTTTCCACGGCCACTCACCATTTCCTGTTCCGAGTACGATTTTTTCAGTGACATGTACTTTTCATGTAATGCTTGGTATTCCTTGTAATGAAATGAAAACAGGTTAAGTTTGTGACATACCGAATGCAATTAGTACAAATTGCACGAGACTGTAAGGCTTATTACACCAAATTACAAGAGAAATCACTTGTTAATAACGTACATGAAAAAAACATCGCAGAAAGTCAAGACAGACGAAATTTTGAAAGCGTGCGAGCTATTTGTAATTTGCACTCGTGTTACAACTTTGCACTCGTGTTACATGAGAATGCACCAGTTTTCAGCCAATCAGAAGCGAGTAATTTTTTTCATGTACATTATTAAATGAGAGAAGGGCTGGGATAAACCAGCTGCCTTGCTTGAATGGAGGGTGGGCGCCTGAGGCATACAGGGACTTCCAGTTCGTTTTGCCCGCCCTCTCATAAAATAACTCCTCCATGAATAGAAAAACCCTGCACCCTTGCCCAGTGCCCTTAAACCAAACATCCATCAATGGTGATCAGATCAGTGGCAGGAGAAAATAGAATGAGGTGGGACTGATTAGGGGAAAGCTTGAAAAGAACCTTGCGAGGGGTACTGACAGGCAGTCTCTGCTTAACTGCTCAAGATTGCAACTTGAATAATGAGGTTCGGTAGTGCGTCGCTTGAGCGCAGGAGAGTTAGGGTAGTTTTTATAAGTGGCCCGTCGTAATTTTACTAAATCCAGAACTAAGGCAAATAAATAATGTTGAAATGAAAAACACAATCGTTGCACCTTTTTAAGTTTTTCAAGTTGTGTTAATTCCATCTGCATGGCACCTATCCTCTCTTTATCTTTAACGGATTCTTCTTGCAGACTTGTCCTCCACTCACGCTCGATTTTCAGGTTGGTTGTCAGTGCAGTTCTGAAGTGCAAAACAGTGAATTCAAAAGAGCAGCGCATTGTTTAATTCTAAGTCCGGCAAGTTTACGGTTACACAATCTAACCCCTAAATCTAGGGTTATTAAAAAGTACTTCCTAATTATCCTGCTTTTTATCACCTTCGTTCTGCGTTTTATTGTGTTATTTTTGCACATTTGGCTTCGTTTTATATGTTCATACACTCGCGCGAAAGCTTATCGTTTTATCGTTTTGAGACCTTCAACTAGAGAAAAATTTGTGTACTCTATCATATCACCTTTCACTTTCGCTGTCAGCCAGCTTGTTGTTAAGTTGGCTGGCCAAGTTTTCCGCTGCTGTTTTCTTTGATGTCACTTCACCAAGGCTAAATCAGCGGAAAAAGACAAAGAAAAAGGTTCAGATCAGGCTTTGTTGAGAGAAGTCTGGAATTGTTTTCAGTTCGCTTCCCTGCTCTCTATTATTGGTCCAGAGAACTCACTATCCTCTTAAGTTCAGTTAGAGGTTTTTAATCGGAGTTCTCACTAACTCGTTGTGATATTTCTTTTGTTCGGATTGGCGCTGATGGCCTCTTAGCGTTTGGTTTGCGGACATTCAAGCGAGTGCTCTAGAGAGATCGAGCCAAAAATGTAACAATGATCATAGGTTACAGAAATCTTTTTACCTGTTTTCTAGTTCCTTGGTGTGACTTATCAGTCTCGCACATTTTTCTTCCAGTTCTGTCCATTTCCCCATGTGGTCCTTTGTTGACGTCTCACTCATCTGCCGAATCAGTTAGTCAATAAATCAATCAAT